CGATGGAGCGGAGCTCGATGGAGCGGAGCTCGATGGAGCGGAGCTCGATGGAGCGGAGCTGGATGGGGCAGAGCTCGATGGGGCAGAGCTCGATGGGGCAGAGCTCGATGGGGCAGAGCTCGATGGAGCTGAGCTTGGGGCCACAGAGCTGGATGGAGCAGAGCTGGATGGAGCAGAGCTCGATGGAACAGAGCTGGATGGAGCAGAGCTGGATGGAGCTGAGCTGGATGGAGCTGAGCTGGATGGAGCGGAGCTNGATGGAGCTGAGCTGGATGGAGCGGAGCTCGATGGACCGCAGTTGGTGGTGCCTGGAACAGTGGTGCCTGGGTAAGTAGTGCCAGAGACAGTCGATCCCGAGATAGTAGTGCCTGGGACAGTCACGCAAGATGAGGCTGGAGCAGAGCTAGATGGAGCGGAGCTGGAAGGTTTTGGCTTCGAGCTACATGTCTTGGAGGTTGATGGCTTTGGCTTCGAGCTACATGTCTTGGAGGTAGATGGCTTTGGCTTCGAGCTACATGTCTTGGAGGTAGATGGGGCTGGCTTCGAGCTCGATGGTGCAGGACTAGATGGGGCCGGTTGCGAACTGGATGGAGCGGAGCTGGAAGGAGCAGAGCTGGATGGAGCAGAGCTGGATGGAGCAGAGCTGGATGGAGCAGAGCTGGATGGAGCAGAGCTGGATGGAGCAGAGCTAGATGGTTTTGGCTTCGAGCTACATGTCTTGGAGGTAGATGAAGGTGGCTTCGAGCTCGATGGGGCAGAGCTCGATGGAGCCGGCTTAGAGCTGGATGGAGCAGAGCTTGAAGGTGGTGGACATGGACCGGGCGAGCAACTGGTGTAACCGGATATCGTAGTTGGGCCCACGGTCGTGCATGATTCACTAACAGTAGTTTGGCTGGTGGTAGGAGACGTAGACGATTTTGTTACAGCGCTGCTTGGCGATGGAGCAGAGGAAGAAGATTTCGCCGAAGTGCTGGAGATGGCTGAGCAGGTCCCACATTGGTAGTCCCAGTAAAATCCTGGCGCATCAGTCTGAGAGTGGCCCTGGTTGTCAGAGTTATTGCATCCAGTGATCAAATCGAAAGACTGGGGCCCGTTAACATCACATTTTCCATTGTAGTCGTACTGGATCTGAAAGTTGGGCATCCAAGATCTGCAGTTCTGGACATCATCTTGTCCGTAAACTCTGAACGTGGCATCGTAATCCGTTGGGTTGTCGACGAGCCGGACATTGTGCTGTCTGTCAAGTAGCTGGAAAGTGCCGCCATCAGGTCCGTTGATACCGATAATCTTCAGGTCATCGATGCAGCTCAAGCTGATCTGCTTTTGACCTTGGACATGAATGGTTATTTCGTAGATGTTATCCTTAACCCATTTAACTTGCTTCATGGAAATGTCGTAAGTCATTCTGCCTTGGTTTTTGGCAGCCCAAGTGAAATCCAAATTGGGACAGCCGTTGACAGGCTTATTACATTTCTTCTGCCCTTGAGATCCACCAGGGAACTGGCTGGGATTGGAACACCTTTTCTGCAAAGGGGAGGCATCCACTGAGTTTGCCAATGAGGCAGCAGCGGAAAGAACCCACAAGTAATGCATGATTTCTGAGACGCTTCCGTTGAAGATGTTTGGCTTTCTGGTTTAAGAAAGCAAAAAGGACCAGGGTATAGTCGTTTGAAGTGGTTTCGAAGAGGACCCTTTTATACAATTCTGCCAACTTTACAACCGGCCAAAGATGTCAAAGTCCGTTCAGGTAAAGAGTCATGTCATCACAACAGTGTGAGCTACCTAATGCAAAACATCCCGATGCAGAGGGAGACGTAATGTTTACGAATGGACTTTTCGTGTAGCAGAACTGTTTACGGCATTCTTCCTACCAGATTAAGAGTGTTTGAAGTGAACCTTCCTCATCTTTCTCCCTGTCGTCCTTAATCGCCCGGATCTGCACTTTTCTGTCCGAATTGCCCAGGACTCGATCTTCTTCGCCGCCGCCTGTGTGAAAATTCGTATCTGTATGAGCATTTGCCAGCACTGAACCTCAGGTTCAGCCGTATTGACCACCATCGATCGGATGTGGTGCGCTCTCAATTTGCGATGACGGTGAAACACGACTTCCATACCGTCGCCTTCTCTGATAACATTTCAGTATCCTCCCACTCCGTCCACCCTATGCTGCACGTTATATGCGTAGAATATGCAGAAGAACAATTTGAACGGAAAACACGCTGAGTCTTCAAAGCAGTACAGAACGTCGAGACTGACCGGGGAAAGAACGAAAAACGAACGCACCAGCATCGAGGCCCGCGAGTGAAATCTTTATTTCTGTGCGCACCCGGTTCTGATCCCATCGCACACCTGTTTCGGCTAAATTTTTCACACATTCATACTGTGCAGTGATTTTGGTACGGCTCAGCTTCAAGTGACGTCTGCTATTCCTGCATAGGCACCCTACGGCAGAACTAAACTTAGCACAATGGCTTAACGGGCCACTTACGTAAGAACCTTCTGCATTTGCCATTGTTCGATCGTCACGTTACTTTTTCATTGGGTTTTTTCTCGAGCTTCGAGACGCAAGAATTGACGGTTGATAAAAGTCGACGGTTTATCAGAGAAAACCCTGTGGAAGAAGCGTGTGAGGTGAACTCGAAACTAAACCGTTATATTACAACATCGCACAGAATATAGCATCATCGTAACGGCTTGAGTGCCTTCTGCATTTTCTTCTTTTCTTCAGGCTAGATCGGTCGCAACAGCTGGGTTGAAGCAAAAGAAAAAAAAAGCGGAATTTTGAGCGAAACACGATCCTGACGGACCTTAGTCTGGCTGGAATAAGGCTAGAGGACGGAAGCACCGTTCGTTCAGAAGATGCTTCGTGACCCATGTGACCCGTGTGACCGGTACAGAACAAAAGTAGTCGACAGCACTCAAAGCGGGGCGGGGGTAGGTACCAAAAAAATGGCGGAATGTTACGACAAGCACGTGCAGAACGAACGGTGCAGCGATTTTTTTTCAGGCAACGAGAATAATAGCTCAGAGCCGGAATGGAAGGAACATATGGACGCGAAGCATTTGAGGACCACGACGACCACGCGTCGTTTGTCAATTTTCGGAGCTTGTTTTTGTTTTGTTTACAACCTGCAAGCACTCCACACTTGAGCGCGGAATGCACAGAACCAACAGACTAATTCCCGGACCTGAAAGTAACGTCTAGAGCTCCGAAAGTGTCTATTTTGGTGTCATCTTTCTCGTAACTTGGGTTCCAATTCTTGTTCAAGAGCCGTCTTCCGTCGTATACCAATGCACTGGGCAATCCACAACACGCATGTATGGAATGCAAATCTCAGGTACCGAAAGGCGTAACCGCTGTCAACTTTACAATCCTTGCTTCTTCAGTTGAAACACTGGATAACCAGATCTTCAGAAGTAGTTGCCTCATAGTCCTTAATTAAACGAATTTAAAATTGTAGTCGTATCGAGCGAGGTCTATTTTACATACACTTACACATCTTCAAGTATCTTCTAACCGGTCTGATCTTTCAGTATCGCAAGCAGTCAACAATTGTGAGAGATTTGCAGGCTCCAAATTGGTCGGTACGAATCTTTCAATGACCGAAAATGCTGTAAATTTGGTTACGTGAAAATCGGCACCATTCTTCCGCACGATGACTTGCTTTTCTCACAGTGTATCCGCTATGACGCCCAACACGGCAGGACTCGAACTTGTGGTTCCTATCCACAATAGATTCCAGTCTCGCATACCTTTCGGTGGAGATGACTTTTTCTTGCAGTCGTCACACGCTCCATCCCATGCATGCGGAAGTCCGTTTGCTCTGCGGCACTCCCAGCTTCACAGGCACCATAGAGTCAGTCCTAAAACACCTACAAGGATAAGTCCAGCGGGTTTACTTTGCAAAAATGGGGGAATTAATGCAGAGATATTCCACGCGATGGAAATATCAGGAACCATCTTTAAAAGCCCAAGACTTACAGAAACGAAGATTGAATATGGACCGCTCCAGTGATAATGACTTTTGTCTTCGCTGTCTCAAAAATCATCAGTGATCGCTGTGTTTCTCTCTCTCTCTCTCATATCAATTAATCATGGAAAATTTCACAGCTCATCGCTTAGGTAAGCAACGGTGCTGTGTGCGAAAGATGCACGGAACGAAGGTTTTGAGCGAACACAGGACGAGAACCCGAACTTAAAGCATCCGTGCCGTATCCTTAAGAAACTGGATTGAAGTCCGATCTGGTTCAGGTTACGGTGCGAGAAACTAAATGCCGACACGATGGTACCATTGGGAGCTGAGGAACACAAGTGTTTGATCATGGCACCCCCAAGCACCTCCATTCTCTACCCAGAATAGTACATCCAGACAGAAATCGCGAGTTTATCCGAGGAGAATGACCCAACAAAACAACTAGTTCTTTCCAACAGATACCTTGAGATCATTCCGCCTTGGTGTTTCTTTCCTCTGAATGAGAAGGCCGTACCTTTTCACCATACCTGTAGTTCATCGAAATAGTCTATGCGACTCCCGTGATGCAATATGTGGCCTGCAACGTAATGCCGGATTTTGTCGTCTAGCCCTGGGTTCGCACACGAGACGACGCCAATGGTCCCGGTCGCGGCTTTGCAAAAAGAGCTCACGATTTCCTCCACATCGGGCTTGTATTTGTGCACCTGTATCTCTTGCGGCCACCAGTCCGCATATTCCTCGTTCAGCTGAGGTCTAGTAACGTAAACATGGATCTTTATATTTCTCTTCGCACCCTGCAAGCGCACTTTCTCACTGATCCTTGAAAATTCGTTCTGCATGGTTGCCAAAAAGGCTTCAGTTGGCACAATCCAGACAAAAGTGTAATTACCGGTTTCATCCATTTGGTCAGTAGCTTTGTTCAGGTAACTGAGCGGGCCTGGTAGTCCGGCACCGCTTGCGATCAACAGAGCGTTGTCGTAAGACGATAGTGAGGCCTCATGGCCGTATGGGCCCTCAATCGCAACCCTTAACGGGACTTTCGTACCATCTTGTGGCAAGGTCTCATACAGCTCCCGAGTAATCCCCCCCTTGGCCTTCACGATAACCTCCAAATTATCTTTACTTTTCATTAGCGTGAACGGATGCGACTGCCAGAACGAACTGCGGCCCAGAAAGTACAGAAATCCGTAGCATCCTGGAAAGAATTGAAATCGTGCGGACTCAACATGTGGCACGGTGATTTGGAAAAGCTCCTCCTGAACTGATATGCAGCGAGCGTAGGCGTTTCTGTAACCGCCAAAATTGAAAAAAAGACGCCAGAGTCGAATTGCCCGATCCCAAGCCCAAAATGCAACGGCTAGATATATCCATCCTAGCCATCCAAAAGTGGCACAATGTTTTAAGCATCCCGCTATGAAGACCAAGGCCATTATGATATGGACTGTCAGGAAAATCTCATATTGTTTGGCCTTAATTGAGTGAATCGAATGGAATATCAGTGCAGTGGCCGCCACTGTTGCCCAAGTTCCCCATCGCCAGTACTCGTAGTTGAAGAAGAAATACCAAAACGACATTCTTTCTCGAACCACCACAAACATCGTCCATAGCATCGAATGCGTAAAAGCGTAAAGTGTCATGGTACGTGCTGCCCACTTGTGAAAGAATATGAAACTGGAATATGGCACACCTGTGAGATTTAGAAGCGGATTATTTCTTCCTGCAAGAAGAATCGTCAGAGGAACTAAACCAAACGCTAGCCCACCACACCGATTGGCAACGCACCGTACCAGAAAGTAAAACTTGGTGTCCATGTTCGAACTTACCACTGGGAAATTGTAAAGTGCGATTACTGCGTTAATTGATAGGAAAACCGCTAGGGCTACAGCATCGCCTCTTGTGGGGAGCAACACTTTGTAAAAAGGAAAAGGTCGACTCTCGGTATGGTGCGTTGTACCGAAAATTGCTGGGACCAGAAGCTTGGACCTTACAGCACGTACAAATCTTGTGTTGCAAGAAGTGTAGCGAGCCCAAATCGCAAATAACACCAGAACTACAACACTACCATTGATCACCAGGTTGAAATTAAAAGCGGCACTCAGGTTGTAGAATGTGTAGTGGTAGTAGTTGTAAGTCGCAAAAATGTCGTCTTGAGACAATAACACTGGCGCTGAGTGAACTTTCTCGCCCACGTTGTGCGAGTCTCGCAAAAACTGCGTCCCGTTGCTCCAAATGTCCCAAATTTGGCTTTCCGAGAAATTCGTACCTGCCACGCCGTTACAATTACTTCTGTAGGTATTCAACCGGTCGACAAGACTTGTTGATTCGTTTTCTGTCAGTGACACATAACAATGCATGGCTGTCTGCATGAACGGCATATAACTGCCACAAGCCGTTGCATAGAAAGAAGCTTCTGGATCCTCTTCATGCGCCCAGTCCAAACGGCTTGTTTCCGAAATGCAAGCCAAGAGAGCTTGTAATGACTGCGAGATCGGATTAGTATGGAACGCTAGTCCTATAGCTCTCCATGTACTACTCATGGCCTTTCAACGCAAATTACACAATCTAACAGGCTGCTCATGCGCTCTAGGACAACAGCCTATACGGTCCATATATACAAACTGCAAATTTAAATAAAAGAAGAGAGCAAGACAGCTTGCCGCCTTACGCCAGTGGTATGGTGCTTTTATGTTTGTCGTGTCACAGTACGAACTTCATCAACAATTGCACCCGGTTAAATTATAAGTGTATGATTAATGAATGACATGTTATGATACTTAAACATAAATAGGCGTAAGGGATTTTCCGCTACGTGTTTTTTGGTTTATATCAATGACGGACAATAAAACATTTTAGCACAAGGCGATTACAGTGTGGTCGTCCATATCGCTAACCCGTTAACTACTCAAGTATATGGAAATGTCGTTGTTGAAATCTGCTTTAGTGTAGGAATAAATAAAATTTAACTAAGAATACAGTACAAGTTTTCTCGCAAAATTTATGATAGTAGAGAAAGCGGCTGGGTGACACAGGACCTTTAACGTGTGTTATCCATGAGGCTCGCGTGTATATCGGTTAATTTTGGGTTTTTGGGTGTGAATTTTCAAAAAAGGAAAAATATCGTGTAGTGTGTCGTCTTAGTCTAAACTTTCCAGGTCGTGTGTATTGGTAGTTGTGTGTATTTTTAAACGTTAAGATCATCGCATTGTGGTGATAAGTTTGGGAGTTGTAATGCCGGGAGGAAAGGGGATGGAAAAGAGATCCTGAGACCAGATTTTTCCTTTATTCTTTTATCGTCTCAGGGAAGGTATTGTGGTGGTGGAAAGCGTCGCTTACAATTGGTCCGCGTAAGGCAAGTTGCTCACGTCACCCACGGCAGCATAGCTGAATTTGCCAAGCTTGAAGTCCTTGACCTTGTCTAGGGAAACTTGTTGGACAAAAGGCTCGGTCTCGTTTTTCAAAGCCAAACGCAACGCAGTGGCGTCCTTGGCAACAGAGATGTCATGGGACTTCTTCAACGACGAAACAACTTTTTGGATGTTGTTGGAGACGGCAGTAGCGTCAGCGCCCGACACATAGAGGGAAAACAAGCCGGCGTTCGAGAAAGAGTCGAACTTCACTTTGGAGATCAATGGCGATAGATCCGACAAAGCAGACGACAAGTAGGTGGCCAAGACCTCGTAGGTAGCGAAATCGGCCTTGGCGACTGGAACGGCAATGGCAGCGACAGAGTCGCCTTCGCTGGATCTCAGACGGGTCTCACCAGTGTAGGTCTTAGGCGTGGCTTCCTTGGCCAATGAAGTGCCCTGGGGCAACGACGCAAATAAGGAGTCGTTGACGAAACGCTTGAGGTCGGCCTCATTGACACCCTGGCCGGAAATTTCGATGTTGTCGCGGGTGTACACCTTGTCAGCGTACGCTTTGATGTCGTCAAGCGTCACTTTCTGCACGCCGTCGTAAAGCACAGCGTTGCCGAGGTCATTACGGAACGTAGCGCTGTACAACAAGTTTTCGGAGATCTTGATAGGATTGGCTTCAACCTGAGCCAAATCGTATTTGGCAGCTGGAAGCACGGATTCTGGCAGCTCGTGGGGTCTGAAAGACGTCTTGTACACCACGTCACCCAAAGCAGAGACGTAATATGGCAGATCTTCCTTCAAAAACGTAGCCTTCAAAGTGATGAACTCACGGTCCACATTAGACCCAAAACGGCCTCCTAGAAGCTCCGATTCACGCACCAAACGCAATGCGGACTTGTTGCCGGTGTTGTGGAAGTTGAACCTCGACAGCAGATGTGCCACACCGTCTTTTGTTGCGTAACGAGAGCCACCGTGGACTCTGACAGCCAAAGTGGACACTTTGCTAGCGCTGTCTTTGGCAGAAATGTGGTATTGTCTAGCGGCGGCCAGCATTCTCATTCTGGAACCAATCATAGCGTTTGAACCTGCGTTTTAATAAGAATTTGAAGTTGAACAAACACAAACGTCAATGCCAGCAAAAACAACGATTCGAGAGAGATCTCTAAGAAACGATTTCAATCCTTATACTCACGCTTGCAGTTTCCAGAGTTCGATGGGACAATTTCGATATATAAAATCTTTCAGTATAGAGAGAAGCTTGATGAAATAATTAGGTAGGATAGAGGAAATAAAGCGATATGATTGGCGGAGAATTTCGATGAGCAATAACGGACAGAGAAGTGATGAAGTTGGGATATGATGAGTTTCAGTGTGAAAACCGAATTTCAGAGATTTTACAGAGTGTATTTTGAGGTTTTGAAGCGGATTTTTGATGTTTGTCTTGCATGACTGTGGGTGTGGGGCAAAAATCTGAGAAGATGGATAATAAGCCGATGAGGATAGAGTCTTGAACAGACGGGCATTCTTCGTGACTTTTCCATCACATTTGGATGTCCAAGTACAGTGTCGGAGAGTCGGGTCTCTCTTGAGAAGGAACCGAGCGATATAAGCATATCATTTACAACGAGTGTGTCATGTATGAAGCTTTCCTCTGTTAAGCGCATTTGGTCGTTATTAAGTGGATAACGTATTGCGAGTGGGGACAGTCCTTGATTCAAATCAGACTTCATCGGTTTTATTTTTTCGTAGGCAAAACGTCGCTCGCGCAGAAGTTGAAAGACTTGGCCAAACGTCCTAGAGGGTGAACTAACACTGTAAACTACACTGGAAAAATACACACAACATTACAGATCTTCTATACTCGATCATAGACTTGCTAAAAGTGTATATGACAGGAAATTACTATATCTAGAGTGCTCTCACGTGATTATTCTATAAAAGTGTTAGCGGTGCGGAGAGAGAGAGAGAGAGAGAGAGAGAGAGAGAGAGAGAGAGAGAGAGAGAGAGAACGTGCATTACGCCATCAACATCCTTTTCGCTGGGCCAAATACCAACCCTATACTTCTGAGCCACGATCCAAGTTCCCTTGACCGTTATCAGCCGGGCGTTGATGATTTGTATAATTGCGTTCAACAAAGGATCTCGATGGCAATATAGAGAGCTTCTTCGCAAGATGTACAGCACTAGCTTCTTCCTAACTTAAAACACGGTTTTTCATAGTTCGAAGTCCACCTCATTTCCATTTTTACCTGCAACACCAAAATTGTAGACATAACTAAGAATTGTCTTAACTCAGTCCTTTAAAAAATCTTAAAGGCCTACTTAATCAACTAAAAAGTCCTAATAAAACCTCTTAGCAATGCTTTCAAATGCTTGACCATTCTCAATGTTTTATCTTAACTTCGACACCAGTTGGCAATGTGGTGCCACGAAGGAATAAAGTGATCTGAAAATTTTGGTAGATACTTCAGATGCTTAAGCTCATCGCATAACTCTCGACAGATCAGTACACACTTGCAGAAGCTCCTTGAAACATTTATGGCTACCAATTCAACAACTCCAGAACTACCGAATGATACTGAACATCTATCGGGATCTGTAGCGTCATTGGAGGCCCGGGGTGCTAATCCTGAAAGGTTTCTCTATAAAGAGCTTTGCCGCACACATTTAGGAGAAAGAGCTTCTGCAATCATAGAACTTCTGGTTTCCAAAGGCCGTATGTCTGCCAGAGAATTGTGCGATCGGTCAGAGATGGATCTCAAAAGTGTCAAACGCATTTTGGTCTCATTGGTACAACTCCGTTGTGTGCAATATTGCAACGAAATTCATGCAGCATCAAACCGTTCTACGATATACTACTACTACTGCGAAGATGGGATGCTTTTGATGCTGTATGCCGGTGAAATCGTGGAAACAGTAAAAGAAGTTTTCAAGTCTGATCTGGCTTCGCAAATTGTGCAGAATGTTTTGGCTTTAGGATCATTAACCGTAAAAGCATATTTAAGTGCTGGTCTTTCAAGCGACTCACCAGCTCAAGTTTCTGCATTTTTCGTTAAATTGTGTGATGCTGGATTTTTGACTCCATTGACAGTAACTGACTACGCTACCACGAGAGACTTATGGGCTCGACTTTATGCTAAACAATACAATGCAATCCCCAAAACCTCTACGTTGTCGGACCTCAAGAAAAGAACAGAGGCCAAGCAAAAAGCAAAGGAACAATTCAACAAACTTCTTTGCCCACCAGATACATCAGCGCTCTTTCAAACGGATCCAGAAACTTCCATGAGAAAAGTCGTTGAATCTATACCGTTGGCACTAAACTTAAAAACCTACTTAAAAGTGAGAAGATCTAAACAATTGGTTCAATTATCTGCTGCAAGAGTAGGTGCCATACCCTCTGCTATCTACAAGATAGTCCTTCAGGTAACGGAACGACATGCACCAGACGTTATCGATCCGTTGACCAAAACCGGGCTTCTTCAAGATGCTGACGAGCAAGCAGCTATACGTGAAGATTTCATCTTTGCTGAGGAGAAGACACAAGGGACAAACATCAGCGCTACTGATATTGCCAGGCTTCTTCCCGATACGCTAGACCTGCGTGGAACTATCGTTTCTCAGATGAAAAGACCACGTTCTAACGGTAACGACTCGCAGCCTACGAAGAGGGTCAAGACCGAAGACGGTTTTGTAATCCCATCTTTACCTGCAAACCCAGGAGATGATGCCGAATTAGACAACGATGCCGCCCTGGATTTTGATGAAAACGATGACGATCCCCATTCTGTGATGTTAGTCAACGCTCATTTAAAACTACTCTCTACATCTGCTGTGCCTTTTCTCCATGAGTCTCAGCCGGGTCAGTATTTCGTACCATACTCAAAACTACTGCCGTTGCTAAAGTCCTGTGTCTACGAAACATTAATAAGCTACACTCTAGGAGCATCGGCCGCTCGAATACTGCGTTGCATATGTGATAATAAATTAGCATCTGAGAAGGTTATCAATGCAACCGCCCTCATGAAGGAAAAAGACATTAGATCTGTGATCGCTATTTTGATAAAATATAGCGCAGTGGAAATTCAAGAAGTGCCACGAACTGCTGATAGAGCCGCGTCCAGGTCAGTTTTCCTCTTCCGTAATAACGAAAAGCATGCCTACGAGTTCATGCTCAAAAACCTAACCTGGAACATCGCTAACCTGTACCACAAAATAGAAGATCTCAAAAATGAGAACTCAACGCTGCTGAAAAAAGCAAATCGTGATGACGTCAAGGGAAAGGAAGTTGAACTACTACTACCCAGCGAGCTTAATCAACTGAAAATGGTCAATGAACGTGAGCTAAATGGTCTTACCAGATGTTCAAGACTTCTTTCTCTATGGGAAGTGTTCAAGTTTTTCTGATATAGAACGTCCTAAATAGATTGTAACACGTTATTTCTCAAAAGCAACTCGCGAGCTTGGATATAGCCTTTGTATTCCAAGGACAAAGGAATAAGCCTCTTTGAATTTTTGAAACATTGCCTAAGGCACAATAGTAATCGCTCATATTTTGGGCACTCACCTTGTTTTGCCCATCTGAAGAAACACGCAGTCTGACCTTTTTGTCCAACGTTTGCCAAGAGTTCGGGTCATTAGGGAACAAAAATGCTGTTCTCTGCCATATAGCCATCGTTTGTGTATCCCCACGTACCCGTTCTTCCACTTTACTGATTAGGAAAGGAATGTCGCGGTGCCTGTCAAGGACGATTGACTCCAGAGGTAGGCTTTTTAGTTCAGATAGAATCATGCGCATGTCTTCTACCCTTCCTTCTAAAATTGACATTGCAGAAATAGTTAAAGTCACTACCAGATCTTGTCCGTGCTCGCTGACATAGTCCACAAGCTCTTTGAAAGCGACATCACGGGTCTCCTCGGAGTCAATACTGTAAAGTACCTTCGAAATCATTATAACAAGATCTTTAGATTCACTGGATTTCGCTAAAATGCTTTTGAACTGTTCCACAGCCTGATCGAAGGCGTCCGAAAAGAGATAAGCCAGTCCCATAACAGCATGATTCGAAATGACCGATTTTTTGGCTCTTTCGTTGTCATATTCACTTAGAATACCCTGGGCTAAATCCGCACTCTCAAGCGCAGAATCAAACATTTGGGATCCCAGATATACACGAGCCATCTGCGATTTGATCACAGCAAAGTTGAAAAGCTCCGAGTCATCTTGAAGTTTCTCGAAACGTCTCTCCAAGATATCAAGCAAGCGGTCTGAAAGAGCTCGAGCAGCTTCAAAATGATGCAGCCTCTCAAATGCCAATATAGCGCACTGTAGAGCGAATTTGTCGACTGGATTCTTTTTCAAGTATTCATCCAAACCATATGCAACCGCGCTCAGATCCTGAGTTGCCCCAACGTCTCTCGCGTCGTCTCCGTTTCCAATTCGCATGTTGAGAACACTTTTCGCGTAAAGAATTTGAGCCGCACTTGACTTGCCATTTGAGAGTACGAATGAGTGGGCAAAAAGCCTGCTGGTTTCTTCTGTAAAACCGCTCTTTTCAGATACTAGAGCAAGGCCGAGCCATGGTGTAGAATCCTGAGGGGCAATGCTCTGTGATTTCATAAGAACGTCTTTTGCAAAGGCGACGTCATTATACTTCAACGCCAAAACAGCCATGCCGAACCAAACGCTCGTATCCCTTGGTCCCAACGCAGCTGCTTTGATAAAGCAATGTTGAGCTACTCGGTAATTCAGGTCTATGGAAGCGATGCCAAATCCTATCCATGCTTCAGCGGTGTTCGATTGAAACTCAATAGACTTTTTGAAGCTTACAATAGCGGCGTCTCTGTATGTGCTTGATTTCAAGATAACAAAAGCCACCAATTCTACTACTCCTAAGTTGTACCATAGAGAAGCACGCACTGTCCGTGAAAGTCTTTCGTAATCATTGGAGGCCAATGAATATTTGACCGATAAAATCAAAAATTTTGCAGCGATCACCACATTGTCTTGCTCGAGATCAGAAAGAAGCGAAGCGTAAATGACGCCATCGATTGAATCGATTTCTTTGGTGTTTTTGGGTTCGAGACTATCAAATATGTTGACCAGGCTTTCCAAGGGTAACCTATGGATCTGAGACTGTACTGAGCAAAATAATTTCAAAGCCTTAGACAAGACCATCCACACGGCTTGACTGCCGGAAGAAATTTGTAGAATAATGGTCTCAACATGTTGCACAACTTCGGCAGCAGCGGCTATTGATTGAATGAGGTAACCTTGTAAATGTAAAACTCTTGCATGCTCAATCAGGATTTCAACTAATGTGACTTGATAGTGCTCCTCAGTTGGGTGGGTTTTTGTGAGCACTCGAAGTACCTCCAAGCTTTCTTCATATTGTCCCATTTTGGACGACGCGAGGGCTTTGAAATATAAAGCATGCGGGTTGCCAGGTTCTACCTCAAGAGCTTTGTCGAACACCTTTAGTGAAGCTTCGACCCTGCCACAAGAGTGATAAGCCTGTCCAAGGCCAATCCAGGACTCCAGATCTGAAGAGTCGACACGTAAAGCAGACTGAAACCACTCAATTGAGTCTGCGTCAGATTGTTTTTCAAGGCACGCAATACCAAGAACACGGTACGGCCAATTAACATTCTGCAGAGCTCTCTTAGACTTTTCCGCCTGGACAACTCGTTCCGCGATCAATGCCGCCGACGACCAGTTCGATAAGCTGCAGTACTGCTCGCACATGTATTTTCCAGCAGTAAGATCGCTAGGATCCAGTTCAAAGGCCTTAAAATAGCACTTGAACGCTCTTGTTGGGTCCTCGTAATATTGGGAGTAGAGATCACCAAGAGTAGAGTAACCAGGGGCAAAAGTGTCGCTCACTTTGATTGACTGGACCAATTGCTTGAAGGCAAGTTTTACATCTTGAGAGGCTGGGTCTCTGTCCGTGCTATTATCTTTGTCGATGAGAGCTTTTGCTATTCTCCAGTGATTCAAAGATCTGAATTTAAGAGCTTTCAAGTCCGTACCCTCAAAATTGTTCAAAATATGCTTAAACTTCTCGATTGCGATATCTTGGTTGCCCAGATTGAGTTCGCTCCATCCGAGTTCGGAGAGAACTTCATAGTTATCAGGATAGCGCTCAGACACATCCTTCAGGAGATCGTAGGATTCCTTCCAGTCACGTCTTTCTATGGCTATCAGCCCTTTACCCATTTTAGCATTGACGTTGTCAGCGTCTTCTGAAAGTACCTTTTCGAATAACGCAAGTGCCGTCGGATGGTTCTTGGGAGCCTCGAAGTATGTATAAGTAGTCGCCAAATCCAGCGTTAATTCCTTCTTAGAATTGCTCAAGTGAGCGCCCAAACCTTTAACACTTTGCGCACATAGGATTGTACCGGCTTTGACATACTGTAAAGCGTGTTCATACTCATGCATGGATAAGTAGTAATGCGAAACTACACGATGAGCCAAAATGCTTTGTTGGGTTTTCTTGATGTTTTCTGTGAGCGAGAGTAAGACCTCATCCTCAGATAGTCCTGAAGACGGATCTTCTAGCCCTGGATCAACCAGTTGTTCAAGCCTTTGTTTTTCAGATTCGTCCACTTCATCGTCAATCAAATCCATTACAACATTCGATGAGGAGGACCCATTGGTGTTTTCTTCCTGAAACGTCTTTGCATAAAAGTCTTTAGAGTTGTAAATGGACAGGTCTGAAGATACCCAAGCGTACAGTACTGCTGCCAATGGCTCGCGAGGGAACTTTTTCATGAACCTAGAAATTATGTTGATATCCATACCATTAAGATCCGAATAGTCTTGCCATTCAAAGTAAAGCTGCCATGCCAGTAAAAACTCGTGATCCACAATAACCATATCTTCCACCATTCCCTTAACTTTGGAGAAAAATAGAGATTTCATGTTTGCTGGCATTGACTTTAATACCTTCAGTCTATATTCCAACCACTTGGCTTCGTTGCTGCGTCGTTGTTCATCATCATCCGTAACGTTAATTAGTTGCTGGTAAAGGTCGTCCACCTCTGAGTCCTTGTAGACTTCCCATGCGATAGAGTTAACTTTCAAATCGTAATCTGGCTGATTGGCGCTAATTTTCAATCGCTCTCGACTTACCAGCTTCGAAACTTTTTGCTGCTCTGTAGACCTGACTATATTGAGCAGTCCTTGTAGTGCATCGCTGGGCGAAATCAAGTAGCGGGACAATAGCTCAGCTGTTGGAGTTCCCGGCCGCATATGACGCAAGTACGACTCCTGAGAGTCTCTATAATAGTTTTTGAAATTTCGAATGTCACTTATAAGGTCTGTCAATGGCAGCTGTTGGTGCAAAAGAAGCTCGGCGTACTTCCCACACAGGTTAAAGTACTCGTCGAATGATACAACCGTTGGAGCAATGTTGCTTAGCTTGAAAAGTACAAAAAGACCCTTCCAAGCCAGCACATTGTCTGGATCTAGATCAATTGCGGTTAAATAGTGAGCTTTCGATTCTTCGAGTTCATCGATGCAGGAAAGAGCTTTACCCAAAAAAACGTGGGCGAAATAACAGTTTTTATCGATTTTCAGAGCCTCTTTAGCGCTTTCAATGCAGTATTCGTAGTCTTGACTATCCAAGTAGCTCTTGGCGTCCTTGAGATGCTGTTTTAAGCTCGCCATGGGGAAGATTCAGGTATCTTTTAGCTCCTGGTCTGGTATTTCTTTCACTTGTCAAGCTAGTGTGAGCTCGGTAGCCAATTCAGTTAATGTCATATTAGCAGATCTAGATCACGTGACTATTAATTAACCAAAGTTTACCAGTAGGTACTACATATTAAGGACGGGAACCACGATATCGATATTGTTTCTAGCTGGTATCATCCTGTAGTGAATATAAAGTTCTCTTTGAAAAGCCTTTTGCGATAGTCTGGTGGATTTTTTGAGACATAAATAATTGTGTCAATATAGTACAGAGTGATATTGGTATCATGGATAAGAAAGATCGGACAATTGATCAGACCTCTGTAGATTGCTAGGTCTTTACGTATACAAATCGCAGTATTTACTCTCGAAGGGACCCCAGAAATCGATTACAGCTCGAAATCAATGTTCTCATACTGTCAACATTAAAAGACTGCAATACATACACTTCCGCCTAAACCAATACTGCAAAAGAACTATCCAAATAAATTTCCCACAAATGCTTCATGAACATCAAACAAATACACTCAAGTAAGTGAAGCATCTTCGTTTAAAGCTTCCAAGAACGATAAACAGACCGCGTCACTGGCGTGAAAAATGATATAAAGTCGGATCTGAATACTGTGTGTTTAGATATATGTGCCATATGTACACATCACCAGTTCTCGATGAGTAGTCCAGTCTCTAGACGCTAGCCACATATCAAGATGGAACGCAGTGAGTCTGCGTCCTTTTCTCAATTTTCCAATGACCAAATTCAGAAAATAAGAGATGTGTTTCAATTCATAGACGACGGTGGTGACGGTAAGATTTCCAAATCTGATTTGCTCAAAACGTATGCAAACCTTGGGAAAAATGGCATGGAGTCGCAGGTTGAGGAGATGCTGGCTAGTGAGAAAGTGACAGAATTGAGTTTCCCGGAGTTTCTGACACTAATTGGTGGGAAATTAACGGAATTCCCCGATGAGCAAGAAATGGCAGACGCTTTGCGGGCGTTCGATCGCGATGGGACCAATGAACTCAATGCTGATGTAATTGATTTGAGACAAAACTTGAGAGACGCCGGGTTTGAAAATACTGCGGTCCTCGAAGCAATCTTGAAGCAGTTTTCCACCGCTCAGCTATCCGGAGAACGAATTTTTAAAGGCAGGAAATTTCTCGATACCGTGGAATGAAACGGATGGCATGAAGAAGAAGACAAGAGGAGCAGAAACTGAGGAAATTGACGGCCGCTGGTGTCACTCGTCGAAATAGTATGAGTTTTCTGCTGGTCAGTGATTCCCCATTCCATTAAAGACAGCACCCCGGTTCTCTATAGTTCCTGCTTTCACAGTCTTGATTCAATGCAATATTCAAAGACTTGCGTCCGCTAGGTCCCACAAGACTCAACCTGGTCTGCTTTGTCTCATTCTGGCTTGCCAATTAAGATTCGTCTCAACTTTAAGTTTCCACCGCCTGGAGTTCGGGCGTCGAATTTCTTCCACAGCTGATCTGTATGCATTATCATTTTTTTATGTGTTTATTTAGGCTCCTTTTCGATATTGTACATGGCGAGCTAAGCTTCAACGTATATTCTTTTTTGTTACAACCTCACATGCGCGTTGTCTATCCAGTTTCCGCTCACAGGTCGACAATGAGTTCCTCCACACTCCAGTCCTCGAAAGAACCGTCTGGAAGGTATCTCCTTATGACCAAAGGTATTTTCTTCTCTGCCAGTTCTTTCATCGCGATTCTCAACGGGTCTGTCTCACCTTCGAGATCAACGAATACTGGGGCGTTCATCGAGATTTGCAATGCCCTGGTACCCAAAATACGAGCTCTTTCGTATTTCGTCATGTATGGAGTTGTGGTTCTTTCGTCTTTGGGAATGGCCTTTTCTCTCAGTGTTCTTCTTCTGTTGCTTTCTTGCTGCTGCTGGAAGTCATCGGCATTCAATCCTCCTGCAATGATGGTTTTCCCATTTTCGTCCTTTGTCTCGCCATCTTTGAATGCCTCTGGTGCATCGTAAACTTCGGCATCCGAAAAGTGATCGTTGTCGAAGTCCTCAAAGTGTTCTGGTCCGTCGTTGAACCTGTAAAGAATAACATATTCAGGTTAATAAAATGAAACAATTAAGGCCTTTGAACGAGCTCTGAAAGCCCCGAAACAATTCCTGAGAATTTACTCACGAATTCCAATCAACGGTCAACATACGCTTCCTCGTAATCTGACATTTCGAACGCAGTCTTTAGGACTTGTCGAGGTTTGTCGATTTCGATGCCGATCGATTCTTTAATGTTCAATATTGAAAAGTTTTTTCAACTGGCATCGAGTAGAGTATTGAGTAGAGAAAAATATTGACCAGAAGATCGCCTAGCTGGCACGATGTTTTGCCAAGAAAAATCGAGATTTCACCAAAAGCGAAGCTGACTTAAATCAACTTTGATTCAATAGGTTCGGTTTGGTATTGAGTTTCAACATTTGTGAGAGTGTTTTAGTAATCGATGCCCTTTGCGAAACCTGTAATGAGGTCCACTCGGTGTCTATAGAATTAAAGACATTCCGGTCCAGTTAAGCGAGAAAAGTAACTGGTTCCGAATGCTCAAGCTGTAAGTTATACGTGAGCATTAGTTAGCTGCCGCAGAAAGGCTTTCTATCTCTATTTTTGATCGATATCTACCTGATGATCTAGTCGTTTTTCTAGTTGCTGTTTCGTGGAAAATTCATGATATACAGCTGACATCTCATCTCATCTCATCTCGATAAAGCTAGCTCATCGCTGGAAGACAAGCTGAGAACAACGAAGACTGCGGGGGCATTAGCTTGTCATGAAAGATAGCCAAGATCCGTATGCCGGTGATCTCCCGTTTGGCGAAATAGCAACCCAAACGCCGATTCTGACGGCCAAAACACTGGAAGAAAATGAAGAAGTTATCACTTCCAAAGTGAATGACCGGAAAGCCGACTTGGATGCCGATTTGGGCTCTGAATCGGGCTTCAGCACGTCTTCAAGTGCTAGTAGGCCCAAAACGTGGATATGCGAATATGAGGGCTGCAACAAGGCCTTTTCAAGACCATCACAGCTAACGGAACATCAAGAAACTGTTCACAGGGGAATAAAGGCTTTTCGATGTCCCCACTGCGACCAAAGCTTTAGTCGCAAGTCTCATTTAGAAAGACATCTTTTTTCACACTCGGAGGAAAAACCGTATCACTGTTCTGTGTGCAACAAGGGGGTCACTACTAAGCAACAACTACGCAGACATGAAATTACTCACACCAAATCCTTCAAATGTCCCTACGATAACTGCGATGAAAGTTTTCACAAACACCCACAACTTAGGTCTCACATTCTATCAGCACATCTGCAAAAACTGACTTGTGAACACTGCGGTAAAAAGTTTCAGCGTCCTTACCGGCTTAAAGCGCATTTAAATAAACATCATAATCCTGACGCCGTGTTCAAATATCAGTGCACCCACAGTTCGTGTTTACAATCCTTCAAGACGTGGACTGCATTGCAACAACACATAAAGGAGCACCATCCAAAGCTTTCATGCCCAATATGTAACAGGGCCTGTGTCGGGGAATCAGGTCTGGCCATGCACATGAAGATACACGACACGACAACGGTCATAAAAAATTGGAAATGCGAGCGCTGCCCAGATTTATTTTTTGCCAAGAAAACGGATTTAGTTGCGCATTACATGGAATTCCATAGAGAGCTGGTCTCGGATTTGCTGGCAAACGAAGAGACATGCAGTAAACCGCACGATACCAAACAGCCGATTCCAGAATTCACTAAACCAAAACGACGCTCAAAGTCAGGAGCACATCCTCAGGAATCTGAACTGGAGTCTATACAAACCGAGGTGACTTTACGCAAGTATTTGGAGACAGGAAATTCTACAATCTCATTGCTGCATCATTCCGCTGGCAGGAAGCTACAGTGCTCTTATCCGAAATGTTATAGAACATTCAAGACTCAGGAAAGGTACGATTTACACATTCAGAAACACAAGATTCATGAGCTGAAGCTTAAAATTCTACAGGGACGAGAATCTGAAATAATACCAACGGATGCAGACATGGCTCAATCAGCAGGGGAAGAACATAGTTAAACTGGCCATATACGCCATACGTTAATGAGTATGTACAGAAATCTCGGATCAGATTATTAAAAAAAAAAAACGAAACGATGATAAGTAGTGTATCATAAGATCATGTTTAGTAAATAATTGGTTGTTTCACTCAAGCGCCATCAAGTTAACGAATAATTTTCTTTCTGCAGACCTAAAATTGCGTCTTACTTAGAAAGATTCATATCGCTCATAAAAAACAGCAATTCATCATCTTCTTCAGTATGGTTCAAACAGTCATCCTTCTTAGGTTCAACCTCTGCGTTGTGTGACTCCGGAGATGTTGCTACAACAGCTTTGTGTAATTTTGCGTGCGCTGGTGTAGCCATGGTTGTAGGTCCAGAGAAATTGGCCACAGATTTGAAAGGCAACTGATTTTTGTTAAACGAACTCGAAACGCTGCGCATTGAACCAGGCGACGTAGAGCGATTTCTAATAGAGAGCGTTTGGTTGTTGTACGTGGATCGTCCGATCAATAAATCATCGTCCTCGTCCTCATCTGCAATAGCACTATCCCGAAAAGTTCCTCTAGGAGCGTTAGCTAGGCTCTCGTTGAGGTTATAACCTAGTGAGCCTTGTCTATCGGCAGAGCTCCTCCTGCTAGAATACTCGTCGAGAATATCTCTTTGATAGGAGTTAGAGCGACTTTGAGAAAGTCTCATCGGAATAGAAGAATATTGCATGGACGGTGAAAACGACGAGTTGGGAGAGTGCGAATTGGACCTCGATCTGCTTCTCTGCTGGCCGACCGGCGGCCGTTCCAGAGACATCGACATCGATAGGTCAGTGCTTAAATTATTGTTCGTATTTCGCATGCCTTGAAACTTTAAGAGTGAGCTTGCCATGTCAAGAGTGGTAGCTCTGTCATTAATTTTGGATTTGAGCTCCTTTCTGTCGTCCAGGAGTTTCATAAATTCCAAAAGGTCACCAGATGATGATTCATTTGGTTTGGAAGGCTTTTGAGGCCTTTCGACGCTGTCTGATCTTCTTACACTCGAGTGACGGCGCAGGCGGCCAAACGAAGAAGAGTATTTAGAAACGCTGCCGCTTCCTATACTGGAAGGCTCTAAGTGTAACTCATGCAATGGATTTGAGCCCGTCGTAATGGAGCCATTACTGGATCTTTGTGCTCGAAGTGCGGCGACAACCGAAGTACTGGAAGGATTCCTGCTTAAGCTGTTTCCCTGAATGACTTGTGGAATGGAACCACTTCCGACAGAACCTGCCTTAAATGGCTGAAGTTGGCGTGTGAAAGCAGTTTTAGGTTTTTGAGGTGATTGATCCACCATGAGGTTGGGGCTTATATTAGTGTTAGGTGACACTGAGATCGATCGCTGGCTATTCATGGACACCCTTCTGAGCGAGGAATTGGTAGCCGCAGGCAAAGAATTATGCATTTGGCGCTGAGCTAAAGCAGTATTACCAAACTCGTTTACGAAATATTCTTCATTATCATTGACTTGAAAGTCTGAGTCCCGTCTGTACGATACAGATATTCTGAGAGAACCGTATTTGGTTAGGATGGGTGTGATTTTGCGCTGCTCAAGATGTGCTGGCAAAGCCGTTTCGTTGACCACATTGGAATAAGTGGCGATGAGAGGTTTGCTGAGACCGATTCTGCCCTTGGAGACGATAGGTTTGGTTCCATCCAACACACGCGTTCCTACGTTCACAGGGTAGGTGCCCCCAGATGTTGTGACTGGTTTGGACAGTCGAAGATGCAGATCGTTGGCCGGTAGCAAACCCACCAATGTGTATAGGTATCGAAACAGTAGGATCAGTTGCCGGTAAATTTCTTCATTCGAGGCGTAGGGCTCACCGCCACCAATGGGGGGGCTATTTGCCTCCGTTGTTTCCGAGCGCCGTTCTGTGTCATTATCCAGCTGTATCAGCCACCGTTCCAATACAATTTCTGACTTTCTAGTGCCCTTGCATACGTTCCAAGGGTTTCCATCTTGGTCCCGCAAGATAATGGATTGCGACGGGCTCAAATGTGTCAAATCGAGATATGTCTCTATAACAAGCGGTGGTACGGTTCTGGAACCATCAAACGAAATCCAGGGTCCTATTTCACGTTCCAAAGCAGCATTCCCCAGTGTTTCGATGTTGAACCAGTTATTTGTGTTTGTGGCGTTCTCTGTAGCTGGCCGACCCCTGTAATGCTTCGATTGGCATAACAGCAGCGCCGCCTTAAGAAAGAACTTATTTACCAGCTCCCAAAGCTCTCTATCCATGCTTGAACCTGTCTTGTCACAATGGATCCCACAATGTTCATTTGATGTCAGTTTGAACCCGTAAAACCCGCTAAAAGAAGGCTGATTTCACACTTTTTTCACGCTTTCAGTTTTCCTAAGGCTTTCCAGGGCCGCTTTTCACGATTGCAGCAGCCTAAAACTGAGATCTGGGCCCGTTGTCGCTGGGATTCCGGTGTTAGGCTCAGTGGTGTTCAACTAAAAAGGATTTGGTTCAGGTTAATCATTATGACTATTATCATTATTATATAGGGCTTAAACCCTAAGCTTAATACCTTAGGGCTTAACGACTAGGGCTGAGAAACGAATCTTGAGACAACGACCTGGGCACGTGCTGATTGTGAACCCAACGACACATCATAATAAAACGATAAGTTGTGCACGCCTGCTATGGAGATTCTAAGATCAAAGAAGAGCTGTCATGAATTGGTATGGAATTTATACATGGATGTGCCATGCGTCTCTGTAAATAGCATGAAAACAAAACGGATTGAGACAAGAATCTATAGCACGTGATCAAAGCTGAGGAACTGTAGTTGCCAAAATCATAGTTGTGTGGTGCCGACAGCTTCATGAAACATACACTACAATGCACCCGTGTACTAACAGACTTTGCTAACAGCAGGCTGGTAGCAGTTTCATTGGTATTTCATGCTAACACATTTTCAAAATGCTTGGTTCGTATAACACTATAAAGCCCCCAACCATTTGAGTTGTCGGCTATCTCTAAGAAAACTGCTCAAGTCCAGTCAGCGGTATGCTGGAACAAAGATGAGTGTGTTGTTCACTCACTAACTCACTTTAGAACCAAGATTCATTCTTGTTAAACCTTAATAAAATACCAGTCATTGTTTTTATCTAAAAAACTGTCCGTAAATGGGCACCCGCTAAATCCATCCGACTTACTTGATACCCTTTTTTTCCGCATTCCACAAATCGTAAAAGAAGTCCAAGGTACAGCCTGTACTCCAAGCTTGAGAAGGACTACTATCACCGCAGAAAGCACCGTCTTTGTTAGTCAGTTCAGTGAGACCTGCCCAAGGACTTTCAAAAATTGCATGTTTTTGACCATCAAGTCGAGTGTACAGTTGCTGCAGTAGGTAAGAGGACGGATGAAAACCGTCTTTGCTGCGACAATGTGGGTCAGCTATCGAACTGAAGTAGTAATACGCACGCATAAAGTAACCGTACAACCACACCCATTCAGGTCCTTGATGGTAATTCCGCCCCTTAGATGTGGCAAAGTCATCGGAATCTTCGCCGTTGTTATAGTAAGGACGGTAGTTATAGTCACTTGGGTCCAAGGTACGCATACCCACAGGACCGCGAATGATAGCGTCCGCGTTCCTCAACGCCGTCAGAGCATTCTCAGCTGTAAACAGCTCTGGTGCAACTGTCATTGCTATCGCAAAATTGGGCCTCAACTGATAATCTTCATAATCCTTCCCAGATTTGTAAAGATCCTTATAGATACCACGACGATTCACCAAAGTTGGATCTATGTCAAATTTTTCGTCGTCCGACTGGTCCTTCGGAACATAGAACTTGCGTTCGAAGTTAAGTTGCACCAAATTGTCCCAATCAGCAAATGTGATCTTGCTACCATCGGACCTCTTTACGTCAGATCTCTTGAAAAGCCCCTTTTCTTGCAGTTGGATGATGAATCTTAAAGCACTCTTCAAAAGACCATTGATCTCAACAGCTGCACCATCACGAGGAGTTCCAGGCACACCACTTGAACCGGCCTTGTCGCTTTCTCCCATCTTATCCATCCACGTTCCGCAATTGTATTGTGATCCGCCGTGAATAAGACCAGTGTCCCAATGGACTTTGACTTCTACGTTGAATCCTTTATCAGACATAACCCTGTCCAAGTTCGGCCCGGCATTCGCCTCACGATAGGTAATACCACGGGCGTGTCTTGCCAGAATTTCATAAACGACCTCTTCGATTGTAGACTCGTAGGAAAATGCTCGAGGGTCATCCTCTGGAACATAAGTGTCATCTAGTGGAAAGCGTCTTGTGACCCTTTCCTTTAGAATTTTGCTGCCTTCTGGCACAATGTTGACATAATCTTGAATAGACTGTAGGAAGAACCAAGCGGCGTCACGAGCATTATAGCGTGGATTTCTGCCTGCGTCCAAAAGATTTGGAATCAATCCATGCTTGAGAGTTTTAGCGAAGGCCAGAATGTGTTCTTTTGCATCGTCATAGCGTCCTGTTGTAAGTAGGAGGCCTCTCAATGAAATGAAAACGTCCCTCCCCCAGCACCGCATGTAGTTCGTCGCAAAATGAGGAAGACCAGCTGCCATACAGGGAACTTTCTCATCGGGCAAGAGGGAAGTGGATTGCATTTTGGAAACCATCTGGAGCGATGTTAAGGCCAAACTTTGCACGAATCTTGTAGAGTCCCCTACATTTTCTGACAGTAGTCTCAATGCTCTAAACCGACATACTTGATAGGCTGTGCCGATAACAAGTGCGAAGTACGTTGGAACCAGAAACGAAGGAAGTTGCCTCACTCTGTTAAGCCGAGAAGCAAGCCACTCCTGCATCTCGGCAACGCCCCCTTGTCTATCCTTGTATATGTCGAGTCTTTGAACAACATAATCCAAAGCCCAATGACCAGAACGCAAATGCTCACTGAGAGGATGCGCGAGATCGTTGTTAAAAACTATGCTTCTCAATACCGAGACCCATCCTTGCAGACCGCAGTATGTTAGGGTTCCATAGTTTGGCACATTGTATGAGCCAACTGTTCCCGAACTTAGATCGCGCTCCTCTGCATCACAGCGATACAACAAGGAATTGAGAGAGTATAAATCCAATTTTTCGGAAGCCTTCAAAGCTCCAGAACGCAAAAATCCTAATAACGTATCGTCGATGCCATTCTGCTGTGTTTTGAAGACAGCAATAGAACCGGGCGGGAACTCACCACTTATCTCAATATAAGACTCTTTTGCACCGTCATTATAGTTGACAAGAAAATCTGTCAATGCTTGAAGTTTTGTAGGAATACCTTTAATGACCTTGTCATCCTGAATAACATCTCCGGTTTTCACGAGTGAGTATGCAAAGTCTAGCTCGCAGCGAGAGCCACTAAAGATTATTTTAGGCAATTTCTGTTCTCCAACATTTTCATTGAATTTTGTACGCGCAATCAAAAACCATCCCTTACCCGTTTTAGCATTGTTCCTCTGAAAAGTTATGAACTGACCGTCGTGATGAACGTGCATTTCAGAGTCCTCTATCTCGGCACTACCGTCAGCAATTTCCGCTCTTATCCTGTTAAGACGTGTTTTAACTTCTGATATGCCCGAATCGCCGTTTACCTCATAGGTTCTTGATTCTCCAACGACATCAAGTAAATATGGGAAACATTCATCGTACCCATAGACAGACCCGACGGCTGAAGAGCAAAAACTTACCAAAGCAGCATTGGGCAAAGTATCCTCTACGGTTCTTCTCTGGAACGGGGTCTCATTGTCATGCGTACAGTCCATAAATAAAGCATGAGGCGGCGTTGCGGTCAAAATTTTCGGGATGTTCACTTCGAGGTTAGCGCCAGACTTACTCTCGTTGGAGTCAAGTTTATGGGCGTCTGATGGGTAGGCAAAATCATCTAGAGGAAGAAACTTGAAGGAGCCAATCGGCCTTCCTCCATGCCTGTGAACCAGCCTTGACAATTCTTCTTCTGACCATGCCTGCATTGCCTCTCTTACCAAAGAAGAGATACCAAGCCTTTCCACAAACAGACAGTCCATTGATTCAGATCCCGAAAATAATTCTGCAACGACATACAAATTTGGATTATGCTTACGAGCCAGATCCAGATAATATTCTCCGACGTGCAAAGGCGTGGAGTGGCAATTATCGATCCTGAAGCCATCAAAAAGTTTGGCACTAGTCTCCACGTATTTCGACATTCTCTCCCAAAGATATGGGGAGTCTTCGGGTTTTGAACCATACCTCAGTTTCACGCAATCACCCCAAACAATCACTTCCCGTCTGAGATATGCTTTGGATTGATTGGAGGCAAAGTCCACCAATGGATCGCCATTCCAGATCCATCCATTGTTTGCGAGAGCATAATCTTCACCGTCCTTTCCTGTGAAACGTGTGAAATAAGGTTCAATCAATGGGGATTTTGAAGTGATTGTGCCTAGTTGGGGACCATGCACGTCAATACGCATGTATTTTATGCGGTTGAATAACTGCTCTAAGATGTCTCCCACATCGTCATCGTATTCCCGGTAAAGTGGCAGGTTCAGCTCGTCAATGATCTTGCGAGCCTCCTCTGTGACTCGGTCGTTGAGCGTCTGGCCGAAGAGGGACTTCAAGATCGTCACAAATTTAGTACTGTCAAGTCTATTGGAAAACCGCTCCCCCAATTGACCAAAACCTTCCGCAGAAGAATGATCGCGAACAAACGCAGATAACTCTACTAGATCATTCTTGACATTGTTCGGAATTTCTATGGTTTCATTCGAAATTACATCCCAATCGGATTCGACGGCTTCTATTGCAGAAGTGGAATCAACCACGTAAAACTCCCAAAGTTTCAAACCAGCCAGAACGTGCGCTTTAATTCCATCCATGATCGCAAACAGATCTTTAGTGGTATGCAAATCCACTGGAAGTTTGAGCTTGGAAAGATTATCGCTAAATTCAAGAAGGGAGGCATCTAATTCAATCGCACTTGTGAGATGAGGCGCCGTCTTGTGGTTATAGCCTGAATCTGGATGTTCAACAAGCCAAGAGGAGTTGTTCGCGGTGTGGTTGAAAACGACATCCGTCAACGTAAGGATGCCGTGCTTTTGATGCAAGCTATCGACCATCTTTTGAACGTCTTGCACGTTGTCTGGGAAATAGGTTGGGTCAAATTGGAGTTGATCGTAAATAGAATAAGGTGAGTTGGATTCACCTCTTTTCTGCAACGGAGTAAAATGTATCATGTTGTATCCTTTTGAAGCGATTTTCTCAAAAACAGGATCCCAATCGGACCCCATCCATTTGGAAATGACGCTTTCCATAGCAATTGAATTTAGAGGCACATACTTCCCAGAGACATATAGATTTGGCGGAGACACAAAATAGAATCTCCGCGTGGTCTCTAGCTCGTCATGTTCGTTCTTGAACGAGAAATAGAAACTGAAAGCCCCCGGTGCGAATACTTCGATTTCAACGTGCGAATCTTGGTGAAATGTGGCATTTATCTTCTTTTTGGTAAATTTGTCGCGCACGAATGGAGCTCCACTGCTCACGGGACAGTTGGTCCACACCAATCCATCGCGTGCCAGTGGTGATCCGCCGGCAATGACTAATTTTATTGTAAATAGCGGTTGGGAGCCATCGTAACTATCTGGAAGCGGTAGAGAGGGTAGTGTTAAGACACCTTGACCGTACGAACAACTCACGAGCGGCTCCCCTGCGTCTGAAACACGCAGTAAAAGCTCACGTAACGTCATAGAATACCAAAGCCAGAAAAACCAACGGCGCTAAAAACACCAGACGCCGTCTCTTTCTTCTTTCTTCGAGCTCTATTCAATGAACAACCTCAATTCTCTTCCAGCAAAACCCCAGTAGCCGAGGGTCTATATCTAAGCCCTTTTTCTACCGAACTGAGCGTATAACCCTTCGAGAAAGAGATGTAACCGACGTCAAGTACTGCATTTCCCCCCAGCGGTATTTATAGTCCCATTCAAAATAGCCTCGCTCCCCTAAATTATGCGCTTTTGTGTTCAATACAGGGGGGTGAGATCGCAATAGAGCGGGCGGACGGCGGACCGCTTGTTAAGACAATTTCTTAAGATCACCGGATACAGAACCAATCTTCACAACGTTAAGAGTGATATCAGAAGAGGATCTTAAACCTCTAAGGTACCATGAACGAATAACTCGGAGAAGAAGGTTATTACTTTTGAAGAGCGATGAAGTAGATCAAGGTATTGTCGCTTGGAATGTCAGTGATTGTTGTAGGAAGTCAGTTTATATCATGTTTCACGACCGTGACGTGTAAAACAACTACCGTACACTCATTGATCGCTGGCGCCCTAGATGATCAATTGGGCTTTCCATGCTCACATCGATCGCTGACGCTCTCAATGTTTTAATGTACTTCAAGACTATAATTCACAATATAACTATCTCACACGTATTTATTTTCGATACACATGTAATGTCCTTACTTTAACGGACCAGCGACAGCAGCTTGAAAAAAGCGTAGAGGGCCAAGATAATCCAAGCCGCTAGAAATAAAACCAGATTGTTAGCACCGAATTTGTAAACGTACAATTCCTGCAATTGCTGGAGATACTGAACGATCACTTTTCCGGACAGTTTGGACTCGCCCTCAGTTCTCACACCAAACGAAAAAGGCACTTCACCGATAGCTTTGGTCTGGGGCAAAGGCAGTTTCACCAACAAATCCAAAGCGACCTTGAAACCTTGGGCGTTGAGTTCCTTGGCATCCGTCTGCTGCAAATATTTTTTTTGCAAACCGAAAAATCCACTCATTGGGTCCGAAGCTGTCGTCAATGGTCTGGCCATCATACGCGCGCCGGAGGAAATCACACGACGATACAAAGGCCAGTCTTTGTCAATGCCAACCCCTGGGGCGTATCTGGTGCCCAAAACGAAGGCGTGGCTTCTCAACACGTCAAACAACTGAGGTACGCTTTCTGGAGGGTGCTGAAGGTCTGCGTCCATGCAGATGAGGTACTCTCCCTCGGCGTCACGGAATCCTTTCAGAACAGCAGATGAAAGGCCTCTTTCGTCGGTTCTCACAATGATTTTGACGTTGTAGCCTTGCTTTTTCAAGGCCTCAACCTCCTCAACCGAACCGTCCTTGGAGTTGTCGTCCACGAAAATCAATTCTGTCGTCTTGGAACCCTCGTTTCCAAGAGCTGCAAACAGCCTCGTTGTGAGAGGTTTGATGTTGAGTTTCTCATGGTAAGCGGGTACAATCACCGAATTTTCAATGGCCATCTTTGCGTATAGATGCTGGTGGTTTACCGGGTGTTTTGTTTAGTGGAAAATATCGTGTATTAATAGGTCCGAGTTTTTGAATTTGAAAAACTGGCCATGTGACGTAGATACACGGTGTTTAAAACAGCGACAAAGAAATTCGTAACACGGTCGTGAGCTTCTCACGAGCAATACTGCGATTCTAGTCAACAATTAGATAAACTTCGTAGTGTTATTTTTGCGCGACTCGGTTCCGTCGATTTTGAGAAAGAACGGCTTTGAAACGCAAAGTTTCTCCATCTGCCATTTCTGTTGACATAGAATGTGACTTTAAAGTACCTTTCCAAGATACGATGCGCGATTCTGTTATTTTTTTGATGATGTTGTTCCAGAAAAAACGTATTTTGACAGGAAACATGACTTTCATGTTGACTCTTGAGCTGGTGCTGTATTCTCAAGTGACTCTTTTTCGTCACTAGGGCCGATCTCGGCTAAGTTTTCACCAATTTCTTGATCGCCAGCGATATCCTTTGATTGGTCTTCGCCAATCCAGAGCACATTGTTGCATCGCAAAAAAATATCGCCTACTTTACCTTTAGATTGTAATAAAATGAATTCTTCCGCATCTGATAATTGTAGATTGAAATAGTTATCCGTCGATACTAAAAATCCTTTGTATTGTGTATTGTTGAACTTCAAAGTCACAACTATCTTCTTGCCTATAAGGTCTCGCAGAAAAGGCTTTGGATTTACAGGCGAAAGCTGTCAAATAGTTAGTATTAGGGTTTGATATGGTAGAAAAAATTCCGGTGATACGCACGCTTGACATTTGGGGTTTGAAGCTTCCCGATGACCGTTGATATCTAAAGTTGGTTGGTTAATGGGCGATCCATTTTGGAGCATCATTAATTATACGTCATGTTTTACGGGGAATCTGGCATCAGGATGTAACGACAGCGACACGAGTGAACATCGAATTCAGCCCCTCACACATATGCAGGGCAAGATCAAGGTGAACGCTATGTGTACATTTGCGCGAAAAATCAGGTTCGCTTTGACTTTTTAGGGTAAAAGTTATGAAATGGTGCTCTATGCTTGTGAAAACGTAAACTGAACGGCGCTCACCTTTGGTGGGTCCGATTAGCGACAACGTCTTAAAGACTGCTGTCGAAATTAAACGTTAAAAAACTTGATCGATTTCTATAAGTGAGCATAATAAAGTAAATAATAGCAAATGAGTAACAGTAGTGAGAGATTTTAAGATTATATTGGCGTCAGTTTGAGGTTGAGGTTTGGTTTGCCCTTATCATACTCTATCCTCAGCATTGCCCAAACCAGATCGACCAACACAGTTGCCAATCCCAAAGCATAGACCAGCGATATCGCATAAAAGAAGTTACTATTCCCAGATCCCAAATCAACCCATAAATGGTAAAAAATGGGAGACAACACAGTGACATGAATGAAGAGCAAAGCAGAGATTACTGAGTATCTGAAGTATCCATACAAGGGCTTGAAAAAGGGAATGAAACTCAATAAAAACCCCCCGTCGCCCAAAGTCGGATACGATTTCGTCAGTGTGATCCAACAGAGGCACAGCACAAAGGCATAGAAGGGCTGTTTGTGGAAACGTAATGAAAATGGTATGATGCAGGAGACCACAAACAGATTGAAAACGGCTTTGAAAAATGGGATGAACATCTCGAATAACTCGACAAAGAAATACCACCAAAGACCCAGGTTCGGTATGATCTTGCTAAAAGTTATTATCACGCCGTAGGTGGAAAACAGATAGTTCCAGCTGCCATCGTTTATCTTGTAACTAGACAAGAGTAGCGTGACCAAAGTGACGGCGGTGGTAGACACCGTCTTCAGTTTGTGGTCTCGCAGTAATGCCAGTAGCGGTACAAGCAAAGTCAATGGATACAATGAAAGGTACGATGCTACGGCAATCGAAACAGCGGAACAGACCCAATTTCCCTGAAGGGCGGTCAATAAAGCTGTGGAAATGGCCAGGTTGCTAAATACAATGGATGACTTGGATACCGACGACAGTAGTACCAGAGGATTGATAACGTATAGCGCACCGGGAACCCACGATGGAAGAGATGAGTTGTTGAAGCTTCTGGCCATCGCAATCAGCTGGTATGCTACAAGGGCATCCGCACAAGCGTACAGCAGAGAAACCATATTTTCGTTGTTGAACGCAGACATGAGTGCCACCAGTAGTGGGGCATGGTGAACCACGCCACCGGAGTACAATGGGAAATCATTTCGTAGTAGGAACACGCCTTCTTGCAAACTTCTATACGATGTCACCGGTGTTGAGAACTCCACGGATTTATCCAATTGATGCTGCAATATTGGAAACACAGTGGACGCTCCAAACCTGGACGCCACACAGGCTATCACAACCTGAGCTTCCCTCAAGTTCATGATGCCGTGAACCCAAGAAACTCTTGGTAAAGATGGCAACTATGCAGTTAGTTAGTTGTACAGGTATATTTGAAATTTGTTATTATTATTATTATACCGAGTAAATAGAGGTGAAATAACACCAGAAAAACGGCCGGAGCACTTCACACGAGTGCCACGACCGTTTAGAGAAGCCTGGCGTCATAATTGAGACCAAGACCGGGATTAGAATATTGTATGTACTCACAACAGTTCGCGGCTTCAGTTCATTCGAGGTGCAAGTTATATTGCTTCGCAGTTGAGACGACAGCAATCAGTTATGAATACTTAGGGACTGAGTTAATTATTTTAAAACAATTAAGAGCATCTGCAATCAGTCGTGAGACGCAATCTTAAATTCGCGGTTATGTCTTGTAGCGCGAGTGTGAATCTGAGCTTTTATCTCTTCGTGGTTAAAGTCTGCTCTGTCATTGTCTCGGTAGAATAAAAGTTCAGAGCTTCTTGAAGCAGCACGTGACTATCGACACTGTCTGATCTGTCAAATGAACCTACACGAGTAAGCGTTGGCCGATTATCGGAAACCATGGTTCGGTGGACAAGATAGAATCCTACTTGGCTATGGGAAATATGCAATTGGTTGAATGTGGGACGAAGGACGAGGCACGTACAACGTGATTGTGGGTTTTGACTACTGCATAAGGGTCTAGCCGAGAGCCCTTGAGAAAGTTTCTTCGATTTGGATAAAGTATGGGACCGTTTTCTAGAGGAAGGTAAGATTCAATCTGTCGGACTCTCTGTTTGTCCAGCGCCAAATCCATGATCAAGTGATCATCTACACGTGACAGATGACAGTGTCACAATAAAGAAGATGCCCAAAGAATCTAGAACAACTACTGATCTAACAGACACGACGTCGATTAAACCAAGTGATACCACTTACAATTGATAGTATGGTTCTCAGATTAGGCCATCTCCACTATTTGCACCCGGAATGCTTGAAAATTTTTACATTTGTCCACCCTACAATATCATTCCATTTATGTTAAATACATGTTCAGAGAGATGACTCTAACTCAATAAAACAACAATGTACTTCTTACAATAATAAATAGGATCACCCAAGATATGGGACGTTTATCGTGCAGCGACGCTCGAGACAGAATCTCAACACGAGAACAAACACAAACCCCTGCCAAGACGTAAATAAGCCATAGCCAGACACATGATAGCACCAATTTCCATATTATTATCTGTCGGCACATTTTCTGTGCTGGCAAATTCGTAATGTCCGTCAATAATTTCGCATACCGGCGGTATTGGTGGAAAAACCATTCATAAACCGAACTCTACTATCTCACAACCTGTGGAGAAACTTAGGGACATTTTATATTCATGATTAAAACTACAACTGTCACAGCTACAACGACACATACGCTCAAAGTGATCAAAAAAAAAAACTGTACATCTCCGAACTGCGAAACCTCCCTCCCCCCTCAGACTCTCAGCATTCGCATCCCTCCAGTTCAACGTCTCACTCTCACTCTCTCGAACTTCCCACATTCATCACTTCTCCATTTTCCCGTCTCTCAACTCTACAAATTTACTATTTTCTTACACGGTGGCAAACACACTGTTCAAAAAAATATATAGATCTATATCTATGTCGTTCAAAATGCTATTTGAAAAGTCGGAAGAAATTGAAATAGCACTACAAAAAACACAACTGAACTCACCTCCTGTACGGGAAAAAGTGGGAACAAAAGGGCAAACAAAGGCACTACAGGCCTGATTTTAAGCGCGTGAAAACAGTGACTCAGCCGATCTCGAAACTCAACAGTGGCATTGAGTAGTTTCAGCGCTTGGAAAAGCTTTCTTTAACCTTTTTTTTTACCTTTTTTGGGCGATTTTTCGACCTATTTTTTTTGGTTATTCAAGAAGATCTTAGAAACTAGGATTTGTTGTGATTTGAAAAATGGATTTCGAGGCTAACGAAGACATCAATGGCGTCCGATTCTCTTGGAATGTGTTTCCATCGAGCAGAGCGGACGCCAACAAAAATGTTGTTCCCGTAGGGTGTTTGTACACACCTCTGAAGGAAAAAGAGGATCTGGAGATCATGTCGTACAATCCCGTGGTGTGTGGCGGGCCACAGTGTAAAGCAGTACTCAATCCATACTGTGAGATCGATTTGCGCTCAAATGCATGGACATGTCCTATTTGCAATTCGAGAAATCATTTACCAGCGCACTACGCCAACATGAGCCAGGATAACATGCCAGCGGAACTCAGCAACACGACCATCGAGTATATCACGAATAGACCGGTCCAGGTTCCGCCAATCTACTTTTTCGTGGTTGATATCACCGCTGAGGAGGAGAATTTGCAGGCTTTGAAAGAATCTATTATTGCGTCGCTTTCGCTACTGCCTCCCAACGCTATGGTTGGACTGATCACCTACGGCAACGTAGTTCAGCTTCACGATATCTCCTGCGATACAATCGACAAATGCAACGTTTTTAGAGGTGATCGTGAATACCAGCTTTTGCAGCTTGTCGAAATGCTTACCGGTGAGAAATCAGGTGCAGCAGGCGTTGCGGGAGGGGCCACAGCTGCACCTAACGTACACTTGAACAAGGTCACTCCATTTTCACTAAATCGCTTCTTCTTGCCCTTGGAGCAAGTCGAGTTCAAACTGACCCAATTGCTTGAAAATCTTTCTCCCGACCTATGGTCCGTGCCCGCTGGTCACAGACCATTACGTGCCACAGGGTCTGCGTTGAACATAGCCTCTTTGATTCTACAAGGATGCTACAAAAACGTTGCCGCTAGAATTATCCTTTTCGCTTCCGGACCTGGCACTTTGGCTCCCGGCCTAGTCGTATCTTCTGAGCTGAAAGATCCGTTAAGATCTCATCATGACATAGACTCTGACAACGCCAAACATTTTAAGAAGGCCACCAAGTTTTACAGTTTGTTGGCTGACAGAGTTTCTCAAAATGGCCACACAGTCGACATATTTGCAGGTTGCTACGACCAAGTTGGTATGTCCGAAATGAAACAACTGACAGACTCCACAGGCGGTGTGCTACTATTGACAGACGCCTTTTCGACTTCTATCTTCAAGCAATCGTTCTTGAGACTGTTCTCCAGCGACGAAGAGGGTTATTTGACTATGGCCTTCAATGCGAACCTGTCCGTTAAAACCAGCAGAGATTTGAAGGTGCAGGGACTAATAGGCCACGCCTCTCCTGTCAAGAAAACAGATGCTGCCAACATAAGTGACTCGGAAATAGGTGTTGGTGGTACGTCAACATGGAAAATGTCCTCCATTAGCCCTCATCATTCTTACGCAGTATTTTTCGAAATCGCTAATACTGCAGTAACAACTGCCGGTGTTGTGGGTGGGGATAGACCCAAATTGGCTTACACTCAGTTCGTGACCAATTACCAGCATGCGTCCGGTACCAACCGCGTTAGAGTGACCACAGTGGCCAATCAATTGTTACCATTCGGCTCACCAGCTATTGCTGCATCTTTCGATCAAGAAGCAGCTGCGGTCTTGATGGCAAGAATTGCGGTGCACAAAGCCGAATCTGACGATGGTGCTGATGTAATAAGGTGGATTGACAGGACTTTGATCAAGTTATGCCAAAAATACGCTGACTACAATAAGGATGATCCAAGGTCTTTCAGACTCGCACCAAACTTCTCCCTTTACCCGCAATTCACTTATTATTTGAGAAGATCTCAGTTTTTGAGTGTATTCAACAACTCTCCTGATGAAACAGCATTCTACAGACATATTTTCACCAGAGAGGACACTACGAACTCTCTGATTATGATCCAGCCCACTTTGACTGCATTCTTCATGGAGGAAGAGCCTCAGCCAGTGTTGCTAGACTCCGTCTCTGTGAAGCCCAATACCATTCTGCTCCTAGATACCTTCTTTTACATCCTGATCTACCATGGTGAACAGATTGCTCAATGGAGGAAGGCCGGTTACCAAGATGATCCGCAGTATGCAGACTTCAAATCTCTGTTGGAAGAACCTAAACTCGAAGCCGCGGAATTGCTTGTCGACAGGTTCCCCCTACCAAGATTCATCGACACCGAAGCCGGTGGCTCACAGGCTAGATTTTTGCTATCTAAACTGAACCCCTCAGACAGCTATCAAGATCAGTCAGCTGGCGGGTCTACCATCGTACTCACTGATGACGTGTCGCTGCAAAATTTCATGGTCCATCTACAGGAGGTAACCGTTAGTGGTCAAACTTGAAAGAGCTATGACACGAAGCTACTCCCCACAAACGGCCACGTCATAACATATTCACTTCATCCGGAATGACATGAATGTCCTTGTAAGCTAAGGCCTTACGCGGTATCTCGTTCGTGTTGGGAAAGAGGAGGCAACCAAAAGTTGTTCGCTTTATAGACCCATCAAATAGGAAAGTACATATTGACATTCAAGGTAAGCACTTTGCAAAAAAGTGTTGTCAGCTAATGGTTTTCTGGAAAGGTTAGCGGGAACGGTGGATTTCAAGTCATTACTACAGCTCAAAAATATGCATGTCTAAAGTTATAGCATCTAGCACAATGAAGTTATTCAATGGCGATTGTTTTTTCCCCAAAATGTTTATCACGTCCTGGGCGACTGCACCACCGATAACTGCAGCTACTGGCGCAAATTCGAGACCTGCTTGCTCTGCAAACTGCTCGATATACTTCTGTTGCAGGTTTTCTACAGGCAACCCCAGTTGGACGCACTTCTCTGTAGCTTTTTCTCTGAGGTCCTGTGCGTTAAGACTTGAAGTTTCGTCATCGTAATCAAAGAGAGCCAAGGTAAGAGGAACTGCATTGGTGAGCCGCTTGAGTTGTCTTCTAGTTAATTTACCCTTGAGAGAGCCCTCCTTTAGCATTTTTTCAAACGGTGAATAGATGTTTCGTGTCACGATTCTCTCAAAGGTCTTGCTTTGTTCCTCATTGAAATGCTCTATAACTTCTATTACCTCACGGTTTTGAGACAGTCGTTTCAGCGGAGTGGCCATGGAGCTTTTCAATTTTTCGTCAGTGGCATCAAACTGGATTAGATCAACAAAAATGTAACCTGAGAGCCCGTTGAGCCCCGCCACGAATAGCGGCACACTAAAACGACGACTGATAGCATTCAGCTTGACTATATCTGCGCTGTGGAGGTCTGTCGCGACAATTAAATTATATTGCTGGAAGTACGAGCTTGGCTTTGTTCGAAAGTCGTCTTTATCGAAGTTCAATTCCACTCTTGGGTTCATATCTTGGATTCGGGATGCTGCAGCATCCAGCCGTTTGGTTCCTACTTCGTCCTTGCTCACAAAAAACTGCGATTCCAGATCTTGCGTTCCGACGATGTGACTATCGATTAGGGACAGTGAACCCACACCACTGAGAACCAGATTCTTTGTAATTTCCGTACCCAAGGCTCCCAAATTAATGACTAGCACTTTTGCACTGCGCATACGGGTCTGCGCTGCCAATCCCCAAAGTCTAATCTGTCTGTCATAGAGAGCTATCTCGTCTGTACAGAGCATACCAAAAAGTAGCCCCAAATGTCAGTAAAAAGCTCTTTGGAGTAACAAAAAAAAAATTGTGTGAACGATAGACGTACCTTTACTCAATTGCGCAGTTCCAGTGTCGTTGTGGTTCATTATCACTATGTCCTTTCTCATGTTCAAGTTGCTTGGATCCACCTGAGATGTCCGGATAGAGCCTATTTGGAGGATAGATTGATTGATTGATTGAGTGATTATTATCGTCTTGTACGGGGAAGTAAATTTTTGAAGGCAGCGTCACGAAAACAAAGAAAGAAATGAGACATACATTAGTATCATCGAAAAGAATGCGAAGGGCAAACTAATGGCGAAGAGTACTTGTTTTGGAGCCTTGTGAACCCAATGTTTGTGCATTTGACAATTCGAATAAATATGCCAAGATGCTATATCACGTGACTGAACATGGACATATTGTAACTTACAAAAATAGGTAGTTTCAAAGTTTATAAGATTTCAAACATCTAACTAGTAAGAGGTTTACTCCGCCCCTACATTCTACCTTGTTTTATTGTGTTTGCACTTACGATGTTATATCTGCATTATTCCGAAATCACAGATCACTTCGTACTTATCTGTCTTTTCTCGACCAATTAAGTAGCCAAGGCCAAACCAGCTGCGATGAGCAAATATAACCAAAAGACTTCATTCTCAATAGTGTTGTCTATATCTTGAGCTTTACACAATACTTCCACGTACGCTACAACTCTAACTACCTCCACTACAAATTATAATATCCTACTTACGGGAGACCGAAAATGGCGCATAGAAATTGACGACCAGAGCCGAATTGAGAACGCACTCTTCAATAGGCTCACGAACCCATCATTTTTCTTTTCATCCTTGACTAGTTTCCCAGTATTGCCTGGCAATCGGTTTCGAACCGTCGATCAAGTACTCGCCGGAAACCTCGAGTACTGTCGAGTACACCAGACATCCAATTTTAACGAGTAAGGCCATCTTGACTAACTAGTTCATGAAATAGACTGTTACTGTTCCAAGCTGATACAAATCGCTCCAAGCTCCTCTAAAACCTCTTAGGCTGTCTCCAATGGACTTGTTTAAGATACTGGACACAGTTCCAGAGCCTGCCATCGTGGACCCTCGAACGATGGGAGTCTCTGGCGACGTCTCTGGCGATTACTGGCTGCCAGCACCAATGTGTCTTTATCAAAAAGAGTTGAGCGAACAGATTGTTTCGTTACACTATTCGGACATTCTGAAATACTACGAAACAGAAGACTATAATACAGATGTGGTGTTGCATTCTATGGAAACAATGTGTCTAAACAGCCAGTATGTCGCGACACACCCGTATCTGCTGATCGACCATGGTGTGCCCAAATCGTTGATAACCAAGGATATTCCAAACCATCTGGCTGAGACGAGCGGTAAGTTTGGAGTTATCAAGGATTTGATCGGTATAATCCAGGACTATCAAACCGAAACGGCGTTAGTGTGTCGTTCCGGAAGAACGATGGATCTGCTGGAGGCTCTTCTTCTGGGCAATAAGGTCAATATCAAACGCTACTCAGGACAAGGCATCAAGATCAAGCAGAAGCCTAAAAAACACTCTTGCACATGCCATCTTTTCCCGTCAGATGCGCTTCCAGAAAATTCATCCACTTTCGTCATCGACCCTACCATACACTTTGATCTTTTGTTGTGCTTGGATCCATCTGTTGACATTTCAAGGCCACATGTACAGCAAATTCTCACCCAGAACAGACCCCTGGAAGGTCCCGAACAAAAAGTTCCGGTGGTGCGACTCACAACCATAAATTCTATCGACCATTGTGAACTCTACTATGGCAAGTTTGTGAAGCCTGGAAGCAGAGATTATTTAGTTAAAGTTACTGCAGCAGTGGTGGCTCTCCGTGATGTTGTCGGAAGCTTGCCACCGGACCTCCGTCCAATTTACTCTCAGGGACTAAAATATATGCGTGCATGGCTCGAAGATCCTAGTATACCATGGCCTTTACCAGACATATACCCAATAAAGGCTTACACTCCTATGGATGTTGAGAAGTCCTTGCTCACTGAAGTTCACTACAATCAGGTTGACGACGTTCTAGCACAGGCTCTGAAAAGTGGCCGCAAACGTGGCCGCAAACCTAATTCGGCCTTCCCAAAGGATACACAGAGCCCGTCATACTACCAGTTAAAAAGACTAAGAAACGACTATTCTACAAATTCCTTAAAGCAAGATATGGCTCAGCTCACTGGCATTGCGAACGCTAAGAATGGCGGCGCTGTGAATTACCATCTTTCAGGTGGTCATCTTACCCATAAGCTCATCCAAGCCATTGGCGAATCGCATTACAAGTTACGGAGGCAAAGTGCTGAGCTTAACGATTTTTACGATGCAGAGACCAAGCAAGCTAATCGCATGAAGACTAATCAAGAAGAACATGATGACATCAAAGCTAAGGCGCACGATGCGATGAAAGTTCACGCGATGAATATACAAGAAAGTGCAAGGCTGATAAGCCATACTGAGGGCGTTAATTTCGAGATTAGTGATGTCGAAAAGGAAATCGAGAATCTTCTCAAAAGCGCGCGAGAAAGGGGATCAGAGCATACCATCTTGGTGGATCTTCTGATTCAACATGTCAAGGTTCGAGAGGAGTCGGAGGAGCAGAAAAAGGCAGCAGAATCCAAAATGGCTGAACAAAAATACATGACAGAAGAGCTCACACGGGCGGAAGAAGCCATCAAATCTTTTCAGAAAGACGAAGAAGAACTTCTGCGAGAAACAAATGAGCTTGAGCGACAAATCGAAATCAAGATCAGAGAAGATCAATCACAATCCCAAAAAGCGCTTGATAGAATTCAAAGCTTAACATCACAGATCCATGATGAGAAAGCTGTTCTCAAAAGTGTTGAAGAGCAGATGGAGACACTTACCGAGCACCTCAAGAAAATTCCATATTCAAGAGTCCGGTCCACAAAACCGGTGCATGCCCCCAAGCAAAGGCACCAGTATAATTCATGAAGTTAAATCACCAAATTTAGAGTACCAATTAGAAGTACTTCCTTAAATATTATGTAATGACCATTTTTTGACCGACCTGTCCCATCCACAACTCAGTAAATGCAGTCCTTTGGGTGCCACGTCTACAGAAAGTATTTTGTCCATATGACCTTTTAGCGTAGCCAATCTCAGCCACGAATCTGCAGCGAAAACGCCAACAGTTTTATCGTACGAGCTTGACACAAGAAAATGACCGTGTTCCCTCTCGAACTCAACATCAGATACAATACTGTTATGTGCCAATATCGAAAACGGCTCGCCTACGTTTCGCAGATCCCAGATTTTTACTGTCCCGTCACCACTGGCAGTGGCAACAATATGCCCATTAGGAGACCAGCTTACCCCATATATGGGTTTGGCGTGTCCTTCAAGAGCCATGAGTGATTTCCCCGATCTAAGGTCCCAGATGCGTGCTATAGAGTCTAGACCGGCACTGCAAATAAGTGCTCCATCACTTTGGAAGTCCAGGCTATAGACCTCTTTAGAGTGTCCTTCTTGCAACTGAAGTTCTTGTTGAGTTTCCACGTCCCAGAGTCTCCACGTCAGGTCGAACGAGGCACTCGCAACGTATTTATCACTAGGATGAAATTTCACGTTCGCAACGCGGTTTTCGTGGCCCTCGAAGACAGCTTCAGGTGCCGAATTATCGTCTGAGCGCAAGTCCCAGATTTTGACAAGGTTGTCCGCTCCTCCAGATACGAGAAACCGCGACGTTGAATTCCAATCCAGCCCGCCAACCTTACCGTCGTGTCCATCTTCTATTTTGCGACTTATTTGCAGGGTTTCTGGATCCAAAAATTGTATGTCACCTTTCCAACTTCCTGTTGCTGCAAATGTTTGATCAGGACTGTATTTCACTTTCGAAACCGGCCGTTCAGACACGATTTGAGATCCCTGCAGCTCACATGTCGACAATTTCGAATTCAGAGTTCGTCTGCTCACAATGGTCTCCTGTATAATTTGTGTATTAGCCTGGCTGAATTCAGCTTCGAGCCTTCTACGTGCCCTGACCAGCGAATCTCGTACTATAAACTTACGAGCTCGTACCAGGGCGTCTGAAGCCGGTGTGTAAAATTCTTCATCCGCATCCTGATCGTCCTCTTCTTCTTCGACTTCTAGCTCACCCGCCTCCACTTTCTTTATCTGCTTGTTTTTATCCAAGAGTTGATTTCTGAAGGACTGATTCTGGAAAACTAGCTCCGCCAATCTTTCTCTGCGATCTCTCAACGACTCGTTTGCTACCACGCGCACTGCATTGAATAACTCCAGAGTTTGTTGGACCTCTAAATCGTTTGTAGGAATCAGTTGCAGTACCTCTTTTCGATAAAATTCCAACTTGTTCAACGCTTCATTTGCGGCTGACCCATCGCTATTTTTATATTCGGTATCAACCCTAATATCTTCCAGCCGGATACGTCCCTCTGTGTTGCTCATTGGATACTCTGGCCACGTCCTTTAACCCTTTGGTGACCCCAAAATGGCAAGATTATCTGCCGAGTTGGTTCTTTCCAAAATAGTGAGATGAGACGAGATGTCAATAGCTTATGACCAAAATCATCAAAAAACAACAAAGATGTCCCAACTTGACAAAGAGAGCCATATCCGTTACATTGCGTCGCTGGATTCGAAACGGGATGACTACGAATACTGGCTTTCGGAACACTTGCGGTTGAATGGTGTTTATTGGGGACTAACAGCTTTATGTGTACTGGATGCTAAAGACACCTTCAACAGAAGCGAAATCATTTCGTTTGTATTGAGCTGCTGGGACACCAAAGCTGGTGCCTTTGCTGCTTTCCCTGGGCACGATGCACATGTCTTGACGACGCTTTCGGGAATTCAGATTTTGGCCATTTACGATGCTTTAGAAGTACTTTCGAAGAAACCGGAGGACAGCGTTGGAAGCGACGATATGAAAACCCAATGCGTAGCTTTTTTGCAGTCCAATCAGCTTCCTGATGGTTCGTTCCAAGGAGACCGCTTTGGAGAAATCGACACCCGTTTTGTTTATGCAGCGTTGAATGCCCTTTCGATTTTGGGACAATTGACACCAACAGTGGTAGATCCAGCAGTACAGTTCATTCAGCAGTGTTACAACTTTGACGGTGGGTTTGGACTGAGTCCCGGTGCGGAGAGCCACGCCGCCATGTCCCTAACATGCATTGCTGCTTTGGCTGTAGTCAACCGGCTCGATGTGCTTTCGCCAGATCAGTTGGAAGACATCGCTTGGTGGCTTTGCGAAAGGCAGGTTCCTGAAGGTGGACTAAACGGGCGTCCCAGTAAGCAGCCAGATGTGTGCTACAGCTGGTGGGTGCTGTCATCGCTGGCTATAATCGGGAAACGCGATTGGATCGATTTTGATAAGCTTCGAGAATTCATTCTATCGTCACAGGATCCAAAAAAGGGTGGAATAAGCGACCGCCCTGGGAATGAAGTCGACGTATTCCATACCTGCTTCGGCGTGACAGGTTTGAGTTTGATGGGCAAAGACGATTTGATCGAGATAGATCCTGTTTATTGCATGCCAATGTCTGTAACGCGGACCTTCAAAAAGTACCCATATGAGAAATAGGCGTTTGTGGGGTGAAACTGGAAAGGCAGACGTTGTAGATCTGGTTTTGCAGTTAAAAATATACTTCTTCCTGTATAACTTTCCTGAATGCCGGTCTGTACTCAACGTATCTCGCTGCCCGCTTGTGTATAAACGTCGATGTGTTGATGGTCTTGCACCCATTGTAGGTGACTTCAAACTGCGATGCAGAAGTATCACACAAAATCAGCACAGTCGGTATTGGTGATAGATGTAAAGTATGGTCTAGATCCCAGACCACTGGTCTGATGAAAGAGGTAAACGGTGAGATATGGCCCTGATCCAAAATAGTTTTGACGAGCTTACGCGCTGCTTGAACTCCAGCAGATTTTTGGTCCTTAGATTTAACCAAATGGTCTATACTTTCGTATTCTTTGTCATGGATTTGTTGCATGGAAAAATCCTGTGCAAGACTATCCTCAAGATCGCTTTCAGCATCACTTCCTATGGTTGCCGGGAACAAAATGTTATGTCTTTTAAACCTGTCGTTCAGGTCATCTCTCACAAGGAGTAATTCTTGAGAGAGGTATGCGAACCGTGTGGGATTTGATCCCCAGAACACCTTCTTACAAATTCTGTTCACCCTATGAACAAAATTTCCGGGGATAGAGCGCTGTGGCCATATCGCAGTGGCTCCCAGACTCACCATTGATGTCCATGGATCATTTGCTCCAGGAATAAATACAAAATTCGTTTCATTGATGAGCCTGTCGAAGTTAGACATCAGAAGAGCCAAGGCGTCAAATGCATTTTTATAGGCAGTTGTGGCACTGATATTTTTACTGCTCATGACGGGGAAAATAGGTGTGGATGTAAAGGATCCCATAAGGACAAGTGTTATTGGCGGATCATCATTCAACTTGTCAAAAACTTTACGCAAAGCTTCCATTATATGGAGCTGGTCCAGAAAAATATCTCCTCCTAGCACGACAACTCTGTGATCTGTTAACTCTCTTTCCAGTAAATGAAGCCTTATCTTCAAATCTTTATCAATTCTTGATATGTAGCTGGAGCTTGACAACTGGTGAACCCCTAAGAAGTCCAGATTACCCACTGCCTCCAGAGTTTCATCTCGTCTTTCACCAGGCGGGTGTGTAACAGAGGCTACAAAAAACTTGTGGGCAGCCGAATAGTAGATACCTTCTACCAGTATAATGCAGCCTGGGACATAGAACATGCCCTCTGCCGGTATAGCTTGCGTCATATCGAGTTCTACAGAGCCTGATGGGTCTTCCAGTGACCAACCACCTTTAACATTGGTCCTGAGAAGGCCCAGGAGTAGAAATCTCTTACCATCTCTTCCCAGCAAATTTTTGATCTGCGTGAGGGTCATAGTTTGCGTTACTGGAGTGTCTAGCGAGCCTTTGAAGTTGCTCATAGATGACAATGGATTGAATGTGTCTTGGCCGCCCTGGAACATTTCATTCCGTAAAACTCGATCTCTCAGGACGTCATAGCGTGCTTTGAAAAGCGTTACATTGGATTCCGCACGAGGCAAGATTAGATCTTTGGCGTCTTTGGACTTCAGTCTGTACTGTTTGGAAGCGGGGTCGTAACGGAAATTTTGATGCGATTGAGCGTCCACGAGCTTATAATACGCTTGCCAATCGAGTAAAGGTTCTGAAAGCTCGCTTTGCAGTATTGAATCTGGATTCTCCGCATTATTTTGCGTCCCGGATTCCAATGTATCTTCTTCGACAGATGGATTTTGCGTTTTACGAGCTAAAAACCCGTCTAATGTATTAGATTTTTTGGACGACGTCAAATCTTGTTTCGGGACCCTCGAAGCTGTGGATCCTGAACGCTCTTTGACCTCACGGATCACTTCATCAACGCCATTTTTATCGATAAAAAGTCCTCGTTCTTGTTGTTCCCATATCGCAGCGAATTGCTCCAAAAACTGGAAAGTTGCACTATCTTTACGCCAATTACTACCGAACCTGGTACCAATATAGTCAGCCAATGCTGCGAGTCCATCTGATTTGATATTCAAGCCGTATTTTTTCGACAAGACTCGATACGCAAGGGGTCGAAGCAGCCCTGGTGCAATTTTTACGGGCAATGTCACCAAATGATCCATAACTCAGCTAACAACGTTGCAAAAAAAGCAAACAGAAGATAAAACCAAATTTCCGTTGAGATTTATAAATACTTTTATAGCAGTTTTACACTGTAAACACCTGTCTTCGGCGCTTATAGAGACCTTTATTCGCTAGCTTTTATACAAAGCTCTCGATCGTTTTGATCTTTTCGAGATGAGATGAGGTGACGCGTAAATGATGATATTAAATTAGAGTGGATGATACTATATATCTAAAAGAAGACGCGTTAACTCGCAGCCTCAGAACGGTTTAAAAACATCAAAAACATCAGGGGTAAGAGGATAGTTTAGCGCTACTAAGACCTCGTTCCTTGTTAGTTTTGTGGGTTCTTACATTTGTTGTTAAGATCGGTTGAAAATCCTGTTTAAAACGCAGTTCTCGCAGCTGAAATAGGTGCACTCAGAGTGCGGTGCAATGTTAGAATCTGCTCGAGAATACTGGAAAGGCTGGTTTGGTGGTAAAGACGAGCGTAAAAGTGAACATGGGTCGCTTGATAAGTGGAGGAACCGGCACTATGCTCCAAATGGACAGTCGAACGTATCGAAACGGCTTCGTAAAAACCGAAATACCAAGAGTTATAGGAAAAGGGCCTACGAGGGGGATAATGGAACACAACAATCTGGGACAGCACTGTGGAGTGCGGTGAAAAGCGTTTTTTCGCCAAAAGACCAGGATCTGGAGCAAATGCGTAACGCATATGCGGACTTCAAATTGCCCCGGAACACAGATAGGGCCAGAATGAGTGCCCAGGTTCAACGACGTATTGCAGCAAGCGCTGCTTTCAAACGCAAAGTCATGGAAAAACAGCGCGATGACAAGCTTCTGGAGCAACTGCGACGCGGCAGGAGTCGCGAGCCTAAGCAACAGCAACCACCACAACAACAACATCTGCCCAATTATCAAAACGACCAGCTGCTGATCTTGCAACATAAAGTGGAAAGTTTGAATGCCAAAGTTGGGTCACTAGAACGAGATCTGCAGCTCACCCGCAAAGAACTGATGTTTGCGCGCGAGAAAAATGCTCTACTCGAGAGTCTCGTTAACGATGCCAACGTGGACGACGAATACGTGAAGTCTCGTCGTAGGATCACTAACTTTCAAAAAAATGACCTCAAACCAGATTTTGGTGCCCTACCACCATCGCCACAACGTGCGTTGAGTCCCTTAGTCACATCGAGTCCCGTACGACTGCCCAACCTCGACGAACGCGATGATGACGGTGACGAATTTGATGACGATTTTAATGACAATGCTAACTTCTACAAAGCACACCGAAAACCACACTCTCGCTTCTACGAGAAATACCCAAGTATACCAACAACAGAACCCATGCAGAAAGATCCAGAGAGCTCACTGTCGCCCATCAGAGTTGATCTGGCAAAGTACTCAAATCGCTATGGATAGATGAGTACTTTTGTACTCACTTACAGAATTCAGGATTTTTACTAGATTTGATAATCCTACGTTCAAGCTTCGAACTGGTTGAATAAAGGAGGAAACCAGAAAACTTGGCGTCAAACTTGACTCTTACACGATTGAACCTGAGCCCTTTCAGTCATCAAATTGTTGTGAATATAAGGATTAAAATAGTCACCGGAAAAAAAGGCGAAACAAACGGCTTATTGGACATACTTTTTTAAAGTCTACAATGAGCACTGGAGACTTTTTGACAAAAGGCATTGGACTTATTCAAAAAGCTATCGATCTTGATACTGGTACACAATATGAGGAAGCATACACCGCGTATTACAATGGGTTAGATTATTTAATGCTGGCGTTGAAATATGAAAAAAACCCCAAATCCAAAGATCTCATTCGGGCTAAGTTTACCGAGTACTTGAATCGAGCAGAGCAGCTAAAGGAGCATTTAGAGTCGTCACAGCTGAACAACAAAGAGAACAAGAAAGACTCCCCTGCCAAGAAAACAAGTGCCAATTCCAACAGTAACGACGACGATGCTGATGATAAAAAACTGCGCGGCGCTTTGTCTAGCGCGATTCTCACCGAAAAACCCAATGTGCGCTGGGAGGACATTGCTGGTTTGGAAGGTGCCAAAGCGGCTTTGAAAGAAGCGGTTATTTTGCCCGTGAAGTTCCCTCATTTGTTCACAGGAAACCGTAAACCTACATCAGGAATTCTATTGTTCGGCCCACCGGGAACTGGTAAGTCGTATTTAGCGAAAGCTGTTGCAACGGAAGCCAACTCAACGTTTTTCAGCATAAGTTCTAGTGACCTGGTATCGAAATGGATGGGTGAGTCCGAAAGGTTGGTCAAGCAACTTTTCGCAATGGCAAGAGAAAACAAACCTTCCATTATTTTTATTGACGAGGTAGATGCCTTGACAGGCCAAAGAGGTGAGGGTGAAAGTGAGGCCAGTAGAAGAATCAAGACCGAGCTTTTGGTTCAGATGAACGGTGTAGGAAATGATGCTCAAGGCGTTCTCGTCTTAGGAGCAACGAATATTCCTTGGCAATTAGACAGTGCTATAAGAAGACGGTTCGAAAAGAGAATTTACATTCCTCTTCCTGACCTTGCAGGGAGAACTCGCATGTTTGAACTGAATATCGGCGAGACACCTTGTTCGCTTTCGAAGGAAGATTATCGAACTTTGGGGCAGTTAACAGAAGGATATTCGGGAAGTGATATTGCCGTTGTAGTCAAAGACGCTTTGATGCAGCCTATTCGGAAAATTCAAGACTCGACACATTTTAAAAACGTTTCGCAAGACCCTGAACATCGTAAATTGATCCCTTGCTCACCAGGAGACGATGGTGCAATTGAGTTGAGCTGGACCGACATAGAGGCTGACGAGCTGCAAGAACCAGAGCTCAATATCAAAGATTTCCTAAAAGCCGTCAAAATAACAAGACCGACCGTAAATGAGGGTGACCTGAAGAAACAAGAAGAGTTCACCAACGATTTTGGACAAGAGGGTTTGTAATCGTGCTTTTTATTTCTCAAACATACCATCTACAAGATAATAAAAGTAATTAGCATAAATATACAACCAGAAAACCCTAGTTTTTCCAGAGTTCCGAAAAACGGCCTTAAGGCTAATGACTGAGATTTCAGTCTCGTACACTCTTCCAGCTAATCATAGAACTTTGTGTTGTTTTCGCTGTCAGAAACCTTGGCATTGACAAGCTTGACCTTGACCACGGAGACGTTTTCGCCTCTGGTGTAAACGCGAGCATCGGGATTCGCTTTCAATAGTTCCTGTTCATAGTAATCGAATTCGTCGCTGAAGGTGTCAAGATGCTCTGCATGTCCTTGCAACGTGGCGCTCATTTGAGATAATTCCGATTGATTGAGCTCCTGAAGCAAATTTAGCAACCTGCTGGGATGATCTGCGTTTGGAGCTTGCACCGGTGCTTCCTGCGACGACTCAGCTGGAGTTGGTGTGTTGGACATGCTGGACTTCCTCAGTGACAGCTTCTTAGCCGTAACCCAATCATGGATCAAAACTGATACCTGCGGATTATTAAGGATATTTTCGTACTTTTCAGTGTTCTTCTGAGTTGCCATGATGATGTAGTGACCACCCTTGTCTGCTGCCTTATCGCTGTAATCGGAAACTGAGCTTTTTGGCTTGTAGACCCTGTCTGGAGAGATGTATGTGTAGTTCATCAGAGAAACCGATGGGATGCATTCTGGCTTCGAAGCAGTCGCCAAATGCAGGTATTTGGATGTTTTCAAAAGGGTTAAAACGTGTTCTGGAAGGCTCGCAGGAGAAGACATCTTGAATGACGGTACCGGTACTTGAATATTGTATTCTTGCGCCACACAATAGTTTAGTTTAAGTTGGTAAAGAGCGAAGATGCTCTCTCTCACCCTTTAAGATTGAAAGATTGTCCTGAAAAATTTAGACAAACGCAAGAATCCGGGAATTTTGACTGGCGTTCGAACCCCAGTGGAGAATGATTTTAGTCGGTGTAGCATGACCCACTTGTGAGACACCATTCTTATTGCGACTGAAGTAGTTTATCTCAACTTTTTTCCTCAATTCACAACAGTTCTTGTTAGTATCCATTCTTCACTTAAGAGACGTTTTCGGCTCGTGGGTGTGCTTACTTGCAGGTTTGATCGATCAAAAAAAAATTCTGAGCGCTCGATATTAGACCACCACCACATCTTTTAAGTTGAAGAGTTCAACAGAGTGCACACCTCATGTCTCCTGAGACTTCAGTTTTTCCTTTCGCAACTGTGAGATCGAATCCTTCCATTCCTCTAGGATTTCCGTGCACTGGCCGTGGAATTCTTCCAGGTTTTCATCGTTAGCTATAACTTTCAGTAGTTTGTGCAATTTGCTCTGTCTGAGGGCATCTAAGTCAAAAAATTGAGGCATTGAGGCCATATTTTCAGCTATTTTCGCAAGCAGTTTTCGCGACTCCTTCAGTTCGTCTGGGCCTGGAGGCGTATTTCGTTGTACGAGATTAGTCTGTAGCTTGCGGCGAAGAAGTAAAGAGATTTCAATCCGCTTGGCATGATCCAGTCGTGCTAATCTGCGGTTTGAAACATTTGGCTCAGATTTCGGTCCAGACTTGGTGGTAGGGGCTCCTATTGTAGCTGAACCAGAATCTGACGACGCAACGACTCGAGATCTGGATCGGGACGAAGGTGCTATTGCTGCTTGTTCTGGTTCACTGCTTTTTCTGACGGTTTTCGATTTTGTCGATCTGCCTTCGAATGGATCTTCACCTGCTTCGACTTTTGTATCTTTATCTGCGTTTTCGTGCCAATCTTGCATACGGTTTTCTTCCTCCAGCCGCTGCATCAGAAACTCGTGTAAAGACTTGAAATTTCGAGCCTCTTCGTATGCTTCCACCAGAACCGGATCTTCTGCGGTATTGGTTGCAGCACGCTCCAAAAATTCATCAACTAGGGTTTGGGAAAGCGGACGCAGCCGCCCGGGCTTATCCCAGTAGTAAGTTTCGTCGTTGAAGAAGCATACCGCGACGCAATCGGGCCGTCGTCTTCGGTAAACATCTTTTCTCAAAAACCGCTGTGGGAACACCACTGCAGGCCAGGGCGCAAAGGAACCGACTTTGCAAAGAACTAGATCACCCGTTAACAATTGAGAGCCCATTTTTCTGTCCAAAGTGTCTGAGGAGTAGTTGCCAACAATGGAGTAAAATGGACCGTCTTTTGATTGTTATGTTGTTGTTGAAGGTTTCGTTTTCGTTGCACGTTGAAGTTGAATCTGTTAATTACGTGGACATTTAGCCAAAGATAGTGCACGTGATGCAGAAAATGAGGTTGTCATTGTTGTAAAAAAAAAATGTGAGGCCCTGTTTGTTATCGGTTAGAGTGAGGACGTGAGTGTATAAGCTTCAAGCTGTAGGACTCTAGGCTTTTGTGCGTGTGTGTCTGGTTTTGGTGGTGATTTCTATAAAACTTTCAACATCGCCAAACAGTCACGTGATCACCTTCCAACACCGAGTCAATTGAGAAAGTAGCGGGCTGGTGGGATGGTATCTCACCCTTTCACCTACTGCCACTATAATGATTGAATTTCCCAAAACTGAACTGATAATCACATCTTGCTAGTGACCATCCTACATCACTATGTACCAAACTGACGTCTTCTCAGATCCACCCAGACATCCACGTACTCGAGTACTTTCTTTCGGCGGCTAAAGTCACGTGTTTTTACCCTCCACTCTTTTCGTTTTTTTTTTTTCTTTTTTTTGCCAAGAGTCACGCGCAAGAGTCATCGATCAGGTGACTTTTTTTTAGGAAAAAGTTCCATGAACAAACGCACCCGCGCTTCTCGGTATATATTATAAAGAAACTTATTCAAGGACCCTGGCGTAAAGTTGATGAAGCCCGAAGATAGTTATTGAGTCGTGTAATAGAAAAAGAACAACTAGTGTTTAGGACGACCAAGCTGTCAACAAAGGGCCCAAATTTGTGCATTGTACACAGACAGCTTACGGGTAAGATATAAAAGGCTTCTTGGTTTTTTTATCATGTTGGACGAGAAATTAGATATGCGCGCCAGTAATGATGGCGTCACGAAAGTTAATAGTGATAAACGGGCCACTGACATCACCAGTACCAGTTCAACTGCTACTGTAGCGACAAACAATAACGAGGAACCCCAGAATGCGTCTGAACTTGGCGAGTCCCAAAAATCCACGCCAACCGGGTTCCAAGATATCCAAGCTGCTCAAAATGCACTGGCCGAAAAATACGGTGTTCGTGACACCCGTCTGCAATGGAAAATCGACATTTGCGTCGTTCCAGCGTTGATTTTACTGTATTTCGCTGCATTTCTGGACCGGATCAATATTTCAAATGCCAGACTTTACGGTATGGAGGCCGATCTGGGATTGCATGGGAACCAATATAACGTTGCTCTCACGGTTTTTTTTGTGCCGTACGTGTTCTTCGAGCTTCTTGCAAACTATCTGGCCAAACTGTTCAAGCCGCATTGGTGCTTTTCCATCAGCATATTCGTGTTTGGATGCGCCACTATCGGATGCGGGTTTGTCAAAAATTATGGCGGTCTCGTTACGGCAAGAGTCTTCTTGGGAGCTGCAGAAGCCGCTACATTCGGCTTGATCTTCTACATTCTCTCCTCTTACTACACTCCACGTCAGGCTCAAAAAAGGTTTTCGTTTTTCTTCAGCTCTACCACCTTGGCTGGCGCGGCAGGTGGCTCCATTGCGTACCAAATCCACCAGGGTATCCATAACTCTCATATAGCGCTATGGAGATGGATATTCATCACTGAAGGAGCTGCAACTGTTTTCATCGCCATACTTCTATTCTTCATTACACCGGATTTCCCAGAGACTGCTAAATTTTTGAAACCTAACGAAAAGTCTTACTTGAAGGAAAAGCTCAAGCTATACTCGCAAGTCGAATCCGGTTTCGAAGTACAATTCAGCTGGCGCGACTACTTGCCACTTTTCAAAGACCTAATTTTCTATGCCAATGCTTTGTCTTACCTCGGTCTGGTAGTGCCAGGCTACGGTTACGCCTATTTCTCCGCCACAATTGTCAAGGTGCTTGGTTATACCGCAGTCAGTGCTCAGCAGCATTCCATTTACCCATGGCTCGCAGCATTCGGTTACATCAATATTACCGCCTTTCTCTCTGATTACTTTCGAAACCGTTGGTGCTTTATCATGTCATCATGTTTTATTGCCATTGCGGGGCTCGCAATGATCCTAGGATCAGAACAACCACATGTAAGATATGGTGGCTGTTTCCTATCCTGCCTTGGGCTTTACAGTGCAATGCCAACACTAATTTGCTCAACGTCTTTGAATTTAGGTGGCCATCTAAGAAAATCTTTTGGTACTGGCTTCCAGATCGGCTTCGGAAATATTGGTGGCATAATTGCTACTTTCCTTTTCTTACAGAAAGATTCTCCCTATTACTACAGTGGTCTCGGTACCTGTATTGGCTTTGTGGGCCTTTCCATTGCTTGTCAGATTTTCATCGTATTACATTTGAACCGGCTGAACAATACCAAAATCACACCAAGCTATGCAACTCGTTTCGAGGCTCTGCCTCCACGAGAACAGGTGTTGAAGGGTGATCTTGCCCCAGACTTCAAGTATATGTTGTGAGCCACTGACCAATTGTGCATCCATCTTAATAAGCTTTCATTAATATAGAATTCAATAATCGTTACACAGTTTTGGGAGGTTTTCTCTTAGGCCCCCGCGCTCGTCCTTTGGTCGGGTGTGCCAGAGAATTAATATTGGATTGGCTTGGCTCCAAAGTTTTAGCACTGTCTTCAGTGGCAGGTCTTAGTAGTCTCGCAAGTTTGACATCAACAGCCTGCGCTGTCGGAAGCACTGCAATAGGAACATTATTATCGAGCTTTGAAACAGAAGTAGTTTTGTTGTTTTGACTGTTTTTGAGCTTTCTGGCTAAAATTATCGCTTCTTCCTCCTCGTTGCTGGTATGCTGCCCAATTTTATCCCGGTAACCGCTATCCCCTCCTATTGTTCCTTCTTTTAAGTTTTTTGATTTCATCCGCTCAAGTCTTTGCAGGGCTTCGGGCATGGATATCTTGCGAGCTGGTTTTGGAGGAGCCTTGGAGAGGCAAGAGAGCTTAGAAACTGCCTCTGGCAGCGAAGCCTTCACTGCTGGTTTAGGGGGTGCTTTCGTCAGACTTTCTCTTTTATTAAGAGCCTCAGGCACTGAGGGCTTTCTTTCAGGTTTAGGTGGTGCTTTTATGAGTGACTTCCTTTTACCAACTACTTCAGGCTCTGAAACTTTTCTTTCTGGAGCTGCCGGTGGAGTTCTTAAAGCCTGCTGTCGTTGAATAGCCAGGATTTTGTCATCGGTGGTGGACTTCCGAGTTTTAGGGACACTTAACTTGACGTCTGATAAGATTCCAGTGCCTGTCTGGGTTTCGCGGTTGTTGTCGACCTGCGTCTCAGCGTTTCTGAGTTTAAGCTTAAGTTCTTTGAGTTCCAGTGTTGACTCATTTGGTACATTTTTTTCAATAGAATGCTTTCGAGGTGGTGGGATCTTCAGCGGTTTTCCTAGATGCTCTGTCTTAGAACTCTCGCCCTTTAGAGCAGATGTCACAAATGACCGAGGCGGACGATTCGGTTTCTGAGGTGGCGTTTTCGGCACTTGGCTGTTGTGTGAAGTCATGGTAGTAACTTTATTGTTCTGAGCAGAGCTCAAAGGCGTTTCAGGGATCCGAGAGCCACCCGTCAGTTTCAGGCTAAGGTCCAATTTCGACGGAGTGGTAGCAGTGACCTTGTTTTTCTGCAGAGATGTCAGATAGGAATTAGAGCCAGCCTTTGAAGGGGTTGTGCCAACTTCATTGAGTGCCGACCTGGGAAGTGAAGGGTCTGGTAAGCTAGATGGCTTGTCTATAAAATTGTCAGATGCAGAATGCAGCGTCTGTGGTCTTGGTGGCTTGACTGGTGCGGTTTTGCTAGGAGTGGTAAAAGTCGTGGATGCGTCTACTCGTTTCCTTAAAGGCAATGGTGGAGGCGTGGGGTCATCTTTGGCGAGGTAGTCACTACCGTAGTTTTCAACATGTTTAGTTGGCCGACTGGAAGAAGGGGGAGAATCTCTCGTAACCCTCGCTTTACCTCGCGATGGATACTTTTTAACCTCTTCCTTTAATTGTGGCGATGATGAATCAATAAGGCCCTGCTTCAATTGCGTCAAGAGAATGTAATCTTCTTCTGAAATGGTGTACTGCCTCCCAGAATCGCGGAAATCGAACCGTGAAACAGATATATCAGTGTGATCACCATAACTCCGCTTTCCAGATTGTTTATCGGCCCTTATAGGCGAGTTCTGGCGGTTTGAGTTGCGTTTTGGAGAAAACGATTTTTCGTAGTTGTAGGCCGATCTGTAAGCCATTTCGGAAGTTCTTCCGAGATTTGGAATCGCAAATTTGTCCTCTAACACAGGATATTCACCATTGAGCAGTTTTTTAGATATTTCCAGGTCTTGCGGTCGATATTTAGAGTTATTATTCAAATCCTCGTTGTTGGTGGTTTTTGAGCCATTTCTCTCGTTATCAAGTTCCTCCACGCGAGCCAAATACTTTTCCAGCTCAGGATCTCTCTCAGCCCGCCGTGGAGAGTGCATTCTACCTTAATTGACGAGCTGTTGGCACAGAAAGAGCTGAATTTATCGAATATCTGTTAGGTATATATATGTTGTCAATTTCATCATAATTTAATGTCATTTTTCGATTGCTCAACACAGTTCCAAGACAGCTGTAAAGATACAACTACGAGATCAAGATGAAGAAGCTTTAATATTCAGGCTGGTTTGTTGGATTGATTCCGATGTATTTTTATTTTATATAAAACGCATTATTTTGTTGCGACTTCTATGTCAGCTCGAAGAAACGAATTTTGGGAGGGATGTCGTGTGTCAGTAGCTCTCGTTCGTGAGTGGACTTTTCAACGCAACTCGATGGAGGAGTTTTTCTTGGCCAGCCAAATTTGAGAGCCGCAAAATACAAAAAACACGACGTAGACCAGTACTGCAATGAAAACGGTGTGTGCAACGCTATTGCAATTGACGATATCGGTTAGTAAAAGTGAACAATTCGGGTGTGAGAACTTTGATTCGAGAAATCTTTTGCTACCTAACGAAACCCTCTGGAGGGAAAGGAGCACGCAAAAGTTCCTTGAATCTTTTTTCGGCTATCAAAAACTCTAAAACTTACGCTTTGCCGTCCTCAGGATCATTTATAGATCCGACAAACGATTCGTGACCCACATTGAATAAATGTGCAATTACGGACAGAATGACAATACCAAACGCAGAAACAACAGTACAGAACCAGGCCTTACCAGACTATACAATAGGAAAGACATGAAAGTTAGTACTGGGGAATTTGGCAGAAAACCAAAAGGGGCATATGTATCATCGTGGTTGAGTCATCGCATCCAACTGGACACTAAGCTCCGATACTATAGCTCAAAAATATATGTCCCCTAGCCAAGTGACAATACGAAAAAACATACGGCAACAACCGGTTTCATCTTTGACGAGTGTGTTGACGGTAACAATACTGTTAGTAGTAAACCTTGAAATCTTGAATAAAGATGAATTATCCATCTAATTAGCCATTTCCCAATCACTAATGATGTGCCGTGCTTCTTCGCCCCACTTATGGCTTGTCTCTACTCAGACTAATTCTATACAAGGTCTCTTGGCCCAGTTGGTTAAGGCACCGTGCTAATAACGCGGGGATCAGCGGTTCGATCCCGCTAGAGACCATTTTTTTGAATTTTTCATCCTGCATTCCAAGTTCGTAGCTGACTAGGATTGACCATCAAGGGTAAGTGAGTTTGATCAACTACGGCATGGAAATCGATTTCGACGTACCCGCATCGCTCTTTTTAACATCGTTTCATGTGCTAACAACCGGAAATGTACAATTCTACAAACGTGTTTATGATATTTTTGTGAGTATGTGATTAGATTTTGAAGTTCGAAGAGCCTATATTATTTACTCGTCGTCTTCCAAAGTCTGAGCAGCGATACGGTCCAAATCTCTTTGGCCGTTCTCAGAAATTCTTCTGCCACCCTTTGGAGAGATCTCGACAATGCCGATCTTTTCCAAAGCCTGCAACACCTTTCTGTTGACGGAACCGGAGGCATCGACGTGCTTGGAAGGTCTGGCACCTCTGTTCTTGGCGTTACCGTACAACTTGTTCAATTTGCCAACACCAACCTGCTTTCTCATGTAGATGTGTCTGGCAACGGAAGCGGCACGCATGTAGAACCAGCCTTCGGAGTCTTGTGGAGGCATCTCATTGCCGGCGGAGGTCTTGACAATGTCAACGTAACCTGGCACCTCCAACTTACCTTGTCTTTGCAAGAAAGAAGCGTAAGCGGTGATGAAATCTTGGGCTGGAACGTCTCTGTAGAAAGCTGTAAGTTAGTATGCTGAAGTTCGCAAAATGGAAAGTCGTGGGGCGTGGTCTACCAGTGGCAAAAATGAAGAGATTCCAGACCTTAGGTCAAATCGCCCATCTGGTGGAGGTGGTTCTTTTCAATTTTTCGTTCAGTGAAAGGGTAAAGTGAGCAATCTTAACGCACTCAAAATAAAAAGTCCAATAAACGGCCAATTCGCGGATTTCTTGAGACCCTCGAACCGCTTCCTCTAAGCCCAACGTCGACAAATGCGGAAGTTCACTGTTTGCCACACTATTTCATACATCAAATGCCGTCCTAATGTCGCTTTCGTCCTGTTTTCAAGATGCAATTTCGTATGCATCGCTTTTCCTCAAACACGGTCATGAACACGCCCCAATTACACCTTTCATATCGTCTCAGTGTGCTCTACACATCTGTCCCAATCGTACGTACCTAACGGAAACACCTGGCATCTTTACTCTTTGGATCTCTGAAACTGCTTCCCAAATCAATGGCTAATCAAGATATTTGCCAAAATTTCGTTGTTAATTCCTACGTACCACTACTTCCCGCTACGCTAACCCATGAGGGGAAGAGTCCTACGGGATCCGACATCCAGGAAGGAGAAACTCTAGGCAGAGGCTCTAGGCAGAGCTGCCAGGCCGATTGCGACAGTGCGTCCTACCTCTGGAGAGAGAGCGAGCCTAGAGTGATCCGGGTTCGAGCCTATTGCTAGGCCGGAGCTCCTACACGGGGTTCCACCTAGCTTTCCTGCTTGCCCAGGCACGCAAATCAATTTTAATATAGTTTGGCTAAAAATTATTTGGGTAAATGTATGGGTGTTTGAAAATTAACAGTCACGATTGATGAAGATAAATAGTTGATGTAATGCTACACTACTACCGACTCTAAAACAGGGTCCCGCTGTCCTACCAGCACACACACGCCCACGGACTCAAAGCCAGTGTAGGATTTCCCCAGCTTGTGTTTATGGTTATGCTTTTCATTCCGTTACCTAATGTACATTAAATTGCCCAATCATCGTTTACTAGTAGTATATACTTACACAGCAAAGACATCCGCGACAACTTGTGTGCTAACAAGTTTACAAAGTGTGAGTCAGCGAGCTGCTTACACCTTGAAACCCTTAGATCTCCGTCTACCTCTAGCTCTCTCGAACTTACGGCCGGTGGACTGGATTCTTGGGGCCTTGTGCTTGTGAGGACCCATACCGAAGTGTCTGACGGCCTCTCTGGCGTTTCTTGGACCTCTGACGATCAAAGTGTTCTGACCCTTAGGAGCTCTGACAGCCAACTGGTCCAAAGTGATGCATTCACCACCAGCCTTCAAGATCTTGGCTCTGGCACCAGCGGTGAATCTTAGAGCAGCGACAGTGGTCTTTGGGAACTCAAAGACTCTGGTGTCATCAGTGACGGTACCAACAACAACGATGGTCTTGCTGGCAGCGCCCTTCTGGTTAAGAGCCTTGGCGATTCTGGATGTAGACACTGGAGGTCTGTTGATCTTGGACAAGAACAAAGATCTCAAGACAACCTTGTTGAATGGAGCATCAGTACGACCTGAAAAAGAAAGTTGTTAGTAACACAGCACTGGCAAAGAAAGACAGAGACGGCAGAAGGCGAGAATTGTAGAAAATAGGTCTTGCTCATAACCGCACGGAACAAAGTAAAAACAATGTAAAACAAACACCCGGTGCTGAGTTAGGCAAAGCAAATGCGCGCCAGAGTCTAGCGCACACCGGGGGTTCCGCACTCGCAAAACGAGTCTCAAGCCGTTGAGAAAAGTCGAAGTCAAAGTCGAACATTTCTCATCTAACCGGGTAAGTAGAAAAGGTCAAAGCCAAATAGATGATAGCAGCCGAGAGTAGCCAAAAGGTTCTCAGAAGGAAACCAATCGGCAACTCTCAGGTTGATCATGCGTTTGTTGCGTTATTGATGTGAGAAGAGCCCATTCTCTTTCTCTTTCTTCAACTGTGTGTAGTTTGATAGAGGTTTTATTCACATACGAGCCAAAAAGGTGTAAAGCTTGACCAACAACTTCAAGTAGACGTTGTCAGACTTTGGAGCGGTTCTGTGACCGGATCTCTGGTGCTGCTTAGCGGTGTGATCGATACCCATTGTTGCTGCTTGTCGAGTTTAAGCTAAATCCAACACAACTCTAGAGTGATGAGTGTTGAAGAAGTTCAACCTCGTTTGTATGGCGAGCTACGCAGGAGTGGAAACCTATGGCTGAAAAATTATCGATGGATTGTTTTGCGTGGGTACGCACAAAGTCGTGATTTTTCAGTTTTGATTTTTTCATGACAAGTTATTTTTCAAACATCCGTACATCCACAAAAGTTGAGACCATGATATCATAATGCGTATAACGTGATTAAGAAGGTTGTGTCGTTTGATGACACGATAGTACATAGTGATGTTATGTAGTGTTAGTAGCATTGGCAGTAGGAGTGGGAATAGTAGGAGTAATTGTTTGAGCTGTCGCGCTTCCTGCGTTCCCATGCAGCCTGTGACTACCATGACTCTTCGTGTCAATCTTTTGGAAGAAGTGGGCCATCAAAAACGGCCATAGAGCCAGCTAACGACGAATGGATATCAAATCTTGGTCATGCCGGTGTAGCGCAAGCCAGTTCAGAATTTGCACCACCTGAATCCCACGCACAAGTATCGTGCTGCGAAATAAGAAGCGGACCCTATCAGTATTAACACGCTTGTGAAAACAATGAAGCGGTCGTATTCAGCAATGGTGCCTCTCCCAATAAGAACACCGCACACGGGAATGATGGGCAACGTCATGACGGCACTCAGTAGATAAGAAGTTGAGTAGCGTTTCCCAAAATCACGAGTACGGGATATCTGTGCTACGCAAACTGCAGTCAGGGACATCACCGACCCTGACGTAAACCCGTACAACACCATGTACGTCCACAGCACTTTAGAGTTCCCGCCAAATGGTAGTAGAAGAACAAGGTTGAGCACACCAGTCAACAGTGACATCAATACTACGGTATTGAATCTTCCCGCGTATTTGTCCGAAATGTAGCCCGGAATGTAGCGTCCCAAAATCTGCACTGCGTTGGACACGGTGATCATCGTAAATGCTTGGCCCTCTGAGTTGCCACGGGCCATTGCATACGATGCGATGAAAGTGTTTGTACCCATAATGGAGTTTTCCGCGAGCGAAAACGCCGCTGTCGTGAGTAGATATTTGAGATCTTTGAAATAGCTGAGCTGGAAAGACCCGAGAAAGTAGTAACGGGTCTTTTGGGAAAGCGAATGGAAATCTGTGGTCACGGGCTTCGTGCTCTCATTGACGCGAGCAAAAATGCATGCAAAACTTAAACAGCCCAAGCACACAAATGCCAGGATTCTCATTGCCCAGGAAAACCCAACTCCTCCATATAGACTTTTGAGCATCAGTGGGAACACGATGCCCCCCAAGGAACCTCCAATTGTCGCTATGCTGGTCGCCATTGCTCTTTTGCGGGAAAACCAAGTTGCAATGCATCCTATCAGCGGCGTTGTTAATGCGCCTGTTGCTAACCCGGTTACGACGGAAAATGATAAGATGAACTGCCAAAGTGTCGTGCAGTTAGCAGTGGCTAAGAGTCCTCCGACAAACACTAGAGACCCCAAGCAAAGGGGAACGAATCCACCGTTGCGGTCAAAATACGCTCCCGTCAAAACGCAACTGGAGCTGAACAGCGTCAGATAAATGGAAAAAATCCACGATACTCCTGATGACGAACTTGAAGCCAATTGATGTGTGGCGATGTAACCTTCAAGTGCACCTAACGAGTTCGTCACGCCCCATACGGGCAAAAGTCCCATAAAAGAGCCCAGAAGAGCTAAATATGCATGCAGTCCTCCCTCTGGGAACTCCGTTTGATCTTCTTCTTCATCAAACGATACAGTCGTTTGCTCAGGCCAAGGCTCGAGCGTTTGCTCAACAACTACGCCGTCAGCCGCATGCCGAAGCTTGGAACCAGAACTTGCCCCCCATAGTGGAGAGTCATCGCCGTACCTCAATTTTTGTCTGGTGGTTTTCCATGCCGTCTTGGCAGGTTCTTTTAGCTGTAGTAAGCGAAGCATATTTTTCTACAGCTATTCCTCGAGGAAACGAGAGTTTTCAAGTTCAACAAATGAGGGCTCAAACTCAAAGTCTCAAGAGTGCAACACACAATTTGTGTCGTTTACAAGTAGCCTTTTGAACTCTTGGCATCAATTTATCTGAGAACCGCTGGAAATTATTGACTCATCTCGATGTCCAAAATGAGTAAACTTCACGTGGAAGTCCGAATGTCTCCCGAATTGCTTTGAAACACTATTTCGAAATCTTCTATCGGGTTCTAGGCTTGAGTTGCCTGTTGGTTAGGAGTTTCGTGGAGGTCTGTTGAACTTTATATCTCACGGTCAACTTTCGTTTACTTTCGTCGTCAGTTTCTTGTCCCTTTTCGCCAAGCTTCTTGAAGTACTCAAAATTCCCCGCATCTGGCGCTCAGGTTATTGGAAACGAAGGAAAAGCGATCGGTCGTGGTGTAGTAGTGACTTTTTCATTTATTTGATCCTGAAAAGGCTAGTAATTCAAAAGGATCATTGGTCTTATAGGTGATGGGTCTTTTTCCCAAACAGAATTTGAGTGAAACCCGTACATTTCACTCATAAAATATCGTGGAATTGGGTCAAAACCGGGTTGGGAAAGTGGGAGATCGGCTACTACTAACACTGGATCTAGTCGAGAAGTTCACCAATAAAGGCACACATTATAGAGGACTATTCTTGTGAAAATAGACATCACTATCTCATTTGTGTGTCGCTTGAATCTTGATCACGTGTGTAACGATTATATCCACTCCACTCGATGGATACCTTCCTCTAGCGTCTCAGAGCCAACGCATCACTCTAATTTACTAGCAGCTTGTGTTGGAATGCTGGAATGGTAGCCAGTTCCATGGGAACGGCGTTCTTATTGTCTGGGCGATCTGGCTATTTGCCCGTATCCAACGTATTCACACACTATCACTGCGTAGAGAACGCCCGAAACGCTCGATTTATGCCCCCCCCCCTTCTCGTGGAGCAAAGATATTAGAGGAATATCGCTCAAGAATGGGAAATCTGGCGCCACGACACATCCGTATGTGGTGATGCTTGGAATTGGCCTTCCACTGGGGACATTTTTCACTGCTTGCAATGGCCAGAAACTGACATAACCCGTCGGACAACTCTGCCCATCTCACATTTCTCTACTTCATGTCATAACACTATTCGTCTCCTTATAAAAGTCTGTATAAACTTAAATACAAACCACTCATTAAACTTGGCGCATCATCATCAGCTTACAAAGACTTGAGAACATTTTCGGCAGAGGACACGTTGACGCCGGTCTTGTCTGGCTCTTCGAAAGTAGACACAACTTTGCCGTCCTGAACAACGATGGCGTAACGGTAGTTACGCTTGTTACCAAAGACCTCTTCGGAATCGAACAGAGTGTTTCCGGACTTGGCAAACTCACCGCGAGTGTCAGCCAAAATGTGCACGTTTTCAGGCACCTTTAGGGAGTCAGCCCAGGCCTTGGTGACAAAGGCGTCGTTCACGGCAGTCACATACACTTCCTCGACGCCCTTGGCCTTCAATTCGCTCAACTTGGCAACGTAGCCTGGGATGTGGCTGGCAGTGCAAGCTGGCGAGAACGCTGCTGGGACACCCACGATGACGTACTTGCCCTTGCTGACGAGCTTGCCAATGTCCACAGCGTTGCCTGGGGAGTTTTCCTGGACACCTGCTAGACCAGTCTTGATAACGTCGCCGACTTGGAACATTATTGGATTATAAGTGTGAAAGAGTTGCGCAGAGGTTCTTCTGTTGCAAATTGAGCTATAACGGATACTTGAGCGTACAGCGTTTAGCATATAGTGAGAAACCGAAACTTCAATCCTAAGTACATGCCAATCTTATTTACCGTCTACTGTTCCACCATTCTTAACACCCTTTTATAGTTCGCCTTCCGGTAGTCATGAGACCCACACGGGTGGTAACTCAACAACCATTTTGCTGCAATCGGTGTATTTAGTGATGTGTGGCGGATAGCAAACCGGATTGGGTACGAATTTGCGCAGGGACGGCACCTACGAATATTGATGCGAATGAGAGACTTTTTTCCGTAACGCTACTGGTGACAAACAGATCGGTAGGGGTAACTAAAGCTACGTAGACAAGAACGAGAGAGGGAACAGTGCTGGGTAGTGGGCAACATGAAAATTTAGTTGGGAGGGAAAAAGGTGGGAGAGGAGAACAAGAAGTAGAAACGTCGAAGTAGTTTGAAAGCGAAACGGGTTTGTTCCAAAAGGGAGACAACTTAGTAAGAGGTGTTCCTTTAACTTTAAACACTGGTATAGAAGTGTGATTTGGGTCTATGGTGGTGTTAGGAAGTAGAAAATTAAAAATAAAGAGTAGGTGAAAAAAATTTAGTACTCGCGAAAGTTACAAGTACTCTAGGGGTGCAATATTACGTAATAAACTAACACGTGCTTTGGAGTGACTCTATATAATCCTGTACGAATATAGGGCCTCTACTCATCTCATCTCATCTCATCTTATCGAATTCACATCCAATGATTCATCCAAACCCTTTTAAGACCTGCGCACTACTGGCCCATTGATGTCTGATGGCGATTTGGCCATGGCCACGGGTGCCGGTTATGGCCTGGCGAATGACAACGACGACGACGAGCAAGAAAACTACGACGATTTCATGATCTCTGATGACGACGAAAACGATGCAGAAATCGAGATGGACGACGCAAGCGATGTATCGTTCGGTGAAGAGGCCAACGAGCCCCGCGTTGTTTCACACCCATCTAACCCTGACAGCGGTCTTGTCTCTGTTGCGCGGGACTTGGTGGAACAGAAACGGTTCGATGAGGCAAACCAAGTCCTAGGTAAAGCTGCACTGCTACCGCAGACACATGCAACGGTTGCGGCTGTTTTGCAGATCGTTCGCTGTACATATCTTATGTGGGCCCAGAGTCTGTTAAGTCTGCCGGTAGACGCAAGCGGGTTCGCTTCTGTACAGGAAGCCATTGATAGTCTAGAAAGTGCGCTTGAGCTTGATCCAGGACACGACGATCAGGCCAGTTTTCGGAGCCTTTTGAATGAACTTGTTCCGTCTCTGGACTCCGTCTTTGTTTTGAATCCAGCGTGGAAAACAAATGGAGTTTCCATTTGCTGTGCCCAGCTGTTTTTGGTACGTTGCTCGCGACTGGGCAGCCGACTTATCCCGGATTTATGGCGATCCCGAACTTTGCAGTACGAAATTGCAGTATTACGACTGAGCGTCGAAGATACAACTGCTGCAGAGCGACCACTTGTCGAAAAGCTGTATAAATCGCACCACACAAGCCAGGAACAAATTGGCAATCTCGAGTTCGTTCTTGCCTGGTTCATATCCACATCATTGAATGAATTTGACGCTGGAGGCATTAGCATCTGCGAAGAACTTGTGGGTTCGATCTCCATGCTTTTGCAAAAGTCTTTCACCCGGCCGCTACCTTTGATGTCCATTTTGCATTTCACCAAAGCGTACCTTCTCTTGGACCAACTTTCCACTACTAACAAAAAGGTAAGTTTACGTTGTAACGCAGAGTTTTGGGAGTCCTTCAAATGTCTTGAGGAATTGGGTAACAAAACGTCTTTTCGAGACCTGGTTTTGTGTGCCTTCGTTTTGACGAGTTTGCTCCAGCTAGGGCAAAAGACGAATTTAGACGACATCATTGTCCCGTTTGAACTGGAACAGCTCAAAATCCTGGACTCACTGATCAAGCAAAACTTGGAAGAGCTCTACCAGGCATTCGTTGAGTATAACCTTGAACGTTTTGCACTTGCGCTGGCCGCTACGCAGATGCTATCTTTCTCACACGTTCTGCATCCTTTATTCGCTTCTGTAGTCCGCTTATTGCAGGTTCGCATATTGTGGCACCGTTTGGCTGTCTGTTACTCCTGTATTTCGCTGGCAGATATGCAAAGACTCCTAAAAGTGGGTGATCTGCCCGAACTATCCCGCAACTCGGTTCTTACTATTTTGATGCGGAGTATCATGGACGATACGGCCCCTGTGTACTTTAAGCTGGATCTGACTAAGGATTTAGTACATTTCGGGGATGAAGGCCGCAGACCGCTCACTTCTTACACGCGGGACACCTATCTGTCGTCGCGGGATCCCAGTGGCCAGAAATCCGGTCTCCACGCCCTGGGTCCTCTTGAAGCGAGCGCTATTCCTATCGATGAATGGCTGGACAGCATTGGTATCTTTAATTTACCTCCGCGTAGATTGAAGGGTCTACGACCTCTAAAATTACTGCAAGAACTGAAGGGTGCGCGCGAGATGCCTCCAGCGCTAAACGATAGTTCCAGCCATACTACAACTCTCAAGCTTACGGAAATGGCAGCATATGTTCGTGATATGCTGCAGTAAGATTACTGCGCACGAAATTACAAAATATCAGCTAGCTGAAAGCTACAGTACACGAAATAAAGAACTCGTGGTACCACTTACACTCAGATTTTCGCCCACGACTTTCACCTCTGCTTTCCTACCTTTCGAGGTTTTTCGAGGTTTTTCGAGGTTTTCGAGTTTTCGAGGTCGAGCTTTTAGTATTTTTGGCGTTTCGCGATGGCAGCGACACGAAAATAACTATATTTCGTCTAAGGTGACAATTAGAAGGCCTTTCAGCGACGGGAACCACGAAGATCAGCGTGAATAGTGAAGAGAGCTTTTTCGTTTCTGCTGGACACCCTCGAGGGACTGGTAAATCCTTTTGCCGCGCTACGCGAAAATTTGGCAATACGCCGGGTCAAAATCGCGACTCCATGGGGGCCTTTTCAGAATATTTCGTGATTTACTGAACAACTGCAATTCGAAGGGCGGTCGAATTTGAAGTATAAGAAGGATGCCACTACGACTCTAGTTGTAGATGGATTGTGGTCAATAAGTTTTTCACTCGTACTATTAAACCAACTCCACTAACAACAAACATCCACTCGCTATAATGAAATTTTCCTCTGCCGTCTCTGTCGCTGCCGCCGCTTCCATCGCTTCTGCTTCTGTCAACACAACCGTCGTTAACAGCACCAGCACTCTGGACCGTCAACGCACCACTTTGGTGACCATCACTTCGTGCCTCGACAATGCTTGTTCGTCTAAGACCACCATCACTACTGCTCCATCCAACTCTTTTACCGGTGCTGCTGACGATATCACCTACGTCGACGTCACAACTACCCCACAATCCACCACCTCTCAGGTTAAGACAGTCAGTTCCACCTCTACTCCATACATCTGGAGCACTGTTTCTACCGGCAACTCCACTGGCTCTTCCACTGCGAGTTTGAGCATTTTCACCGCTGGTGCCCCACAGGCCCTTGCTGGCGCTGGGTTCGGTGCCTTGGCAGCTGGTGTTGCCTTTGCTCTATTGTGAAGAGCTAAGTTTTCGAGCAAAATCGATACTATGACAAATTCAAACCTGTACTATAAAAATGGATACGTTTCAGAGCGTATATAGAAGCGGAGCATTGAGTGCTTCGCTATAATAAAGATTTCTGACATCAAGAACCTGTCATTTATATCATTATGTACTAATCGTAGCATTAATCTATCAAAGAGTGCTTATGATAATTAATGTGATACTGCACATACGCTGATGGACAAAGAAATGAACGTTCAGCCAAGCTATTCGTAGGGTAGGAGGTGCTCATGAAGATGCTATCTCAAATCTTTCAAATTTGGTTTCAAGCAAAAACAGGCGCACGTGACTCGAGCCTCAGCGACACGAAATTTATGAACAGTGATAACGATTGTTTCTGCCAGAGTTTCGTTGAGCTTGTGGTTCCGTCTAACACTTTTGGAAAGCAATGTAGTCAGTAGTGGTGTATGTGCAATTTTTTTTCTCCCCTATCCATACCTGCCAATGTTAGATCATGACTACATTTTGATGTTTTCAATCAATACGAAAACTCCCGACATGCAGTCATGCATTCACTTTTAAGCCCTATTTATCCCCTATGCTGATTATCCCTATAAACATCGTCACTAGTCAGCCCTTACCTATCTGCCTTTTGAATTCGTCTCGATATCTAAAACCACATCAAAAATGGCCCCAAAAAAGTCGTAAATGGCTCAAATCGATTCGCTGAAAAATACGCCTCACTTATGTTTCTGTCTCCTCTGGAGCTGGAGCTATCTTGATCGCTCTAAAATATTGACAATGCTCCGTCTAACGGCTAAACTTTGTAGTGAGTACATCGGGTCACGTTACAGGGCATCGCGATGAGCTAGCTGGTCTTGGAAAATTTTGAATAAAATCGGTATACATGTTATAACGACTCATAGCGTATCCGCTACAAAAAGGCCAAAAGACGTCACAAAGTGGAATCGACTGGGACCTAAAAGACCTCATCTTAACACTTTCTTCCAATTATCTGGTCTAATTGTGATTTAAGCAGTTATAGAGTAGTTTTGGGCTTCTTTAGAGCCTGGAATGGACGGTAAAAAAGGTAAAACTTCGGGACAAAAATCGGGTCGTAGCGCGACCAAAGACGGTCTTAGTGGGCCTAACGCTCTCAAGGAAAATCACAAGCGCATAAAACGATTAAGAAAATCTTCGCTTAGTCGGGCACAGCGAGATTTCGCCGTTTTTAGTAAAGATAACGGCCACTTTAACAAGTACGAAAACTTAGAGATGGATTCAAATGGTGCCGGGACGGACAAAACTGGTAACAAAAATAAAGAGCACGTAGTGCTCATACAAGACGATGGAACGGACACTCCTCGTGAAATCGATCTGGTTCATATTCCCAGCAGCTGCAGTAGCAACGAAAGTGATTCCGGTAGTGCGTCTGTGGGCGATGACTCAGAGAAACAGACGACAGCAACTTTGGGCGAAAACGGTACATCAAATGCACTGGACGACAACAAAGACTTCATATCGCTAAGTATGAGCGAATCCGAGAGTGAAAGTGACAAACAGGAGAATGAAGGTGACATTTCAGGCACCTTCGACTACGACAACTACGACGACGAGTATCCCAGCAAATCTCCAACACCAACACCAAAACAAAGACTCAACAGCGACTACCCGTGGATTCTAAATCATGATCATTCCAAACAACGCGAAATTGCAGACTGGCTAACCCTCGAGATTAAGGATTTTGTTTCGTACATTTCTCCAAGCCAAGAAGAAATTTCACTCAGAAACTCAACGATCACGAAAATAAGGTCTGCGATCAAAGCTTTATGGCCAGACGCTGATCTTCATGTTTTCGGTTCATTCGCAACCGACCTATATCTACCAGGATCGGATATCGATTGCGTCGTCAACAGTAGCGCGGGTGACAAGGAAAACAGAAATTGCCTCTATTCCCTCGCAAGTTTCCTGAAACGACGCAAGCTAGCAACCCAGGTAGAGGTAATATCTAAAGCGCGGGTACCAATTATCAAATTCGTGGAACCGGAATCGCAGATACACATAGATATTTCCTTTGAAAGAATCAATGGTTTAGAGGCTGCTAAAACTATACGTGGATGGTTAACGCAGACTCCCGGATTAAGAGAGCTTGTTTTAATTGTGAAGCAATTTCTCTCGGCGAGAAGGCTTAATAGCGTGCATACTGGTGGTCTAGGTGGGTTTAGTGTAATTTGTCTGGTCTATGCTTTCCTGCAACTTCATCCCAGGGTTTTAAGCGGTGACATAAGTACAGATGAAAACCTGGGGATCCTACTGATAGATATGTTCGAACTTTACGGTAAGAACTTTGGATACGACCATGTAGCTTTATCAGTACAGAGTGATAGAGCGTCCTATCTACCGAAAGACAGATACCCAAGCTTACAAAATCCCCGCACATCATTTTCTCTCGCTATACAGGATCCAGGTGATCCTGACAACAACATTAGTCGCGGTTCTTTCAATATACGGGATATCAAAAAGGCCTTTGCCGGTGCATTCGACCTTTTGACAAACAGGTGTTTTGAATTAGACGCTGCCACTTTCAAAGATCGGGTTGGAAAGAGCATTCTGGGTAATGTCATCAAATATCGAGGAAAACAGAGAGATTTCAAAGATGAGAGAGACCTGGTTGTCAACAAGGCGATTGCTGAGAATGAGTTGTATCATCGAAAGCGCGGCAGAATTGTTCATAATGAGCTATTCACAGATGTAAGTGACGGGGAGGAAGAGCGCGATATATATGTGGTGGAGAAGCCGCCAAAGAAGAAGCAGAAAAAGAACAAAAACAAAAAGAAGGACGAACAATCTAACGAGAAATCTAGCGACGCTAAAAAACCATCTAATGATGCTTCCAGCAAGTCTGGAGCTTCTTCTTCGAAGAGGAAGAACGTTGAAAGTCTTATGGGACTAGAAGAGGATAATGAGGAAGATGGGTATGACCCACTTAGTTCTACCACGGGGTCGTTAGCAGATGATGTGAATAAACCTGATGTGGTGACGAAATCGGTGAATGCACAAACCAGGCGTGATTACTGGTTGAGTAAGGGTCAAGCGCTATAGATGAGGAAACTTAATTGCATTCAGTAGCATATAAATATATTAATAGAGGCCGACGCGCTTATTGCTTGAGAGCGCAGTTGGTATTTCAGAGGAAATTTTGTTTCCGCCGGAGTTGTTTTTTGTCGCTTTGAAATTTTTTATCTAGAAGTCGGAATTCCTTGGTCTTGCGTCGTACGCCTTCCCATTTCTCCTTGTCCTGAGCGCTTACCGGTCCGGCAAACCAGCAAACGTCCTTAATCTCTTTGACAAACTTGTCTAGACAAAGCTCTTTATTAGTCTCTCGACTTCGAGTTTGATCGGACTGTATGACAATGCAATCCTTTGATCGCGCCCAGTACCGTAAGTTTTTAGCCATAAGCTGATCTCGTACTTCTTGTGGGATCCATGGACATTTTGAAAACCCGTAGATCGTCATGGTGCATTTTGTGCTACTCTTATTGACTTTTTGTCCACCAGGACCACTAGATCGATCGAATTGGAACGAGAAGCTTCTTACGGGCAATGTTTTGATGTCTAGAGCTTTAAGCCATTGTTCAGGCTTTTTATTAGCCGTTGTCGAGAAGAAAGGCAGAATAAAGATGTTAGAACGGTGATATTGAAGTGTAGATTGGGCCATTCTAAACAAGGTTGTGCTCATGGTTGGCACTTGATTTCATCATAGCACGAAGGCGGTCGTTCGAAAATAATGTATATCTTGTTTGGTTAGCTTTTTTTGAAGATAGTAGATACTTGAAGCTACCGGGATCAAAATTAAAGGAACGTTGTAGACGTAGACGTCCGGCCGGAATAAAGTGTAATGAGGGCTAGTTTTGATTACAGAGCCAGGAACCGTGAGTTATATTTTAATTAATGGAAGAGAAGAGGTAGGAAGTAGAAATCGCTGTGTAGGCGATCTTGATGAAAAAAGGCAAGTCAGGAAAATACTGGTACGAATGCTGAACGGTCAGAGTGGGTTTTCACATTCGACCTTAAATGTACAAGTTGAAGAAGAAGATCTGTTACCACTGATGACCACCGAAAACACTCAGGGGAGTGTCAAATTCAAAATAGAAAGTGCGGTTCAAATAGAATGCGATGTAGAGGAAAACCGGAAGCGACTTTCCTGTAAATTACCGTGGTAGCCAGCGAAAGGAGAAGAAAGTTGAGATTAATTGCATGAGGGTACCCAGAAATCAGGTTATTGTATACACGCCTGTAATTAGGAGGTGGAGTTAACGGTAACAATGCGATTCATGTGCTACTAAGTTACTAATTTACGCATACTGTGTGGAAATATCGGCCACCCACCGTAGTAGAACTGACAGCCTTTCTCGAATGGTGTAAAATACCGTTGAATGATAGTTATACAAAGAATAAATACTTCGCTAGAGATGTTTACCTCGTTAGGTACTGATGAACCATACTGGTCTTCTTTGACAAATCCAGTAGATGCTGGTAGGTCTAGATCGTCCCAGATGGAAATTCTGTGGTTGATATGTTCCACATGATATCGCCGTTCTTATCAGTCCTGGTAACATACCTGCCATATCAGAGCAGACACGACGGTCCGCTGCCCTGGTAGTTACACGCATCACGAACTGTGCTTAACTATCACTTGTCACTTTAGTTTTGAACTGTCGCTGACATTGAGTCACGTGAACATAAATCAAAAAAATCGCGTAAATAAGATCTGATTTTTTTCAACAGTATAAAGCTCCTGCAAGGCAATGAGTTGTGCACCAATTTTCTCTCCTTTCAATACTATTCTGAACCACCCCTCTATAACCTTATACAACCTCCATCTCTCGCGGAGACAGCATCCGGTTGATAGATATCATCATATTTAACGAATGTGTCATCGTAAATTAACGTAGGTTATTTCTCTATTTCCCCATCTGCCCCGCAAAACCTTCGGCCACAAGCCTGGGTGTATTCCTGCAGTTCCTTTGGCCCTACAGTCTATATTTGAGTTCGAAGACCTCGAAAATCACTACTTTCAAATAAATGCCCAAAAAATGCCCAAAAATAGTTCAAAAACCTCCGTTGAAGTCTCCAGAAACAGCTGGAAGATTGTCATTTACTTTTCCCAGTCTCAAGCCAGCTCACGCACTTCAGATGTCTCGGGATTCCCATATTTTATTTACCTTTGATTCAATTGTTATCACTGAACACAAAAGTATCACCAACGACGAAATCTCGAACAGTTCAACTAATTTCTAAAACAAAATCTCAGATTTAAAATCATCATTCCAGTCCACCACTTTTAAGTTTCAAAAGGTAAACCAGTTTGATCCCGCGGGAAGCTCACTCTGGCGATTCGGGTTAAGACTGACGATAAATGTCTCTGTCGGCCGCTGCAAACAAAATCTCTGAGTCAGATTTCCAGAACATAGGCCCTGCTCCAAGACCGCCTGGCGCATCCTACAACAAGACACAACCGATAACCAATTATCTTGGACAATTGGATTTGAAGGACAAGGCGCGTGGCGTAAGCAGTGACACTGGGACAGGATTGCGATCTGGACGTGGATTCACGAAAAAAAACGGGTGGATACAGTACAAGGATGATGGAATATTGTCGTTTTTATGGCAGAAAAGGTATATGGTGTTAAGTGATTCTTATTTGACGTTGTACAAGAACGAACCGCGTTCTGCTAGCGAAGATCCGGTATTGCAAATCCCGCTAACGACGATTGTTAGTGTAAGTCGCACACAGCTCAAACAAAACTGTTTTGAAGTGGTCAGGAACCACGATCGAGGCTCGGTGCCAGGAAGCAGTAGTGGCAATAGTAGCAACCCAAGCGGAGGTTCCAATGGATCTGGGTCATCGCCTTCGCCTTCTTCAGGTGCAGATTACAATCGCAAGACAATTTACATCTCTACAAAAACGGAAATCGAGCTTCATTCGTGGCTGGATGCAATTTTTGCAAAATGTCCCTTGCTGAGTGGAGTTTCGTCACCTACCAATTTCACACACAAAGTACATGTTGGGTTCGATCCAGAGACTGGTTCTTTTGTTGGAATGCCTTCCAATTGGGAGAAACTGCTCAAACACTCTCGAATCACAGGAGAAGATTGGAATAATAATTCTGCTGCTGTAATCCAAGTTTTGCAGTTTTATCAAGAGTATAACGGTGTAAGCAATGGTGCTAGTACTGGTACTGGTGCCCCTGCTGCTGCTGGTATAGGTAACGTCTCTGCTTCATCTTCATCTTCTTCATTGCCAAAACAGAATTTTCAGCAGCAGTTTCGTCCCCAAGATCAGTCAAGTAGACAGCCGTCTGCTGATTTAGTTCCGCAGCGTAAACCACCTACTCCACCCTCGATGTCTAATGCGCATCGCCCTAATCTTCAGGTCACTACATCTTACCAGAATGCGAGACCACCACATTCAGCCTATCCAAGTTCCAAATCTGTAGCATCTCTACAAAACCGGCCTCCTCAATCGCATCTTCCATCACCTGCCTCTTCTGCCCACAGGATTCCACTTGCTCAGCAAAACCATTATTCTCCAGCAAAGCAACCGGTTCCAAGTCACCAGCATCAGGCTCCACAGCAAAGGACCATGCCCCATCAGGAGCCCTCGCGTTTTCAGCACAACTTGCATAATCCTTACTCTTCCAAGGGTCCTTCGATGTCTTCTCCGTCCGGTTCTAAGGAGCAGATCGATCAGCGAAAACGTCCTCCCATGAACAATTCTCCTTATTCCAACTCTTCCACACCTCCACCAAGACTTCACCCTCAGAGGGCACCGCCATCGGCTCCTAAGCTACCTGCTGAGTCGAATGCTAGCTCTGCTGCCGCTGCTGCTATGCGTCAAAAACCAAAAGAGGATGTCGGACCAGGCTATCTTCAGCCTACTAGAGATGCACCCAAGAAGCCCGATGCCCAATTGCAGCCAAAAAAAGATGTTGGGGTTACTAAACCTCGTAAGCCTTCCAAGCCAACTATGTCAAATGCAGAAATTATGGCTAAGTTGAAAAGCGTAACTTTTAATCACGATCCTAGTCCTTTCTTCCAAATGATGGAAAAAGCTGGACAAGGTGCGAGTGGCTCTGTATATCTCGCTCAAAGAAGTCAATTACCCACCTACGAAGAAGGAAATCTCAATGAACAAATAGGTGAACAGCATATTGGAGACAAGGTCGCCATTAAACAAATGATACTGTCTAAGCAACCCAGAAAAGAACTGATAGTGAATGAGATTCTGGTAATGAAGGATTCACAGCATAAAAATATTGTCAATTTCTTAGAGGCGTATTTGAAAACTGAAGACGATCTCTGGGTTGTGATGGAATATATGGAAGGTGGCTCTTTGACTGACTTGATTGAGAATAGTCCAGCAAACGGTAGCAATAGCTCACCATTAACAGAGCCCCAAATTGCATACATTGTGCGTGAAACTTGCCAAGGCCTCAAGTTTCTGCATGACAAGCATATTATTCACAGAGACATCAAATCCGACAACGTTTTATTAGACCACAGGGCAAGGGTCAAAATCACAGACTTTGGCTTCTGTGCCAAGCTCACAGACAAGAGGAGCAAAAGAGCCACTATGGTGGGCACCCCGTATTGGATGGCGCCGGAAGTAGTTAAGCAACGAGAATACGATGAGAAGGTTGATGTTTGGTCGCTGGGGATTATGAGCATCGAAATGTTGGAAGGCGAACCCCCATATTTGAACGAAGATCCTTTGAAGGCACTCTATTTGATTGCTACGAACGGAACTCCAAAACTAAAGCAACCAGAGACGCTTTCGTTGAAAATCAAAAGATTCTTGAGCGTCTGCCTATGCGTAGATGTAAAGTACAGAGCTTCGACTGAAGAACTGCTACACCACAGCTTCTTTGATATGAGCTGTGAACCAGCAGAACTAAACTCACTTCTAGAATGGAAGAAGTAGTGGGGGGCATTACATAGCTTCATGCATTGACATATAAAGGCGGGACAATATAATGGGAAAACGAAAACGTATTTACTTCAGAAGTTTTGTGAACTCGAGAGATAGTTCTTGAACTATTGCCTGTAGTCCGGCTATTTTATGAGAAGCTGGAATGGTCTTCAAAACCAAGGGATAGAGGGCTTTCAACGATTCAATGATTGCCTCAGAATCCGCGATGGGTGACTCTTGAGAAACTGTAGAGAGAATGTCTCTTAGACCGCATAGAACTAAAAAGACCTCCGTTTTCCTGTTTTTGGCTATCGGTTTACGATTCTGAAGTATTACGTCCGAAATGTAGCGGCGCAGAATAAAAGCGTACCGTGCCACCAAAAAAGGAACGCAAACTGGTCGCAATTTCTCTCCTCTGGGTCCCTCAAACCTTGTGAGCTCCATTAAATCTTGGAGGCAAAGCGAGGCTGTTTTATACTTACTCAACAAAGTCTGCTCCCTCGTAGATCCCAGAATATCATCAAATGGGAAGTCGGCCAATCTCGCGGATAACTCAAGGAGTGAGTCACTTTCAGTGATGATAGAATCCTCAATATCATCAACCTCGTTGAAAAATGATGCTGACCAAACCGCAGATACAAATTTCTCGATATGTGCCTTTCTTGGAAAATCAGGCCCTAAGTTTCGTAACAAAATGTCAAGGTAGCGCTTATACTCCTCGATATCGCAAGGCTCTGTCAGGGCATCAGTCTCAAGATCAATTCTTTTGAGAGGCGTAACGGCGACACTGATTAGGAGCTCAAAGAAGGACTCTTTGGCATCGTCAGGAACCTCCTTCTCGACACGCGGATCCTTCAAAGATGAGAGTATCTTCACCGCAAGTAAATAGAAGCACCGAGAAGCAAGAGTCCACAACGCAGGAATTTTTCCCTCTTTATTTCCAATGAGGGACTTGCGCAAAATTGGAGCGCTGAGATTTTTCATGAGTCTAGGTAGCCTCTTGGAGCAAATAAACTCGGCATCGACATGATCAAGGCTCATCAATCGCATGTTAAAATTTTCACAAACCGCATAACTGAGAGCTTCAAACGTAGGAATTCTTTTTCTGGACGTCGTTCCTAATCGCGGCCCCAGCTTGGATTCTATCCTGTTCTTTGTCTCGAATGGAAGCTCAACTAAAATGCTCATTTGATTTAGGATGAGTACCTCTATTTCTAGCGGTTGTTTCGTTTCAAATAGTTTGATTGATGCCAGAGCCGCCTGTTGTAAGGACGACGGCTTTTGGTCATCAAATGAAAATTCAGGCAGTAATGGATAACGGGCGGCCGAGTTCACGACACTTAAAATTGCTTCCACTCGGGAAGCGTTTAACAAGCCCTGCCGGTTCAAAATTTGATGCAGAAAAGGATAGCAACTAAGAAGCTCTTCGATGCATTCGTAATTTGTTTTCCTTTTAAATTCGGACGATTTTGAAGAATCTGCGTACACCATGTTGTAGCCGCACCATGTATCATATAACTCTAAAAGAATCGAGTCTGGGATATTAATCATTTTAACCATGGCCTCTAGCATCGTTTTCAAATTGTTGAGAACAACGAACGACACTTCGAATGATGGAAGAACCATCAGATCTTCTATGTATCGCACCAGCAGTTCCCATGCTTGAGTGAAACTATCAGTACCGGAGAAAGTCGTGAAATACATGGAGTACATCTGTATCAAGCCTCTTAATGTCAGATTTATGAATTCTGTGCTCCTTAGATACTCATCGAACTCGAGCCGCTGTTCCAGCAGAGGTTTCAAGACCTCCTTTATCACCAAATTCCAAGGGGGGAATGAAGCAGAGTGAGAGTCAACTATCCTGAAAAATGTTTGAATAGCACCATTCTTAACCTCCACCCGTGAATCATTCGTACACTCGACCAATTTTTTGAGAAGATAGATCCATAGACTGTTGAACAGTCCGTATGGTTCGCTGTTCCCATTTGAGATTATATCCACTAGCTTCCCTTGTTCAACATCTTCAGCATAATTTTTTCTCTGTTGATCGGTGAAGTTCTTCTTGTTCCGTGAAACACAACTTCTCACGTAGTCACCAATGAGCCAAAACTGGCTTATTGACGAAAAAGAGATATTTAGGTCCCGATTTTGTCTCACAAAATTCAGCAAAGTGTCGATGACATCTTTCTGAACCCCAGCCGGTAATGTCTGCAAAAAATCATCGAATATCAATTTGAAGACATCAAATGAAACCTGTATCATCTCTTTATGCCTTGAAGAAATGACATCCAAAATTGAATTGTCTTCTTCAAGAATCGAGGAATCAAGGACAGTGTCCTTTTCAATGATCTCGAAAGGTGAGTTGATTATTTTGAAAACAATGTCCCACGAACCCCTCAATGAATCTCCGAACACGTCCAAAAGTGCTTTCAAAGTACGCAGCACTTGCAATAGAATAGTGCACTCTGTATCTATCGAACCATTTTGAACGGCTTCCCGTTTGCGATCAAGTGCGATTACTTTTTGCGCCAAATCGGCCAACGCACGTAGTAATCTAATCTCTGTCGCTTCGGGTTCATTGCCCATATCAGAGCCAAGCTCTCCAACTATCCTTGCAGCTTCAGCTATAACATCATTGAGAACACCAACAGAGCAAAACCTCAAAGCTTTGTCTTCATATTCTCTACTGGCACCCTCTTTTATAAGATAGCTGACAACGAGCTGCCAAGTTGTTTGCTCACCGGTCTCTTTGAGCAATCTACTTATATTCAGACGGCTCAGTTCTCCAATCTGTAAAATGTAGAAATCTTTATTGTATGCGCAACTTGCCAGCTTGCCCGGAGACGTCCTCTGTCCATTCCCTGCGGTTATTCCATCCTTTGACGAAATGTTGAGACAATTAGTTGACTCTTGAATCAAGAGGCGTATCAGGCAATGAAAACTGGCATCTGAGTAGCTCTGAGTACTCTCACAAAACTTTCCTACGCTCGATTGAACAGCGCTCAAATCAGCGACAATAGAGTGAGAAGTGGGTGGGAATCGCAAAGATCCTTCTTGATCTCGAGGAGAGCTTTGTAGAAAATACGACATCCATTGCCATGTCTTTAGAACGCTTGCCCAGTGCTCTGGAGCAAAATTCGAACCAAGAGATGTTGACAGTGATATTAGAGCTCTGAACACGCTTATCATTCTGGGGTATACTGGACGTGACATTGCATTAGGATCCGTTGAATTTTCTTTAGATTGTTGTACATTTCCAATGATTGACTCACTGATCGTACTAAGCATACCTGTTGCGGGGTTTGCGTTCTGCTCTGTACTGCTCGATGGTTCTGTGCTTAAAGAACCGCCTTCCACGGTGAGAATACCAAACAAATCCAGACACTGACTAAGGTTATCATTGACCTCAAGTATTCCAGAAGAATGCGAAAGCTTTTGAAATGCTCTTATCACTGCATGAAACAAAGGTGTGTCCAGCGTCGTTGAGTAGAGAAACATTTTATGCAAGGAAAAAAGACCGGGGAAAAGGCTGATGTAGTAAGGTTTGAAATCGTCAGTTGCACTTTCGCCTAGATCTTTCTGATTAATTGAAACGGCATGAGAACCTATTTCGTCGGAGATTTGATTTGAAATCAGTAGCACGAGATACACTCCATACGTTTGGTCTATTAGTGGGGGGTTCGATTTGTCAAGTAGCTCTATCAAAGGAAATTTCGCCACAGAAGTTTCCTGCGATATTATGGGACTGTCCCCCCGACCTAACACGGGAGAGATTTTCAAATAGCTTTGATACTCATTGGATGACATAAGATTTTGAAGAGCTTCAACCAAGCTTTTCAAGATGGGTCTGCGATCATTTTTCCTGTCGTAACATTTAAATATGGCCAGCATTAGAGTCAAGTTTTTCGATATAATTTGAAATACCTCCAGTGTCACAATCTTTTTCCAGACAGGCGAATCGATTTCGTTGCTTATAATTTTTATAAGCAAGAACAGTATAATTTCAAGCTCGAGCTCCAACACTTTCAAGAATTCGAGTCTTATAAGCATTACTAAACACCTCGCACTTCGGACAACTATCGGGAACTCTTTGGAAGAGGAGACTGATCGCAGCAGAAGAGGAACCGCTTTGGTCTTCAAAATAAACTGTAAATCAGCACAATTTACAAGGAGCTTACAGTGATTGTTCAGCACACTTTCCAAAATTTCAAGGCCGTAGTCTTCTGGAACGCTTTCGATGTTGAGAGCACTGTCTCGTTTCTGATGAGACCCGCTTTTGAGGCTGCAAAGATCAAAAAACAACTGATCTGCATCATATCGGAAGGGACCCACGGTAGCATAGTCTGTGTTGCTGACAGCAACTCTCAAAGTCGATTTTCCCTCTTCTTCTGGCAAATTGGCTCGATCGAGGATGTCGCTAATCAATTGCTGGAGCGTCGCACTGGCTGTTCCAACGACCATAGGTGCTTTATTAGGCTGTTGGAGAAGGCTAGAGCAGCAACACAAGAGCTTGGCACACAGATGGCCGGTAATGGCATCACTGTACGTTTTGAAGAAGATAGGAATTATTTGCAAAACTTTGAGCTGAATGTCAACGGCCAAATGTGTGGACTCCATGAAGGCATTCAGCACACCTTCTAGTTTCTCGCTTGGAACGCTTCTGATGCTAGATAATCTTTGGAGACATTGCATGGCAATGCTTGTCAATTTGGCATTTCTGGATGCACAAGACAGCACAAAGGGTGAAACAAAATCCGGATGACGCAGCAGATCGTCGAAACTATTCACGACCTTCAGGATCTCCTGCGATTTGTCACTTGCATGCTTGATTTCTGTGCTTCTGCGCTTAGATTCTGTTGATAATACATGCAGTTCTCGGAATAGCTGATGCTTAAATTTCTCAAAAGACACTTTAGTAGACATACGAGACCCGCTCAGAATCTAATGAGCTATTTATACACCTTGAATTGACTCTGCAATATCCTCAAACGACCCCAATGGACGACACTCGTCTTTCTATTCAGGGCTCACGGTTATATCGTCTGTGCATGATGAATGGATCTGGATCTCATTTGTATTGTTCAATTCCCTATTGATGGTGTACTCGTAGTTTTGAACAAATTGAAGAAAGTACTCGTGTATACAGAATAATGCGTGGAAAAGTGTCCTGCGGATTTCAAACTGGCTTATAAATGCCCTAAAGCTTAGATCTCACAACTAAATGATTTGGTGGTGTATGGAGCAGTTTTTTGGAATTTCGCTGCTTCAGCTTACTGCTTTGAAATTTGTATTTACCTAAAGTGACTGCAAAAAATTACTCCGCGACGGGGAATTGAACCCCGGTCCCGGGCGCGACAAGCCCGAATTCTAGCCACTAAACTATCGCGGATTGTAGTTGAGAAAACTACCTTTTTGAATGATATACCAATGTACAAGTGTCACCTGTTTTTGTCAAATATATATTCCGATCATCAACGCTCAGCTCTCTCTTTCGACACTGTCAATTGAAGATCGAGCTACACTGCAACACACTCAACTAGCAGCGTTGCAGTATGCTTAAGTCACTCAAATATCGGTACCGGCGTTTTCCACGGCTTGATACCAAGTCTTCTGCAATTTTGAACCACAACCGAGCTTTCAGCTCGCCCAATTGTTTCCAAGAAGCAAACAAAAGCTTTAAGTGCGTAGGAGGCTCCAGAGTTGTCCGTAACGACACAAGTTCGGTAGCAGCGGACCGGGGTTTGACTCCGAACCATATTCAAAAACAGCTTTTTTTAGTTCCAAAAGTAGGATCGACTGATCATATTCAACAAGACGAAGTTCACACCGATGGTTTGTTTGCTGGACACAAACCATTGTTTTTGGGTAATGCTTCGACCGAACCTAGAGGATCCAGGAACAATATCAAAACGATTTTTAGCACTTTGACTAAGGTCAAGAAAGTCACAGAAGGATCCACTTCCGAAATCGATGTGCAAGGAATAATCAACGATCTGAAAAGCGACGACAGTTCCTCAGAGACGGCAGTCAACTATGAAGGAATAAAAAAGCCGATCATTCCCTGGGATGCATCTATAAGCGGCATGGTTTACAACGACGAACCTTTCAAAGCTGTTCCTCGCACTGTTGTTGATAGACTCAGACCATACAAGCTGATACGAGTCGAAAGAAAAAGCAAATCCGCCAAGTTTAAAGCTCCAAAAATGATAAAGATGAAATTCCACAATGCCAAAATAAACGATGAAACCTTTTTGGTTGACATAAGCCAACCGAGAAACAGAAATCCTGCAAAAACCCGGTCAACTGAGCCCGTTTCCAAATCCAAGGAGAAATTCACGCAGTTCAACAGCTCACTGAACCAGTTCAAGTTCATCAGAGGTGATCAACATATTTTCAAGACCGATGTTACCAAATTAAGCACTTTTTTGGCTAAAGAATTCCAAAAGGCAACGAAACTTACCGTTGACACAGAATTCACAAGAAACGAGCTTCCTTTGTACATCTACATCCAAAATACGATATCCTCGAAGATGCTCCTAAAAAGATTCTTATTAGGACGTATCGTTGACCACACGAACCCACTGTTAAGAACCATTTTGTCTTCTTACGGCAATTCCCAGTACGGTGTAAAATTCGAACAACGGGTAAGGTCAAAGATTAATTCCATGGTCAACGATATTTCCGAATATTTGCCGTCAATTTATTTCAGCGGCAATTCAATCGATTGTGTGTCCGGCCCGAGTCCCGTTGCAGGATTTGGAAGGCTACACTGGCTCAATTATACAAAAAGACATCGAGTTTTATGGGGCAGCAATATTGACAACGACTTTGTTTTCAACATCGATGAGCATTACAAGATGAGTCGCAATGGTGTTCGGTACATGAAGCATCCAATCAGCTTACACTGTAGGACATTTTATGAGGCGTTTACGGAATGGGAGTAGGTACTCTGAAAAAATGAGAGTAATACACGAAAGTAGATGTAGCAAATATATATACACTTTGGTCACTGCTCGCCACTTGCGTTTAAGTCATTGCAGCTTCGATGAACGCTCAAGCAAACGTTCTTGCCTCCTCATGATGAAATACATCTTCTCCTGATTCTTGCACCGCACCAACATCTTCCGCTTCATCTGAATCAAACACGACATCCCTCGTGGCGTAAACGTAAATTTCATTTGGTCTGTCCAAACCTATCCTTCTCCTTACCTTAGCTTTACGCTTGCTGTAATCGTCGCTGCTATTTTTCGAGTGTAAACTCAGAGTTTTGATTGCTAGACCCTTAATGATGAAATGATCGGTGTAGTACAGCATTCCGTCTACAATTCTCGTGCAACCTTGCCAAACTCTCTCCTTGACTGGTGGCCGCTCACTAAACTCTACTTTGTTAGCATCGGGGGCAGCAGGGATCTGGGACGGTATGTTTCCGTACGGTCCACTGCTATTGCTACTGGAGGTGACATCATTTACAGTAGTCGGTTCCTGAGTTTTCAAGGCATACCTTGCAAAATAATTGTCCTCTTGATCGTCCACGTAGACTGGACGACCAAGCACGCTCTGTGCCTGCACTTTTCTTTCTAAAATCAGCAGATGATCGACCCATTGCCAAACTATCACAGCCGACCCAACGTAACATGTAGTGTTGAATATTTCACTCAAGTCATCGACCCAGATGTTTGTAACATCCGCAACGAAAAATGCTGGCTGTAAAAATATAATCAGTATTGTGATGACAGTGAGAAGTGTCATTCGCTGATTGTGGAAACAGAGTTGCCGCTTGATGAACACATTGAAAATGATTATGCTGGCGTAAAATGCAGAGAATGTTATCCGCAAGAGGTACACGAAAGGCGATAGCAGGATGAGACCGTCGTCATCGTAGGACCCTCCCGTAAAGTGATTCCTGGCAAGTTTTGTAAAGGAAGGAATAGCCCACAAAACCTGTGAAATGATGGATAATATGAAGCCTGTGAGGAAAACAAGTCTTTTTTCTCGAACGCGAGAGAAAAGTCTCATGACAATTTGAACCTGACAAAGCTGGCAAATGAGTACGACGAAAAAGTCCAGACAAGTGAACGCCATATCACTCCCAAGCAGGTCCAGCACCTCATCCGTGGAAACAATGGCTTTGTTGACATGTTCGCTTTTTAGCAGGTTTAAAGCCTTTGCCACGAATATTGTGAGATTGATGGACGCCAGAGAACTCCCGAGCTTCAATAGGTTGGAAGCCCCGCGATATGGCTTTTGTCGTACTGTGATAAACACAATGATGGTCAAAGAGAGTACGATCACGAAATTTGCCGTAAACGACAACAAGATCGCATAAATGCTATATTTGAAAGGACCACGGTCGCTGTCGTCCACCGAAATAAACTGATTCCAGTCCTGCTGGATAGCGTCTAAATATGGGAACGAATCTGCCGTCTTTAAAAGAGCGGAATACACCGGCATTCCATTATCGCAATAGCTGGTAAAATGGATGCCGTTGTAAAAAGCCATAGGGGTATCTTTGTGGGACCGCAATAGAATCCCACTACCTAAGTTAAGGCCCTTACAGCTCTCGTAAGTGTTGTTGCCTTTGTCATAGCGCCAAGAATCGGCTTTGCTCATTTTCATGTCGACTTGATGGGAGACCAGTTGGAATTGATGGTTGTAGTTGTTGAAGTACGATTAAGACCTCTAAAGAGACGATAAGCATTGGGTTGAACGACCAAAACTAGTTTGGGTCGTGAGGTATCTTCTTGGTTATAGTAAGCGGTAAAGAAGTAACCTAGAGGGTCGACCTTTGGCATTTTTGATGCATCGCCTACAGAACTATGAGCTGAGCTCATCACTGCAGAGGGACTCGTTGGTAGAGGTGATCCAATTTAATATCGGTCGTTCTGTACGTAACCATTTTTGTCACGTGCTTCTATCAGGACTAAGGAGGGAACCTGTAGTAACATAAGAGCCAGAGCTCTCAAATTTGAATGTGACGTACACGAATAACGTCTGGGTCCGTGTGGATTTGCATTTCCCAAGCACCAAATGTTTTCCACGATGAAAGATTCATTTGTTGTAAAAACTTCAGGTCATTTGGTACGAGCACTTTGGTGTAAGTGACATTTGGTTCCTCACATCTGATGTGTCAGTACGCCAAGGTATCAGCATCATTTGGATCAATTGTTGAATTAAACTATGACCAAGTTCCCCAAAAATTGTTCAACTCACAAGGTCCCATTTCACAACCCCGATTTCAAAAACACATTATCACTTTATGCGACTCCTTTTTATTGACCGGACTTGTGCGGACTTATGACTAGTGCAGGAGCCAAGATTGAATTCCGAAATCCTTGACACGCATGCACGATGAGTACTCCGAGTCTAATAGGAGAGATCCGTAATGATGCTGGGACATACGTATAAATACTTTTGTTTCTTTAATCCTTTATACGCTGAAGATATATAGTGTCGTTTTGTACGACTGTGTATATTTCTACCCTAGTTCCGGCTCAAGTAAGAAGCGTATACATCCGTATCTGGTCTCATCGTAATCTGACAATCCGTGGCTATCACAAATCTTAATCTGTCTGGATTCCATGGCTGCCACATCATAGCTTCGTGTACTCCGCGCTTTGTTTTCTGTTTACAAGAAAGTAAAAGATAACGTGCCAATATATGTCCATTAAGTACCTAATACTTATGAACCCTTCGAAAACATAAAAAGGACATAGCCGCCGAAACACACAATTTGTGGTGTTGAGTGTGCTTGCGTGATTTTAATAGCTGTAGTATAGTTAATTATATCTTAGGTAGGTGTCTTCCTGTTCATTTCGACTTGCTATGCTCAAAGTATAAACCCGTGTCTAAACTGAGCTATCAAAACGAAGAAACTAACGACTGAGAGTATAGACGACGGTTAGACAACGATGACACAGAGCTTCGAGCAGATTGTAGCGAAAAATGCCAACTGAAGGAAGAATATTGAGTGTCTAAGCTGATTGTGTCTTTTTGACGCCGCGAACAATCCACAGAGGGCGAATATTCAAGAAGAAGCATTTTTTAATGGAAGAAGTTGTAAGAAGGACAACAAATGTCCCAGTTGATTGCGCTAAAGACTGTCAGAAATCATTTTGCACCCCTTTTTACTAGGTTTGAGCAAAAATTCAATTACAAAATGTTACATCCAAGTCTTCTACTCCGAAAATGTTCCCAATTTCACTCCCCACATCGACGATGATTTGTGTCGCTTTGAATCCGCGACGGGATCTGATGGTTTTGATTTTATCAAAACGCCCTTTTGCTTTTTGTGAAGATCTAAGAGCAATGCCAATTAATCCTTACCAGACGTTTTTCAATACACCAAAATCCATCGATAGTGGCCAGACCCTTTTGTTTAACGAACTTTCATCAAGCTCACGTTCAGCTATAATTTTTGTCACTTTGGAATTGCATCATCGTCATTCCCACATTTTGTTTCTAAAGTGTCATTAAAATCGAAAAAGTTGACTGATCCAGGCATTTCCAGCCAACCAGAGACTCTTTGTTCGAGAGACGCTGCAATCTTCGGGCCGCTGACGGGGGATGGATAACAGTGTTGGTACTGTACGTGCCAATGGCAAACATAGCAAGACTGACGGTCGGATGGTTTACTTGTCAACAAAATCGCCATCTGTGCCAAACTTGAATGAAGCGTATCATGGGCGGTTTGGAAGACGTATATCTCCTGAAAGACCACAAAGTCAGCTATCTCCACTATCAATTGCGGAGGATCCAACAAATGCAAGCCTGATTGATCTTTATGGGGACGACGACGACGACGATGACGAAAATGAAAACGAAAATGAAAGCCAAAGTGCCGAAGTTGTTCAAAATAGTCACAAAAGCCCTGAAATAGAATCTACTCCAGCGTTTTCACGCTCTGTGAGCACCGGAATTCAGGGCTCCAGTGAATATTTGAGCAGAGATCATGCCACCAAGGATCTATCGCAATATGACCGTTACGGCTTCAAGAAACAAAATGCGCACATAACACAGGAACAATACCATGAGTGGTGGGAGGAATACTCCCGCTATTGCATCCGTAGAAAACGCAAATGGCAAGACCTTCTGGCTAAAAGTGGCCTGGCCATATCAAACAACGACGTTCCTGATAGGTTCCCGCCAAGAAGCGAGAAACTGAAGCGATATGTACGTAAAGGCATTCCGGCAGAATGGAGGGGACAGGCGTGGTGGCAATTCGCACGCGGCCAGGAAAAATTAAACAAGAACAAAGGTGTTTATGACAAGCTTCTAGCTGGCATCAATGCTCGAAGTGATAAAGTCTCAGGTAGAGACCTCGAAGTAATCGAACGAGACTTGCATAGGACGTTTCCCGAAAACATACATTTCCAAAAACAACCGAATAACAATGAAGAACCGTTGATGATCCAATCGCTGCGTCGGGTGCTGCTGGCATTTTCTGATTACAATCCGAAAATTGGTTATTGTCAATCCATGAATTTTCTGGCTGGGCTACTTTTATTGTTCTTAGACGAAGAGCGAACATTCTGGATGCTTGTTATTATCACATCACGGTATCTGCCTGGCGTACACAATATCAATTTGGAAGGTGTTAACATTGATCAAGGTGTTTTGATGCTCTGTGTCAAAGAGTACTTGCCTGATTTTTGGCAGCGTATTGTTACCAAAGACCAAAGTCGAAATAATGAATTTCTTTACAGACTGCCACCGGTCACTTTATGCACGGCAGGCTGGTTCATGAGCTGTTTTGTGGGCGTTGTACCGATTGAAACCACATTGAGAATTTGGGACTGCTTATTTTACGAAGAGTCACACGTACTCTTCAAAACATCTCTATTTATCCTAAAGATCTGCGATCAAGAGGTTACTGCTGCTCGTCGAATGGCGCGTAATAAGAACCTGAGCAAAGATGATAGCGACATCGAAATGTTTCAAGCTATACAAACGGTCCCGAAAAAACTTGTCGATCCCCAGATAATCTTCGAGCGCGTTATCTTCAAGAGGCGCAATTCATTAAATGATCTCAGTCAAGACGAAATTGATAGATGTCGTAGGTATGTTTCGGCACAACGCCTGAAGTTCAAAAACTACGCTGATATCATGGGCGATAGATCGACCGCAAACGAAAATACAAAAAGGGACATTAGCATGGGATCAGACTTTGTTGAAAATGCTTTGTCCTCTGAAGTGTACGGTTTCAGGCGGAGCCTTACTGCTGCACACTGGAATAATAGCATAAAAGAAAGGGTTCGGCAGATTAGAAGAAAGTGAACCTTTTCGAAAAATTTCTTTTCCTAAGAATTCATCCTATGTATACAAGACATAGCTGTTTGAAAGCATGTCTTTCGACGCAATTTGGTCGTCGTTAACAAATGATTGCTTGGTCGAGGACATCAATCCAGATCCGAAGGTTCTGTGGACTGCCAACCCCTTTGAAGACGCTCCAAAATGGTGTTTGCGGTGGCTGCATTGCTTATCTCTGCGTGAAGAAGCGCTTTGATCTTGTTCCAAGGTACCTCTACTGTCGCAGCTTGAGCGCTTTCTTGACCGGTGACAGTTTGTGATTGCTGAAGCTTCGAGACCATAACAACCAAATCGGCCTCTTGGACCTTCAAATCTGACACCAACACATTGTCATGAAGCACTTTACCTTTCAACAATATCTTCAATTGAGAAGTGTCTACGATGGAATCTTCAAGTTCGACCAAGAACCGTTTAACTTGATATATGGTCTGGGTGGGGGAGAACTCTTTAGAGTGTACGAATTTGGGCGCTCTAATCGACTTTAAGCGCAGTTGAACAACAGAACTGGTACCAGGACCTGACAATGCGCTTTTCCTGGCTCTTTTATGGTCGTATTTGTATCTCAAAGCCGGTAATGCTACGCCTAGATTGGTAACATCTTGCAATGGTTTTTTCGAGTCGGAAGAAAGAGCCGATTGCTGTAAAGTAGCTAGAGCTACAAATTTGCAGATGAAATCCTTTTCTGGTGAGCTCATTGATATCGGTTGGGATCTTCCAGAGGCGTTAGACTTGGTTCCGATGAAATCTTTCGAGGTTTCCGCTATGCAACTGATATGAATAGAGACATTGATCATATAGAACTCAATACCGAAAATATCACTTTTTACTAAACTGACGCTGGAAATTCAATAGCAGAGACTACGAGGAATAAAATGGAGCAACGAGTTGAAAACAAGCTTTTGGAATCTGGGATTGATTTATCTCTTGCTAGTAAGATCATACGGCCGCAAGACATCAATTTATGTCTGCTTTTTGAAGGTTTTTCTTGAAATACTTCGAGAACGGATACTGAGAACGACGATGGTAATTTTGGAGGAATAATGGTGACCTCGATGTGATAGAAGATCAACTACTACACAATGCAGTATTGCAAAGCTCTCCCTGTTGGAGATAGTTTTCCATCACTTTACACGCACAGACGTCTCTACTCAAGAGAATGACCAAAGTCGGACTTTAGTTGAAAACAAGATCTGTAACTTCGATGGGCTGTACAAGTCTATCTATTTTGTCACATATTTTGCCTTAAATGTATCTTACACCGGTAGTTGGATCATAAAAACTCTGTAATTAATATGATATTGATAATCCACCAATTTTTTCAGGAAAACATCGAGAATACCATCAAACGGTCGAAGAAAACTAGCACAAAGGCAGCTAGAAGAACGCCAGTAACTGGACTCTTCAAAAATGGAAAATCAACTTTATTTAACCAGGTCACGTGACTCTATTCAAGCTAATATAATCGAAGTGTCTACTTATATAGTGATATAATCAGAAGTAGTGAATACTTACTTGTAAGGGAAGACTTGAACGATGAGCTATCTTCAACATTTGTCCAGTGCTATACGCTAGAGCCGCTGAGGGACCTTTTCACTGACAAAAAAGTAGCATACATCCAAGCTGTATGAACAGTACCCTGGTGAGCTCGAGTTTGCACAAAGATGCTGAGAATCCAACATTAAAACAGGCACTTTTCTTCAATTACCACGAGTTTTCGGTTACCAGATACGCAGATTTGGGTGAGGACCAAGAAACAGAGCATCAAGACGACCAGGCGTTATGTATAACGCATTTTCCTAATGTGCATTGTGCACTTGGTTCTGTGCGCTTCCAAGAAACCCGCTTGGTTAGGATTCCTCGCAGATTCGAGACTACTGTTGACGTTCCTGCGTTCTCCACACAATTACCGGGCCAGGAGCCCGCTGCACTGGTGGATAATGCTGATAATGTGAATTTTGTTCCGCGTGGCGTCTACCAAGGCCAGATCTACGGGATGTCGTCAGTGAGTCCGCTCAGCGGGCTCATGACCGATGCGGAGTTCCAGGAAGTAGTCGAAACCGTCAATGGGTATTTGGTGAAAGCGTACACATCCACTGCCGGGTGGAATCTATTCAATTCATTTATGGACATTTTCACCTTCCAGCTGTGGAGTAATGTTGCAGTCAAGATATTCCAGAGTCCGTTAGTGGCGCTTGAAAACTACGTCTACGAATTAAATACATCCCCAAAGTTTCAAGAGCGAAAACTGCAGCTAATTTCGCCTCGAAAATCTGGGTACCTTTCGGTATGTTAAAACAGGGAAACAAGCCTCGGGAAGAACCGAGGCCAAATGGGGAGTAGCACTTTTATTAGAGGTTGCGCCATTGAACTATCACTGGCTGATCTCTTTTTGAACTCAGTGACAGCGTTTTTGGTTAGCTCAAACGTGACCCAGCGCCGAAGCTTAATACTAACCGTAACAAATGATCACAGCTCGATTTCGAGATTTCCAGACCCCGTGTGACGTGAGTGAAAAATATCAGTAGCAGCATGAGATGGGATGAGATGAGATGTCAGTGTGATAAAGAGACTAAGTGAACGAGTGGGTCGCCTTGTCCGAGCGCGTACTAGTTCGGCGACATTCAAGCTTGACAAGAAGGACAAATGAACGGAATTTTTGCAATTGAAAAGCCCAGCGGAATTTCATCGAGCCAGTTTCTGCTAAAGCTGCAAAATGTACTGATGAACAGTACAGTATTCTCTAAAGAAATACAACGGGCTACCGCGGAAAGGATGCAGCAATTTCAGCGGGAAACGGGGAAGGTACCAAGCAAAAGGAAATTGCGCAAAGTTTCCAAAGTGAAAATGGGCCATGGTGGGACTCTGGATCCTTTGGCCTCAGGTGTGCTGGTCGTCGGAGTTGGGACCGGGACCAAAAAGTTAGGACAGTATCTCTCAGGCACCGTCAAAGTCTACGAGAGTGAGGCGCTTTTCGGGGTTTCTACGACTTCGGGAGATGTAGAGGGAGAAATCTTGTCAATGCATGCGGTTGATCACTTAACAATGGCAGAACTCAAAACCATGGAAAAAAAACTTGTGGGTACTCTGAAACAAACGCCTCCAATTTTCGCAGCTCTCAAGATGAACGGGAAGCCTCTCCATCAATACGCGCGCGAAGGCTTGCCTCTTCCCCGTGCTATAGAACCCAGACAGGTTGAAATACACAGTTTGGAGGTTTTCCCGGATTCACTGAGCACAGACCACAGTTATCAACTTCTGAGACCCACCACCAAGGAAAGTGAGGAAACTGTGTCTGGTTTAAGTCATCAAAGTAATTTATTGACTGATACGCTGTATTTTTCTAAACAGTACTGCGACTCGCAAGGTTGGGAAACAGAGGATGCTCGCGTAGAGTCGCCTTTGGTTTTGAGCGCCGAACAAATGCATGATTTGGTGCAGAAAGGTGATGAGTATCGTGCTCCTCTGTTACACTTCAAGGCTAAAGTTTCGTCGGGAACCTATATCAGATCGCTGATCAGCGACATAGGCAAAGCAATGCGTTCTTCGTCGTACATGGTCAAACTGGTTCGATGCCAACAGCAGGACTGGGCTCTTGACAAGCAAAATGTTTTCAAGATGGAAGATTTCACCGAGAACGATGAAGCAGTGTGGACAGAAGTACTGGAGAAAGTTTTAGACAAAGGTTCTGCAGTTGATATCAAAGAAGAAATGGTACAAGCTCAGAGAAAGATCAATAATCTCCAGCAAGAGCTGAATGCACAAGCGCAACGGGATCTAACGGCTGACGGTACTATTTCAGAACCTGCCAAGAAAGAAGAAGCCTCAGGTGCTGGCACGAAGCGAACCCTAGACGACGAAGGCGAAAAAAATCTCCCATGACTACCCTTCAATGATATGTAAGTTTTTAGAAGATCCCACATAGTTGCACGTATCGAAAGGTTCACCATTTTGGAAAACGTTGTAACTGAGATAAAATAGTTCCGAATGAGACGTTTTGCTGGGGCATGAAAACTGGAAGTCAGGCGGACAATCTGTCACGAGGCTATAGCACATATCAACACAAGGCAAGACTTCAAAATAGTCATTCAATGGCTGTATTTGTTGGTTCAAGTACTCGTTTCTATTATCGTCTTTTTTCCTGTGAATGAAGTACTTGGATTGCAATGTCGTGCAACGCGGTATGCTCACAGCACAAAGCCAATTTCTATAGGCTTCGGCACAATCGTCACAAGACCTTAGCGGGGAAAATTTGGCATCATCCTCTGTGTCGCAGGGTATGATCTGCAATGCTTTACTGAAATTAGCGTACAGAGACTTTGCAATGTCATCATACATGATCGCGTTAGCCGTCTTATTTCCTATGGCGAGACTTGAAGTCGGCACTGAATACGCAACTCCATCGCAGAAATCTAAACCGAATATGAGCGAGCAAGAATTGTCACTTAAGGTGGTGAACGTAGATTTGGAAAATAAAACACCACCATCTGAGCTTAAAACGTTTTGATTATCTGAAATCTTTTTGGTTAGATAGACGACATAAGTTGTCGATGCGTTCAAACCTGTTATGTGAAATTGCTCCTTCACGGAACCTTCTCTAACAGTAATGGACTTTTGAATTGCTAATCCTGTGGAATTGTTAGCCCCATAGCCATACGCCGCGCTAGTATTTTTCGCAGATGATACTAAGTAGGGCCCGTTTCGCACAGCACCAAGTGAATGTGTCAAAGAATTGTCGAAGTAATCAATGTCGGAATAGGAATAGAGGTAAAGGTCGTACAATGCGGTATCGTATATCGAGTAATTGGCGCTAGTACTACTCTGCGTTACGTTTCCTGTCACTAGTAGAGCAGAATCATAATCGGAGTCGACCAATTCTATCCAAGCACGATTGTCCCATTGGAAAACCAAATCATACTGCGATATGCTTAGCGTATAATTCCAAAAAAGTGATTCAGTGGCTTGTGACGGCACCACAACGGATTTGGATGTCATGTTGTAAACGTCAACCACTAGGAAAAGATTGGAGTATTCAGTGGAGTTATCATTCTGGTTTAGCGGTCGCAGTGCGAGGGCTTCGAAATATCCCGCCTGGAAAAGCGCTAGATTCCCGGTCTCGGTAATGTTAGAGAGAACGGATTCGTCGAATGTGTAGTAAACAGCAAGTGCCAGGTCAGAATACGAGTGGAAAAGCTCCGGTGCTTGTGTGTTCACATTGCCACTTAGAAATACAAGCATATCGAGACTTGACATAATACGTGAATAGCTGGAATTGACCGGGAAAGTGAAATATTGGCGATCACCGGGCGCAATAGTTGATCGTACGGGGGTCCATTCTTCAATCATGCCCGAGTTGAAAAATGACCGGTCCTGAAATTGGAACGTTGAGAGATCACCGGAATGCGCAGGGATTCCAAATTCGTCCCAATCTTCAAGATCGAGCGAAGCCCACACCGCTGATATAAAAAACCATAACAAATAGAGCATTTCGTGAGGACTTCAGATCTAATCGTCGGTTTAAGGTCCCATAAAAGTACAGAATGACAAATCGTAGGGTAATGACCCGAAGAAAGAGCAGTTTTTGGCTCCTAGTCCTTAGTTACCACCTTCAAAGCTTCCAAACCTACAATAATAGACCGACTAAAGTGGGTCACAGCAGATCTGAATGCTAGTCTTTTCAAGATGAGATGCTTCTTTATGTCTATCCATCCATATATTGATATATCATACGGTACATGTGACCTTAAATATGTATTTTCCGAAAAAATAAAAAATAAACGTCACAGACAGGATTCGAACCTGCGCAGGTAAAACCCAATGCCTAACTCGCTTTCGATATGTCGAATAGCAGGGCATCGCCTTAACCACTCGGCCACTGGGACGACTTTGATTGAAAGCAAATGTAATTTGAGAAGGTTATAAAGGCTAAACAAGTCTGATGAATGAAAGGCATGAAGGAACTCCAACACAGACAGATCGAAGTTTGTGGGCAGTAATTATGAGGGTATCTTAGTCTTCGGGAGGTGTGGAAACACGATATGTGAGTTAAAATAGAGTTTCATAGTTAACCCCTCAAGAATCAAGAAAAACGCTCTAGAGAGCGGTTTGAAGTGAGATAAAATAAATGCAGCCCATGTAAGAAGGATTTATTAAGCTGGTTATCGTACTAGGAACGATGGATTGACAGAATTAGAACTCCTTTTATCCAAACTGGTCAGTTGGTCATTATGAACGACAGAGAGAAGTGATGGAGATTACAAGCTCAGTGAGGCAACTAGTTGATGAGAAGGCTATAGGAACACTCAATGGATACTCATTGGATAAATAATGTCGAGTTAGTCCAGGAACAAATGAGAATCCGGGGACCTTCACATAGTTACTCTTCGTACGATAGTGTCTCGAAAAACACAGAACCACGGTTTGAAATGTGTGCAACATGGACCGGAGCACTGATACATGGTCCTCAATAAAGGGTCATTACCAGGATCTTTGTACGTGGGAATTCACTGACGGGAACCATGTTAGCGTGTCACTTATATTAAGTACGTCGCTGGCAACATGTGTCACTTTTCACGCAGCCATGATACATATCGCGCCCTGTGGCTTCAAAACTTGTCATTCTGAGCTCTAGTTTTGTTGCAGCTCTATCTTGTGACAAACCTACACCGTTACTGCTTCGTTTTTGTTCCTGTTTTTGAATATTCAGACCTTTCATAAACCTTAAAATTGAGTTATCGAAACTCGCCAAGAGAGGTAACCTTACCGGAAATTTTGAGCTTAGAGCTATTTCAAAAGATAATAGAACTGTACTCAACCACTTCGACAACATGATACTGTCAATGTTCTTGTTGAAAAAGCCATCCGTACCAAATGATAATTATGTTCAAATCACTATGGGCATGTCTATTAACTCATCGATTCCCTCGAGACCATCCATTTTGAATTCTTAAACCCATCGATAACAAAACTCTCTCAGCCAATTGTACCCATTTTGAGCTTGACTACAATGAGTAGATCTTCTGAAAACCTGCCATGGATTGAAAAATACAGACCTGAGACCCTGGATGACGTATACGGACAACGAGAAATTGTCGGGACGGTCAGGAAATTTGTGAAAGAAGGCCGGCTACCGCATCTACTATTCTATGGTCCTCCAGGAACCGGTAAGACATCTATGATAGTTGCCCTCGCTAGGGAGATTTACGGCAAGAACTACAAAAATATGGTTTTGGAGCTTAATGCTTCAGACGATCGAGGTATTGATGTGGTGAGAAATCAAATCAAAGAGTTTGCCTCAACCCGTCAAATTTTTTCCAAGGGGTTTAAGTTAATCATCTTGGATGAAGCAGACGCCATGACCAACGCAGCACAGAACGCATTGAGGCGTATCATCGAAAAGTATACGAAAAACACGCGGTTCTGTATCCTGGCAAACTATGCCCACAAACTGACACCAGCTCTTCTGAGTAGATGTACTCGATTTAGATTTCAACCTTTGCCGGTTGAGGCCATCGAAAAACGTGTGAATAAAGTGCTGATACTGGAAAACCTTAAGCTCAGCCCAGAAGCCTTGAAAGCGCTTTTGAAGCTATCCAAAGGTGACATGAGAAGAGCTTTAAACGTGTTGCAAGCAAGCAAAGCAACGCTGGACAGTCCAGATTCCGAGGAAGTCACGGAAAATACCATCTATGAATGTATTGGTGCGCCTCACCCGCAGGATATCGAGACAGCCTTAGAGTCGATGCTTAAGGACGACTGGAGCACGGCTTCCTTTACTGTGAACAAAATACGCACCAGCAAGGGTCTGGCTTTGATCGATTTAATCGAGGGCATAGTGGAGGTCTTGATGGAGTACGAACTGAAGACAGAAACGCGAACACAACTTTTGAGCAAATTGTCGGATGTCGAGTATGCGATTTCCAAGGGTGGTAATGATAGAATTCAGAGCAGTGCTGTTATTGGTGTGGTCAAGTCGAGTTTCGAGCTGGAGACTTGAATTTGTCGCGGTACAAAAAGAAGAATATTACCGACCAACTAACTGGACGCAACACGGTCACTATCAAACGTCACAAAATGTGCTGTTCATGGGTGCTCGAAGAAGGCTGCTATGCCAAGCGTAGAGAGCTTTTTTCAGCGAGTAATGAGCCAATCTCACAGGTGACATTGAACTCTGAATTGGCTTCCATTACCGGAGGCAGCCCGACAATCGTCTACATAACGAGTTTACGGTGAGGTCTTACCATTTTAGGATTTCCGGTGCTTGGAGTGCCAAGCGGAAGAAAAAAGTTTAGTTTAGCGAGTCTCACACGCAAGAGGACAGCAGTAGCAAATCTCGCAATAATCATAAGTAGCCTGTCAGCCTTGTCTGGAAACTAAGTTCGATCATAAGCACAGTTGGACCAAATGCTGTGCTCTACGGTAGCTTATCACTTTTTATCTTGTGTGTCATACAATATCGCACGTGACAAATATCAGTTTACAGACTAAGATTCCCGGACAGTGTACGGTCACTATAGAGTCTCTCTACAACCTTTCAACCTGGCTTAGGACTCCTCAATTGGTTCCCGGTAAGGAGAATAGCGATAAATGAATCTTGGTTCGGAATGAAACGGCCAATATCGCTTTCTAAGGCCATCACTAACGTTAATTGTCACCGTGGTCACTGTCACCGTCAAGGGCTTCCCACGTTGCCAGAGGTGAAAATCCGTCTCCCGACAGACTCGAAATAATCGACGTCGGTACGACAAAACGTTTCCACATCCGGAAAAGTGCGTCTAGGCTCTCCTAATTGTCTGGTACCACCAAAAAACCAAAACGATCTCAAACCTCAAACGCCGGACACTAACTAAAAGATACTTTTTCTGTGTAAGCTACTGCGAAAATTCCCCCAACCCTCGAGCTCCATCTCTCTGAGTTCCCACGACAAGATTTCCCACCCCGGTTTTCAAATTCCGCCAAAAATAGTCTAATTGGGCCCATTTTGAGCTTCAAAGGGTAACCCGCTAACCACGAAACTGCAAACTCTACTTTTCCACTGTTACTACTATCCCCGGAACTCTTCGAAAGATGCGAAATCCACGAACGGTTTAGTTGTATGTCTTTTCGGGCAATGTACCACGAAATAGAATACTGCGAAAATTACATCGACGACTGCGAAATACTGGAAAAACTACGAAAAATAGCAGATGCGTGGATAAACACGGCATCGCTATGGGAAGCGAAGTCCAGAGATCCGCCCAAGTAGCACGAACGGTTGAAATTGTATATAAGAAACTGTATAGTTACCATTAAAACCTCAATGCTGTAAATCGATGTCACTATATATCTGTTTCGCCTCAACCAAGCAGCCATCTCTATAGTAGTACTAGTTCTTTCAGGCTTGTAAGGACCGAAGTGCACTCTTACGCAACGAAACACAACTAAAAGCACCTGAGCCCTATTTCTTTCAAATATGAATGACTCTAAGGCTCTTCGTGTACTGTTCAAGTCCCCTGTCACTGACGACATGATTCGGTTTTTGACAAACACCACGCTGCGCGTGATACCCTGTGCGAAGGAAACCAAAAATGCGTATCCTTCGCCTCCGGCAAGCCCCTCTGAGAACGGCAAGAGATCTTTGCCATCTTTAATGACCTTTATTACGCGGCTGGTCCGCTACACGAACGTTTACACGTCGACACTTCTCACGGCTACCTGCTATCTGCACAAATTGCAGAAAATTCTACCCAAAGACGCCCATGGTCTGCCCTCTACGAGCCACCGCATTTTCTTGGCGTGTTTGATTCTCAGTGCCAAATACCACAACGACTCGTCGCCCCAAAACAAGCACTGGGCAGAGTACACTGATGGTGTGTTCTGTTTGGAGGACGTGAACCTGATGGAGCGTCAGCTGCTGCAATTGCTGAACTGGGATCTCCGGGTGGAGGAGCAGATGCTTTGTGACTCCCTCGAGTCCTTGCTGGCACCCATCAGATACGATTTGGAGAGATCTCGCAAAGCAATGGCTCGCAACCAGTACCATCAGCGCAACATGAGTGCATCTTCAAGCACGAGCACACTGATCGGCACTCCTAGCCTTCAATCTCTCAAATCGCTGCCGGCTCTGCCCAAGCTTCCATCGCTGCCCAGACTGGCGTCGTGGTCGTCGTCCTCGTCGACACCCAAGACACTGCCGAATAAGCTGGCGCAGCCGGACTCGTCAATTGTATATATGCGCAGCGACTATAGTACTGCTACGCTGGTTTAAGACTAGATAGGATATAGGGAATGGGATAATGAAAGGATTAGGAGCCAGTTGAGCTTTGGAAAATCGATGAGCGCTGTGCGGAAACTTATGTAATCCGCGCCAGGGTGCTCGAGGATGTGTCAGAATAGTACAGAGTGATCTCAGAAGATGGCGTTTGTTTTGTAGTGTTGAATTGCCCGGCAAGTCACATCCTTCCCTTCGAAATACGGTTAACTTCAGATTTCGATTACCTCACCCAAACAGACGTTCACCAGCTTTCGCCAAGACGGTCGAAATTAACAATTCTACGAGTTTTTTTTCTCTAGGTGTTTTCTCACCTTTGGACCTGAAGTCTATATGATCCATACCACACCAGAAACCACAGCTGTATATCCTATTTTCATAGCACTCCAACCTTACCAAAGGTGTCGTGGATCAAACAATCTGACGTCTCTTTCTTGTATGCCCTCGTCGGACACATCTTTCCGCCCGGGTAACGACCGAGGAATATTTTCTACTATAAAAACCCTAGGATAGATAGGAGTTTATCTTCTTAATAACTTGAAATGTAAAATCTAAAGATCATCAACGAGCTTTGCGAAGCTGGAACATTCGGCAAGAACGCTCAAAATGGTCTTCGTAACCTTATTTGTGTCCCGACACCCTAGCAAATATGTATTTTAGTTTCCATAAGTCTATGGAATTGCAGATTTGTAACCCTCCAAGTGATGAGTGAAACGCTGTGCACCAGTCTGAAAGTTCCACACGTACTCGTGGAGCAGTGAAGCATTGAGTATAACCCAATATCTGATGGAGCAGTAGTACTATTGTAGAATTTAAGCACGACCTACATGTCCTTAACAGAAAAAACGTCTTGACGAAACCTGCATTAGAGCACTTCGACTTAAGAGACTGTAAATACAGATAGAAACACCGAAAGTGTCTGACCGTCAAGAAGGAATGAAACACCGAAAGTGTCTGATCGTAAAGAGAGCAAAAAACCACCGAAGGTACCTTTAACTTGTGGTTGGAGTTCGTCCCAAGAATTAAGATCACCGGTAAATTTCAATAAGCTTCTCGTTTGACGAATTCAACTAAAAGACTATGAACGACGACCTAAGACGACTTTTTTTTCTTGTTTTGGACAGAGAATTTTGATCTGCCACTCACACACATTAATTCGTCCCGATATATCCTTCAAAAATGAGCTGCGGCGCGTCATAGGACTTTGGAAGAATGATGGCTAAACCCGACCCGATATCATGCATGCTCGAGCGTGTCCGAAGCTGCTTGATATCGGTGTAGGAAAAAAAAAGTGGGCCGTGCGTTTGGGGCATACACAACGTGCGCAGAGAGATCCACGAAACAAACGGTTCAAAAAAGCCGGATGGCCAAGCGTTACAACGCGTTTTGATGGAAAACTGGTCATTTCATCTGTTGAGCGAGGTTATGAAATTAAAACCGTACATAGATTAGGGCAAATCGAATCAGGAATGGTGTTAAAACCTAGAAGTATATAAAGAGCACTCAAACTCGAAGAGAGCAGGACTCTGTAGATAGGATTAGAAGAATAGATCATAAGTGTAGACCACATCGAACTCACAATCTAAACCGAAATCACAATGTCTGAAGAACCAAAAACCGAAACTAAAAGTGTCCCTCTATGGCTGCAAAGCCGTGAAGCTGTTATTGCAGCGACCCCAGAATCCGTATGGCGTCACGGTAAGCCCAACTACAACGTCACCAACAAAAGACTAGACGATCAGCGTCAAATGAAGTTTGAACCGGGCTCTTTGGAACAAACCGTGTCGAACTTGGTGCGTGTGTTCGAGATGGAGGCGACTCACAAGGAAAACCCAGCCGACTGGATCTCTGTGGACCCTGAGGTGTTCCGGATGACGGTGAACGGCAGTCGTGAGTACACGGTGAAGGACGTTACCACCAAGGGAGGCTACAACGTGTTCATCGGCGACTTGCCTAACTACAATGCTTCAGCGAGCAATTATGAAAAATCGGAGGAAGATTTCCGTAAAGCCATGCGTTCTGGGTTTTTGTGGGAGCTACTGACGCTTGAGACAGATTTGCCAAAGGCGACTTTCACCTGGAGACATTGGGGCAGCCAAAACGGAGTTTTCAATGGTCACAAGGGCGACGGTTCGCTTATGGATGTTCCTGGAACGTCGGTGGCGACATTGAACTCGGAATTGAAGCTCATCAGACTCGAACACACATTTGATGCCCAGGGAGTTATCAACTCTTTGTCTGGAGTGTGTCCTCTTGGCCACAAATAGGGTGAGCGTGGGAGCTTGAGAGGGAGAGAGAGAGAGAGAGAGAGAGAGAGAGAGAGAGAGAGGGGAGAGAGAGAGATATTTATGCTACGAGCTATAGCGATTGAATATATGTGTAGATCATTAAGCGTGTGACGTCGATAGTGATACCATACCGTAATTACCGTAAGGAAATCTAATGATTGGTGGGTTTTTTTTATCTTCTGGGATCCCGAGTTGCCACATTTGAGCGTTGAGGTGTGAATGTGTCATTTTCTGGATCGTCGCGGGTGTGCGCGTGTGTGTGTGGAGCACCGAAAGTTACGATAAGTTATGGTCACGTGATGACACGAAAGGACAGAATGATAAGGAGGACAACCGGGTAGACCGTACATAAAACAATGTGGATCATTTGAGATGGTTATTACAGAGTTTCTAAGGTTTCCTAAAAGACCTGATTATTCTACTTTTCGAAAACTAGCACGTAATGTGCACTTAGTATTCTGTTACGCTGGTGTTATTTCAATTTGTCCTGTAATCTACACCGTTCACACGCATTTTTCTGTAGTTGAAATTCACCGTAGGGTTCAAAACAATAATTTCCAAGGAGCTGGATAAACAAAAACTTGATCCGCATATAACTACCATACGGATCACGTGATATAGCATTATTTATGTTTGTCCTCCCTTCCTCCCCAGCTGGTGACGTGAGGTCCAGACCTTTGTTGTATTACATACCTCACACACCATATCTCACTTTCCATGTTCCCTTAATCCTCAACGGCTGATCTAAGAAACACGCAGCGACAGTAGTTCTTCGCGAGCCTCACCAATGCGTACATAACAATGCCAAGATACACTGATACACTGATACACTGATACACTGATGCACTGATGCACTGATACACTTCACTAATCCAGCCAGCCAGCCAACCAGCAACCCACGACACACACAACGAACTACATTCCCTCTTCCTAACACTCCAAACTACACACCATCACGGTTCTAGCTCTGCCTCTGAGCCTCCTTGGCCTCCTTCGCCTCGTTCGCCTCCTTCGCCTCGTTCGCGTCCCTCGCTACACCTCTCTTACCCTAGTTTCTGTCTCCTCTGACTTCAACTTCAACTTCACCGTTCCTGTCTCTGTCCCACCGTAGTCGCTGTTGTAACGCTATTTTTGCCCTAGCCCGATGCTCATCGCCTAGGATTTTCCACGGTAGGGTTTTTTAGCACACCGGCCTAGTACCACCACAGCGCGAATGCAAAAAAATATAGGCTAGTATATGCTGGAAGAAGAAGAAGAAGAAAAAAAAAAACAAGGAAACCGACAGAAAGAAATGGACCCCCGTCCGATAACTGAGGAGATCCCAAAAATTATATAAAGCACACTCGACAAGAGGGATGTGTCTCGAGGATTGGGGCCGTTTTTAGTACACAGTTTTTACTTACGTATATTCAGTACTATAATACTACTACTACCACACTATAACTCAAATTTAAAGATGTCGTCCACTGAAGCACCTGTTGAAAACTCTAAGCTAGCTGAATCCACCGCTGTCGCCCAAGACAAGGTCGCAGAGGTGGCGCATCAGAAGGAGCAGGAAGCCACGGAGACCAAAGAGGCGGCCGTGAAAAGTGCTCAGGACCAGGCCGCCCACGCGGCAGCTGAACCCGAGAAGAAGGTTGAGCAGAAAGTGGAGGCAGCTAAGACCGACGCGGCAGCTCAGGCCGAGGCCGTCAAGGACAAGACCACTGCTGCTAAGCCCGAGGCAACCAAGAGCGAGGAGCAGCCAAGCACTTTCAAAAAGTTCATGGCTAAGATCAAGAAGCTTTTGAAGTAGAGAGAGAGAGGGAGAGACACAGAGACACAGAGAGAGAATAGACAAGTGACAATGACAATACCAATGTCGTTGTGATTGATTGGTTTGCAGATACATATATGTACGTGGGTATGATTTCTTCTCTCTATAATAAGTAATAATTAATGTGCAATTGAGAGAGAGAGAGGGAGAGAGTAGGCGTACGAGAATTGTAGTCTACATGGGAAGCAACAATCAGACATGCGCAATGGGTAACCAAAATTTTAATAATCCCAATGGGTAACCCATCATGTGATCTACGGGCTACCCATTCCGTACAAAGTCATTTACCCGTTGCTTACTCAAATTTTCCCATGGGTAAGTAAATTTGGATCTTGATTACTTACTCACGATTACCGAGTAACGAGAATCATTTACTCGAGTTACAATAAACTCACGTGACAATCGCGACACGAAAATACAAAAGTGATCAAAACGTCAGAAAATCGTGGAAAAAAAAAAAGAGGGTTTCACGGTTCAATAACAAGTCACTAAGAAAACGATCATCGGGCGAAACGAAACCCCAATAACAAACCTTGGCACACACACACACACACACACACTCACGGCCTTCCGCAAAACTCTCACAACACGGCCTTTCTTTTACAATTCTCTCTTTGTCTTTCTTATAAGCCATATCGTACAAAACGACCTCCAATAATAATTCTTATTTCCAACCCATCAAACAAATTCAAATTCATCTTTTAATGAGGCCCTCCTACAAGCTCGAACACGCTCTCTGTCTCTCTCATTCTCAGTTCTAAACTACACCTTTATATCCACGCCCCGAACCCTGCTTCTTATGTTTGCGCCTTCGAACGCCCAAAGTGCAGCGGCAGTCATGAACCCAACAGCTTTGCCCGGGATTCTTCCCGGGTCTTTGAACTCCATTAACACCAATCCCAACAACAACAACAACAACAACAACAGTGCCAGAAATAGTTCCGGAAACCTCAACCTCAACGCTCCCGGCGCCACCAATAACAATGCCCCAAACTCGCTACACGCATTAGACGACCCCAACGTTTACCATTGGATCTGCCAGCTAACATACGGCCCGAATAAAGAGCAAGCGCTATTGGAACTGGGACGTAAACGCGAGCAATACGAGGACCTCGCTGTCGTGCTATGGTCTTCTTTTGGTGTTGTTGCAGCGCTGCTGAGCGAAATCACCTCCGTTTACCCCATGTTGTCTCCTCCGGTGTTGTCAAACCAGCTCAGCAACCGCGTTTGCAATGCCCTCGTACTTTTGCAGTGCGTAGCGTCCCATCCAGAAACCAAAACGCTGTTTTTGCAAGCCCACATCCCATTGCTACTCTTCCCTTTCCTAAACACCACTTCAAGACAACGAACTTTCGAGTACCTTCGTTTGACGTCCTTGGGTGTCATCGGCGCCCTCGTCAAGAACGACTCCACAGAGGTAATAGCGTTTCTGTTGCGCACAGATATCATCCCGCTGTGTCTGCGCATCATGGAGTCTTCTTCAGAGCTCTCCAAAACGGTTGCCATATTCATTTTACAAAAAATCCTTCTCGATGATGCAGGACTCCAATACATATGCGCTACTCCAGAGCGATTCCACGCAGTTTCTCAAGTGCTCACATTCATGGTCGAGCAATTAACACTGCAACAAACACCTGGTCGTCTCCTGAAACACGTTGTGAGGTGTTATTTGCGTCTCAGTGACAACCTGGAGGCCAGAAGACTGCTCAAACAGGTGCTTCCACGACAACTGAAGGACAACACTTTTGGAGAAGTTTTGCGTGATGACCTAGGAACCAAAAGGTGCCTGGCACAATTATTACTGACACTCAACGAGGATTGATACCTTACTGTTTTTTTTCCCCCATAAGGTCTTTCGTTATTCTCTTTTACCGTTTTTTCCCGTTAAACAAACATTTTTCTGCATTGACCATTCCTGCCTGCACCTTCAGAGCTTCCATTCTTCTCTGCTGGGAACGCCATAATCATTATCATCAACCTCAGTCGCCCATTTGTATCATAAGTCGCAGGCCATTTTGGGGTCTCAATTACATGGTTGTTGTGCACATATTTTGTTGCAACAGACTACAAACCGCTTAAAAACCTGGACCATTACATGTAAAGGTATCCGAAGTACACTAATCAGCTATCAAACCTGCCCTTCTACTCGCCTTTCTCGTTGTATCTTGTATTTAGCACTGTCGTCGTCTACTTGTCACTTTGACACGAATGCCTCTATTTTTCAGTTATAATAGGTACAGGGCAAAACTTGTTGACAACGAATCACGTCAAAAAACCACCTTGAACTCGCAACTCTAGAGTCATTGAGTTACTGTGATCGGCCAGTTTACTGTTGAGAATGTCGACACATACTTATAAGAAGTTTGAAGAGGCACAGTCGGGCGTCTTGCCCGATAAAATGACAATTTATCAGGACTGTTTGAATGCGTTCAACGAATCGCCTGTGAATTCCAAAAGATGCAGACTTTTAATCTCTAGATTACTGCAATTACTTGCTCAGGGTCAAACTTTTCCGTGCACCGAGGCCACTGCCCTTTTTTTCGCCATTTCCAAGTTGTTTCAGCACCCAAATGACTCCCTTAGACAAGTAGTGTATTTGGCCATCAAGGAATTGAGCACTGTTTCAGACGACATTTTGATGGCTACGTCTTCTATCATGAAGGACGTGCAGAACGGGTCAGATATGATCAAACCTAACGCGATCCGGTCTTTGACTCGTGTGTTGGATGAGTCCACCGCTTTTTCGGCTGAACGGTTGTTCAAGTCAGCGGTTGTTAGCAAACATCCTTCGATCTCTTCTGCCGCGCTTGTTAGCTCGTATCATTTGCTGCCAATCGCCGAAAGCACTGTCAAACGCTACTCTAACGAGACTCAGGAAGCGGTAGGAGACCTCAAAACTTTCCCCTATCACGATGGCCTATCTGAACATTACCCAAACTCAACCTACATCGCACAGTACCATGCGTTGGGTCTTTTGTGTATGTTGAAAAACCACGATAAAATTGCCCTTATGAAATTGGTGCAGCATTTCTCTTCCGGAAGTACATTAAAAAACCAGTTAGCTCAGGTTCAACTTGTTAAGCTAGTGGGAAGCTTATTGTCCAAGGACCATCAAATGATATCGCAGCTGTCTCCTTTGCTGCTCGGTTGGCTGTCGAACAAGTACGAATCCGTACAACTCGAGGCTGCCAAGCTTATCACCTCTTTGCCTGACCGTTACGTGTCACCAGAATTGTTTTCATCAGCAGTTCAGGCCTTGCAAGGTCTTCTTTCAGTTCCTCGTGCTACTACCAGATTTGCAGCTGTAAGAGTGTTGAACAGAATCTCCATGGTGGCTCCAGAAAAGATAGTTGTCTGCAACCCGGAGCTGGAGTCATTGATCAACGACAGTAACAGAAACGTATCCACTTATGCCATCACCGCACTGTTAAAGACAGGGACTTCCAATAACATTGCATCCCTTATCAAGACCATTACCAATTTCATTCACGAAATCTCGGATGACTTTAAAATTATCATTATAGATGCAGTCCGTACAATGGCCCTAAGATTTCCTGAAGAGTGGAAGTCTATCCTAAACTTCCTTGTCAACGTCTTGAAGCAAGGTGAAGGGGGATTTCAATTCAAGAGCAGCATTGTGGAAGCTCTTTTTGATCTCGTCCAGTTTGTTCCACAGTCCAAGGAACTTGCTCTCGAAAATTTGTGTGATTTCATCGAGGACTGTGAATACAACGAAATTCTTGTAAGAATTTTACATTTGCTGGGCAAGGAAGGTCCAGGGATGAAAACCCCCTCGTTGTATGTCAGGCACATATACAACAGGGTCGTTTTGGAGAACTCCATTGTCAGATCTGCTGCTGTTGTGGCACTCTCTAAATTCGCTTTGGTGAAGAACGATCCAACGTTCGTGGACTCAATTGAAATATTGCTGAGAAGAATTTCCAATGATGTTGACGACGAAGTGAGAGACAGAGCAACTATTGCACTCGAGTTCATCGAATCTATCAAGTCAAAAGGGGAATCTGGTTCTTCGCCTGCGGAAAGTCTCATCCAATCGAAATTTACGTATGATTTGGCGTCATTGGAATCTAAACTCAGCCAATACATGGCGGCAAAACAGGAGGCGTTCAAAACTCCATTCGATACTTCCTCGATTGCTAGGTACACTGAGGATGAAAGGAAAGCCATTGATTTGAAGAGAAAGCAGGAGCAGCTGTTCACAACAGTATCTTCTGGAAAGTCCAAGGGCAAGAGTGGAGTTTCGTCTGAGGCTGATAAAAAGAATGGCTCATACGGTGGTCCAGACGCTACGGAACTGGATCAGGATCTACAGGCCACAAAATACGCAGAAGAATTGGCTTTGATTGATGAGTTCAAGCCGTTCGGTCCTATCGTGAACACCTCCAAAGACATCGCATTGACAGAAACCGAAGCTGAGTTTGTCGTTACCGGTGTTAAACATCTATTCAAAACTCATGTTGTCTTACAGTTCCATATCACGAACACCCTAGCCGATGTTGCTTTGGATAACGTTTACGTTGGGTGCACTCCAGCTCTTGGTGATGGAGAGTCTCCCCTGACTGAGGTGATTTCGATACCTGCTGACAGAATCAAGCCCTCGGAAACTTTTTCATCTTACGTGGCTTTTGAAAAGTCTCAGGAAGTTGTTACTGAGGATTTGCTAAATACCTTATACTTCACTACAAGGGAATTGGACGCTTCCACGCAAGAACCTTTCGATGGAGATGAAGGATTTCAGGACGAATACGAGATCGATACCTTGCCATTGACTGCGGGCGATTACATCAGAGGTTCTTTTGTGGGGGACTTCCTCGCCTGCTTCGACGAATTACCTAACCACGAAATCTCAGTCTACAACATCAGAGAAAACTTGTCGCTACAGGAAGTTGTTGACAAATTGATCACTACCACGAGTTGTTTGACATTAGACAACACACAGTTCACGTCAACGGATTCTAACACGCATACCTTGAAATTATTCGGTAAGAGCGTACTAAACGGAGCCAGAGTAGCTCTCGTAGTTCGGTTGATTAAGAGCTCTAAAGGAATTGCTCTGAAGGCCGAAGCCAGGTCTGATGATGCTGTACTATGTAGCGATATTGTCAATGGACTTATTTAGGGATATATAGCACATAATAAAAACGAAGTAGTGATTAGCATCCTTACGATCCGTGCAATTGCAATATCTGGATCCGAATCGTTAAAATTTGTTATCTCATCTCCCAGTGTTGTAGTGCTCAAGAAACTGTTCTAAAACGGAGAACTGGCCGAAGTGAACGGAATGGAAGAAGAAGAGCTACAATTGAAGAGACAGCTGAGAGAAGCCAAAGCTGAAGAGCTGGCTAGACGTAAAAAAAAAAAGACTAGTTCGGATGTCGGAAACGTAAACAATAAGCCACCTCCCAATTGTGCTATATACATCTCCAATTTACCGCTAGACAGCATCAATGAAAGAGACCTTTTCGATGAGTTTTCAAGGTATGGAATCATCAGGAAGGAGTCCATTGAAGGTCATCCTAAGTGCAAGCTTTATCTCACCGACGATGGGAAACTGAAAGGTGATGCGTTGATTGTGTACCTGAAGCCTGAAAGTGTGCAGATGGCGATAGAATTCATGGATGGTGCTAAATTCAAAGGAAAGGAGCTAAAAGTTGAAGAAGCAGTTTTCAAGCCAAAAACTAAAAACGAAGACAGCTTAGAAGAAGACACTGCAGAACTGAGGAAACTGAAGTTCCGCCAACTTCAAGAGCAGAAAGATGAGCTAAATGACTGGGGCGATGGGCCAGAAAATGAAGATGAAGATGGAGATGACGGGGACGACAACGACATTGAAAACGCTGATAATGGTGCGGCGTCTAGCGAGTCTTCCTCAGAGGAGTCAGAGAGCAAAAGTGCAAGAACAGTTGTTCTATCAAACGTGCTCGATCTCTACGCAAGACTGAGTCCCTCTGAAGTTTCTGATATAGCCGTGGATTTGAAGCAGGGTTGCGAAGCACTGGGCAAAGTTGTAATTTTTGAACTTGACGAGGTGCTGGGTCAAGCGAAGGTTGAATTCGCGACAAAAGAACATGCACAGAAGTGCTGTCAGACAATGGAGGGTCGATTTTTCGATGGTAGAAAGTTGATGGCCTACACTTTGGACGACGAATCCAATGAAGATAATGCAAGTTTACAAGAGCTGTGACGGTCGGTAATTAATAGATAGACGAGTACAACTCCAATAGCTCATTGAAAACCGTTACAGAATTGTCCCAGGGCCTTTGAACTGGGATTTCATAGAATTTACTGAAACCAAAAAAATTGAGCGGTACGAGAATCGAACCCGTGTCCCAACCTTGGAAGGGTTGGATGATAACCACTACACTAACCGCCCTAAGGATGATGTGTTGAGAATACAAGTAAATCATAGAGTGGCGTTGGATGGTGTGACCTTCCACTGTGTCAAGAACTGATTGAAATCTACCAAGATTTCAGCCGACCATTCTAGGATATTTAGAAGCTTGCAGGATTGAATTTGATTGGTTAGTGTGTACTAAAGCTTTAGCCTGCTATTTTCTGAAAATTTAGCAAGCTGGCGATCTGCTGCCTCTATAACCATCTGACTAAATTTCTATGTGTTAATCTACAATGCAATAACTCTCGAAAGATCTTGCTTCAGTAGCTCAGTCGGAAGAGCGTCAGTCTCATAATCTGAAGGTCGAGAGTTCGAACCTCCCCTGGAGCACTTTTTATGACCTTTTTTATAACAACCAAACTGGTGAGCGCTAGTTTTCCGGACACCACCTCACTCCGCGACGATCTTCTTATGTTGATTTTGAAAAGATGATGATGTGTGTGTGATTTTTTAGTTAAGTATGTTACTTTTTTACTGACTTAAGACGAGCTTCTACCTCTCCCCCTCCCTCTGCCTTTTCCTCTGCCACGGCCCGCAATTTTACCTCGGCTGCTGCCTTTGATGGCGCTTTCTCTGGTACTGGCAATTTCTTCAGTAGGAACTTTTCCGCCGCCATTTCTGGTTTTCGTTCTTGGCGCGTTCCGGGTCGATCTGTAGCCGCTGAGAGTAAAAGTCTCGTCGTCCTCAGCATTGTCGTCTTCAGCTTCATCATGCGCTTGTTCGTCAAGTAAATCGTCGTAGTCTTCAGAAGCAGAGTCCTCTACCGGTCGTTCTTGACCGTTCGCAACCGGCGGCTCGCTGCCTGAAAAATCGCCTGCCTCATCGTCATCTCGGGATTGGGGATTTCGGTTCCTTTGCGATCTTCGTAGAGTCCTTATATTAGCTTCCATATCATCGTAATTTGCGTAGAGTTCTTCATAGGTCTCGAGAAAAGGAAGAAGCTTTACAAGGTACTCTTTCATCCATCTCAGTGCTTCACGAGAGGCGTTGAATTTCGATTCCTTGGGCAAGGGGTTCTTGTTCATTATGCCCTTATTGGCGGGCTCGTTTCCTGCAGTTTCATTCACACTTACTTTGTAATCCAAAAGTTCTATGAACTCACGTAGAGTAGCACAGTCATGACATAGCTCGTACCAGTAACTCTTCTCCGAAATATCTACCTGACTGGCCACGTCTCTAATCATGCTTGGAGAGTCATGGTAAAGTACTTTGAATTGAGTGCTCATGAGCTTACCGTTCCCGCTGAACAGCGTCAATGCATCCATCTCTTTGTTGGAGAAAGATTCAAGTGTATCTTTCAAAGTCTTGAAGTCGGTGTATGTAGTTGGAATCTTAACCTTCTCTGCCTTCTGGTATGTGTGTAACCGTGGAAGGTAAAAATCACCAACGTGCGGAACTCTGCCGATGAAAAACTCCAATGACCTCATTTTGAAGATGTCATCGCAGTATGGCGAAGACAGGGGATGATCAGGAATTTCGCCTTCAAGAACTTCACACCATTTTTTATACTCTTCATCGAAAAGATCCACTGGTGGCTTAGGTTCATCGTCATTTTCTTCAACAGAAACTATATCTCTATCACGCTGAATGTTTGAAATGATTTTTAGTTTTTCGGACAAGTCGTTACGCTTTCCATTTTGCAATTGCTTTTTGACATGCTTTCTTCCGCTCTTGATCTCCAATCTTGCCTGGACAAGGTCGCAAACCCGCATGAAGCGAGCCTTCGTGGCCACCTCTCCATCTGCCAATAGACTTGAAACGTGGTAAGTTGGAACCCCATAAGGCTCATCTCTTTTAAGATGTGATAAGCGGTAAATTTCTTGATGTATTTTGTCCGACTGAGCAAGTACCCACTGGACAAGAGATTTTAAGAGGATTGCTCTGTCTTTTGGCGCCAAAGCCAAGATCCCGCGTTTTTCCAGATCTTGGTTCAGTAGGGGATCATTCTCGATAGCGTATTGCTGGGGCCATGCAATAATATTGGGCACCAATATTTCTGGTTCTTTAGGATCAGCGGGCTCTGTTTCATCCGTATCAAAGACTTTCGTATTCAAAGTGCCAACTTCCACTTTCCATTGCGATGGATAGCCCCACGACCAAGCGTTGACCCGCAAAAGACCCACAAACTTTGCATACGCTTTGTGTTCTCTAACTGAATCCATGGTAGTCGGAGTGGTGTTGTTCAGAGCCAGCTTCAATAACGATAGGAAAAGTAGGTTCATTTTATCTTGGCATCTCACCAATTCTTTGATAGACATATAGTCCTGATATAGCTTACGAGGTAAGTCCTTGTCATTATCAGGGTATAGATCTAGACCCAATTCAAAATCTTGGAACGATAAAGACCATAATTCTTGCGGTAGAAAAGTGTTGAATTTATTGACGAACGTTAAGACGGGCAAAACGTCTTTCGCGTAAACCAGATTTTTCAAATTTGGAGACCTGAACCGTGAGACAATGCTAAACTGGTTTTTGAAATCTGCAGATTGTAACGGCACGTTTGGCGACCAATTTTTCTCTGCCAACAAAGTTTCTGGATTGCCAATAGACTGTAGTTTTCTAGCGCGTTCCCGCACTGCTTCCCGGTTTATGTTTGTTTCTTTGGGTTTGGCCAAAGCCGGTTTTTTCTTCCTCGGTATACTCCTTACAGGCTCATCATCCTCTATTTCCACTGGTCGTTTCGGGACTACTCTGGTTGATCGGCGTCGATTGAACTCCGCGTTTGGGCCACCATTATTGTGCTGATTATCTGACGTTTTCGCAGATGGTTTGAAACGATTGAAGTCATTGAACGTCAATTGAATCTGTTTAGATTTGGGCTTGGATTCATTCTTCTCGTTGTGATTATTAGAGTTCTCAGCTTCGGCTGAGATCTCCACATTTGGAGCGTTGAGCTCGGACATATAAATAAGCCAATAGATGGGCGTTAAGCAGCAACAGTTCGAGCCGGTTTGCAACGTTTTTTGACCAGTTCTGGTAAATTTTTCCAGTAAACCTAACTTGATCTACTTGTCTTCTAATTTATATGGTTCTTAGGTAGGCCTTCAAACTTGAGCTTGCATGGTACCCACATGATCAGCGACAGCGACACGATTAATGCGTTCTGCTAGTCGTGTGGGGTTCTCCTAGCTATGCGAAAGGGAAAATCGAGGTTTGGGTATATATAGTATACTGTTGGTAGGATGCCTGTGTTTTCCGAGAGACGCAATTCAGTGTTACCGGATATATTCAAAATATATACACCATTCCTGATCAGCCATGCAATGAAAGGGAAATGAGCTTTTGAGTGTGGGAGGGGTATTCTGATGAAGCTTTAGTTTTCTGATCGTAGTCAATCGAAGTAGTGCAAAATGTTTTAGGATTTAGACAGAACAGCAGTTTGCAAGTTTGAAAGGTAGCATGAAACCATGAGGCAGACGGGAATCACGCCAGGCCGCCCCGTGAAAATTGCTCCATGACTCCAGTTGAGACGCTGACGGTTTTTTTTTTTCGCAAATCAGCAAATTCCCTACTTGTCGAAAATGTTTTCTGCCCTATCCTTAGTGAAAATTCGTATTCACAATATTTTTCACCAAATTGTAGCCATCTTTGCCAGCGTAATCGAGAATTACTATGCCACACCCGTTCCCTACGTGGGACGTCAAGTCGCTCCTGAACATTTCGTCCGCAACCTTTTCCGGCCAACAGTCTGTATCGTAGAGATTTGATCCGGAACAGAAGTTGACAAAAAGCTTAGGATCCACCCCTGAACTGCTACTGTGCTCAATAGCCGTGCGCAAAAATTGTTTGACGTATGTGGTTTTTTCAGAAATATTCTCGGCATGTTTCAGCTCACAAAAATCCTGAACTTGAAAGGTGCCACGGTCTTCATTTGGAGTACAGTAGGACCACCATGAAGCTGCGATACCGAAATCACGATCTTGGATGTCTTGAGAAACTCCAAAGCGACGGAAAAGTACAATTTTGCTTCTGACCTCCCCCAAGTTTGGGATATTCCCCTTCAAATACCACCGATCTTGATTATTCTCAATGTAATGCTCCCATACGTATTTGTCAAAGTTGTCTAAAGGCTCACCCTCATGTTTAATTGACACGATACAGGACTCCGTAGGGTTCGCGTTCAAGAAGGCGTAAATGTCTCCTAGTACAGATGCAAACTTCAAAGGTGCTGGAATACGCACTGGGAATTTACCATGAACGACTTGTAAATCTTTGCCCTGATAGCCACCTTGCTCGTTGTCATGGAAAAACAGCTTTCCTAGTCTAAAATCAAAAAAGCGTACTCCATTTTGCAATTGAGTTTTCACGCTGTGGTCCTGACATTTAACGGATGGCAACGCGATGTAACACGCAGCGCTATTGTGCGTTCCAGGTATTGAAAGTTTCGAAATTGGCACATTGTCATCTTGCTCCTCCATCCATCTGTGATATTCTACCATGGCGAATATACGCTTAGTATGAATCGCCGAAAGAAAAAAAGAAAATTACAGCTATGCGAGGACAGAATACTCAACTATCGACTAAGTGTGCTGGCTTGGTCGACACTTACGTGTGATTCTTAAAAATGCACAATTCGATTGCTGAAAACAATCAAAAATAAAGGATTACGTCCCGTTAACGTCTCATGAAATTATCCAGTAGATGCAGCAACCTAAATTCACACTAGGAGTTGAGCGATTGACCTCTAGGAAATGATATTAAAGTATATAGACGCTCTGAAACAAACGAACCGTCTGTTACTCGCTTACTAGAAGTCAATTTATGATTTAATCGATTAGTACAAAGTGACATCGAATAGTCGGAGATTTCATTTATATGTTATATGATTATTGAGACATTGAGGTGGAAGAATAGCCGTTAGCCATCTGTTTTTGGGCCAGGGCAAAAGATTGATTGCCGGAGTGGAGACTTTATCTGGTCTCGAGGCCACTAGTCTCAGAGAACCTTCTTTGAGAGTTTTCATCTCGTTCAAAAGTGTCATTTTAAGAGAGAAAGCGTTAGAAAATCTAGCGAGATAATAGCGATAAGTGGGACCAAGACAGGGGCGATGAAAACCCACCAAATTCTGCAACAGCTAGAGCAGAATCTCTTTTTACCGTCCAGGCTTTTATCATGCGAAAAATCCCACGACCAGTCACGATATAAGTGTATGTTAACGTATGGAATCATCGCAGACTCATCGGTGCTCAGTTGTGGTTGTATTCTCTCAGAGAAGCTATTTCACGAGATCGAACAACTTGTAAAGATTGATGAGATTTTTTGTCCGGTGTGTCATCGCTGTCCCGTCGAAATGATCGGACCAGTGAAGCCGCTACGAACACTATATGAACAAATGCACTTTTTCAGCACCGATGACGAGGAAGATAAACAGAAACAATCGGATACATCCACCAGGAATTTGAGCCAAGTATCAACTTCTAAATCTCAGCAGTCACCAAGCACAGTGCTACACGATGAATTCCACGATAAAGACCAACGGCAGACCCCCAAACAATCATTGATTTCACTCTTCCATTCAGTAGCATCGAGTCTTGATGACCATAGTGAAGAGGAAGTTATAGAGGTGCATTCGCTGGACAATGCTTCCAATACTAAAACTGTCCCGATCCAGGATACAGGATCGTTTCCAGTGTCGCTGGCGACCACGGAATCCCCTTCGTCCGTACAGCTCTCTGACTTAGACGAGGAAAAAGAGTTTTATTTCGCCAAGTGTTTTCCCATGTACCGAAAGAGGTCTCAGTTCAATACCCATCATAAATTCCTGAGAACCAAAAGCCGACAGTTTGTCAACACAGCCATTAGCCCTGACTGCACCAAATTTGCTCTTATCACTGAACACAAATGGGAAGTTTACGAGATACCGCACCCACCCAAAAAAGATAGAAAGCAGTCGAAAATTGATCGGGACCAAATATCAAAAGTGAGTCGCAGTGCACAGTTAAAAAAGGGCCGTTCGAATCAATCCGAAAGTGTTTCATTACTTTTCTGCGGCAAAAACTCAGGTGAATATGGTGACACTTTTGAATCTTTGAAATGGCCCTCAGACCTGGGCACTCTTTACACTCCAAAACAGCTACAAAGAATGGGCGTATCTCCCATAAATCCACCAGTGGACAGCTGGGAGCATTTGTACTGTCAAATGTCTGACGACCTTCTAGTCATTTCTGGAACCAAGGGGAGGTTCCGCGTGTTCGACTTGAACCGCGGGGGCAGACCTCTTTATACATATGGTTCCACGTTCCCCATAAGATGCATTGATTTGGATACGAAAAGCTCACTTATTGCATGTGGCATAACAGGTAACGACAGAACCACAGGTGCAGAACAAGCCTTAATTTTGTTTCATCAGATAATCAAGGAACCCTTGGCATCGACGAAGGAGCACAATCTTGACACATTCTACAAGTTTTTGTCACCCATAACCACCACACTTCCTTACCGAGATCCCGTCAACAATTTACAATTCTCACCAGACAGTAATTACATTTCCTGCTCCACAGCACTTGAATCACGATTCTTAGTCATATCTCTGCGAAAAATCCATGAGCCACGCTTGGTGATGAAGTCTTTACGTTCTATCGATACCTCTCTTGAGTCGGAAGGAATAACAGATACGAAGATGTTTCCTGGTAACTCGAACCTTATGTGCGTAACATCGGTTGCTTTTAATGCTCCTCCTATAGTGATAAACACGCGCCTACAAACCATTAATGTTGCACAAAGCGTTGCACAACCAACCATGCTACTTCGAATTGACGAATTGGGTTCAAAAATTCACAGATGTGAAATTTCTCCAAGAAATGACTCAATCGCTTTTCTTGATCGCAACGGTAAAGTCTCTATCATGTATGCCCCGACCCTTTTCGATAACGAAAAAAGGCGTGTCGTTTTAGTAGACGTTGTGGCAAATGCATCGCGCGTTAGAGAGGCCGCCTCCCTTAGATTCAGCGCAGATGGCCACAAACTGTTCATTCTTGATCGAAAGGGTTCGCTTTATGTTGAAGATTTCGCAAGCGGATTGCCTCAAGACCAGGACGTCACAAAATGCAAACAGATCAACTGAAAAGTTGGCAAGATAGTCATATCGTTGTCTTTAGAGTTTCAAATTCTTGATTATTCAACGAGTCAACAAAAGTCTTGAATCGCTTGCCCTTCATATGAGGCATCGAAGAGTCTACAATCAGGCCTTTCTCTACCGAGAACTTAAAACTACCCAAAGTGACGGTGAATTTCGGCCCGCTATCGTATAACCATTCATTGCTGGCCAGCTGGTCCGTGGTTTCCATAATATTGTCCGTCTGAGTATTGACCTCGTCGACCAAATAAACGGGGACGTCTTCTTGAAAAGTGGATCTGAAACCTCTAATACAAATATCAATAAACTCGTTTGTACTCTTAAAACCTGCGTCCTGTATGTTCTTGACATGAGATCTGACGCTATCAACACTGCCCCCCGACCAACAAATACCATCGATATGAGCCGGCTTGAGTAGACCTTTGAAAGAAGCCAGGTTGGCATTCACTAACATCGTGCCGTGGTGATAGGATTTTCCGCCAGCAATTTTGAAAGCACTCCCGCTTATTTTTAGATCATCTAGTTGAATATCACCACGTTCGTTAAGACTTATATTTGTCTCTGGACGGACCTGTGTCAGCCATGCCACGATTTGCTCATTGAAGTATTCACGTCGGAACGCATTCCGAGATGTTAAGTAGGAATAATTCACATTTCCGAGATCGTGTATGACAGCTCCTCCCCCAGAGAGCCGCCGTACATACTGGTAGCCCCGAGACTTGCAATTCTGCAGAAATAGTTCTTTCCAGGGTGTTTGATTCTTGCCGATGACCGCGCATTTATCATTGACATAAAAAAGGAGCCTCTCATTAGAGAAGGATCCATTTTTTTCCACAGGAGTGTTTTTGAATACATAGTCTTCAACCGCCAGGTTGTAGTACGGATTTTTGGACAGACTTTGAATCATAAACCGTCCTGGCGTTTTGACAAGTTTAGCCAGCTCTTCCCCGGAAAGAATTTTGGGTGAAAAATCGTAAGTTTCAGCGAGCTCTGCATTAAATTCATCCACTTCCGATTCGTAAAGATTTGAATCTGTTTTGTTAACTTCTGAAACTAGGGTTGTGCTTTCTGAACTTTCTCCTGTGAACAGTTTCGTGTACATATTGTTCACCTCCGAATATTTATCATTTTGGGCGTCTAAGTCCAGATCAAATGGTGCTTTTGAGCCCAAAAACCGACATTGGCTCCGTGAATGCCGCAAAAATCCACAGACGGGGTTTAAGCTCCGTAGAAGCCCTACCATGAGGTGATGACAGGCTTCTTAGTTCCCGATTTTTGATAGCTTTGATATAGAAAGTTGGTTAAAGATCTGAAAAATTTAGAAATGAGATGAGATGAGGTGAGCCCGGTAGACTTTGAAGTGTCAAGAAGATGAAGTGTACCTCTACAGCAGCGTGATTAATATGAATTGTGGGCCATCTTTTGTTACCGAGTGTATTTTAACCAGAAGCTCGTCCAACGCTGCCAAGTTATTGGAAGAGAATCGACTCCAGGATACGTTATTGTTACTACCTACTGATGGAGGGATAGCATCAAAACTAAAAAAATCTAAGAAGAAACTCAGACTTCTGACAGAATCACAATCGAAACCAGCAGTAGACCGCGGATACACGGCAATCAATAAAAATTCCAAAACTGCATTAAAAGAGTACATTAACAAAAGTCGACTTGCTGCTCGACAAGCGCGTCGAATTGCTAGCGAGCAAGCTCTAAATACCAGAAACGCGCTATTTGAACACTTGGAAAAAAAGCATTCCGAGATTTTTAAGTCAATTCCCAGGTACGATCGGTTCGTAGCCATGCATGAGGAACTTTGGGTGAATTACGTGCGGGAGATCTTGAACATACCGGCCCAAGTACCGAATGCTTCGAAATTGAACATCAATGGTTCCAACGCACTTGTGAAATTGTCCATGGCTGATTACAACGGGTGTCTCATCACTGTAACCAAGAGTCGCAACGCAAACTTGCGAGGAATAAGCGGGATAGTGATCTGGGATTCCCAGAAAGACTTCATAATCATATGCAAAGGCGCGCTTATTGACGAAATCAAGTGCATACCGAAAAAGGGTACGGTGTTCAGCTTTGAGGTTCCCGTGAACGACGAGGAAGCTCTTCAATACACTATTTTGGGCGACAGATTCAAGTACAGAAGTAGTGACCGCGCCGGCCGTAAGTTCAAAAGTCGCCGTTGCGACGACATGCTTTATTACATAGAAAAGTAAAACTTCCAGAAAAAGTCCCTTTTCCCTATTCAGCAGATGAACTGTCCTTTTCTCCCGTAACGCGTTCATTTTTCTCTGTCATGTCGTAGTCGCATTTCGCAAGCAAACGTTCCTTCAAACTCTCTTTGAAAGCAGGATCTTCGACCATTTTCCTCAAAATAGCATCTATATGTATACTTTCCGTATTCAATTCCTCAAATCCGTTTTTCACGAGTCGTCCTTCAATCAAAGCACTGGTAGAGCCTCTATTTTTGAAGATCAACGACTCGTCTTCTTGAACTATCGTATTGACCAATGTAGCAGTCCTAGTCCGCACAAATTCTTCTAAACTCATCCCGTCTGTGCCCTCAATCACTTCAGCGAGAATTCGGCTTTTCTGCTCATCAAACGATCCTCGTTTCTTGAACTCATCGGCCAGCTTCACTGCTGGGTCTATCTCATTACTCGTCATTGCTAGTCTACCAAAGCCAATCGACGATCGAGAACGAAAGACTACTTGCGGTAGAAGTTATACAAATAAATATACGATATTAGTCGGAGGCTTTAGATCTTCTTGATCTCAAGCATTGAATGTGTTCGTTTTGTCATGTTAAATATCTAATCGAAAGCTAATGATGAGATGAGATGCGATGAAATGAGAGTACAGTGAACAGAGTCTTCTCAGACAAAACAACCTTCGCGCCCATCACAAGGATCTCTTAATGCTCTGGAACTGCTTGTATCTTTGAAATGAAGCCTGGGGACGTTAAAATAGAGGTTTATGGCCCACCAGGTTCTGACTATAATGTGATCGAGGACTGCCTGACAGCGAAGCTGGAAGAATTGCAGATCAGGAATATAAACATTGGTGAGGTATCTAGCATCTGCAACTTGGTTCTTCAGTCCAAAAATTACTTATCGAGAATCAAACCCAAGAAGCTCAGGAAGAAATCCTTGGGTGCAGACCGCGATGCATTCAAACTACTAAATTTCAAATTGGACTCATATGCTTCAGACATGGTTGAAAGCTTCCTGAGCCAATGCTCCGGTTTTGTGGAAGCTGATTATACAGTTTTCAAAGCCGCGGACCGGGCTTCTCAACAGACATTAATGATATTACTTCCTCTTTTACGACTACTCGAGGAAAATAAGGACAATGTTGCGCCACAGGCCAATGAATCGCCTTTTGGATGGATCCGAAAGCTCAAATTCAAGTTTCTAGAATGCCTGTTTCAACGTGAAGCTGGTAAACTGAGGAAGTTGCTGGAGCTATCCTGGAAGATTGCCAGAGAAGATAGATCTTTCTTGACAGAAACTACAAACCTGACGAGAAGAATCTATGAAATGCTGCAGTCAATTACACACAAAACAATTGACTTTTCGATCGAGGCTATTTACTTGGAAAACACAACCTCATTTGCGTCTACCCTCAATCCTCTTCCAGCAACGGACTTTTTAACCCACATAATAGACATTATCGTCACGGAACAAAAGATCACCTCGAGCCTTTCATTGACAACGAGAGAAACTGCAAGAGTAACAATCCTGAACCAGACCATATTTAGCCCAGGAGCTTTGGGGAAACTAGTACATTCTCTGGCAAGGGATTACCGCGTTACTTTGGAGCTCAATCGAACCACGATCAAACATTTACAGGAGCTGGCAAAGCGTGGGGGACAGAGCGACGTTTTCCTTCATGCCATTGTTACGGGCATTTACAGTGCGGCGGACCAAGCAATATCCCGACGATGGGAGCTGCCTGCGCTCCAAAGGTTGATCTGCTACCATGAGGAAATATTTTGTCTACTTTTCCTTGATTGTACTTTCAAAGCCAGGTTTGAAGCTTACTGGGAGGCTTATTGTAAAGCAGAGATGAGAGCGACAAAAATGGCATCTGGAATCTCCAAGTTACTGAACGAGGATTTCAAGCGTTCAAGACATTCTAACTTCAGTATCCAGCTGTGGACGCGAATTTTGACCCGGATGATTGAGTTGTTTGGATTATCTGATACCATTGGGAACGCTTTTGTTAATAACTGCATTCTTCGTAGGGCAATCAAAGAGGGCGACTCGTTTCTGAGATATATCTTCGACCCTGCGTTGTGCGCCCCAGAACTCCAGGTGTGTGACACGCTCCTTTGCCAAAATCTTTCAGGCAACGGCCGTTTACGAAGTGTGAAGCACTCACTCCAAAGATCAGTGACAATTCAGCAACAGCTGGATAGCTTCCGACATCTGGGGTTGATAATTCTTTCCGAAAAAGATATGGAGCTTTTCTACAAACCCAGCTCTGCGACACTTGTTAGACTACCGAAGAGTTTGCAATCAGTGTGGAACACTGTTACTGAGAACTTTGTGGGAGGCCAAAACTCAGTCATTTACAAAAAAAGACTAACGCTTATTCCTATGCTTAGTACCATTGAAGTCGAAACGCCTTTTATATGCGCCAATTCGAGGCCGTTGCGCCTTCAATTGAATCTATTGCAAGCTACAGTACTTATACAGTTCGACGAGCACAATAGTCTGAGTTTTCACGAAGTGCAAGACCGAACTGAGATCAATACTTCACTTTTGAAGACATCGTTGGAATCCTTGGTGAATACAGGCATCCTGCTCCAAAAAAATGCACAGTATACATTCAATGATGATTTCGAGCCGGTAAGGTCCAAAAATGACAGCAACATAGTTAGAGTGGACTTTCATGGACATAAGCATTGCTGATCCAAGATCTGCAATACAAGGCCAATATTGAGCATTATTTTTGCGGCTAACCGTCACTCACTACCGCCTCATAGCAGAAGAAAGTCTTTCACAAGGGAAACGGGTGGAAAAATTCATTTTCTCGTTCTATGAATTCTATTTGACGTCTGAGCAGCGACTACTTTGGTGATGAGGTTGATCGATGAAAAGTCCACATATAGCCGAGGACACTGGATGTTATGCACCCAAAAACGTTAAGCGACTTCTTTTCACGCTAAAGCAACTCGATAACCGTTTCATGAAATATACGAAGAGCGCTGTCACCGGCACTTTAGACAACAAGATGTTGTTATCTACTCGGAAGAAGCTAACAAAAGCTGGACGTAAGCTTCATGGATGAAACAAACAATGAGATTAGCGCGCCTAAGACAGCGCTAACATTCGCTGTTCAGTTGTTATCCTGCCCACCTGGGACTGACGTTACATCACGTCCCACGGATCTCTTATTAGAGTTAACAGGTGCGTAGTGGAATAAGACGATAGAGAAACTCATCATCGATATACAACGAAATCACGAATTGCTTCTTCTTCGCCGTGCCGAAGCTGCATCGGAGCATGCCAACAGGCATTAGTGGGTCTCATGATTTTGCTTCGGTGACTTTGCGGTTAAAAGATGCATTAGCTGAGTTGTTAGGTGAGAAAGCGTACTCTCATAAAGACACTGATGGAAACCTTCAATTGAATGCAGTGGATAAAGCATATTATCTTGAGTTGATCAAGAGTATTACACAGAGCAAATTATATGTTTCCACGCCATCGAAAGAGGACGGAGAATTAGATTTATCACGGAAACGTGCGAAGTTTTACCGTCTCTTAGGCCAGGAAGAGCTAGTAGCGAAAATTTGGGAAATAGCTACCGATTGCATTGATGAAGCTGCAGACCATGTTATTTCGGAATTGATAGAAAGCATGGCTTTAGAGAGTGACTTCGAAGCAGCTTTTGTACAATTATGGCCAGAATGTTTCTCTGGTATTTATCGAGTCCAAAAAATGCTCATTACCAAAGCTCTAACACCATTAACAGACACCTTCCCCTTCCTGATAGACAAAATACCAGGTGTTCAATCAATTGCTGACTTTATGGACTATCGGCTAGTCGAAGCAGGTCTATCAGTGCTAGGAAACAAAGTGGCTCGTATGGTAAGGGAAACTATAGAAACCTTGAGACGAGATTTAAAAAAAGCATTTGGAGCAGCTAAACTCGGTTATAGTGATGCTCGCATCGAAAGCCTCAAAACACTTTTACGTGTTATGAGCCAATGTCGCCTCATAGTGATTAAGGAACAGAAATTATCCATTCAGAAGGCCTATATCCACAGTCTCGAGTCTATGCTGGACAAGCTCGAGATTGAAGTCAACGAAAGATATCTTACAAACGTGAAGCGTGTCATCGTTGAAGAGTGCGAAATATGCTGTTGTATTGATCGCAGTCTTGTTTTGCTTGTGAAGAAGGCTACTGCTAGTAGTCTAATTTTTCCTGAGCATCGTCTCCGAGATCTTTTCAACCTTTTTGCATTGGAGTATGGGTCAAAACAAGAGTTTGACATTTTAAAACTGACCCATGTGACAAGCTGTAGACGCCAAGAATTCTTCGATGTTCTTGCTTCCGAGGTCACCAAAAGATTCAAAAGCTCTTTACAGCAGCTCCGAAGTGCAGATCAAATCTTATCTTACTGCAATTCTCTTTATTCGCTGAGAGAACCGTCCTGCCATCAAATCATCAGAGCAAGCTTGAGAGAAACTTTTGGCGGTGAGTTGAAAATTCTCGAGCCCTTTCTCAAAAGTTTGAATGTGATAATCAAGCGCGGCTATGAACTACTGAAGACAGAAGACTCCGGAGCTAAGAGTTATCACGAAACTCAATCTCACAAGGTAAAGTCACTTTTCAGCATTCTGCGCGACTTCGACCTTTCCGAGCCCTTCTTCAAAATCTTTCTGGAAAAAGGTTTTCTACGAAGAGTACTTCTGATGGGCCAAGACTATTTGAAGCTGGCCGCGCATCCATACAATATAGAGAAAATGGTTTTAGACGAGTTTGATTCGATGTCTACCCTAAACGAGCATTTCTCTCAGATATCGAAGTTAAGGGATGACCTGGATCGTAGCACTTTACTGCTCGAGGGCTTTAACTCTAAACAACGCAATGAGATCGAATTATTCCCAATGATTTTCGAGCGTAAGAACATCCCTAGATCTTTCCAGGAGCTTCCAAATTATGACATTGACCTCCCCCCATTGTTGCGACAGCAATGGAGTCAGTTTCACAGATTCTACTTGAAGAGCGATTCTAAGTCAGGACTCAAACCACTGACTTTGCAAAATTCACTTCATCATTTGGAAATCCAGACAAACTTTCGGTTGGAAGATAGTTCGCTGCTTACATTGGAAGTAACTCTACTACAAGCGAGTGTACTTGAAATTCTCAATTCCCAAGATAGAGTGACTGTCCCTATGCTGGAATCTTATCTTCATGTCCCTGCTTATCAGATCGAACTCACGCTTCAGCTGTTTGCGAACTCGAATTTGTTGAAGGAAGTTAGTGGAACATACAGCGTCAACGGAGATTTCGTTGCAGATCCGAGAAAAGTCAAAAATGGGCGACTGAGAATTGTTCAACGTGCAGCAAACAAACCTCAAAGCAAAAAGCAAGTCGTCACCTCGTCCGAGCCCGTAAACACTGAGTGGGTGCAGGATTTGCTGCGAGCTTCTATCGTGCGATGTCTAAAAGGCCGAGACGGTGGTACATCTTTCGATGAGCTCAAGCGCTTGGTTGGAACAAGGAACTTGGGAGTTAGCATAGGAGAATTCAAATCGGCGCTTGCTGCAAGTCAAGAATACTTTACTGTCAAGGAGAGTTTGTATTATTATTTATTATGAAAGACTATGGGATCTATATTTTTGCACAATTATCGTTTCCAAAGCACAGTGCGATATGAGATTCGATGAACGACAATGTACTTGGTGGCCTCCAGCCAGCTTCAGTTTACCGTCGCGCTTTCTCTTATATGAAGTTACAAAATATTACTCAGGCTCAAAAGCTTGACTTGCGGCGTCTATCAGAACTTCCATCGCCTGGATTTGATAGTTCACGTCGTTCATATCCGTGTCACTTGGAGCTATGATGGTTGGTCCCCAAATGATGCAAATGCTCTTGAGATTCATTCTGTTGGTTGATTCGTGATCGACTATTCTCATGAGATGGAAAATCAGTGACCTTAGAGTCCAGTACTGGCTGTCAGGTAACTTGTAGATCAATCCATGCATGTAATTTTTTCTGGTAACGGGATCTTGTATCGAAAGACATGTCTTGATGTCAGAAGTCATAGAAGGAGGGAGAAGCGGCGTCGGTAGATTAGAGAAGAATGCCTTTAGGATGGATCCAGCCAAGTAGATGTCAGAATCTGTGTAATTTTTAGGAGGCACGATCATAGAAATGTTTGAGGGATCTTTGTCAATTTCCTCTTTGAGTTTGCTGACCTCAAGCACATTGGCGGATTTTCTGTAAATTCCTTCCAGGTCAAGACCATGCTTGTCTACGACATAAATGCATTGACGCACGACAGCGGGAAGCATTTCCTGTTCGTACTCCATAAGGTTTTCGAGAGGTACACCGAAGGTTTTCAAATTCTTGCTGATACCCGGAGGAAGAGACCCTGAAGATGGCATATGGGAAACGGGCCTGTCGCTTGAAGAGGTAGCCATGGAAGTAGTAAGACTCGCTGTACGGTTGCCGTTACCTGGGTCTAGTGTAGCGAAATCTTTCTCTCCAGGATTGGTACCCTCTGGAACGACTGCGTCTACCATCGAAGTTACTGGCTTGTTATGAGTCGGTGATGCAGCTCCTGCTCGGCTTTTCATAGCGGGTTCTTGTGCTATGATGCCAGTGTTCTTGTAATTACCGGCAGATACAGGCGGATGTGTGCCATTATTCTTTGGTGACTCGAAAGGTGATTCGTGATGAGTTGAAACAATCCGTTTGGGCAAAGAGTTGTTTGGCGGGTTGAACGATTGTCCACTTGGCACAGTTCGGTTTTGTGTTCCATACTTATTGAGCCCACCTTTATCCTGCGGATGCTTCGCCATCGATGGGTGTTGTCTGTACTCAACGGGTATAAGGTTTTTGTTAATGAAATTGTTGCTCCTGGACCCTTGGTTGTGCTTGTTAAGAAAGTCATACAGATCTTGTTTGTTTGACATGGAAACGGCAACCGATTTCATGGATTTGGAAGGGTCGAAAGGAGTGATGGTGACACCGCTGTTAAGTATAAGCGTTTCCGTCCAAATAGTGTATTTCTGCAATTGAATGGCCATCGCAGTATCGATTTCAAGGATCAAATCTTTCAATTCTGAAACAATTTTCGGCCTTTCCTTAGAGACAAATGTATTTCTCAAAGACGTGGAGTGATCAACCTTCTGCTTAAAATCAAGATCTGCGCTGTCAATTTTCCTTTGTAAGTCTTCCTCCTGCTCACGGGTTGTTTTCGAACCCCTAAGCGTCAGTTTCGTCTTGGAAGGATCAGCCATTCTCAATTTTTCCCAGTCTTGACATAATGAAAGATACCTATTTTTTGCCTTCTCTGCCATATGAATTGCTTCTGCAACATCTTTCTCAAGTCTTCGACTTGTTTCCTTGAGCCCTTTCCGCATTTTGCTTATTGTCAGTAGCAAGGCACCTAGTTCTTCGCTCATTTTTTGCAAAGCCTTGACATAGCTGTTCTTGACTTGAGCTAATTTCCCATCAAAGTCTAGTACGCCATGGATACTTCGTTGTAAAGAAGAATTCGACCCACTATATTGAAAGAAATTCTTGTAGGTTTTGCCCAGTTCCTGGGCATGAACATCTTCCATGAATGATTTCTTACGCACAAATTTCGTGAGCTCTTCGCAAGTCAATAGAGACTGTTTCAATCGCGATAATAATGCGTTAATGGCAAGATCCGAATCTAAGACTTTAGCGATTTCCGGTCTCAGTGCTATATCTTCGTTCAAATCGGTTCTAATTTCATTCTTGGGCAATGGTGACGTTACTCTGTCACTACTTTCATTGTTGGCTATGATGGATGGTTCAGAATTGTCTTCCGTGGTACGCTCGGAACTCGTCGAAATTCGGGGTTCTGCCATATCAAAGAAGGAATTTTGTGATCAGCACGTTTGATATTAGGATTTCCGGTACTGGTAGCGCTCTTTACTGATACAGATCAGGATTATAAAAGGGTGGGATCAAGCGTTGAGAGAGTTCAAGCTCAACTTTACATACCTGGTGTAATATTAGTGGAAAGTACTTCGTATACAGTGATACTAGCGACAGTTGCCCAATGAGTTTATGTCGGCTTATTCGCAGCGTCACGTCAAGATTCGGATTACTTGTACTGATTTTAGCGACTCTGATGTACTGTAAATTTTATACCTTTTGTTTCGCCTTCTGAGGGCACATTCTTCCTTGGAAAATGACGATTTAACGTAGAGTAGGACGGTTTTCCTGGGAATAGCATCCGCTGGATGCAATAATGATGGCACTGCTATTCGTATTTGTTTTAGAAAAGCTCGAGATACTCGCGGTGTACAGTCAGGTTTAGTATTGAACTGTTGTAATGGCTCACGTGATTGACCGTTGAAATCAGGGCTTAGACGCCATACGATTTCTGAACAACCATCCTAAAAAGCATGGTCGGTGAATGACGCTATTGAAGGCTGTAAACTGTGATAAGCGATGAAATAACTGTCAACTATGCTTTCGGGATGAAAAATGCTTTATTTTTATTTGAATGGCAGTGCGACAGAGAGTCATGTGACCAAGCTTCAGCGACTGACACCATCACTAGCGATATCAACAAACAATGTAAAGATCTCCAAAAGTTGGTGACTAGCAATAATGCGATGCGAGCCGCAAAAACTCGCGAATGTTGGGATGTCACGCTGCTACCGGGATGCTTGACGCTACGGAAATGAGTTAAATAAAATTACATGTGCGTTTCTTAATCCTTTTATCGCAAGAAATTCTAAAAGAAAGAAACTCACAAAGCAAAAATTAGTAAGCCAGTACCCAATCTTCAAAAGAAGATGGCTTTTACCACTATTCAATGCTGACTTCAGTCAAAGTCCCATCCCGCGAAGCTTTTATGTTGCAAAATGTACCACTGTCACGTGATTTAACGACAGCGTCAGTATTTTAGCAGAGTGACCTTGAATATCGAAGGGCAGTTTGTTACCCATCACATAGCGACACCAAACCCTAAACACCCGTCACCTGCATATCAACATAAGGATCGATGAAGTTAACGCGTATAAATCCCAAGAGAGAATGTGTCGTCAACCGTGTGATGACACTTCAGAGACGTAGTCTATACACTAGTATAAACAAAGTCTATTTTTCTTTAGGTAGATTACAAAAAATCACCCAGAATTGTACAACAACCTAGTATTAAAATGCCAAACTTTCATTCTCGTCCGCTTCCTGACTCATAACTACCGTCGAACCTTCTGAACAAGTAATGCCGTAGAAGCCCTAACTGCTTTCCGATAGATATCACTATATACGCATCTTGTAATTTTTCATACCACGACTATATAAGACAGATTACATGTTCCCGGTAAGATTCCTCTCTTCTCTTCTTCTCTCCCTTGGGCAAATCTTGAAGTTAGACATAGCATCTGTCTGAAGTGGATGGCGTATGCCGATAGAAACCGTCTCTTATAAAGTTTATGAGGATGCGTGTTTACGGTGTGCGTGGATCTTGTAAAACTGCTTGCTCTTGTTAAGTGTCAAAAAACTAAAGAATACGAGTTCTCGCTCTAAATGATGATATTATACCGGTTAAATGCATAGTTCAACTGACTTATTGATTGAAGAAAAAAATACCATTGAAATTAGTCTTTCGCTCCTATCTGATTTGAGACTCGTTATTCTTTAGCTGCCGAGCTTATGATCTAAGTACGTACTTTCTTGGTTTCCACATTTTTCTGCAAACCGCACGTAGTTTGTTGTTGAGGGAACGCTCTCTCTCAGCTGTCTTGCGGCTTCAACGCGTACATACGAACCGGATAGAGTTCCTTCGGAAGGCCCTTTTGTCGTTCTGTGGCTATCAGCTTCAATCCAGCCTTCTCGAACAGCTGCTTGAATTTCTCGTCCGAACGCGTTACTGATGAATCTGTGGCATCGAAATCGTCCTCTGGCACATTAGTGTTGTTCTCCTTCACGACTATCGTCCCATTGGGTTGAAGACTCTTCTTGCAACGCTGAAAAAACTTTATAAGCTCGTCGTCCGGTAAGTGGCCTACACACCACTGACACCAAATAAGCCAGTACCTTTTCTCCTCTGGAATCCACTCTTGCATTCCAATGTCAAAAATCTGGCCTAATCGTCCTTCTTTTGCAAGCGGTTCCAGCTCAACACGCATTTGATCCACGAACGGCTTGACCGGTTCGACAAGATCTACAATTTCGCAATGTTTATGTAGCATGTCCCGCGTAACGCGACCAATCCCGGCGCCAATATCGCAACCTATCTTTTTGTACCCAGACTCCAAAACCATTCGAGACTTCAACTTCCTCAAAAAATGGTTCGAACCCACAACGTCCATTGCGGGGACTGTTGTGGTCTCGCCATATCCACCTAAAACCCCGTCTACCGTTGCTGGAATTGACGTCCAGTATTCCACAGCATCATTGTAATTGATTTGAGCGTCTGGCCTCTCCATAGCTCCGTCAAACGTATTATACTTTGCAAATGCACTGGAGATGCGATGACCTTCACAATTAAAGTACTCGAATTTTTTCAGATTCACATAACGTTGATTATAGAGTCCATTATTTAACAAACTAGTAACTGGAATACCAATCCCCACAGTACTCGCGGCCGTTAAGTAGCTGCAAAGGATTTGATTTCGTTCTTCATGTAAGCTCTCTATCCGTACATTTTCTTTTTGAATGTTTTGTCTGACACTGGAATTGGTGCAATAAATAGCACTGTCAGGACTGGCTTTAAGACGTTAATAGAAGCCAGCTTTGTATTTTGGTTCTATACTGCGCCATAGTTTTTGTTTAGACTTGGTTTGTTCGATTGTGTAAACCTTCATGCCTGCGTTTAAGTTTGCATGTCTAAGACGACACACATATGGAGGTAATAAGTCAATGACTTTGGATTCCAAGTCTCTTCAAGACTGAGAGAAAATCGCTCATATTCTCCAAGTAGAGATAAGTAGGCAGTTGAGCCACCCACCACCAACTTGTTCTTTTCCTGTCGAATATTTGGGCTTCCATATCCAGGGTGCAGCCCATATTTTCGAGCTTCGGACCCTCAACCGGAGAAAAATAACTTGGAATTTGAGACAATCGCTGCATACTCAAGGTTGTGCTTAGAATTTATCCTTGGACGCATCGAACTTTAGTGAGGTATACAAAGAAAGGACGCTCAGCTTGTTTATTTGTTGATGAAAGTATTCTCTAGACGTTTGGCGTCAGATAAAGAAACCGATATTATTTTCGATATTAGACCAGTAGCGTATATCTGTCAACCGTAGCTGAGGTTACGAGATTAAGACAGTCGAACCCATCACAATCACAGGTTGCGCCGCAGATCTATCTCCTCCAAACAAGATTCAGACTCTGAAGGATATTCAGTGACAAAAAAGGGAACTCTCTTCTTTCTGATCGGTGTATTTCGTCATTAGTTTTATGCGTCTATATATACATACGATGTGATTTGGGTTTCAACCGAATCGGAGAAGGCTGCGCCTTGTCGCGCAAAAAGTGTTTTTGACGAAGTTGGCTTGCAAACGTGAGGACCATTACAAACCGGAGAGACCATAAAACAAAATCCATGCATTCATCCACAGGCCCCCTTCCCTATAATTACAATTTCTCTTTCACTTACCCCACGAGTAGATCCAATCGACACTGCTTCTGATCTGTGCATTCCACAAGTCTTTCAAGGTCTCGCCAAAAGGTCTGACCACTACATCCTGGGCGTTCTGGCCTCTATGATGTACCACAAGATCATCTTTGCGGTCCAAAATACCCTGTACATGATCCGAAACGCGTTTCCAAGTCGCATTGTGATAATGATAACCGTTTCTATCTATGACGTACATGTAAGAAGCACCGGCTAATGACGAAGTCAAGACTGCGACTGATGTGAGCTTCAGTAGTTTACTCATTGCAAATGTTAATCTTTTCCTGACAGTTGAAACGGGCAATCGAGCAAAAGGACAAATTAACAACCGTCTAAACTACTAGATGCCTCTTGGACATCGATGGATCTCTCTTCATCTTCCAGCTGTCCAATTTACTTACTATTTCAGAGTAACTATATACGAGAACATTAGTTATTCAATTCTACCACCGAAAACCAACGTCCACCAGTTTAAGCCTTTAGAAACCAGGAAGGAAACGTGGATGAAATGCAAATGCGTTATGTGATAAAAGCGTATAATCTGTGTTTCACTAGTATGAATCCGTTAGTTTAAAAAATTGTGTGAATAACGAGGTCACATGGCTTCAGCATGTGCAATTTGTGATTTGCTGAGCTAGTTGACACAAGTATACATAATTCTGCAGGAGCTTCTTCCGGTGAAGGATTCTTATTTAGTCACGGAGAAGGCCCACACACTCACATGCGCACTTTTCCAAATTTCTAAGATCTTCTACGTTCCTGTGTCTATCCGTTAATTCCATGTCGTATTTTCTAGTCACGTGATTTGATGATGACAGTGGTATAGTTTCTCTGGGATAAAGTTAACAAGCTGATTCTTTGGCGTGTTCGTTAAGTTGTATACTGTTCAAAATGGTACCAAAAGCCCAGATGGGAATCCTCTTAGTAAACGTATTGGATCTGTTGATATCGCACCAGAACACGAGGCACGAATAGCTAAATCTCAAAATGCGACGTTGATAGTTAAGGGCAAACAACTGACTTTAATCTGAAATTTAAAACTTGGCCCTGGGATTTGAAACTTGACCCAACAAGGGTTTTTCCAGACAGCGTCAACGTCACACACGTACATAATGATTGTTTTATATTTTTTATTGTAGTTAACATTGACACCGCTACAAGCCAGACCATTTGGTATCGAAAGTACACAGAGTTTCACTCCTTTCCTGTCAATCGTTATTTATGGCCCGCACTGCCAAACTTCCCTTCACCGTGTTCAATAATGTCTTCTTAAAGACAATATCTATCGTAATCTTATTTGCGTACTAAATGATCTCAACGGGCTAAAAAAAATTCCCACTTATCATAAACTGCACTGGTTGGAATCTTTCATCATACCTAAGACCATCTAGAAAAACCAACTCAATTGGACAAATGGCAGGCTGTATGTTGCTGGTTTTAGCTGAATTTGATACCTGAATTGGTTTACTAACTTCTGTGTGTTTGGTTAAGTTCGTCTGATCGAGCTGGCAAAGCCTTTTGCACCGCTACTTCCCGAGGTGGAACTACCGTACGAAAAAATTGGATTTGACGACAAGGTCGTATACACGATCTGTGCGGCTTTAATCTATGTGTTTGGCCAATTTCCTCTAGCTGGCCTCGCCAAAAACAGTGGCTTAGAAGAGCAGGGAAGCGCTGGTGCGGTCTTGGACCCTATTTACTTTGTGCGTGGTGTTTTTGCAGCTGAGCCTAAGACGCTACTCGAGTTTGGAATTTTCCCTGTGGTATCTTCTGCTTTGATCATGCAGGTGCTAGCAGGTCTTAAGCTGGTCCGTGTGAACTTCAAGGTGCGCCAGGACCGTGAATTGTTCCAGACCTCCACGAAATTGTTTGCCATCTTGCAGTACGTGGTGCTTGCCAACGTGTTCATTTTTTCGGGATACTACGGTACCGCATTGTCTGTTTTCCAAATTGTTCTACTAAACTTGCAATTGGCTGCAGCAGGGCTATTTGTGACCCTATTGGTTGAGGTGATCGACAAGGGCTACGGTTTTGCGTCTGGTGCAATGGCCATCACCACAATAAACATTGCTACCAACTTTGCTGCGGACGTTTTGGGCGTGAACCAAATTTTAGTCGACAGTGAGGGCCATCGTGAAGCCCAAGGTGCAGTCATCAACCTGTTCCAGTCCTTGCGCTCTTCTCACAAGACCATTGTGGGAGGCATTGTGGGAGCTTTCAACCGTGACTACTTGCCTAATTTGACTACTTCGCTTCTGGTTATTGCATTGGCGGGAGCTGTGTGCCTGCTGAACAATTTCCGCTTCGAACTGCCCATCAGATCCACAAGAGCCCGTGGTGTTAACAACGTTTACCCAATCCGTCTACTTTATGTGGGTGGGCTGTCTGTGCTGTTCTCGTACGTTTTGCTATTCTACATCCACATTTTGGCTTTCATTTTGGTTCAAGTTGTCGCTCGCAATGATCCTTCCTCCCTCTTGTACAAAATCATCGGTGGTTATGCGTCCTCGAACAACCTGCTATATGTCCCGCAATTCCCACTGTCCTTGTTGACTCCACCTAAATCCTTCATCGAATGCCTCACCAGACAACCATTCACCCCATTTGTTTTTAGCGCATTCATGATTGTGACCGGTATTTGGTTCGCAGGACTCTGGCAAGCCATTAGTGGTGCTTCTGCTCGTGACATTAGCGTCCAATTCAAAGATCAAGGAATCACTTTGACCGGCCACAGAGAACAAGGTATCACTAAAGAATTGGAGAAAATCGTTCCAGTTGCATCTACTACCGGTGCTGGCATTCTAGCCATCTTAGTTGTTGTCGGTGAGCTCTTGGGCTTGAAAGGCAAAGGTGCAAGTATCATTGTTGGTGTAAGCGGTGCATTTTCTCTATTAGAGCTGATCACTGCCGAGTTCCAACAAAGTGGTGGCCAAAGTGCTTTGACCCAAGTTTTGGGCGTAACAGGAGCTTAAGAACATGCGCCTTCGCGCGACAAGACTAAAAAAGATATAATAAATAGAGTATCTCAAAGACATTCATTGTGCTCATTTTTAATACGTCTCTCTGGACATTGTTTTCATTGAGTGAATTGGACTTATCCTGAAGCGCAACAAGTGTAACATGCTAACGAAACTAACGAATTTTGCTGAAATTCTTGACCAGACGTTCACTAGGAATTCATCGGTAACAAGACGTCTATTTGGTAGACCCTAGTACTTAAAATGATCGTTTACCACATCTTTGTGGGTATATGCAAATTCTGATTTTATATACATGAGCTTCATCCTACTCTATCCTCTTTCAACATAGCATTTAACATCCGATGCTTCACTCTGTACTTTCCCTTCGTTGACGTAATTCCGCAGCTTTTGGAAGTAGAGCTGTGCATCCAGTGCACCCTTTTGATATCCTTGAAAACTGTGCTTTAGCTCGGGCACATTATGACTTACCAGAGGTTTTAGCTCTGAGTTGAAGTTCATTGGGGTCACGAACGTACGCACTTTGGCCCAATTGATAGTATAACCACCATACCTTGTGTGCTTACCAATACGGGAAGAGCGAGTACCTTTATATAGCGTCTTGTTCCCTTGCTTTGTAGTCAAGGCAGTTCTTCTGTTTCCTGACTTGGAAACACCGTAAAATAGTGTACCGTCCCGATTTTTTTTCCAGGGCCTCGTCAGCAAAGACACGGGAGATTCGCGAAATAGATTAGCAAGAGTTGGTCTCATATCAGCAAGGGTTCTCGGCTATTTAACGCACTTGTGTTGATCTCTCCGGTGTATGATGAGCTAGCTCTTCACCAATCTTAAAATTTTATATACTATCTCTTATCACTTTTTCCTTTAGTGACGTGTGTCGTTGAAACTGTTATCACATTGTCTTTTAGTGACATGAGACATGGAAAGACTGCCGGTCAAGCCAGATCCCGAGGCAGGCCCTCGAAGTCTAAATCAAGCGCACTAGTGTATTTCACTCGAACCTATGGTAACTGGCTGATCATGAACTTTATTAGAATGGTCGATTACAGAAGTTTTCAAAAATTCTAAAAAAAATGCATTTTTATAGAACTATGCAGAATGGCAAGGGCCCATTAGCCGTAGTGATTTAGTCTCCAAAGTCTCACCTTTCCTTGTTCGTTACCTGCAGCAAACATTTCACCGCGAGGTGAAAATGCAATGCTTGTAACTTTACCCAGAGGTGTACCACTCGTAGGCCAGTTTGCAAAAACTTTACCAGAGGGCAGATGCACCATTCTTAGGGCATCCTTGGTGGCACGAGAGGCAATGCATAAAATCTGGCCGTCGGGTGAAAACGCTAACGAAGACACCGACGTAGTGAGTTGATCTAGTTTGGCGCTAGGTTCAACGTTGGTGGTAGTTCTATCATAAACATGCACATAACCACTAGCACTACCAATTGCCAGCCATCTGTTCTGTCTCACTTTTTTGAAAGGTAGAAGCTGCGTTGAATTGTAACCGCCGCCTACTTGGATGGTAGTGATACCAACGCTTCCTTCGTCCTTCCATTTGCGTAGCACTTCGCCGCCGTTAGTTAGGTCAAATTCCCATATTTCTCCATATGTGTTGACCATTATTAGAATTGTTTGAAAAGTGTTTTTGACTCGAGGCTTGTAATCCAAACAAAAGTCCACCAGTACGCCTTCAATTTTGCAACCGGTCAGCCAAACCCCAGTGGTAGCATGCAGCACGTTGACCCAGCCGTTGTTACCTTGGAGTAGGATTATACCATGTGTCTCAGTTTTACCGCACAGATGACCCACTTTGAAATTTTCAAACGATCTCTGTGTTTCTTCGTGCCCATATAACCTGGATATTTTTTCTATCTTCGCTTGCTGGCTACCGCTGCTAGAAGAGATGTCCCAGGAATGCATATAACGGCGTCTACCACCAGTCAGTATTTTTTGTTCTTTATGCGAAGGAGTCACGTAAAATGTGCATGTTTGAACAGGAGTTCCTGTTAAGTACAAACTGGTGACCAAATGGTTGTTTTTGCCATCGATGTGGTAAACCCTGAGTGTCCGATCGTAACCTCCTGTCAGTAGCAGAGGTTTCAAAGGATGGAAAGAGAGCGACTGTATGGCTGAACGGGATGGATGTGCGGCATTAGCATCCTTGAGCCTTGTAATATCAAGCACTTTTGGCGGCAGCAACCGGTTGGAAAGATCGTGGTAGACGTACGTGCTTTGTAGAATCTTGGAAAGCGCACTTGCGTCGCCGTTGATGACTTGTTCGAGGTCTTCGTCATTACCGGAACCCGTTTGTTCTGCATCCGAGTCGTCATCGCTTGGGGATTCAACCCATTTTGGCCTTGGATATATTTTTTCAAACTGCGATCTCAGACGCTGTACGTAATGCCGGCCTCTGATTTGACCTTCGTTGTACGAAGTGCGCAGTTTTTTTGTCTTATTCGTAGCTGTGATGGTTACTTCCACACGTTCGTCGTCGGAGTCAGACCACGCATCACTACTTTCCTCGGTTCCATCGTCTATATCGCTCTGCGAACTTTCATCGTCCACGGACATTTGATCCTGGGTCTCACCGTCGATCCCATCGTCCACAAAAAACAGTTGGTCATCGTTCATACGGTCCATATCGGCTTCTGAGCCCTCATCATCATCGTCTTCCCCTGCTTCTTTAAGCATTATATCACCATCGTTACTATTTGAGAAACCTTCGTCGAGATGCCGTAGCTCCGACAGACTTTCATGAAATTCAGCCGTGTCTCCAAACACTATTTTGCTCAATAGCACTTCCTCTTCATCTGGCGGTGGTATACCGTGGAATTGGTGTTCAACAGCACTCATTTCACCACTATTGGAGTCGGTTTTTACATGCGATGAGATGCGATGAGATGCCATATGCTTAAAATTTTCCAATATCAATAAGGCCTGAAAAACATCATGAGTACATTTGAACAAATGTACTCATGATGTTATTCAAGTTTTAAAGGAATTCCCATCATTATCTCTTGACAACCTTGAAGGTGACCACCCTCCAACGTTGATAACAATCATGAACAACTGAGGCTCACTAGAGTGGCATGGCAATCGAGAAAAGCTAATGAAAAAATTAAGACCTGGAGCAGTCAAGCTATTCCCAACTACGGGGTATTTTCCGGGAGAAACTTGTAACATTAAGCGTTGCTGTGAACTGCGAATTATGACTGACAAAGCGTCAATGGCAAAGATTTATGGGAAGCGATAGAAGATCTAAATAAAACGATGAACCACCGACGTGATAGGATACCTTTGTCACTGGGAAATGACGTTTTACGGTGAAGTTTTGAATATAATTCCTAGAATAGCCGCCGAAGTATTTTCACTTTTATCTCAAAATGGGACAATCACCGCAAGATTTGAGAAAGAAGGCCCGGGAATGTGACATTTGGGACAAAAAAGAGAAAGGTCAGTTGGCCTGGTGGGAGAGAAAACGAAATCAGTGAAGTTAATATTGATGAAAAACAAAACACATTGGAGCTCTTTCGAGATCAAAACACGAGGAAAACAGTGGAAGAGAAAGCTTTCTCGACGGAAGTGACGAGATAGTGTGGCTATTTCAACTATCATCAGTAAATTAGTCGAATAACGCACACGTTTGAGGGCTTTAATCGCGTGTTGTTTGTTTGTTTGTTTTGTTTTTCTTCTGGCAGAGAAAGGAATGCCAAAGGTTGGAAAGACTCTAGATATTCACCATTAACAAAAACACACATTCACCAAAAAGCCGGGACACACAACACACCGGCATCGCACCCCGGTTAGCGTGGAATTGAATGCTTTGAGATGTGAATACATGTTAGTCACCATGAACGGAACTTGTTCCAGTATATGGTCAACTAAGATGGACCATTGCGAACATTATAAGACCGCGCCGACAAGCATCAAATGAAATCGCGTCTTATCTGCTATAGCTACTACTACTCGTGTTCTTTTCCAGGCATCAAAGATTAAAAAATCGTAACATGGCGTGCACTTATCAATCGCATCGCAAATACAATGCTGTCAAAAACCAGGGAAGCAGCATACAGTCTTCAATTGGAGGTCCACTTCCAGTTCCGGTATCGACCTTCATAGCGCTTTTCATTGATACCAGACTTGGCGGTACCACGAGATGTCTTAAGCCCGTGCGAAATTTTATACTGCCGTTCTAAGAGACCATCGGTGATGAAAGTCGTCGAACAACTGTGGATGCCGATTAAAATTCAAATACAAAAAGATAAGGGTAGCAGGTTTACCGCCTTGCACATTTTCTTTCCAAGAATTGTGAAAGCCGGCAAAACTTAGGCATACACAGGTGGTGGACATGTGGTTTCCATCTATTCACAAGTGGAATCATCCTAGCGCCATTCTTTCCACGGTCGCTTTTCCCAACAAGCAAGTGTTGTTTGCAGGTACGCATGACTCCAAGATACTGTGCCTGGACTTGGCTACGTATAACCTCGTTAAGATCATCCCACTTGGAGATGAGGGTGAAACGCATAGCAAATCGAGCGTATTGTGCTTGACAAAATCGCAGGATGAGCAATTCTTATTCTCAGCAGGTGCGGACTCCCTGATTAGAATCTGGTCCATTGGTCGTTTGACCTCTAGCGGAGATCTCACCATACGCGAAATGGCCACGTTGTACTCGTCCCTAGATATTGGCGATATATTCTCGTTGAAGTATCTAGACGCACATCAAACGATTGTTTTTGGCTGTCAAAACGCCAACATGTTATACATGACGGACGTGATAGATCGGCTCAATCGCAAGCCGCAGTCAAGCGACATGAATCGCTTGCCGCATCGTCGATATGACAAGTTTTTCGATTCGACGGGTCCCGGAAATAACGCAAGAACGCCGTCACCTTCGCCCGCAAATCTCTCGCGACCAGATCACGCAATCATGGAAATCCCCTTGAGCAACAGCATTGCATACGCTCATAACAGTTTCATTTATTCCATTGAACCCATCGATATCACAGACGTTCAACTGTCCCATAATTTTCATGTCGACGGTCTTGAAGAGGGAAGTACTGCTTTTATCGTTTCAGGCGGTGGAGATGGCTTGAGCAAGGTATGGGCTTTTAACAAATGTGCGAAGAACATTGTGGATGTAAAGCTTATTTCCGAAATGGACAATGATGAAAGTGTACTATGCCAAGTCATTCAATTTCCCTTATTGTATTGTGGCCTTAATGGAGGGTACGTCAAGATTTGGGACTTGAACCTAAACGAACTCATTTCCACTCTGCAATGTCCAAGCAAGTGCGATGTGGTTTCCGTAAGCGTTTATGAGAACCATATCTTTGCTGCACACGAAAAGGGCATCACCAAGTTTTATAAGAACGAGATTTTCGAAAGGAACGTGGAAGAGGGGCTGGTGCTGAGAACTGAAATCCTTAGAAAAAACAGTGGTGGCCTTCGCCATTTAAGACTTGCAACAGGAGCGAAAAATGGTAGCTTAACGTTGTGGAATATGAATGACCTAATCAGTGAGCATCCTAATTATGGAGCACAAACCAGCCTGTCATCAAATGGTTACAGTGTCCCAAACCCACACCCAGAAGGTCAATCGTTATTTGACAACGATAGCATGCTAGAAACCTTGCGTGATCTAATTAGTTTTAAGACTGTCTCTGCATCGAATGAAAACCAGCATACTATTGATTCACGCCGCTGCGCTTCCTATTTGCAGAAGGTGTTCACAAAACTGGGTGCTACTTGTGATATTTTACCGATAGGAAGCAATGATAATCCACTCCTGCATGCAACCTTCAAAGGAACATCCAATACTAAATCCAAGATTGCTTGGTATGGTCACTATGACATCGTATCTCCAGGTGATCCCAACAAGTGGGGTACGGATCCTTATATCTTGACTTGTGAAAATGGATATTTGAAAGGGAGGGGCGTTACGGATAATAAAGGTCCTTTAGTGGCCGCTATGTACAGTGCGGGATCCGCTCTCTCGAAGGGGACCCTTGAGAAGGACATCGTGTTTCTCGTAGAAGGACAGGAGGAGTCGAATTCTAAGGGATTTGCAGAAGCAATTGAAAAGCACCGCAACTTGTTTGGTAATGATGTTGACTGGGTTTTATTCAGTAACTCTTACTGGATTGACGAAAAAACTCCGTGTCTCAACTATGGCTTGCGTGGTGTCATTAACGCTCAGCTTAGGGTCTGGAGTGAGGAACCAGACAGACACTCCGGACTTGACGGTGGAATACATCGAGAACCTACGACTGATCTATCTCGACTGCTGTCCAAATTGCAGGATGATGATGGCCGCGTGTTAATTCCAGGCTTCTACGACTCTTTGATTGCTTTGAGTAATGATGATAAAGCACGCTTCGAGGAGGTTTACAAACGGGCAGACCTCGCAAAGTCAATGTCAGTGGACAAATTGATAGCTAAGTGGGCCCAGCCTTCACTTTCCATCACCAATATGAAGGTGAGCGGCCCTGGAAACGCCACAGTCATACCACATAGCGCATCTGCAACCCTATCTATTAGGATAGTTCCTGGACAAGACGTTCACGCGATGCAAGATTCGCTTCAGCAGTTTGTCTCCGATTGGTTCTCCAAGTTTGATACTTCCAACCATTTAGAGTTCAAGTTGCTGAATGAAGCGGAGCCATGGCTTGGAAAACCAAATAATGCAGCCTACCAACTCCTAAAGAAAGAGATCATGGAAGCCTGGGGGATAAATCCGCTATTTATCCGAGAGGGAGGATCTATCCCGCAAGTGCGTTTTCTAGAACGAGCCCTTGGTGCTTCCGCAGTTCAAATTCCATGCGGTCAGAGTACTGACAATGCCCATTTAAACAATGAGCGGCTCCGCATTGAGAACTGGTACAAGATTCGCCAGATTTTGGAGAGCTCTTTCACCAGACTTTGAAATATTGCTGCTATTTAAGATCCTCCTTGTGAGCTTCGATATCTTCAACAAGAAACCATGTCTCAAACTAATAGCATTCCCTGGAAGAGAATGTACTTTCACCACGCTGTGAAGAGCAAGGGAATCGCGTTCTACTCATCCACTCACCATTTGGTGCGTCACGTTAACCTGAAATGATCTTAATACACATCTATAATAAGGTGGAACAATGACTCCCCTGCTTGTCGGGCCTACAACGAAAGGAACCCAATGAGTCACCACTCTATTGAGCATTCTCTACCACCAGATATTGTAGAGGCAGCGCTGCCTTACCTTTCTTTGGGAGATCTGAGGAATCTCTCTCTAACCAACAAATACTTCCATAAACTACTTGATTTTAATTCTTCAAGCACTCTATGGCATGAACTGTTCCGCAAGTCATTCGGGTCACTGCATTCCGATACGGAACCTTTGGAGTCAAGTCAGAACTCGCATTACATGAGCTGTTGCGAGCTGATATTGAGGAATCGATACCCTGACGAGCCCTGGAGCAAACTGTACCAAATAAGATCCTTCAACACCAAATTGTACACATGGGGCTCACTAAAACATGCAAGGCTGGGATACACAACTGCCACTTATCCTTCGTTGCCGGCAGGAGTTATCAACAATGCAGGGATGAGACTTCAATTTGGAATAAACTCACCTGTCCAGGTGCCATGGGAATCTGATATTAGAGAATCAGCATCAACGTCAGACGATAACAGCATAGCATCTGTAGCTGCTGGTGGATTTTCCTTCCAAATATTAACTAAGTCCGGTAAACTATACATGACAGGTTCAACTTATTCTGGGGGTCATCGTGGACCCGGCCCCGTTGAAGGACAAAGCGATTATAACCCGTTTCAGCACTTGATCACGCATGCGGAGCGCAGCCTTACACTTTTCAATGGCAGAACACCAAGACGAGGTGGTGTCTTTCCTATTAACACCACAAGCTCGATGCCTTTGGAGAGGCCGCACGAAAACCTTTACGCGAGTTTTGAAGAGGCCGAACGCATTTTAGATCAAAAACTGGCGGGAAATAAGCATATAAGGCGGCTTTTCACTCGCGACATCATTCAAGTTGACATGACAGGCTCTGGAGATTTCACAGTGGACAAGGAAAACCTGGATAAAGTCAAGTTTCAGTCGGTTTCTTCAGGAAGATCACATATCTTAGCTCTTAGTGATCAGGGTGACTTGTACTCCTGGGACGGTCCAGACGTGGAGCAGGGCATCAGGATTGTTTTCAATGAACTGCCTACGAAAGAGACAAACCCTGTCATCAAAATAGGCTGCGGATGGAATTATAATTGTGTCTCCATTTTTGATGTAGGATTGGTTGTGTGGAGCAGCCGCAACGCTTTAAAGGAAAACGAGCTTTCTACTGCCGCTAACTATAAGGTCATCCCCAATACCAACGTAATGAGCGGTGATGATAAAATTGTAGATTTTGCTTGCTGCGCAAATATGTGCGTTTTTTTCATAACTGCAAAGGGGGATGAGCTCCGGTTGTTTGCAAACGATGCTGTGCATAAAGTCATTTTGCCTGTCGACGGCCGTATCGTTAAGATTGTTGGCTGCTACACCGTGCTAGCAATTTTCACGGACCATAGCTGCTACACTGTAAATGTTTTGGAAGACCAAGTCGTGACACGTACTTTAGTCAAGCTGGAGCTGGAAGACCCAGAAGACATGATAGTATCATTATCTACAGGTGATTATCATACAGTGGCACTTACGTCAAATGGGAAAATTTACACTTGGGGCCTGGAAAGTGAACTATGTGGATGCCTTGGCTTGGGCGATAGGGAGGAAATTGTTCATGGTCGACAAATTGGAAGCATTGAGCATCTACGAAGCACTAGAGTAACTAAGCCCGCGCTTGTTAACATAGGAAACGTCGACTATACATGTCTGGCGGTAACGGCCGCGGGATGGCAAACAGCAGCATTGATTTTGACATGAGACCATTCGATTGCCAACATATTATTGAACAAGTATATTGAAATTAGCCTTAAATAAGTCCTAAGTTCTTTGCGTGGAACTCAGCATGTTGAGGAACAAAGCTGCTGATAAAGTAGTATGAATGGTCAAAGCCATCAACAAGATTTAAGTTAATTTTACCTTCCCAGGAGGTACCCTTGGCGGCCTCGATTAGCAAATGAGGCTTTAATTGTTCTTTGTAAAAAGGATCATTGGTACCTTGGTGAATCAAAATTACGTCGTTTCCTTTATTTGAAATGTTCTTGACCAGGTTGGCTGGATCGTATTTTTCCCATTGTGCACTTTCAAGGCCAAGATAGTTACCAAAGGCCTTCTTGCCCCATGGAACCAGCGATGGGTTGGCGATGGGTGCAAAAGCAGAGCACGACTTGTATTTTCTCGGACTTGCATATTGTTTGAGATACCCCGAGATTGCTCCAAAGCCACCCATGGAATGTCCAGTGATGGCCACGTTGTCCAAAAAGTCCAGCGTGGAGCCAGATTCGGAACCTGTACTCTTGAAAAATTGGTCCAGCTTGTTTGGGAGCTCATCATGAACATAGCTGAACATTTTGTAATTCTTGTCATATGGGCTTTGTGTAGCGTCAACGTAGAAACCAGCGGATAAGCCAAAATCCCAACCATTTTCTGGATCATCAGGAACATCTGCTCCACGAGGAGAGGTGTCTGGAAAAACAACTGCAAAACCAAATTTGTCGGCCTGGGGTTGCCAGAAGGCCTTTTCTGAAGCGTTTTGAGGTGTACAGGATAATCCTGACAAATAGTAAAGAGCTGGGATTTTGGCACCATCTTCTTTATAGTACTGTTGGGGCAAATAGATGTTAACGTTCATGGAAGTGCCGGTTGTCTCGGACTCATGTTGAAGCTTCAATAGCTTACCACCACAGCTGGAGATTTGTGATTCGATTTGAAATCCCATTGCAATAATGACTTGTTACACTAGCACTAAGGTTTCCAGTTCAGTTGAGAACCCTGGTAGACTCACAACTTGATTTGGTATATGTTAAGGTTGGTTCATCCAAATCACATTGCGAATTGGCCAGGTTCATCTTCTCTGAAAAACAAGTGATAGTATTCATGCTCACATGTGTACTCGCTGTCCACGTTTCGAGCACGGCACATAGTATCGCTGAACTGAAGAGTCAAAAGAGTCAGTGATATATCCCAGTCTTTAAAAATGATCTGTAGCTAGGTCTCCAACTGTAGTGAATAAAATTTATAGCCCATCGGAAGCAGCAGTAGTTGTGTCTGCGGTCAAAGATTGCTCGCGAGATTCAGCTCCTTTCTGCAGGGACGTTTGATCTTGCGAAGCTGACGTTTCGTCATTATGAGAGCTGGTAAGCTCTTCATCCTGACCATCATCTGGCTGTTCGTCTTCCTCTATATTAGGAAAATCTATTGGGTCGAATTTCATGCGAATCAAATCTCTATGACGGGTTTCCTGTGGTGTTGGATTCCTGATCTTAACGTTAATCTGGTCCAAATTGTTTTCACGCACCAGTGGCTTGATTACCTCATTAACGCGTCTTCTGCGAAGCTCAATCCGCGACCGTATCGGAGTATAGTAGACGGTTTTCTTATCGTCGTTAAACCGCAAGGACAGCTCGTTGAAAAGTCCCAAACCCGTGGGCTGTTGGTGCTTCATGTCGAAATCGCGTAGGTGTTTGAATTGGTAAGCTCTATCATCATCAACAATTTCATCAATTTGCTGCTCGCGATTTTTCTCATAGATAGCTGAACCGTCTTTGTCCGTGGTATAAAGCGAGACCCACTCATCTTCTTCAAGCTCAACGGGACGGAACATGGCTGTGGAAAGTGCCAATTGATCTTTTTCCTGTTTTCCCAATGCTGCAGAGCCCACAAATCGAATGGTAAAGAACGTTTGGTCCATCGCTGCAGTGTCTGGGAGTACACTCCAGGTTTTCACCGCATGAACGCTTTTTTTGGTTGGATGACGAATCTTGGATACGTCATCAGTAATGAAATCAAACGTTTCTTCCACGCGTTTTACTCTTTGAGCTGGTGTCAAGATTTCTTCCTCCAGATCCAAGGCTTCAGATGCGGCTCTTTTTTTGGTATTTTGTTTAGCCGCCTGTGACGAAGAAACATACTCGGTTCTTCTCAAAAATGTCACTTTGGACATATCTGTTTTCGTCAACTTATCGACCCTGGGATCTCTCAACAGCGCTCTATCTTCTGGATGCAACTTGATGTTTTCAAATCCCAGCAAAAGTCGAGGGTCCTGATGATTCAACAATCCGGGAAGCTCCATGAGGTCCATTGGCATTCCAAGATCCTCATTTATTTTAACCAAAGGTGTAACGTTTGTCTTTGCGTACAGCGATGTAACCAGTTTGGCAGAATCTGCAGCCTCATCAGCAGAAAATTCGTACTTCAAAAGCTTAGGGGGGAGCAACGGAGGCGGCAAATCATTTCTGTATCTGATTTTTGCAATGTATTCCTGTTTCTTAGACATATCGGGACGTTTTTGGGTGGATTGAAGGTGATGTTTGAATAGTTGACCTGATGAGAAGTGTTCATCACTATAAAGAACGTTGACGGAAATGAAAGTGTTGATAGCACTATTGACGAAGGAAAAAAGATCATTAAGATTGGGAACTTTGACTACTATCAAATATCATTGATGAATAGGACGGGAGAGGTTGAGACTCCTCGCCGCAATGTTGAGTTTGTTTACAGTATTAAAACTTTAAGATGTTAGTTTATACACCCCCTCATTAAAAAATGAACATACCAAACGTTATTGTTGCACTAGCCTAAAAACCTTACTACTTACAGATGCGACATTATTTCATTTCCTTCCAGATGTCAAAAAAACGTTTAGGGAAAAGGCTCAGAATGAAAAACGTCACCAACAAGTGGGTTACACAAATTTTTTCCCGGGTTCCAGTATTCTTTCTCCCACACCCTTTTCGATCCAATTACTTACGCCAAAACCAGCCATCCTTGGCGTTATCGTCATCCGAGAGTAGCTTCTCAAATGAGTCGATATGAGACCGACCTTCGGGATCAGTACGCTGCTTTTCTGAACGAAGTCTGACGGTGCCATCGTCAAAAAACGTTTTCACCTCTTTAACCTTTTCCAAACCATCTGGAGTATTGTTGTAAGTCACGTATTCTGAAGTGCCCACTACATTCCTCCCCGTAGCACGGTCCATAAGATCTTCAGGGGTGGTGGAGATATTTTCGAGCTCTTCGCGGCGTTCGGCTCTGGCGAGCGCAGATTTGCGCTTAGTTTCCGCAAGACGCAAAACATCAGCACGCCAAGACAAATACGAGGAGTATTCGGTAAAAAATAGTCCCAAGTTGTGCTTCTTGTCTTGTTCCACTCTTTCACGGGTCAATACCGTGCGCATCTGATCTGGGTTCAGGTTGCTGCCCACAACTTTTTCAGGAAACAAGCAGCGCCACCAACCGCGTGAGTCCCATACAGAGAGTCCATCTAGTTGTTTGCAGTTCATGTATTGTTTGTCTGAGGGGGTCTTGTACCCGTAGAGACCTGTAGTGCCCTCTTGGGTGAAATCGTCCTCAAATAGCCTTAAAATGCGTGCTGGGTGGCTAAATCCACCGGGCAAACCAAGCACGTCCAAAAGGTCGGAAACACCACCACTGGCGTTGCCCCAAATGTTAGAAATTGGGTTTTCCACATGATTCATAGCATCTTTCCAAACTGAAAAAAGTGAATCCCCTACAGATTGGAATCCACTGTGAAGGCTATCGTTCAAAGACGATTTAACCAGATCTTCATTAAATTCTTGAGTATCTTTGTCGTTAGTATTAGTGAATAGTCCCATAGTTGATTGAATATGTGTGAGTCTTTGACTTCGCACCCTTCTTTCGTCACCAGAATCGAAATCAAGCACAATTCCTAGGTTTGATGAGCTTTAAGTTCATAGAAAGATTCGTAAGAGAAGACTTCCCAAATCAGATCTCGATTCTTCCTGAACGCTAAGGGTGGCCATATACGAGCCTGTTTAACAATTTTTGTAACATTGTTTTTCTTGCCCAGTGAAGCATTGTCCGGTGTCCACAAACTTGCGGTCGCTGTATTTACAACGACGACAATAAAACCTTTGAGCGCGTTGATCCGAGTAGTATTGTCATAGTATATTTTATATCAACTGTCTTGGTCTGAATCAAGTAGCACAACATCATTACTGGCTTCTTTGTCTGCCTCATTCTCTGGTTCGTCCAGTTCTTCGGGTTCTTCAGACTCAGGCTCCGGTTCGAGTTCGTCTCCTGCCGGCAATTGAGAGTTGTTAATCTCAAATTCATCTTGATTCTTCTGGTTCTCCGCATCTTTAGTGAGTTCAAAATCTTCGGCAAATCCGTTGTCTAGTTCAGTTTCCAGCTCCGGTTCTACACCATCTTCCTCCTCTGCGTCTTCTTCCGGTGCATCACCATCGTTCTCGACTACCGGGGATGTGCCTTGCGCTCTGAATGGCAGCATGCTCTGGTCAGGAGCCAAGGCGGTGTAGCGCACCCTATTCCCACGCGTCAAAGAAACTAGATTGTGTGTCTCAGGAATTACGTCCGATAAAAATGAGAATCGGTCAGAGTCTGCAACCACTGAAGCAAGATTATCGTAGCGTAATGTAAGCCTTGACCCATTAGGTTTTTCAAGTTGGGCTAAAGCAAGTCCTTCCTCAGTCAAAACCTGAACAAATAGCTCGGTAGCGAATGCTACAGCTGCAACAGCAGACTGTGAAGTGATGATATGCATTGGGTCAGTCTTAGCGATTCGCTTGACTTTAGAAAGCGGAAGCCTGGGTGCCGCCTTTTTGACAGTTTCTGAATCGTATTTGGACTCCATAGCGATAGATTGAGCGGTTTCTCGAGCGATTGCTACGTTAACGACTCTTGAGCAGACAAGTGTCTAGTTTTTCAGTAAGAAATGAATGTTATGATAGTAATTTAACAGTTAGAGATCACATAATTTGAGAAATGAATAACAAGGTCTTTGAAGACAGAGAGAGTTCTAGAGAAGCGGAGATCACCTTGATGCTGTTTTTAAGCTTTTTCTGAGTAAGCTGCTCTTTTTTTCACAATTTTTAGTCAAGGATTGGGAAGACTAGCTAAGAAAAGGTTACATTCAAGAAAATAAGGCTAGTTAATACACCGTTGATAGCATTTGTATTGTGTTTGGTCAGTTTTGTAGAGATCCTGGGTACATAGGTTTGAAAAATGTTACTTCTAGCACGATAACGGGGATTTTTCAAACAATGGGGGGAAACTGGTTGCTGAAAACGAGTGATAGAAGCGAAGAATCAGGAGCGTGTTTGAAATGGTATTATAAATAGAGCCTTGTCTGCACTATCAATGGGTTTTCGCGTGCTGAAATTTCTCAATATCTGGAAAAATACAGCCTTTGAATCTACTAAGCCAAAATGTCAGTGTCCTACATGGGAAAAGGTGACGCGGCTCGAGGGGGGCTGCCAATTGAGTCCGACAAAGATATGCGGATCGTGCTGTCTGTAAAGAGTTCTCATCGCACAATTTTATGAATCGAAGAAGATTTGCGACAGTTGTGCGCACAGGTAAGAATACAGTAAGCAATATGTGCTTCTTAGAAGTATGGTCCATCAAAATACTAGTTTACCGATGATGCGTCGCAACCAACTCCTCTAATCCAAGAAATCATTTTCTATCGCTACTAAATTCTGGATGTCAGTATCGTTGTCGTCCTCACTGCACTGTCAGTAATATTGAAGTGTCAGGGTCTTGAAGTGAAATTGAAATATTCAGGAAAATTATTTGCCATGAAAATTTGAGGATCTCTTGGCTGTTCAAAACATCGAGCTGCTCCAATAATGCATCTACAGAACTCAAATGGGTCACCTTTCAACATGTTCTTGATAACCACTGCAGTAAAATCCGTGGTTTTCATACGAAAAGAGTTCCGGAAAATGCCCTAAAATGGCATTTATCTATACATTCTAACCAATTTGAATATTCATTAATACAATGATCATTGTCATCATTCTCGCTCATGAACGAAAGAACTCAGCCCGAGTGACAGTGAGAGAAAGCGAATCCTATTGATATGTATCACCTTCCACGAACACGCCCTTATCTGAGAGATGAGCATCTCATCTCTAATAATGTCAAACCCAGTTAACATTTCTTGGAGCTCTAGGTTGAACGATCTGGGCCACTTGTAACAGTTCTGGTGCTTAAATGAGTACGCCCCTACCTTTGGAGACACACGGGCTTGATTCCCACCCAAAAAAAAAGCTTAAAACGACCGGTGATCAAGCTTTTGGAGCACATTATGACAACAATGTGATATTGCAAGATGGAAATCACATTTCAGATCATATCGGCCTTATTTCACACACTGAAATGACTGTTCTTCTCAGTGAACATGAAAGACAACAATTACCGCACTGTGAAGACGTTTTCCCCTGGTTGCACGGTTTCTCAGGATCAACAGAACCTCCTCGTGTTAAACAATGGACCGCAGTAATTCGCTCACAACCACTTTTTCATGGTATGATAGAAAACTCTGGGATCTTGAAGTCGTCCCTCGATCCACACGAGTTTTTGATACCCTGGGATCATCAAAAACACAGTCTGGAGTCCATAATTCAAGAGCTTACGAGTAATATAAAACTATCAGACGACGAGCTGAAACTACTGATACATGCATGCCAGAAGTATAGGCTTCTACCGTTTCTGATTTCGGACGCAAAAGCCCAAAACTCGTACGGTGCGGGCTCCCCGAAAAACAAGGTGTGCAGCTCAACTGTCGGATCCACATCTCGTCAATCAAGCGGATGGAAACAACCCGGGATGTTTCGCAGATTTGACTTACAGGTGGCCAAATTCATTGAGATGTCTCAAACTTGCGTGGTGTATTGTTTGAACGCATCACGACACCGGCAATCATGCTATTGCGCAGAGCTTGCCATTCTTATATACGTGGCACGTAAAGCTCTTGACGCAACTGGCGATTTCAAAGTCGGCGTACTGGGCACTGAAGAAATTGATTCCAGCTGGTGGGGAACTCGACCGATGAGGATAGACGCATTGCAAAAAGAAAAAGTAACACAACTGGCATCAGATTTCGATATTGCTTCCTTCAACAATTGGGACCGAGATCTCTTCTACCGCGAGCGACTTGAAATCTCCAAAATGTCCAGTGCCTCGTGTGTGAGCAGCGATCTTTCCACCTGGTGTGGCAATAGTACTGACTTTGAGATCTTCAGGCTAAATAATCACGCAACGGGCCACCAACCTTCGCAGACTACTAACCAAGCTGGTACTGGGGAACATAGTCTAAACACCGTTGTAACACTTTTGGACATAGCAGCAGAAAGCTCGACCCTCCATCCTATAGATTCTCAGCTTTTCAATTTTCCGCGTCCCTCCAAGGAATGGAAGCTTTTCATTTCATGCACGGAATCAAATAACCTTCCCGAGCTACCCAAAATTACAAAACTTCTTCATCACGTTCAAACCGAACGCTCAATACACCACACTACCATATCATTTCCAAATTCAGGTTCAATAGGATTGGGAAATTTAAATTTGGAATCCATCAAGATCATTCTCAACACATGCTATCTTATCTACTGTGTTGGAAAACTTACAACTTTTGGCAGCTTAATTTTCTGCTCGGATGGTTACACTGAGGTTTCGTTCTTGTTGGTAGCCTATTTGATATTCATTTGGGACTTGCCGCTCGACGAAGTTCTCTTCAAGTTGCACAAGGAGGTCCAAAGACCCTTTTTTCTTTTCCCCATAGATCTACAGGTACTGAGTCACTTACAAATACTTTTGAGAGAAGAAAGTCCGAAAAGGAAAAGCACCATTGCGCCTTGTCTGGAGGTTGACCCCGTTCTTTTTAGTAAAATGTTTTTCACTAAAGTTCGGGATAACTACAACCTAGCCCAGCTCAAAGGCCCTCTGCCTTCTAAAGTTCTTCCTCATCTATACCTTGGGTCGTTAGAACACGCCCAGAGCCCAAATCTGCTGCATGAACTGGGTATTGCAAATATTGTATCTGTTGGAGAAACTATGCCTTGGCTACTTTCCGCAATGTCACGGAAAAGAAGTTTCACTGTTGGCGATGTTGGCAGTAGGCCTGGGATACATCGGCCGCATCTCAATGTGAGCATGTCGTCATCTCAGATTTCTCGACTTGAGACGAGACTGAACAATGGTATTGGTCGTAACTCTAGTATTTTGGAGGTAAATGGGTTCAAAATCTTGCATATTTCTGAATTGGATGATAACGGCGAAGACGGACTTTTAACTCAATTAGACGAAGCGCTGTCGTTTATTGACGGATGTTACAAGCGGAACGAGAAAGTACTAGTGCATTGTATGGTGGGAGTATCTCGTTCTGCAACCGTATGCATCGCGGAATGCATGCGAAGGCTCAATTGCGATTTTTTAAGAGCCTACCTTTACGTGCGTGTGCGACGGCTAAACATAATAATTCAGCCGAACTTGATGTTTGTTTACGAACTCTGCAAATGGCAGGAAGCGCAAGGAATGCGCCGGAAGGTTGATTGGCATATTGTGTGCCGGGCGATCTCGGAGTTGAATCGGATGTACTTTTAATTTTTTGCATAACTGAATATTTGACATTACTGGTTTTTTATAATTCTTGAACCTTGGACAAGCCAACATTGTTCATTCCAGCGTAATGTACTTTTTCAAAGACTCTGGGATACTATTGTAAAGCTTCTTCTCCTTCAACCATTTCTTAGAAAAGACTCTGTCAGCATACTTATGGCCACTGTCGCACAAGATGGTAACGACATTACTGCCTTCTGGTAAACTCTTGGCGGCTGTGGTGGCTGCCACAACATTCAGAGCACTGGTTCCTCCCAGGAAAAGTCCCTCTTCATCCAACAGCCTGTAAAGCATGACTATGCTCTCTTCGTCGGGAACGAATATAGCGTCGTCAACAATATCCAACGATGCTTCCAGGTTTTTGGTAATACGGCCCTGGCCAATGCCCTCGGTAAAAGAGGAGCCCTCGCGGCTCATTTCCCCGGTCTTGACATACGAGTAGATTGCAGAACCAGGTGGATCAGCAATAATAACTTTACTGTAGTTGTTGGTGGCCTTTTTCAAGTATTTAGCAACACCTGTAAAGGTACCGCCTGTGCCGGTGGAACAAGTGAAGGCTTCGCAGGTTAGTCCCGCGCTTTCGAGTTGTTTTAAGATCTCAGGTCCTGTTGTATTGTAGTGCGATTTCCAGTTTGCTGGATTATCAAATTGGTCTGTCCAGATAGCGTTATCGAGACTCTTAGCATGGTCTCGAGCTCTGTTATTGAAATTCAACGGATCTGTGATTGGACAAACGGGCACAGCGTGGACCTCGGCACCCAAGTATTTCAAAAGGTTAATTTTCGATGCTGATTGCGTGTTTGGCATGTAAAAGATCGACTTGTAACCTTTGGATCTGGCTATATGTGCCAGTCCAATAGCTGTATTTCCAGCAGATCCTTCCACGATGGTTGCAGGACGAGATGGGTCCAAATGTCCATTTTTTTCAGCCTGTTCTATCAGATACAATGCAGCACGGTCTTTCACAGAGCCACCAGGATTCTGGAATTCAGCTTTCCCGTAAATGTTCCTTCCTACTTCTCTGGATACTTTGTTCAGTTTTATTAATGGTGTGCTACCAACGGCTTCTGCGATGCCCTTGTTGGCCAAAATCGGGAAACTCATGCTGACGATAGAAACGTTACCAGGAGATTTTTATAAGGGTCTGAAAGTCAGGTAGCTTGCGCTATCGAGTAGATAGTAATGTTCTTGAACGAACGTCCAGGGACTGTGGGGTCTTGAACGAAAGAGGTCTATGAATATATACAGTTGGAAAGTGTGGGTCCTTAGTACAAGACGATACAGCATTACAGAGACATAATCAGACGTGAGTTGATGCTTTTACGGTTTAGCACGATTTCGGTGTGTATTGGGTTCGGAGTATTTACAGATGCGTGGGATTCAGTTTTGAAGCTTTTTTTCCCTGAGGATTCAGAACCGGAGAGTAGTTAGCGTGATGGTCTCTCTGCCACCACTGTGTATCCTGGGGTTTTGGTAGTGTTCGAGGACGCCTGTTCTGGTAGCGTTTTTATCTGTTCTTGCAACTGAGCTATGATTTGGAGCTCTGTAGCCTCGTCATATGGAAGCTTCGAGTCTTCTTTTATAAAACGTCTGACAGCCAATACGTCGCGCGAAAAAAACTCGTTGCGATTCGACTTGAATTTGAACATCTTGGCAAAATTTTGCAAGGTCAAAGGTGCGTAAGGAACATTAGCGGTTTCGTTAGCAATGGCAGTTTTGCAAAGTATCCAAAGTTTGATGTTTCCTCTTTGGAACACACCCTTTTGATCCACAACAGGAGCATCCACGAGCTCCAGAATGCTCTGTTTCGCACGATCTCCAAGACGAGGCTCTAGTTTCAAAACACGGGTATATCCACCGGGTCTGGTTTGGTAGCGTGGTGCAAGCTCGCCAACAACACGGTTCAGGAGCTTGCTGGAATCTCCTGCCAGGGACAGGCGGGATTGGATCTCCTTAGCCGAATTGGGATGCTTCTTCAAGTTTTTAGCCATGGTGATGATTCTTTCTGCAAGACGACCTGCTTCTTGACATTTTTCATGCGTCGATACTATGGATCCATGTTGGAAAAGCTGAGTGACCAGGTTTCTGAACATCGCATCCCGATGAGCCTTGGTACGCGAGAAATGACGCGTCAGGCCTCTAGTCATATGTGTGTGGGTGGGAAGAGAACAGTGGTGTCTATATGATCTAAAGTTTCCGATGCGTTGTGTAGCTGGACGAGAGCGTCAAGAAAGCTTTAATTACATATATATTCAAATTTTCTATATAATGCTTGAATTGAGTAAAAGATGAGGTGACAAGCGTCTGACAAGGGATAAAGAGAAGATATGGTGAATCAATGGGGAGGTGGCGATTAGGTAGAATTGTGGGATCATTTTGATGGTCTTACGGCTCGAACACGATGGTTTTGAAACAATTGTGGAAAACGTCACGTGGCCCGCTAAGACGTTTTCATGTAAGTTGAAGCTGGATTATAGTTCAATGTGTTAAGTGACCCAGTTTTGGATAGATCCAACAGTACCGATCATGTAATGAAATTCACAACACTTCATTTAGCGGTCTTCCAGGTCAAATATGCTCGAAATTCGTGTAGGATGATCTGTATCTTCTTTACCAAAACAATCTCAGCTTCAAAGAAAGTTCTATCACACGCTTGTAGAAACATTCTTTTCAATCAAAACTCAAATCTTTAGTGCAGATTCATTATCTTTCTGCGGAGATCTATCTACATACACTATGTTACGCTATTGGTGGTACGTATATAGTGACACATCACCAGCATTCTGCTCAGTATTTCCATGAGGCGTGCTATATATGGCCAATCATCCGTCTGCCCTCAGTTTCCCAATAACCTAATCCTCTCCTCTGCCATTTTCTGTTTCCCCCGTTTCCCATCTATCTCTTTTTCTCTCTTCATCCTGTATCCTTCAAGAAAGTCATCTATTGAAAATCATATATATAGCCAGTTCCCATCATCTCCATCACACTTCAAGAAAGCCCAGCTAAACAAATCATCCACTATGGTGCTTGAACACTCCCCCTACCAGGACCCCAGAACCTGGAAAATGACTCCTGCGATGATCAGAGCCAGACAGCCCTTTGTCAAGAAAAACTTGTTGGGTTTGAGTGCCCTTCTTCTAGTTACTGGAGGCATCTACGTTTATACTTATAGGTTTTTGAACCGGGACAACGACTTTGCAGATGTACCAATTCCCCCTATCGACGCTGCAGAGCTTGAAAAGCTCAAGAAAGAATACGAGGAACACAAACAGCAGACAAGCAACAAATAAAGCTGGTCTTTCGATGAAAGAATTGGGAATAGGAACAATACTGGTCGACTTCCTTGTAAACTAGCCCAATGCCTGTAAATAGATTTTAAAACAAAGTTTTAGAGAAACTCAAGGATTCTGTGAAACCAGCAAGAGGTCGTGATCCAGGCTTCCAGTATGATCTGGTATCGTTCTTGTCTTTTCGTGGATCAATATATCCGGGTCTATATATGTATGTATTTCCATTAAGATTATAACTGGAGATGAACAGCAGAACTCTTGCAAGCAACAAGATACCAATTATGGGTCGGTTTGCACTTGATAATCAGGTTGTACTTGTGGCCGGTGGATCACAGGGACTGGGAAAGGAATTTGCCCGGAAATTTCACCAAGAGGGGTCTAATACCATTACTATTATCGTTAGCAGATCGCGCTCCAAGCTTGAACAGGCCACTCGCGAGATATCGGGCGAACAATTGGCACAGGAACTGACTGGGGGTCTTGAATTGGCCCGTGGCAGCAACAGAATTCTGTTTTCACCCTGTGATGTGGCTGACTACGTACAAGTGGAACGACTACGTGAAAAATTGGATTCTAGCTCACTGAAGCCCACTGTGGTACTACTTTGTGCTGGAGGTTCGCATCCGGAACTTTTCAAGGATTTGAAGCCAGAAGAACTTGAATTGGGTGTCAAAGTTAACTATTTGACCTGCACAAATTTGGCACACGTCGCAGTGCGTCATTGGCAGTCTGCACATCTGGTGTTCTTCTCAAGCGCAACTGCTTTTTTCCCGTTCATTGGGTATTCCCAATACGCTCCACTCAAGCAATCTATCAAGGCATTGGTAGCTATTCTGCGTCAAGAATGTTCTCAGCATCGAATTTCGTGCGTGTATCCGGGAAACTTCGACAGCGAGGGCTATGCCCTTGAGAATGAAACTAAGCCAGCAATCACAAGAGAAATAGAAGGACCTTCTGATGCATTGTCTTGCGAGACGTGCTGCAACAGGATTGTCAAACAGCTACAAATGGGATACGATGATATCGTCACAGATTTCATTGGATGGGTCTTGATGAGCACTGACATGGGCTTAAACAAACAAAATAACGTTTCAATAGGGTGGCCTTTACAGTGGATACTGGGCATTGTAGCGAATTTGATTATTGTTCCGGTCTATATGCTCATTTGCAAATTTCAAATAAGGAAGTGGCATAAGTCTTGTGAGAAAAAAACCTCATGAGGCTAAAACCGTGGGTAATGTTGTCATTTTTACCGTTTTATTAACCCTTGCATCATTCGTTTCTTATCCTTGACCAATCGTTGCGTCACAATCTTCTATTCACGAGTCCTGATAAAATGTATGAACAACATTCCAGATTGAGTGAGCCCTGCTCATTGACAATACCACCAAAACAATTTTTTTTTCATTCCGTGTCAAAATTGAGCAAATGAACTGCTGCTTCGCTTTACTGAGACATGGTTGGGTTCCTTCAAGGTAAACTGCCAGTGTAAAGGTATCCCTTCTTGTGTACTGATGCTTTCGATATGATCATCTACTCGCGACCAGATGTTCGGATAGAAAACTGGCTGAAAGACGTTTTTTTCGAATGCAAGTAATGAATGAAAAAGTTGTTATATAAGAAAATTTTAGAACTCATCGCATCTCCGCGCTACCTCATCGCTTGCCATCAAGACATCAACAGAGCTGGCCAAGAGGGTTTTTGTTTTCAAATCAACCTTTCAAAATGTCGATCTATACCTGTAACACATGTGGGCTGCAGTTTGCCACTGCTAAAGACCAGAGGGATCATATGAAGACGGACTGGCACAGCTACAACTTGAAGAGAAGGGTTGCTGAACTGCCACCAATCACTGAAGCTACGTTCAACTCCAAGGTCAAGGCATTCGCCGAACAAAAAGAGCAACCTGAAAGCAAGAGACAGCTGACCAAAAAAGACTTGAGAAGAAAGGAAAAAGAGGCATTGTTAGCTAAGAAAAAAGCTCTTTTAGACCAGGCCCGCGAAAGTATTATTTCAAACATGCAGAAGGCTCAGGGAGAAGATTCTATGAAGGTTAGCACCCAAAACGATGTTTTAGATCAGGACAAACAGCAGCACGAACCGGTAGATGAAAGGGAATCAGAAAAAAACGTTGAGAGCGAGATAAGTCAAGAAGAAAAAGAAGAAGAAGAACTTTCTCCCGATCAATTAGCGGAAAAACTGATGCAGGAGAAGATAGACAACAAGGTGGATATCCCTCTGAATCACTGTTTATTTTGCAACAAACGCAACGGTTTCCCAACTCTGGATGACGCTTTGGAACACATGTTCAAGTGCCATGGATTCTACATACCAGAACAACAATATTTGGTCGACAAGGAGGGACTTATCAAGTATCTTTCAGAAAAGATCGGTTTGGGAAATATGTGTTTGTGTTGTAACTTCCAAGGACGTTCTTTAGAGGCCGTTCGTGCTCACATGCTGGCCAAAGCCCATTGTCGAATTCCCTACGAAACCGAGGATGAAATGCTAGAAATTTCCGAGTTCTACGATTTCTCCAGCACGTATGCTGACCGAGCTCTAGACGCCGGTGATGAAAATGATTGGGAGGATGTTGGAAGCGATGAAGAGGGTGCAGAAATCGAGGAGGAGGAAGAGGTGCCTCGGGAATTTATTTACAACGATGGCACGGAATTGTATTTGCCAACCGGCATAAAAGTTGGCCACCGCTCGCTACAGCGATACTACAGACAAAACCTCAAGCCTGAGTCGGTGCTTACGGAGGGTCAGGGTACATTGATTGCGGCGGAAACGAGACATTTCGCAGCTGTCATTGATCCAAAGCAGGTAGCAACCCAGAAGAGAGTTTGGCAGACACAGGTAAAGGACATGAAGACTCACGACAAGAGAGCAGCCAAGTTCGTCAATAACCAACCTCATTACAGGGACCAGCTTTTGCAGTAAGCAGGTTTTGTAGCATAGTAATTTTCAATAACGGGTCATCGGATAGAATAGATTTACACCAGTAATAAACAAACTTTAAAAAAAATCGACAAATAAACGGTTTGAGTTGTCATTTACCATTCAGCAAAGTAACCCCGGGTCATACCACTTCGTTCTGGAGTTGTTGGTGCCCTATGGATGGTCACTTTTTAACCCGTCGTGTCAATCCATAAGATCTACACGAGTACGGAAGTACTCGTGTAGATCAATTAATGTATACCTGTCTTCAGGTAACGCTCACATATCCACTACGGACAAAAAGCATTGAATCCCCATAAGCAAGACCCTGGTGACCCCAATTGGCTCAATGGGCATTCTTTCAAAGACAATAGGGCTTCTGGCTTTACAGATTGTGGCAATTCTGACATTTTCAGCAGGTTTTTTCCCACAGAAATCGTTTCTGAAGGGCGATGCTCAGTTTCTACATCTTCCAGAGGAGCAGCAAGATGTACAACCACGATTTGAAAAGCTCGTGCTTGTTGTAATTGATGCTTTAAGAGCTGATTATCTCTTTCAAGATGAAATGAGTCAGTTCAGCTTTGTACATGGATTGTTGAATGATGGCCATGCTTGGGGTTATACTGCATACTCAAATCCTCCTACTGTGACACTCCCCAGGTTGAAAGGTATAACCACAGGATCTACGCCTAATTTTTTAGATGCCATATTAAATGTTGCTGGAGAGGACTCTTCGTCTAGCTTAGAAGAGCAGGACTCTTTGCTGCGACAATTCCGCATCAAGCAAAAAACCATCAACTTCTTTGGTGACGAAACATGGTTAAAGCTCTTTCCTCGTCACTTTTTTGATGTAGTCGATGGCACCAATTCTTTTTTTGTAAGCGATTTTGAAGAGGTTGACTATAACGTTACCAGACATCTGCCGCGACAACTGGCATCTCAGGAATCCTGGGACGTCATGATATTACACTATTTGGGATTAGATCATATTGGACATAAAGGTGGCGCATTTTCTACATTTATGCGTCCTAAGCATCGCGAAATGGATGCCGTAATCGAGCAGATCTACAACTCTGTTGACGACAATACATTGATATGCGTGATGGGGGATCATGGAATGAATGACATGGGAAACCATGGTGGTTCGTCTGCAGGTGAAACTTCGTCAGCAATGGCTTTCATCTCGAAAAAACTAGCAGGGTTCAGCAAACCGGTGGCTCAACGAACTGAGCATATTCCTATAAAAGCCAAAAGTGAAGATTACAAGTATTTGACAAAAGTTAATCAAATTGACTTCGTTCCCACCGTAGCAACACTTTTCAATCTTCCCATACCCAAGAATAATATTGGGGTCTTGATTCCAGACTTTTTACGCTTGTTCTCGTCGCACGAAGCACATATTAAAGTAATGGATAACTTTGAGCAAATCTCAAGTGTTGCTGGGCAACCGTGCAAGGAACTAGGAAGCACCGACGCTCATATTGCGATGATGAGAGACATTCAGGCTCGCTTAGCGAAGACTGCAACGAAATACGATTATAAGCTTTTAGGCATCGGCTTTACATTACTAGCCTTTGCGACTTTTGGCGTCAGTAAAGTGTGTTTGGAGAGCTTGCAAATTTCTGTCTCGTTCCTGATTTTGATTGTTGTTTGTTTCTTGCTCAGTCTGAGTACGTTTGGGAGCAGTTTCGTGGAGGAAGAGCATCAATTGTGGTGGTGGGCATCCGTAGGGTTTGCACTGATCTCGCTTGCAAAGGCACCGCGCCAAACAGGTTCCATTTTCCTGGCCTCCGTCGGCCTCAGATTTATTCGTGGCTGGAACAATAGCGGTCAAAAATACATCTACGAGCACACCACCTCAGAACTCCTGAAGACACACAGCGAATGGCAATGGATTCTTAATGTTTTCACAATTTTAGGTTCGTCTCTGGTACTTCGTCAACAACCTACATCCTCCATCTTGGCAGATTTCCCACTTTCAGCATTGTGTCTCGTCTACAAGGCCTCATGGAGCGTAGCAAATGGAGAAAATGTACCTCTTTGGCTACAAAAAGTGGTGTCGAACATCGTTCCTGGCGTAGCGAACGACTTGAACCCGACGGAGGTCCTTAAAAGTCAACTTGTTCCGATGGCCAGAATATTTTTTTCCTGGGCAATTGCGCAAGTGTTCATTGAGCTAATGGCGCATAAGAGAGAGTGGCCGCGTCGTCGAACTTTAATAGAGAGAATCCATCCCATCATTACGCTGATTTTGATATTCCAAACCCCATCTACGAATATCCCACAGTTTCTGGTGTTCCAAATCATTGCTCCTCAAATAGAATCGCTATGGCATCAGTTGTCAGACTCCAATGTCACTGCTTTGATGACCGTTGGGCTGATTTTACAACATCTGACGTTTTTTCAATTCGGAGGTACTAATTCGATTGCCACTGTTAGTCTAACTAATGCGTACAACGGAGTCTCCGAAAATTACAGTATTCACGCTGTAGGATTCCTAATGTGTTTGAGCAACTTTGCACCCTCGATCTACTGGTCTACTACATGTTTAAAGATGCTATTGCAACGGCAACCACGAGTTGTACCAAAAAAATGGCAATTTTTCGCAATTTCACGGTTACCAGCGCTATTTTTTTACTGCATTTTTGGCTGCTTTCTTCTGGGATCCTGTTTTATCCTGCGTTACCACTTGTTTATCTGGAGTGTGTTCAGTCCCAAGCTGTGCTACTACGTCAGTTGGAACCTTTTCATGAACGTGGTGATCGGATGGACCCTGGAGGCTGTAATTATAGCCATGAGTTGATGGTAGTTTGGGGGATGTCTACCCGAACCAAAAGTTGATCTCAACCCGGTCTAGCGATGTGCTTTCGACCCGGTGGCTTTTTTCATCAGTTCACTGGGTCAAAAATAATATTATTGATGAGAAAACCTCGAATAGATTGAAAAATTCATTATAAAGCCCATCTACCGATCGCACGAAAAGACATCATAACGTCCGATGCTACGCCGCTTCCCAATTTCACAGTCTGTAAGATTACTTTCCAGCTCCCGTATTGCTTTTCAGCAAGCGAAAACGGGCTCTGAAAAGGTCATTTCCAGCTGTCCAGCTGGTACAGTGTTGAATTTGCAAATCAAAAAGTCCGGCAAAGAACCCGTGGCTCTGGAGGACCACGAATACCCAGAGTGGCTTTGGAGTGTTCTGGATGAAGATGCTCAGCTCAAAATGCTGCAAAAGGACCCGTTAAAATTGCGCAGAAAACAACTAAGAACTTCCAATCGTCAAAAAATCAAACAAAACAACTTTTTGTCTGAAATTTGATCGACTAAGACTGATACACTCACAAAACACTCCTGTATATATACACATATTCTAGCATACCATCAATTTCAGCTGGATGGCTGTCGAAGGTCGTGAACTCATCTCCTGTTGGGTCAGAGCCTGGTCACTGCCAACGTTGAGGGAACATTACCATTCACTTCTATAAGATATTGACACTCAAGTCTCAGTACCATCACCTACAATCATCACATCGGCTTTCATCGACAAGATAATTGGCCCAAGAAGCTGGATTTAGGTGCCAATTAGAACCTGAACTTATGCTTCCAGAGCAGCATCCTATTTTCAAGAGCCAGCCATTTGAAGCTGGCTGTTCAAAGCGGTTTGTTTGCCATTCTGCCAAGCAGGATCGAAAAACAGTGGTTGTGGAGAAAAACAGTATAAAATGGTGTTTTCCTGAGCACTCTGAGTACCACTACGCGAATTTCAGTGCAATTGTAAACTACCACACAGCCATTCTGAACGATCTTGGTACGCTTCTGTGCCTTCATAACGATCAGGAATTGCAAATTTTATCACTGGAAGGCATCTCATCTGGAGATTCATTGAAAGAATACAAGTTTTCGGTACCAACAGGCATCAAACAAGTGCTGTGGCACCCCAATGGTCGCCTCGCTTCGTGTATCGTCGTTCTCTCGCGTAACGATGAAATTTGCATGTACGAACTCCTCAGCGATGACATCTCAGTGCCCACTGGCATTTGGAACTCCACTTCAACCAGCCAAAAGCCTGGGATAGATGCTACTGTGAGAGATATCGTATCGATGTCATTCAGCAACGATGGTATGACTCTTTACGTGATCAACACAAGTGAAGGTGCAGACGTGTATTCGATCTATCCTTTTTTACCCTCCGAAATCGAGGTAACCGAGGAGCAAGTCGATCATAGTTTCCACAAAGCACTGCTCCAGTATAATGGTCTTACAGAGGGTGATTCTTCTCAACTCAAACGTTTTGTCACTAAACAGCTACGATTCGCATCTCAAGTTCGCAGTCTCGCCCAAGACCAATCCAATAATTTAGAAAAAGCCACAAAACTGCTACTGCCCATATCAAACGCCTTCCGAATGTCCGTACTACAAGGTCCGCACACAATCAATCCCTTTCCAGAACGTCTCTACGATGCAACTGCAGTACAATTAAATACACTAAATTTGACTGACGGGACCAGCGAAATTCTTCTGATATCCTTCGACGATGGAACCATCCTTCAATGTTTCAGGGATTCGGAACCTGTCATGGCTTGGGAATGTAGCAATGAAGCTTTGAACAATTCGCTGATCACACTTAGCGCCTCGAGAATACCAGGTCTGATATCGACAGTATCTAGGACTGAGTTCGTTGTTTTATCACCCGAGAAAGCTACCTTAGTCGACGTTTCAAATCTCACGAAGGCAATTAACCAGTCCTTGCTTGATTGTGATATTGCAGTATTACTGGGTGCCGATCTAAGCGAACAAATACACGAACAAAAGGGTTCATTCGATAGTTCCAGTTTATGGTCAACAGAGCAAGATTATGTTCTTCTATCGAGTAATGCCACAAGTCACTTTGTTATTCCATTTACTAAGAGAAAGCCTCTTCTTCAAGAGGCAGGAAACACTGCCGCCTTGGTTCAACGACGCCCATACGAACAGCCAATTACTGAATTGTTAGCTCTGAACAAAAGATTGCAAACACTTTTGAAAAGTCCTTTGTCGACAGCTATAAATTCCGAGCTCCGACACAGGAAACTTGATGATGCATCTAATGAGGAGCAGCTTTCCGTTTTGACCGGCATATCCAAAGAGTTGCTGAATCGAGTCATGGTAGCTCAGACGTTAGCGCTGATGCTTCATACCCGTCTGACAGGACAACAGCGTGAGCTTACAAGTCATCTCGAAAAGGTGTGTGACGTTGTTTCGAGAAAGAAAGCGATTGATGAGAAGCTTACCCCCCAGCAAGAGCGATGGAAGAAGGTACAAAATACAAATCAAAGCATTAAAGAAAGATTCACTACACTACAAGATAAGCTGAAGACAATTTCGCTGTCCGATGAATTGACATCCAAATCTATTTCACGTACCGAAATGGAATGGTTCTTGGAGGTGAAAAATCAGGTCTCAAAATTCAATCGGTTGGTCTGCTCTCAGCGTGATTTGAACGAGACGCTATCGCTTTTGAAGTTGAGATCGGGGTATGTTGATGTCGACAATACCACAACAGCAGAAGCGATGGACACTGCATCTTGGGAAGCGCTACGCGAACAACTCGCCAAAGATGCCAGAATAATTGCGGAGTGCCAATCACAGCTTGAAAACGTCTCGAAAGAACTCGAATAGCATATCTAGCTGGTCATTTGTTGATGAAAAAACGCACCACGCCACAGAAATAAAGAGGGAGAAACTACCATAATACAGTTTAATTCGTTTTTTATTTGAATAGCCAATAGAGAATATTTACAGGAAACCGTGCTATACCAACCAAAGCAAGCACTAATACAGTATTTGATTGCCCTTTTACAAGCTTAAAAATCCGTCACCCTCCCGTTGAAAGAATAGTCTCCGTATCTTAGAGGATCCTGTTTGGGCCCACCACGTTCACCTGTTTTAGGATTAACGTCACCTTCGAATTCAGGAATAGTTTTGGAGAATTCTGGCGAGAATCCTCCTATGTCCGTTTTCAAAAATGGAGAGTTCGCACTTTCCTTTGTGTGGTCCTCTTCTATTTCTTTATTGTAAGCATCAATAGCCTCTTGAGACTGAGCTATACGTTGAAGGCGTTCAAACTCCTCCTGCTCTTCTTTAGGTAGTTGTGGAGGAGAAGGTCCTCTTTCTGACATAAAAGTGCGCGCAAAAGTTGCTGGTCTAAAACCTAGATGAGGTTGCAGATAAACTGGCTTAAGAACATAACGTTTAAGCATTGCTAGAGTGCTATGTGCGAGGTGGGTGTGAGGCTACACTTTTGACTAACTGTGGGTGTAGTTGATGATGTACTCATTAGTATTCTAATATTGAAGCATCGAACTCACGAAGATTAGATGTTTAACCAGAACATGTAAAACCTACCCACTCTAGGTCATTGGCAGATTGTGAATAGGTTAATCTAAATCTGGTGCAAGGTTGGGCTAAAGAGATGCCTGAACGCCCTAGAGACATTCCTTGAAGGCTGAAAGCAGAACACTAGGGCCCCGTCACGTGATCAGGATTCTCTCATGTTGTAGTGTCAGTGGACAGAGGTGCAGACCAAGTGCCAGTCTTTGGACGACATGCTATCAAGTTGAGAACTTATTGAAAGTGAATCCTTTGGCTAAAATTTCTGCTCGTGAAATTTTCCGCAAAGAACCCGATCATGAGCATAAAAACCTAGCAATGTTGAAATGTCGATTCAGAAAGCGAGGATGAACCCAATATTGAAGCGGCTTTATACGCTTCTCAAAAAATGAGTTTCATAGCATCGCATGTTTCAAAGCACTGCCGATATTTACAAAAATGGTGATGTCAGTGACTTAGTCTAGCTTTGAGATGTTCGAAGCTTTGCTCAAAATCGATATGAGCAAGTCTTGAAACTCTGGTCTATGCTATTCAGAGGAATAGTGCTGGGCTTACTGGCTTCTTAACGACCTTTTGATCATAGATCACTTTGATCAGATCCCGTCGTCTGTATTTCCATGCCGTACTAGATGATTTACTTCATGCACTTCTTTACGTTGTAATACTGATTTAGTGCAGCCAGTTCTCCCGACACCACTTATCCCAAGCTATTTGTACATCATTCTCGAGAATTTGCTACATTCAACTGGTTTGTTCTTTCTTAACTCAATATTCGACACAGTACGATGTTTTATCGCTTTTATCTGATGCATCTCGTTCGGGCAGCTCTTCTGGAAAAAGAAAGAAGTCCATGTTGGTTGAGATTGACGTTTCAATTCCTAGCCTCTACCCCATCGTTCTCATAATATTCCCTTATGACACTGTCAGATCCTCTTCTTATGTGTAAGGTCAGATTGGATGCCAAATAATATTCTACACGTGATCTGACGACAGCGACAGAAACTCGAACAATTCACTGTCACTGGTGCTGAAAGCACCGTAAATCGTAAGCAGCTCAGCTCCGACGATGGCAAGCTGATCTGAAAATTGGCATTTTCTTTCGAACTTGTGAGACTGTCTCACGTTTTGTTAGCTGTACCATGAAGCGATGACTCTGACCTCGTTGTAATAGTAAACTGCATTGGGCAGCCATTGAAAGCAATGAGGGAAACAAAGCCTCTGAACAAGTTTTGATGACAGTACACTGTTCTTCGGCCAACTGATGCGCATATTATCCTAAAGAGCGAAATTTACCGGATCTGCTTTGTCCAGCCCAGTTGAGCTGCAAATTTAAAGCTAAAGGAATTCTCGAGGTCTCTGGAGTTAAAATCTCAACTGCTCGTACGGCATAAAATCTGAAGAGATTTAGCTTCTGCTCAAGCATGGACCTTCACGCATTTCCTTAGGTTATATATCAAATGCCATCGTTTCTTCCATATGACACTGCGAATGGAAAAAACGGAGAAAATGGCGTGATAGAAAACCTGTATTACTCACCACCTAAATAATAACCATTTCAATGACGATAAGTGACAAAGTACCTTGCGTCAATCATGAATTGCGAGAGTGAGGCTTAATTAATCGTTAACGTTCGATTTTTCACCCAAAAAAGGTCCTGAAAAAGCGATTTTCATTCACCCACTAAACTGCGGCCTCTCAATTCACTAAATTAGCAGTACAACTACAATAAATACACTATAAAAACAACTACTGTTCCTCAACCAGCGCATGGCTTAATCACTACTGCCTCGTATTAAAGTGTCACTTTACAATATTTTTTAAGATTCAAAATATACCCTGACACGATTTCAACTTGGACTGAAAAATTAATCAATAACGTCTAATAGCTCATCGGGAACAGCGATGAGCTTGAAGTTGATTGTCAAAATAGTTGTTAAAACAGCCTACAATTAGTCTTCAGAACCACAAAATGACGCTGATTAAGAGAGTTTATGTGGGAGATGTCATTGAGGAGCATAATGAGAGTCTTGCGGAGTTGAGACCACGTTTTGAGCGGTTTGGACGCTGTTTGAACGACGGCTTTGAGAGTCATGGCCATTTCGCTTACATATCCATGGAATTCAGCGACGAAAACGCTTTTTTGAAACTTAAAAGTAGTCTCAATGGTGTCAGATTTAAGCGCAATGTGCTGAGAATTGATCTGGCGAAACCTAGTTGGCAAGAGTTGAGGGAATCCCAAAAAGAAGAAGACCAGCAAATCGCAGCAGAGAAAGAGAAACAGTTACTCAAACAACAGTGGGAATACTACAAGAAGATAGAGAACATAAACATGAGCTGGGCTGACAGACAACAGGTTATGAGTGGCAGAATACGTCAAAATCCAAGGCCCAAATCACAGCTGCGAAATGCCACGTTTAGAATTATGCAAGACGATGGCCATTTAAAGGTCTATAAATGCTACAAAAACAAGCTATGGGGCTACGAACGGAACAAGCAACCGCAAGATCTGGTGGCACGCTTCACACAGCAGCGTCACTGGAGAGACGGAACCGGCCATATCGTCGACAAACTCGACTACTCGCGGGCATCGTCGTGGAACAGACGGACCCTACAAGAACCAATTCAAAGCGAAAATACTGACAAAATGTCTGATACAGAAGATGTGGCTCCTGATAAAACTCACGACGTTTTGGAGGATCTTTTGGGCGGATATGACTTCGATAAGCCTCTGCAATTGCAAGAAGATGAAGATTTGAGTAATGGAGAGGAAACTATTACACATTCTCGCAGCGAGACTAAGAAAGACAAAACTGAAGATATTGAGGAGTCGAAGTCCGCTATTTCAAAAGACGACAGCGAATCTGAAGATGAATTCGTTCCCAGTTTCGGAGGCGACACAGCGAAACCCGAGGTCAACGATGTTGAGAATCTGCGATCTTTATTTAACCCTGACGACGCCGAAAAGTCGAGTTTCAAGATTTTAGGTGAGCCCAACGAAGACATCGATGTGAATAAAGCAGTCCCACTGCATGTCCGACCAACAGAGACGGTTACGGATGACGCAATGGACGAGAGCTCTGCGATTCCTGCTCAAGCCACCGCCAGAGGTTTATTCTTCCCCCATTTTTCATCGCCGTTTTTGCATTCACAATCTCAATTGGCTAAACTCAAGACTTCAAGTGACCTTGGCGAACTTTTCGCCAACTGGGATACTCAATTTTGGGAGAATCGCGCTGCCTGGACAAAAGAGATGAAGCGTAGAAAGAGAGACGCGGTAAGACAACATCGCAAGAAGAATTCAAAATCGAAAGGAAACGGGATTCTGGTATAAACTGTGTGTTGTTTGTATATCTTTTCGTTAATAAAATTATACAGCGGAGAGTCGTATTTTTTTTTCTTTTTATATTCAGAACTTGGAAGCCATTTCAACGGCTGCTGCACCCCAGTCCTCACCGTGGTTGTGCATGGATTTGGCCTCGTCTAGACCAGCTCTTGCCAATGCTTGCTCTTCCGTCAAACAAGTTAGCAGACCGAAAATCACCGGGATGTTGATCGAATCCTGTAGACGCATCAATGCTTGCGTTGTAGCATCTGAAATGTACTCAAAATGCATGGTACTTCCTTTGATCAGGACACCGATAGGAATGACCACATCAAATTGGTGTTTTTCGCTTAGTTTTTTAGCTCCATAGGGAAGTTCGAATGAGCCAGGAACGGTTTCAACAAAAATGTCTTCTTCCTTTACACCCAACCTTACCATTTTATCGATTGCACCTTTTACAAGTGCATCGATGACTTGTCTATTCCATCTGGCATGAACAATACCCACCTTAAGGCCGGAACCATTGTATTTTTGGTCAGGTTGACCCAAACCCTTAACGGCCATCTTTTTAGCGGTAGTCAAGGAAAACAGCGAATTTCACGTAGAAACAGGATCCCTTATAACTTCGATAACTGTTCCCTTTTAAGTTCCAATGGTCTACCAGCAGCATCTTATATAGATATTACCAATTTAACCGTACCTTAGTGAGTTCGGAGATCATATTAAACGAGCTGCTGAACGACACAACCAACTTTGGGATCATCCGTTGAAGAATATCTTATAGGCTCTGTTCTCAATTTAGCAGATTTGCCAGTTGAAAGCTCCTTGTGAATTGTCTTTGTTGGGAACATATGTTTGCGTGTGCTGAGAACCAAAATTTGAGAAACAAATCCTCCTGGAATTGAAGAGTTCCTCATGAACAATGGGCAGATCTGAGCCTAACTTCACAATTCTAGGATATATGTGGACTCCGAAACAGCTGGAAAGTTGATGAACTCCGATCACAACAGCTTTCCGTGCATGATGATGAGATCTTAGCATCGGGGCATCGCGGTGCTATCTAGCAATGAGAAACTGTGTATGAAGACTATACGTGAAGTTCAACCCCGGATTCCTAGACCTCGTTCCATCCTATCTCTAATCATCTCTAATCACACTTGTTTAAGAAACCAGACCTTGATTATGGTGGTATTCATCAGTATCGACCATTCTTAATTAAAAAATCAAGCATGACAACAGCACATCGAACAGTTGTGTGCCATACCCAAGCATTCACACTACCACACAACGAGCAGATTCGACATTGAGAGCAAAGTTAAATACCTGGCCGTTTCGTGTCTCTTGTTTTTTTAAGCTTTGGACCTGTAAATTGTAGTCAATCATCTTGTCTAAATAGTATATCAACTACTTGTTCATTTTTTGAAAATAAAACTCGCCCTAGAAGGGCAGAGCCATACAAACCTTATTGGCTTCTTCGGCCATCAATTCTCCAACCACCCCTTCATTGCAATCGACCCTCCAAACCAAATGGTCCTGCCCATCATCCTTGGCCTTGGAGTTACTACTGCAGCCCTAACGGTGCGATCTGGATTGCGGGCATGGGAAATATATAAAAGACTAACGCCGCCCATGATAGCCCAGCTTAACGGACTGCGAATATCCACTTCTGAGGCCCGGTTCCAACGACAAAGTTCGCTTCGATATGCAGATTTGAGTCCGCAGCTAAAATCTCGACTTGATCAATATGGCGGTGGGTTTTACCCAAAAATGACAGAATCTGAGGCTCTATTGATCCTTGGTATCGATGCTCGCGAAATTTCAAGCCTGAACTTGGATCTGTTAAAACGCAAGCATCGCCGGGCTATGCTGCAAAACCACCCTGATCGTGGCGGAAGTCCGTTTCTGGCAATGAAAGTCAACGAAGCTCGAGACGTTTTGGGTCATAGCATCATGTTGAAGAGGTGAAGGATCTATCCTGAGTTACTTCAAGGTAGTATGGCCCTTACATGCTCTCATTATTCAAATTCCATGTACAATAGCACTACGATATTCAAGTTTTCGTGGAACTCACAGGTCGTCGATTCTACCATTGAAAGAATGCCAGTCTTCGATACAACTGGTCTTTATATACTGTTTACAGATTCCAGATGAGCATTGACACTATCGCTAGTGATGATCAAGGCTGTATGTAATATATATATCTATATTCAATTCCACAACATACTTATATGTTCATTACAGCTGAAGAATTGCACAACAATCGCACCACGATTGCGTTCTTCCAGCAGCCGGCTCATCGGCTCAGTTACATGCTACAACTGACAACAACCGAATCGATCAAAGCCCGTGTCAGCTTTAGATTCGATGCCACAATCGATGGTTCTATCTCTAGTAGCATTTTCGAACAGTTGAAAACAACGGCTGGAACAGACTCGAGTCAAAAAGATCTTCAAGTGGATACAATATACGTGAGTGTTTTGATTGCTGGTTATGAAAAGTACCAGAGATCTAAATTGGTGCGCTGTAAAGTAAATGCAGACCTAAAGGCAGAATGGATAGAACTGCCGTCCAAACTGTTTGGTGTCCCAAAAGATCAGCCAACGGTAGACGTTTGTGAAATTTGGCCCTTTACAGATACAATTCCAGTACTACATAATCTTGTCATTTCTACACAACCTGCTCTTTACGATCGACTGTTAGAGCTGGATGACCCTCGAGACAGACTTCGATTTGTGATATTAAAAGCTGGGATTGGTGAGGCCTCAGTAATACACCTTGGAGACGAATTGCTGGAGCACTGGTGCACCGTCTTGGACTGTGGGCAACACTACCAAGGAAAAATCGATCAAGAAAGTACCAAGATTCTGTTTGTAAAGGGAGAGCGTCTACAAAATGGTCTTGCTGAACTTCATTCCGATAAGACCGCGGATGTGAAGCTTCTTCAAAGCGAAGTGCTGGAACTACCACTCAAGGCGCTTTCCGCTCCAGCTCATCCGGATTTACTGCGACCAAACTGCTCAGAACACGAAGATGAGTCGCTGTTTGTATTTGGAGACGCATCCACGATGATGGCGCTTGGTCTTAGTAGCGGCTCCTATGTTACTTTGAGCCATAAAACCAAAACTAAAGTTGCAAAGGCAATGGTTTTTTTGGCACCTCACAACTTTCAGCCAGGTACCATATATGCAGGTCCGCGTGTCATGGCGCTGTTTAAAAATGTGGAAAGCATCAGCCTCGAAAGATGTGTGTTTTCAGCTAAAGATATTCCAGTGGCTTCGTCTGTCGCCTTGACCAGAGTCGGATCATGGAACAACTGTCAGAGAATCTACGAAAATGTGATATCCAAAAACTTGACGAGCTTTCTGACACAGCGACAGCGGATTCTGAAAGTTGGAGATCTCCTTCCTATAACTTTTGATTCCAAGTTATCGCCTTTTTACTCAGACAGTTTCATAGAAATTGATTTGACAGGTCAGCCCGACTCTATGGTTTGGTTTCGGGTTGAAACTGTTGAACTCGAAGAAAATTCGCTATATGCTGGTGAATGTACAATTGATAGTAAGAAAACGACGCTTTTAACACAAAATTTGATCTCAGATCTTCCTCTGTCATTGTCACAGTGCAATTACCTGACCTATTATGATCTTCCATCTGTTTTTGGTTACAACTGCTCGGACTTTGACTACTATAAACGGTTCAGCGACATTGTAAAAGTGAGTAGGAAACTCCAAGATCAAGGGAGATCGCGTCCAATTGCGATTATTCTTCACTCCAGCACTGGAGGTGTAGGAAAAGGCAGTTTAGTGAGATCCGCTGCGCAACACCAAGGTCTGCATCTTATTGAGCTGGACTGTCTCTCCATCAATTCTGCACAAGGCTCTGCTGAGGCCATGAAGAAAACGATTGGCTATATCAGAGCCAAGCTTGAGCCCCTGCTACCGTTTGTGAAACCTTCCATGGTGTTTTTGCCTCATTTAGATTCACTTGTTCAGAAAGAAGATGAACAACAAGATCCCAATAGTTCAAGGTTAAACAGATATTTAGCCCTTGAACTAGCATCGCTGATTGATCATTGTACATCTCAAGGTGCAGTATTCATTGGTTCCGTACATGAGATCAGCGGCCTACCGGAAGCTGTTCTATCGAAGGCTCAATTCTGCATCGAGGTTCCTGTACCTACGGAGGCTCAGAGAGTGCGCATTTTTCAGTGGTATTTGGATGATTACCAATTAAACTATTGCACAGGCGAGCTAACGCGCTTTACGCTGGACAGTAACGTTTCTTTAGCCAAACTATCACAGCGATCAGCAGGTCTATCTCCGTGTGATATAAAGTCAGTCGTGCTAGCCGCAAAGTCATCAGCGTTAGATTATGCCATCTTGAAGAAAGACTGCAGAGAAAAGTATTGTTTACAGGGCCATGTTTTGGCTATTAGTGAAAGCGAGCTTTTATCTGCGATTGAATCGGCGCGAGAGGAGTTTGCCGACTCGATCGGCGCTCCCAAAATACCCAACGTCTTATGGGCCGACATTGGGGGTATGAACCTGGTAAAAGGCGATATTATGGATACCATAGACTTACCATTAAGACACCCTGAAATGTTCAGCTCTGGTTTGAAGAAAAGAAGCGGAATATTGTTTTACGGCCCTCCTGGGACGGGAAAAACGTTACTCGCCAAAGCGATTGCTACCAATTTTTCACTTAACTTCTTCAGTGTTAAGGGACCAGAGCTGTTGAACATGTACATTGGAGAATCGGAGGCAAATGTTCGTCGAGTTTTCCAGAAAGCCAGAGATGCCAAACCTTGTGTTATATTTTTTGATGAACTTGATTCTGTTGCTCCGAAACGTGGCAATCAGGGTGATTCAGGTGGTGTGATGGACCGTATAGTCTCTCAGCTACTTGCCGAACTTGACGGTATGAGTACAGGCGGAGACGGTGTGTTTGTCATTGGAGCCACAAACAGACCCGATTTGCTAGATGAAGCTCTCCTAAGACCCGGAAGGTTCGATAAACTGCTATATCTGGGGATACCTGACACCAATGCAAAACAATTGAATGTTCTGCTAGCCCTGAGTAGGAAGTTTACGCTGGACAAAGGCGTGGATTTGGCGCGTGTGGCCGAAATTTGTCCATTCAACTATACAGGCGCCGATTTTTACGCCCTATGCTCGGACGCGATGTTGAATGCAATGACGAGAACATCACGGCTTGTGGATGAAAAGGTAAGGGCTTATTGCAAACAAACGCAGAGACAGATTTCTACACGTTACTGGTTTGACAACGTAGCTGCAGAAGAGGACTCGAATGTGATAGTGCAGATGGACGATTATTTGAAGGCACAAGAGAATCTAGCGCCCAGTGTATCAACTGAGGAGCTTGCACATTACCTGAGAGTGAAGTCTAATTTCGAAGGATCGGATCTACGGTCGTAAATGGTTGAATATCATAAGTTCTCATGTATGCGAAGTATTCGTAAGCTTTTTTTTTTGCTTTTTTTGGCTTTCAAGTCATCTGAAAACATACACAAGCTCTCTGTTTTGTAGGTGGATAGTATACCCATGAAACTAGTCTTCATAGTATCTAGCATGGTCATTTTAACTTCATAAGAAAGTTCAAGGCTTTGTTGAGCCTAACCTTTACTGTCGCTGTCGCTGAAGCTAATTGGTGATAGCATTTCATACGAATGGCTACATTGGAAAAATAGGTCTAATTGAATCTGTAGAGGGCTGGCATCATCACTAGAGCCAAGATTACCAATATTTTGGGATTCTGAGGCTTTCTGGAGTATCTATAATCACTCACTGTCTGCTTCAGTCAATTACACTCTCTTCAAATAAGTTTTGGGTTCTCGTTCTCGTTGGTAGCTTCTGTACAGGATTAGAAGGAAACTGCTGATAAGTCAGTTAATGGACTAGAGGACACGAACTACACGAACAATAGAAGACAAAAGAAGACTTTCAAGAGGTTGAGAGTCAATTGGTGAATTTCGGGAAGGCACTAAAGGTAATTTTTGGGCTGGAAAATGGTTTATCAGGCTAAGCCGTTCGATCCAATCACGGTAAAAGCCTCGGGGAAAAACCGCGTAGCATATTTTTACGATGCTGACGTTGGCTCATTCAGTTACGGGTCATCTCACCCTATGAAACCACATAGAATCAGAATGACCCACTCACTGATTATGAACTACGGACTTTACAAAAAAATGGAAATATATAGGGCTAAACCAGCGACAAAACAAGAGATGTGTCAGTTCCACTCTGACGAGTATATCGATTTTTTGTCTCGAGTAACGCCGGACAATCTGGAAATGTTTCAAAAGGAAAGCGTCAAGTTCAATGTTGGTGACGATTGCCCTGTTTTTGACGGGCTGTATGAATACTGCAGTATATCGGGAGGTGGCTCCATGGAAGGAGCCGCAAGACTCAATCGCGGGAAATGTGACGTTGCGATCAACTACGCCGGCGGGTTGCATCATGCAAAGAAATCAGAAGCATCGGGTTTCTGCTATCTCAACGATATTGTTTTGGGGATCATCGAGCTATTGAGATACCATTCAAGGGTCTTGTACATCGATATAGACGTGCACCACGGTGATGGTGTTGAAGAGGCGTTCTACACGACTGACAGAGTCATGACCTGTTCTTTTCACAAATACGGGGAGTTTTTCCCCGGCACTGGTGAGCTGCGAGACACTGGTGTCTCTAAAGGTAGATATTACTCAGTCAACGTGCCACTGCGTGACGGAATTGACGACTCCACTTACAAGTCTGTTTTCGAGCCGGTTATTGGCAAGATCATGGAATGGTATCAGCCTTCCGCAGTAGTTTTACAGTGCGGTGGTGATTCTTTGTCTGGTGACCGATTGGGCTGCTTTAACCTTTCGATGCGTGGCCATGCCAATTGTGTCAACTACATGAAGTCATTTGGTGTTCCTATGCTTGTGGTTGGTGGAGGTGGCTACACAATGCGTAATGTGTCTAGAACGTGGGCTTTTGAGACCGGGATACTCAACAACGTTATTCTAGACGAGAATTTACCTTACAACGATTATTACGAGTACTACGGTCCGGATTATCAACTTGACGTTAGACCGTCTAACATGTTTAACGTGAACACTCCTGAGTATTTGGATAAAGTACTCACGGGCATTTTTGCCAACCTAGAGAATACCAAGTTCGCTCCCAGCGTGCAGGTCAATGATGTTCCACACGATCGAGAAGATCTGGGCGATGTCGATGAGGACACCGCAGATGCGAAAGACACAAGAGGTGGTTCCCAGTATGCGAGAGATGCAATTATCGAGAGAGACGACGAGTTTTGAGTAAATTGAAGGTGTTATCAAGCCCAGAAGCGCAGCAATGCATGTATAATCATAGGGCGTCTCAACAGCGACTCATGCGTCAAAAGTGATGTAAATATAATAGATGAAAAGAAAGCGAATGAAGGCTCATACCCTCTTTCATAGGAAGTCCAAAGGAACCGATTTTTACTAAATTTTGGTGTTTAAATCCACACTTACTTTCTTTTCGTTTGCATCTTACTGGCATTATACCTCACATCATTAACGCATTCTAAACCCAAACGACACATTCGTCAATGATGATGTGCCATGCGTTTGAAGAGTTGTAATATCAATTCATTCGCGCCCGCGAATCCCTTGACGGAACCACAGCGTTTTTCATTTGATTCTACAGCTCTTTTCTTCCCTAGTGTACGTAACTGGAGTTCACCAGGTTATTCCACCCAATACAAAAATCGATAGGATTGCAACGGTAAATCGAATGGAAGCCCAAAAAAGAGATGCTCAATAAAGATTTGAGCTTACAATATCAAAGACGAGCCTCGTTTACACTACCGAAACTAACCTTGTTTGTCATTTGACAAGCTGTTCTTAGAGGATCATATCGTTGTCGTTGGGATCGTATCGTTATAGACGTTGTGGTAAAGACATATAATATTAATTGAAATTGGACCCAGCCGGACATTTAAACGTTGACATGGCTGGTTCAACCGCCCGAACAAGAACAGTAAAACGTCATTGAGCCAGCTTTATCGTTAACAAGTATTAATTTCTTGCTGTGAAAATTCTACCGTTCAGTGACTGTAAGGGGCGAAAAGCTCTACCAACCGTTTGATCTCGGACCTGCTCTAGGCTAATGCAGTGACAGAATAAGTGGAATAATGCTGGCTCGAATTAATCATACGTAGATCAATCCTGGCTGTGCTCCCATTATGATCAATTGAGCTGCAATTAATGTCTCGGTGGTCGATGGCTGATCTGAAAGCAAATGAGGACAAGTGCAAGTGATTTGAGGTAAGCGTATAAAATGGAGCGAAGACTGACATGAACCTCACCTCGATAGACAATGGTTGAAAGAAAGGATCAGTACCATTGACTCGATCTTTAACCTTCGAATTTCATCGATCTTTTTACAGTGGAAACCTCACAAATCCTGCTATGGTTCCTTTGGTAAAAACATTTTTGTCGACACTATGTCTTGTAGGCATAGTGTCAGCCCGTTACTCGAATGGCACTACCCCCAGTTCAGCGACGGTACCTCAACCCTCGCCTACGGCCTTCTTTTCCAGTGTTCATCTAGTTGATTCTTATACAGGAAGCAACATTTCTAATGATAAGGAACATTGGTTCTTGATAGAAGCAGAGATTTATGTGTCTGCTGGGTTTGATGGCGAACTCTATCTTAACGCACCCCAAAGCTTGGAAGGCTTCGCCAACGGCTCTTTCGATTTGGTGCAAAATGTCACAAGTGTCGGAAGTGTTACGAGAAACGCTTCTAACGTTTTCACGATACGACCAGACGTGTCCGACACAGATCGCTCATCTACTTTCAACGTACTTGCTCATCTATCTGCTGGAACAAAGTCAATTATTGATAGTCCGCAAACTGTGGATTTCGAATTTGAACTCTCACCAGGCTCGAAACTAATCCAGCCTATTGACTTTATCGCTCAAGACCTCTCAAAGTCTCAAACGAATGCTCGTGTTGGCACTGATAATAGCATCACCTACACGCTGGACGTTCCGTTCAGCGAGTATCCTGGAGAGCTCAATTTCGCGGCTTCGTTTTCCGGCAAAGATGCCTTCACTTTCGATACGTCATTGACGTCTGTCCAAGTTGTTACTGCTGTCGATGCTTTCAACCAGCCCACTAAAGCCATAAACCTGACCGCTGTCGAAGACAATTCTGATGCATCTGCGATCAATTTAAGTCTGGAGTCACAGATAAGCGGGGGTATATTCATTCGGATAAGTTACACTACTACACCAATCGAGAATGTGGCATCTGTTGAAACAGTTGCAACTCTGAATTATCCTTCCCTATCCACCTACAAAAGAGATATCTCAATCACTTTCGAAGATCTCGTGGTGCTCGAAGCTACTTCTAACCTAGATAACTTTGGCGAACAGGTCTTCGTCGTGACCGGCTCTGGTTCATTCCCCACTGTTACGGCCACCAACTTCTCTAGCTCAGCTACAGCGGCTTCTGCATCGGCGGTGAACGCAACTGTTGGCACTGTTGTCTCAAATTCTGCTAACATGAGCTCCCTTCTTGTCACTATTACTCCAACAGCTAATTTTACTTCTGCAACAAGCGGCACCCCTTTTGAGACACACAATTCAACAATAAACACTGGTGCAAGTCTCACTTCAATCTCGGGCGTTGCCTCAATCACTTCACCACCCATTCAGCAATCATCTGTGAATGCTTCCAACACAACTGTCGTGACTTCGAATAGCAACGGTGTTGTTCTAACGTACTCGGTGGTCACACGTACAAGCGATGGGCAATACGATGTCTTCACAAGCTTCTTTCCCATAGCAACATTGCCTTCACAGTCTCAAGCTAATTCCACTGGCGTTAACTCCGACTCGCTTTACATCGTCAACGCTACAAGCCCCTCTACTAAGGTCTACCCAACTCAAACGGTTTTCAACAGAACAGTAAGTGGCGAAGTTTCTGTTTTCACATCACTCATTCCTGTTGCAACGGTTGGCGCCAGCAAAAGCAGTACTGCATGCGCACTTTCTTCGAGCAGTAGTTCACACGATGTTTTAGTTTTAGCATCGATTACCGGAAGCTCTTCTTCTAAGAGCACTGCTGGAGTCAAGACGCAATCCAGGAAAAAAGCTAGTTCTTCAAGCACAGAGTCTGGCGCATCGCAAACTACAGAATTTCAGACCAGGGCCTATTTAACTTATTCGGTGGTGACTACTACCAGTGATGGGAAAGTGTTTGAGTACACTAGTTGGTTCCCAACTTCGACGCTGTCACCTGAAGTTCCTGTCAAATCCCAAAGTGTTTCAGCAGCAGGCGCGCCCGCGTTATCTACAACTGAGAGCAAGAATTTGGTGGCTACAACTTTGACCCAAATCAAAGGTGGCCAGATATCTCTTATCACAACTATGGTTCCTGTTGAGACACAGACAATTAAAAGCAGCGAACTATCTGCTTCCCAGTCTGCCGCCTCCAGAAAACCTGCACAGTCATATTATTCTACAGTTGTGAACACCACTATTCTGAAAACCACAGGATCTGTCACTCAGTCTCTCACAACTAGCTACGGTGTTTCCGCGGAACTTCTAGCTTCGGCACAGTCAGAGATAGTTTCAACTTCTGAGTCTCTTATTGGTGCCGCCACTCTCTCTTCTGGCACTGCGAAGACGCAAAGCACGGCTCCATCCAGAATCGACAACAGCTTCAATACAGCCTCATCCGTTCTTGCTGTGACAAATACTGGTGTGTCGACAAGGGTCTCACAAGCTACTCAGGGCGAGCTCCTGACAACCTACGAAAACCCCATTGGCGCTTCTACACTAGCGACAGCTGCTACCGGTGCGCAACAAGACACATCGGTTTCGAAATCCATGGGAGCTTTGGTGCAAACGCAGTCAAGTCTAGAGCCTACCGCCAGTCGTTCTACTCTATCTGGTTCTTATACGATCGAGTACCAAAGTCAGACTTCTCAGGCTTCCTCGACACGAGTTTTATCGACCTTCGATGGTGCGGGTGCCCAGCTGCGAGCTAGCATTTTTGGCTCGATAATATCGATTCTTGCACTCTTGTTGTGAGTTTGATGTTGAAGATTAAGATTAAGATCCAGGTTTCCATCATTTCGGGACCCAACAGGTAAGGAGTAATACTACAATTCGGTAATTTGATGTTATATATAGTTAATGCATTCTGATGTTTTTGATAACTTTGATGTTTGTCATACGGCGGCGTCAATAGGGCGCAATCTATCGCCATCGTATGAAGGCCGTGGTGTTAGTCTTCTCATGAGTTGTTCCTGCAAGTTCATACTTTCTTGAACTTGGTGCTGCATATCGGAGTTCACGTTGAAATACAGGCCATGTTCATCAAGGCTGTACCTGTTTCGCGTCTGTACGTCCATTTCGATAGGAAGAAACCATTCACGCAAAGAGCAGCCCATCACCTCCTGCCAATTGGCGGATGCAGAGCCTAAATCGAACAAATTGGTGTTCGCGGATGTGTTTGTGCCGTGCATTTCATCAAAAAGACTTAGACGTGACTGTTGTTCGGACGATTCGTACATCTCAATGGTAGTCTTGTTAGCAGTGATCATGTATAGGCTGTAGCCTGAAAAAAAACTCATAGATATGAGAACGACTACCGAAAAGATCCACGCGACTAATAACGATAGGTTTATGGTTTCTTCCTTGTAAGTTTCATGACGAAACCACAATAGAATGTCTATTCCTGCCCAAAAAAAAATGAGGGCAGAATATGCCAAAGAGTACAGCAGAAACTGTATAAAATAGCGCTGATTGCGGAAACCAACGCAAGCAGCGAACCACGGGCAATGATGATCCATTTTTAGTATGCACCTATTGCATGCAGAGCAATGATGACATCTATCCGGCTTCCAGACCTTGCAAATACGGCAAAATCTGTATCTTCCGTTTCGCTTTAATGTGACAGACCTTTCAGTGAGAAATTTAGGTGGAAGTTCGAGACCTTGGTCAGCAGCCGTCAGATCAGAAATATGCAATGCGGAAAAATCCAGTGGGCTTCCAGGACCTGTCTTGAAGACCTTGAAATATGTGAATAAGCTCGCACTTAGCATTATACCCAAAATGACAATTCCAGGGCCTCTGAATACAGTCACATTTAGCACAGTTATCGTAGCCGTACATATAAAGAGGAATGTCGTCAAGCATTTCGGAAAATACGTACCCAACTCGGAGCAGCTAATCATCGCTCGTAACACCCACGGACAGACTGGTATTTCGACCACTGCCTGTCCATGCCATTGAATCTTGAGTATCTGGTTGTTTCCACCTAGTACTGAGGCTAATTATGGATCAACAAATTACGACAGAATAGTAAAAAGTGATATATAAAACTCTACTTGATCTACCTCCATATCATATCTCTTCTCAATCCTATATACATGGTATGTGCTAATGAGTTCCTTTAGTTACGACATTCATGGGGATCGAAGCGTTTATCTGTGAAAGGATTTTGTCTGAAAGTCAAATTTCATGATAATGTCACCAAAACTGTCATTGGAAGCCCTGCATGAGAGTTGAGGCCATGAGTACTATATCGCGTACATGAATATTTGGAAGAAACAGGATTTACTGAGCAGGACTTTGACACAAACTGGCTCCTTCTAATGGTGTAGAAGTGGCACAAAGTAAATGGACTTGCAGAAAAAGAGATTTTTTTCGCGAAACAGCGACCCAGACCTCTAAAAAAAAACCCAAACCCCTACAGAACCTAGTTCACACTACCTATAAGAGAACTCAAAGTAATGAACAGGTTTCAACGTTTGGAGGCAGTCATTTCAACGATTTCACCTAGCTGGAAAATTAGCATCACCTCGAACGACAGTGTCATCTTTTTTCATATTGGAAAAATTCCACTTTGCATGCGATGAGCAGTGGAATCGACTACCTTGTCTTGAGACAGGTCAAGCAAGTACGCATTTCATTGCAGATATTCGTGATCTATAATCAACACTGGTCTTTCCGTCCGATCGTTATATAATCGCACTGCCCGCTGAGAATGGATTCTTTGATTTTACCGGGCGATAAATTTCATGTGGAAAGACAAGAAAACGTAGTGCTGGGTCCTGGAGCGTATTGCGATCCAAAGAGTCAAAAGCTGCAACCTGTAAATGCAGGCATTGAAGTCTCGAGAGAATCCAAAAAAAACGTATTCGTGCATGTGGAATTCAACTCCAAAAGATATATTCCTGCGGTAGGCGATTTGGTGGTGGGATTGATCACAGGATCTTATTCTGATAGCTATAAAGTTTCTTTGGAAAGCTTCTCAACACCCGTTACATTATCGTACATGGCTTTCCCCAACGCCTCGAAAAAAAACCGTCCTACGCTAAAGGTCGGGGATCTGGTATATGCCCGCGTCGCCAAGGCAGACAAAGAACTAGAGGCAGAAATCGAATGCGTGGATTCGACAACGGGGAAGGATGCAGGTTTTGGACTTTTAGAAGGTGGAAATGTGGCCGAGGTCTCGTTGGCGTACAGCAGAGAGCTCGCCTTCAACTCTGAATACGAGCTTTTGCCTTTGTTGGCGAAAACTGCCCAGTTCGAGGTGGCCATTGGCATAAATGGAAAGGTGTGGATAAAATGTGACGATGTTAGACACGCGCTTGCCTGCAAGTTGACTATTGAAGAGTGTCAACATCATAAATCAGCGGAACACAAGAGTATAATAGCAAAGAACTTCAAAAGTTTGCTGAATTCGAAGGATTAGTTACAAACTTATGCATGAGGCCAAGTGCGGCAACGACCTAGAAGAGTCAAACTCTGTCATAATGTGATTCGTAAATTTTGAGATCAGCCATTGGAACGTGGACGTCTTGCAACTCGAGAGAGCTGTAACTTCCCACAGCTGAGTGCCCTGTCATGGTTTGATACTTCTCATATACTTCCTTTTCACTGTTCAAGGATCTGGTAGTTACCTGGGAATGAACGGATGGCATATTATCGGACGAAAACACGGTTCCAGATTCCAGGACGTAATCTTTATCAGAGCTGCTCTCACCGCTTTCACTTTGTTGCAAGTCGAAACTATTCAATTGAGACTTCAAAGCTCCTAGTTGGATCGCTTGCCGTTTCAGAAACACATGACAAAGCTCATTTTCATCCTTAAGGGTCAGTTGATTTTTTTCGGTCTCCGATAAGCGCTTTTCTTGTGGTTTTTGAGCCACCAGCTCCTTCAGTTTGTTGTTCAAATGACTTTGCTTTCGCGAATGGAAGGGGGAAACACGATCACCTCTCTTTTCATTAGTGTTATATCGTCTTGTAGAATTCATTTTGTAGGCAAATAAATCCTGCAACGAAGAAAGGAGACGGGGCGCATAGTATTCATTCCAGTAGTTATCGAAAGCGCCCGGATAGCCTCGCACGTTAAGATGTGTTTTCTCTTTCGTAACATCATTGTTCTTATCCAATATCTCTTTTTTTATGATCTCTCGTAAGCTTTTGATGTGGTAAACGTTCCACCACTTGGTGTAGCTTCTTGTACCGCTAAATGTATCAGATCCCATATGTAGATAGAAATCTGTGTTCATTTCCCATAATGTAGGCGTGCCCTTCTGCCAAACGTAATGGCCCAGAAATAGATTGATCGCATCTTGCCTCTGAGCATCCACGAAAGAGTTGCTGTAAAATCTTTTGATGCTTTCGATCATATCTCGTGAATGAGAGCTCCAGTGATTAATCTTTCTGTAAGTTTCCATGGTGTTCACAAGATGAGATCCCCCATATTGTAAAGCGATCGTGTCTCCATGGTCATGGAACAGCTCAGTCAATATGTGAACAATATCAGAGTCATATTCCAAAAAGGAGTTATCACTTATACCTAGTTTGTTCAATTGAACACCGAGAGCTCGCTTCCCTATAACAAATTGTGCAGCGTTTGTACGATCGAGACAATCAATGCAGTTTGTCCTACAAACGCCCTCTTGGATCTGAGTACTGCTGAAGTCGGGTCCGTTGTGAAAAATTCCAGTAGTTTCCACGGTGTTGATTGCGTACTTTTCTAAAAATTCGATGACAACCTGACCGTGGGATTTTGAAGCGCGACTCATATCCCAGGAGGTATATTGAAGTTTTTTGTCCTCGGGAAGAAACGTATTGAGGTAGTGGATACATTGCTCAAATTCTCTCAATAACTTGACTTCACGAGGCGTCTTCTCTTTGGTTTTGATCAGGTTTAGAATTTGAATGGGCCCTCCGCCATAGTTTTGAAATAAACGATCAAAATGTAATGCAGCTGAGCTGAAAAAAGGGTCTATGACATTAATCTCAATAGGTGGTTTGGCAGTCAGATTGGAGGTTTCCTGTGACCAGCACAATGGAATTGACCCCCGGTGCTGGACAAACGAGGTATACCGATCACTATCAAAATAACCATTACCAGGCCGGTGGAAAGGTGTAAGGATCATGTCTGAGACAATTTGTTCAGTCTCGACTTCATTTGCCACGTAACCCTGTTTGTTTATACCTCTTTTTAAGAATCTAGCTCCCGCAAAATGATGCGATCGCCGAGCAATCAGAGTCACGAACACACTCTTGCCCCAAATAAGAACATTGACCTGGTCTATGAAGCCATGAACCATCGCTTGGAACCAATCGTAGACGGTGTCAATACATGGAAACACTGGCTTAAGCAAATTACTGTTCCACATATACATTTCGTTGTAGTCTGGGATCCCGGTGGGAATTTGAAGATCTGAACGGGCGACAGCTTTTAATTTCTCTCGAAGTATATTCGTTTGGAGCGTATTGGTGATATCGTAGGTGTAGCTAAAATAAAAGGTTTTGCTGAGATCAAGGCTAAGAAAAGTGCTGATGAAGCGTTCTTCTATCGAGTACTTGTCGGGTTTTTTATAGGAGTTTGATAGCGGCACTAGTTGTGTCTCGTCAATATGGTTTATTGAGTGGCCACCGAGTATTGCAACGGGACTTGTTTTGGTGATGACTATCAAATAGTAGCAGTCTGTGAACTTAATGAACCCTAGCAGCCCATACCCGGTGAGTTTCTTGGTGAGACCTTCACTGTTGGCATCTTCAAGAGCAGCCAACACGTTCATGATCTCAGATCTGGTGAAAAATACATTATCCTCGAGCACAGCCAGATCCCTGGTTGGTACTGAAAGGTCGATCTCCAGGATCCTGAACATTGTTTCCCGCTTGTTGCTGCCAACAACATACATTCTGTCCTTTGTTTCATAGATGGTGTATTTGGAAAGGGTGAATTTCGTGGTCTTTCGTTGCTTTGGAGGTGCTTGTTGCGGCAGTGTCGTAGCATTTCCACTGTTTTTATCAATGTCAGCGGGGAGATGGTCCATCGTGTAGCATCAAATGCCACAGGAAGCCTAGTGGTGAGCCCTCAAGTGATTGGATACTATCAAATGGTTCTGGAACACGCCCAAAGCTTACTTCATAAGCCATTTAGGGTTTCTCTAGATATCCCAAAGATGTTGTCTGCCCGCTCTTTAATATATAATCTTGCATCTTCGAGATGCTAACGTACGGACACTGAACTTGACAGGATGGAAAGAAGAGAAGCCGGCTATTTCAGGAGCTGAGAACTCAATGTGGACTTGAGCTAGAATTTTATAACATTTGTTGATAAAACTCGGCTTTTTTGAAGCGTTTTTTGGCGAATACTAATTCTGTTCAAAAGCGTCAAGTATCGTCCTGAAGGTGAAAATACTAGGATGGACTCTTGAAAGAAGAAGGCAATGCACTGGAAACAATTGCCAGGAGCTGGTTTGATAAAAATGTGTAAAGTTTCAGAAAAGTTAGACAGTGAGCAGAGAGAATATCTTGTCAAAAGTAATGAAATATTAATGTCATCATTGCGAATAGCCAAATGATGAGGTGATCTAAAAAGCTGAACACTCTGATAATTTCTCATTGAGAAGAAATGTATCCGAATCAATAGATGAATCTCATGGTAGTCATGGTTTTTACGTTAGCGGATGTTCCTCGAATAAAGTCAATTAATGTGTCGTTACTTATAGTTACAGGTGTCAATAAATCATAAATCAGATTGCCAGAAGTCCGAACATCAGTGTCTCTTGAGGGTTAATTTGGAAATTCATTCTTCAACCAGACCTGAATATTTCAGATACGATAGGAAATATGGACTGAGGGTTTCTGTTGGAGAGGTTTGGATACTGGTGGTGAGATTTTCGAGTAACGCAACGGAGTGGGAGATTTTTTGCCAGATCATCGGACCGCTGGAAGCTACGTATTGAACCCAAGTCCTTGGAACATCTCAATTATGGAAAATAAATCAAATTTTTGGGTTTCAGGCATTTCCTGTCAGTGCAATCGGTCCCAGGCTCGCAATTATGCAATTTATGGTTTTTATGCGAATATGGTTATCGCATTGCTTGAACATATCTGCCTGTCACATTCAACATGAACTTTGTGATGGAGCTGGATCAATAGTTGACATTTCCTCCCCAAGGAACAAACGAATTGAAATGGGCATGAACGATACAGCGAAGCATGAAAAATGCCGCAAAGATGATACAGCACGTCTGTCAACATGTTCAAGTCGCTCCTTTGAAGGATGTCAAGTCGAAGGGCCAGATACATCCAGGCATTTCTAGCAAATCACGAAACAGCCGGAGATTTGACAAGAAGTTGCACGTGAATTGAGACCGATATCTAAATTAGCCGATGAGCATTGAACTTAAAATGACTGAAGATTCAGTTGTGCTTCACATCCCATAATCTTTGCCGAAACGCTTCCAATGAGTACTGAGGTGCAATAGGTGTTTGAGAACCTCGAGAAAACTATCAAGATGCAGAAACAGAGAAAAAATGGGGAAGTAGCTATTCAGGCTACTAACAGCTCATCAATCGTTTGCAAAAGGTCTGTAGAAAGATTTTATTCGCAAGCATTGGACATGAATTTGAATGTTGATCAGTCGAAAGGCTGCATTGAATATTTCAAGTACTTCGTACCAAAGACGATTCGATGCACGCCGTGCATCAACCGTGGATACTGGCTCAGAATGCACGCCGTGAAATCTACTATAGATTTTATCGTAAAACAAACTCAGGGAGAGGAGTTAGTTATCGTAAACTTGGGATGTGGTTTTGATCCGCTACCATTCCAGCTTTTAGATCCAGAGAACAGGCAAAATGAGAAAAATATGGGTCGCCTATCGTTTTTGGATATTGACTATCCCGACCTTATAGCGCACAAAAAACGCATAATAGACGCTGCACCGAAGCTTAAGACTATTATGGGCAGCTGGAACGTATCTCCTCGTGTCACGGGTGGTTTTGAAGCCCAAAATTATGCTTTGGCGCCTTATGATTTGAACGATACTGACAATTTCGATGTATTGATAAATGCCTGCAACCTGCAAGACGCATCCGTCGTCAAAATTTTCGTGAGTGAAGTATCTCTGGCCTACATGAAATCCACTAAAGCTGACACCATCATTGAAATATGCTCTCGCCAACCAAGGTCTCATTTCATAATCTTGGAGCCGCTTCTACCAGCAGGTCCGTGCGAGCCCTTTTCTAGGCAAATGCTGCAACATTTTAGAAGCAACAACACACCACTTCAATCTGTAAGTCTCAACAGCACTTTGTCAGCCCAGCATGAAAGATTTCAGAGATGTGGGTTCCATTTTACAAATATGAAGAACATGATTGACGTTTGGAATTCTTTGCCCAGCGGCACGAAAAAGAAGATCGATGCGATTGAACCGTTCGATGAGTATGAAGAGTTCTTACTGTTTTGTCATCATTACGTTTTTGGTCATTCAACCAATGACCGATATTTCCCAATGAAAGGCCTCCCGGTTCTCAAGAGACAAGCTGTAGAGAAAATGTCCCTTCTTTGCCATATGCATCTGAAGTCTCTGATGGTGGATAAATTGAATCTTCTTCAGCGAAAGTTTGGTTCCTCGACACTGCTGCCGTCTGGGCAGATTCTGTACTCCCATGGCTGCTATGCCAGCAGATTGAGCGACACGTTGCTGATAGATCCAGCTTCGAATAGAGTAGAAGTTGTGAGCAGTGTTTCACATCAACCTAGTGCCAGAATGTGCCATACTCTAACAGCTTTAAATGATGAGCTCTGCGTCCTGGTAGGCGGCAGAGGCTCCCCCAATAAAGCGTGTGATGACATTTGGGTATTGAGAAAAACTGAACAACGGCAGTGGGTCTACGAAAAAGTCCTTGATTTGCCCGAGTCTCGATACAGGCACTCATCCTGTGCGATAGACGATGAGCGGGTTCTCATCTACGGTGGACAAACAGCTGGCGATGCTTTTCTTGTTTATGACAGTGGAAAAAACGAGCTTAGTGTGCCTATAATTGATGGCGAGATACCATCTTTGGCCTCAGCTCCTATGACTTATGACCAGCCATCCAATACCGGAGTTATTGTTGGCGGAGTAGGAAAAGACCAACATATCGATGGCTGCTTTAGAAGTTTCCATTACGATAAGTGTTTAAACAAGATCACACTGACTCAAGAATTTTCCCATCCTTTGATGAAGCGTTGTGGCGCTAAGGCCCTTCACACTAGTTCAGACACAATTTTGATTATGGGCGGAACAAATTCTTGCATGCTTCTTGACAGAGAGACGACAATGATCGAAGTCAACTTAAGAGACAATCAACTTACCACAAAGGCCATTCCTGAGCAGTACTGGCAGGCCGACTTTCCTTTGCTAGTAGGTTTTGAGATGCTACAATGTCTTGATTCAACGATTCACATTTTTGGAGGTGGAGCTGTATGCTATGGTTTTGGCTCGGTTTGGAATGGGTGGTTAAAATTAAAAATTACGTAAAGGGGCAACAAAAATCAATTCTAGGTTCTATTCTGAATCCCAACTGGCTTCACGCTTTATTATTGGCCTTCAGCGCCTTCTTTTTGTTTTGGGTTACAAGTGTTTTCGCGCACACTGGGAAGAACAAGAAGTTAACCACAACCCACGCGCACAGTATCCCGAAATATCTACCCAAGTTTCCAGGGTACAGATTTAGAAAGATGACTCTGAAAATACCCACACCGTTGAAAATGGGCACGAAGTAACCGTAACGATAGAAATTGTTGGTGAGATCCATAGGATAGAATGACGGAGAAATGTTAATAACGACCCAAAAAATCATCCAGAAACCCCCGAAACGAGGTGTTAGGGCAACCATAAGTGTCAGCATGTTTTCATTAGCGCCTCCAACTGCAGACATCAATAACCAAGAGGACATCCAGGCTACCAAAAAGCCAGAACGGCCGAAGGCCCTACCAAAATCGACTTGGAAAGCCAGAGAGACTAAACAGAAGAACAATGACAGGAAAAAGTAGCTGACGTTAGAAACCAGAAAGCGGTAGAGAAGCATGTGGCCGACCTTCAGCTTTTGACCAAATTCCGCGTGCATCGGAGCAAACAGCAAAATTTGGAAGAATGTGAGCAAAATGCAGTAAATCAGACCGACTTGTAGTGGGCCCAACAACACATAGTTGTCGAAGGGTCTGTGTTCTACTTGGCTAAAAAGCATTGATCCAGCTTGTGCCACATTGACGCTTGGGACTCTGCCAACGGAATCAGAGACATTGGCAATAATTTTGGGCAATATACTAGAGCTGTAAACAGCCTGATATTTTGCTTCCAAACCTAACATCAAAGGTAGAATGCTGGACTTCATGTTTGTGGGATCGCGACCACTTTCATAAAGAATTTCGAAAAATGAGGAAGAGTTTAAAGGTTGCGCTGAAGAGTTTTGTAAGGAATCTAGCAACACGTCTGAAGCATTGGGCTTGACATTTAGCGACATCCAAAACTTTTGCTCATGGACAAGTTTGGTGATGTGTGCGTCGATCTGTGACTCTGGAACATGAAATTTTTCCTGGAAGCTGGATGAGTTATAAATGTCCCAGTGGCCAGATGCTGTGTCTATCAAATCGGGCAAAGGCTGCGAAAGTGCGCCGTCATCTTGTAAAACGGCCAAGATTTTGACTTTGTGGTAGTATTTTGGTCTATCGTATGTGGCTCCCCAGTATATGGAAAACACTGACATTATTAGCAACGCCAGTGCTATATGATTTTCAAAGAATTGGATAATTAGTCGTTTGCGGGTGTCTTTCACACGTTCTGAAAAAAAACTCGTCATGATACGTTCCAGACGTGGCTCCTCGAGTTGCGTATTCTTTGCACTAGTTTCTTCATCGTCTGGTCCATTGAAGTCTTCTACCCCATATGCGTTTTCCAACTCTGGAATATCGCTTTCTGAAGTAACATTTCCATCGGTTGGTTGTTGACGATTTTCCTTCGAGGAGACTCCAGTTTCGCCAGTTGCTGTATCAGGACCACTCATTGTCTCGATAAGTGGTTTGGAGAGAAACAGGGATGTGGTTAACGAGTGGCCAAGTCTTGATTAAAGATCTATTCTTTCCAGATAACTTCAGTAAGCTCATTCCCAGGGTCCTCCTACTTTATATTTGTGATGACTTCCAACAACTAAAGCTTCCGAAGCCGGTATCTCGCTGAACAAACGTTAATGCTTCCGGGACCGAGATAACCACGTGACTTGATTTTCTAGTCATTATGGTCGAGATCGTCAGAAAGCAGTGGTGATAAACTCCTAGTTAGGTGTGATTCTTCTTTAGCGGCAATGTGCGTAAGGAAAACGTGGGTGAGCGGCGTTCATCACCAAACAAAAGCTCAATCATGCCAGTGGATCTCTAAAAAGTTGATATAGAGACCGAGAATTATGAGATTGTAAGTTTATATAACTAATCACGTGAATGAAACTTCTAGAATGATCACGTGACAAAAGCTCTTTTTTGACAGGCGAACGGTAGCCGTTAACATGGGGGATAGGTTACAGAAATATGGAGGTCAACAAGTTCAGAACATTACCAATTGCAGGGTGTTTGAGAAGACTGTAATGGGTACTGGTAGACGTATGAAAAGGAGAAACGACCCGTATTAGGTGATATATCATGCAAAATGAGGGTTGAGATGTTTATCGACGAGGATACCCATGATGTAAATTTCACTCCACATAAGACATTCCAGTAGGCCTTGACTACTTGGACGAATAGTGAACGCTACACTTATTGACGCCGCAGCTTTGTGGGTAAGCAATATTTTTACACACGTATCACATGATTAATTTTTGACGCTAGACTTTACAAAATGACATCGGCAAAAGGTAATGCAATCTTAGTATGATGCATATCCATAAGAAAGCCAAGATCAGTCTTGACTCTCGATCTTAAGTACCACTGAATCCCAAAATCCCGATTGTTTCTCAAAACATCCGGGTTTCACTTTTGTTTTTTGGTGACTCGGCCGAGCCGGTAACTCCGCTTAAAAGTTCTCATGCTCAACAGGAGATAATGGAGGGAAATAGCACAAGCCACAAGCTCTGTGAACCTGTTGATGAAGTATAGATTGTTGCTGAGATCACGTGACTTACATATACAATCAAATAAGAACATCAAAAGCCTTTCTAAAGGCAGATCAAACCCCCAATTTTTCCTGAATAGCTTTCTGCCAGCTCAATTCTACTTATCAGAGCTTTACATCTGCTACAAACACTGACCACAACGCTAAAATATTCCTTTTCAACACATTCAGATCACATGACCACTCATCAAAGCCAAGAATTTAAGCTTATTAAGTAATATCAACTTAACCAGCGACATTACTTAAATGATAATGATATATATATATACAAGCTCATCAAAGAAACCCGCGTTTGAACTAAACTTTTACAAAAGGTAAGTCTGCTCACCGTGAACCGCCCAAACAATGGCGCCCCTCTCGTTAAAGACTATGGGCAATGTGTTCAAGAAGAACCATAAGGAGCTGGACGCTAAAGCGGAAGAAGAAGAAGATCTCGACGCTTCTGAATTCGAAGACGATGATGAGAAAAAACCCACATTGGAAAAGAGTAGGAGGCCCAAAGATACCCCTTTCACACAGCAGAGAATTGCCTCTGTCAACCCGGTAGTAACGCCACGTCGTGTGATAAGTGGTTTCCTTACATTGGGCGTCATATTCGTTATATTCGGAGCCGTTTTATTAAAAATTTCCATGAGAGTAGATCAAATGCTAGTGTACTACCAAGATTGTGCAGAAAATGCACCACAGGGGTCGTGGACAGATCTGGATCAAGACCATTACAACTGGCAATTTCACAAGAACCTGACCTACAACAAAGCTCCCCAATGGAGCTATACACCACCAGATGACTCGGACCTGGGCAACGGAACGTGTCATCTCAGGTTTGTAACCCCTGCAGATCTACCCAGTACGGTCTTTTTGAGCTACTGGGTCGAAAAATTCCACGGCAATCACAGACGGTTTGTATTGTCTTTCAGCGAGCAACAGCTGAATGGCGACGACACTTCCATGACTACGGTGAGAAGCAATCCGGGTATAAACTGCAAGCCGCTAGTTTCTAATAGTGAGGACAAACAGTACTATCCATGTGGTCTCATTGCCAACTCCATGTTCAACGATACGTTCCCCATGCAGTTGGTGGGTGTAGACTCAACAAGTAACTATTCTTTGACAAACAAGGGCATTGCGTGGTCGACAGAAAAGGACCGTTTCAAGGTAACAAAGCTCGACCACACCAAAATCGCTCCTCCTCCTAATTGGGTCAAGCAGTTCCCCAACGGCTACAACTCCACAAACGTTCCTGACATCCACACCTGGGAAGAGTTCCAAAACTGGATGAAAGCTCCAGCTTTTGACACTTTCCAAAGACTCATTCGCAGAAACGACAACGACACTCTACCTGCAGGCCAATACGAAATAAGTATTGGATTAAAATGGCCCGTCACGGAGTTCAACGGCAAGAAGGGCATTTTTCTCACCCATGGCTCCAGCATCGGTGGCAGGAACAATTTTCTTGGTATTGTCTACCTCGTTGGCGGTATTATATGCTTTGGACTTGCCATTATCTTGTTGGTAACTAGCTTGATAACCGGCAGAACCGTTGGCGATCTTAAATACCTCTCGTGGAACCAACAAGGAAGCCTTTAAGAACCCCAGGACTGATGTTTTATCGCGGAACCCAGGAGATTCGAACCCAGGACTATTTCGGACGCTTTCATAAGCTCGTCTCTGATATCTGGTCATTGTTGACGGTTTTGACTCACTATCAATCGGCAAATACAGTATAACCTGGCTATAAGAAAGATGATTGACTACTCGATAACCGATTGAACAAAACATTCGTCTATTGAACATCCAATTGAACTCCTTGAGTAGACCGCTGTATAACAATGCTAAGATTAAGGGGTACTAGTAGACTGTCCTCTAGACAGTTGAAAAATGCGATTGGAAGCCAGGAATTTCAGGTCACCACTTACGCCAGGCCCGATGACCTGCTGATAACGAGAGGAAAGGGTTCAATTCTCTACGATGACTTGCACAACAAGAAATTTGTGGACTTTACAGCAGGTATTGCCGTTACGTCGCTGGGACACTCCAACGAAAGCGTCTCTAAAATCTTATGCGATCAGTCCAAGAAACTTGTTCACTCCAGCAACTTATATTACAATGCTGAGTGCTTGGAGTTGAGTAAAAAGATAGTGGAAAAAACCAAAGCTTTGGGCGGACAGCACGATTGTAGTAAGGTTTTTCTTTGCAGCACCGGTACGGAAGCTAATGAAGCGGCTTTGAAGTTTGCCAAAAAACATGGATCTTTACTAGGTCCCAAGAAACACGGTATTGTTGCATTCGAAAACTCGTTCCATGGACGTACCATGGGTGCATTGTCTGTTACCAGCAATCCAAAGTATAGAACGCCATTCGGCGACCTGGTTCCCGGAACATCGTTTCTGAACATTCAAGACGAGCTATCAGTTTTGTCCAATTTCATCAAATCTAAGAAAGATGAAATTGCAGGCCTTATAGTGGAACCCGTGCAAGGAGAAGGTGGTGTTTTCCCCATTCCTGCCGAAAAACTCATTGGTCTCAAGCAAATCTGTACAGAAAATGACGTTGTTGTAATTCACGATGAAATTCAATGTGGAATGGGCAGAACGGGAAAGCTATGGGCTCATGCCTATTTGCCTAAAGAGGCTCACCCTGACATTTTTTCCGCTGCTAAAGCTTTGGGCAATGGTTTCCCTATTGCTGCCACTATGGTGAACGAAAAGATCAACAACGCTTTGCAAGTCGGTGATCACGGTACAACCTACGGAGGAAATCCACTAGGTGCTGCTGTGGGCTGCTACGTCATGGACACAATCGGAGATGAGAAATTCTTGCAGGATGTTGTTCGGAAAGGCAGTGCCGTTCAGGAAAGTCTGAAGAAGCTGTGGGACCTTTACCCGCAACACATCACGAACCTGAGAGGACAGGGGTTGATGATCGGGCTGGAGTTTGCGGAAGCTCCTAAAGAGCTGATCAAGAAATGTAGAGACTCAGGACTACTTATCATCACTGCTGGTAAATCAACAGTCAGATTTGTTCCACCGCTCACCATTACGGATGAGGAAATCCAAGAAGGACTTTCCATTTTCGAAAAAGCTGTGAAAGAAGTTTACGGCTAGATTCTTGATAAATTATACCCGTATTTATCTTATTTACTAGCGGTCTATTTTATCCATCCCAAAGCACTAACGGTTGTCCATGCGCTTTTTTTTTTATAGCAACCATGAAATCAGCGCCAACGCACCTCCAACCAAAGGAAGGGTGGCCATCATGTCGGGTGCGCCGTTGGACAGAGTGACGACACCTGCAGTTCTGACCTGACCCACCTCTCCGCTTAGAGAACCTAAGCCTACGGATCCAGATGAAGGAGTTGCCGCAACGGAAAACTCAGTTGGGAACCTCTGAATAAAAGTTGTTGAGGTCGTTATAGTACGCCCCTCTGTGGTGTATGTCACCCACATGTAGGTGGGCGCTCTAGTAGTGGTGTAAGTGGTAGATGCTTCAGTCATGGTGATGAAGGATTCGATGGAAAGGGTTGTCACAGCTGAGGCGGGCAGTGGAGTTGCGTTTGTGGTTGGATCTGGCCTCGTGCCTGGAGCTTTTGAAACGGATGATGAAGATGAAGTTGCAGCAGCAACAGGAGTGGCTGGTGTAGCAGTAGTGCCAGTGGTGGTGCCGGTTTCAGTGGTGGTGCCAGTTCCAGTAGTTGTGCCAGTTCCGGTAGTTGTACCGGTCCCAGTGGTTGTGCCAGTTCCAGTAGTTGTGCCAGTTCCGGTAGTTGTGCCAGTTCCAGTGCCGGTAGTGGTTCCCGTGCCAGTTTTGGTACCAGTGCCGGTTGTGGTTCCCGTGCCGGTAGTAGTTGCAGTACCAGTGCCAGTAGTAGTTGCAGTACCAGTTGCAGTAGTACCGGTCCCCGTCGTGGCAGTTTCTGCACCAGCAGCACCATTCAAAGTTGTTACAATATAGTTTGTTACACCATTCTGGACTGTGGTAATAGTACTCAATGTTGGTGCTGCGTGTGATATCGGAGCAAACGAAAGGCAGAGGTAAACCGCATACAAAAAGCGAAAGAAAAACATTCTATGAATTCGCAGTTAAAGCTCTCAATGGAACGCACAAACAGTAACCTTGAGGTCCACGATTAGTTGTTTCTTCAATGTTTTTAGAGGATCCAGTTCCCGGTTGATGATGTACTGTGAGTATAAATAAATAGGCTTTAAATTTGAAATTTCACCAAAGCTCGAGAATGGGGTCACTGTGCACGGAAATGTAGAGTGCGTGTGAAGTGATACATAATCACACTGGAACTATCGATAACTATGAGGAAGGTAAACCAAGAGAATACTCTTATCTGTTGAGGTAGGCGTTGGCGTTGGTGCTTGTATTGTTTGAAGTCTGATTTTGCAATTCCCTTGGTTTGGTGGTATTCTGTTGGAACCTCTGTCTGTCTAGCGTCAGATCCATGACAAAGTGATCACAAACACGTGACACGATGACAGCGTCAGAAACAACAAGATATTCAAAGAACCTAGAACAACCAACGATCTAACAAGAATGACGTCGATTGGACCAAGTGGCGCCATCTAAAGTGATCGCATAGCTCCTAGATCAGACCATTTCCGCAAATTGCACCCGGAATCTTGAAGATTTTTTCACCTGTTGACGACGGAACATTTCCAGGAATTTGTATAAGAAGGGACGTCTTATACACTCCATAAGATCATTCCGCTTATACTAAAGACACTACGGAGAGATAAATAGATCCTATAGACCATTACTATTCAACAGAGAATAAATTATGACCGAGCAAACTAAGCAGATCAATAACTCAGACACTGCTGACGTAGTCAAGCCTCAATACCTTTCAATAATGGACAGAATCACCCAGGATATGGAACGTTTATCGTGCAACGACACTCCAGAGACAGAGTCTCAACACGAGTATAAACATATTCCAGTTCAAATCTTTTTGTTCGATTTGTGGTAGCTATTATATGGGTGGTTCACGCGGAATTGAATCAACTATACGCTGAAGACACGATGAAACTTATCACAACGAAATGAAGCTAATCCTCGGGAAACATCCTTGAGCCTTGGAATAGTAATATTCACACTGTTGGGCTGTACGGGTTTTGGAAAATCGTGACTGCACCCGAAATATGGTAGCCATTGGTGAATGGATGCAAATAAAGTTTCACTTCTTCTGTGGATGCCCTTTACCAGGTATAGAAAGTTTCTTGTTCTTGCATCTATTTGAGAAAGCATCTTTATTAATAATTATTCACGCTGTCGCTGACACTAGTCACGTGACTGGAGGGACAGCGACAATGTTGGACACGGTAGCCACCTTGGACTCACTATAACCACGTTATTAGCATCAAGTGACTCTACCGGTCTAGTTCAGATTACTGTGTAATTGTTTGCTTGGGCGTTAATGCACCTTAATTGGAGAGAATGCCATTTATTTCCATCCTCGGTGGTGATGTTGCATACTCAAAGTGTTGGGACACCTACCGTACACCGAAGCGGTGCGAAAAAATTCACTGCTAAGAGATATAATCCAACGTTATACAGTCATATTCGAATGGAATTATGCACTAATAAGTTATATAAACCAGTAATACCAAGTCTCGCCAAATGGACCAAATTACCAAAAGCACGGAACGGCCATTATTCTCCAGTTACCCCAGAGACTTGGTATGTGCTTCATCAGAAATCAAAATATGTTGGGATTGGTGAACTATATGGTATACGGCCATTGCGTAATCAGAAAATGACATATTAGTCTAAAATGACATCTTATGCGCTAAAGTGAAATGGACCAATCGTAAAGATATGAAGTAACAATATGCCAACGCTGTGCAGGACTTGCAAGCAATCCAGAACGTCTATTGAGCATCCTTACTAATGGCTAGAGTCCAGAATGTTACCTACTGTTTGCTACTCTTGTTCCAAAAATCGTTTAAATATCCGTGGTTTGCCCAAACCAAATGTACCAAACTCATAGTCAGAAGAACTACGGAGAGATAAGTAAAATCCGTAACCATAACCATTCAATTAGAGCAAATCACGACTGAACAAACAAAGCAGTTTAACAACTCGAACACTGCCGACGTAGTCGAGCCTCAATAAAATAATGTCTTTTCTAGCTCTCCTTACAGGTTGAAAACATTTACAAACTCAGAACTCAATCTTCTCAATCGACGGACCCCTTAGCAACAAAACAGTCTAGTACATATCTGTCACTCTCTAAAAACCAGTCTCCCTCTCCTCTAAACACCACAACTCACGCTGAAGGCAATGCCATTTTTTTTGTTCAATCAATTTTAACTCAACCGTCCGCCCCAATTGTGGCAGCCTGAAAACTTCCAGATATCCCTGCTTCTACGCTCAATTATGTGATACTATTTCTTTCTCTCTCCTCCCACTCTGACATACCCGCGCCAGGGTTTACGTTTCTCCGTTCACTTTTCCTCATCTCCTGCAATAAATCGATATATACGGTGATAAAAACAATTGTAGATGTACACATGGTATAAACACTGAATAACATACCCACTATTTAACTTTTGACAACCCCGTCGAGCCCCATAGAATGCCCAAGGATAGGCCCCTGTACACTGTGAGCAGTAACACAGAACCTTTGAAGCGAGTTTTCAGTGTAGACGACGACATTCACGAAATTGAGCATGATATCAGATACCTTGAGGGCTTACAGGAAGGTTTAAAAAAGGTTGCCTCGAACAAAAAAACGTCGAATGTAAACACGCCACCTTCTACGCGTGGTAGGCCACATTCTGTAAAACACAAGAGTTCTGGAGCATCTGTTACCGGTGAAATAGCCCCAGCCCCCGCTCCAGAATCTTCTGAAAATGCAGATCAAGACCTCGATAACAGCTTCAATTATACGTATGAAGGCCTTGGTGACGAAGAGGATCAAAGCTCTGTTGCCACAAACGAGTCTTACACTTTAAGGCAACGTCAAGAAGCTATCAACAAAACTCATCCATTCGGTATCAGAATATGGAAACCAGCTCTATACAAGAAGAATAGATCAGTTCAAAAGGCAGCTGAGGAAGATATTCACGAAACCAAATACAAACGAATCTCATGGAAAGTACACTTGGCAAATTACGTATGGGCATCGACTTTAGGGGTTTTTTTCCTGATTTTTTTGAACATATGCAGCCTTCTCGTACGCCTTTTTGCTCTCTTCACCCCAACGGGCTCTGAATATGCTTCTGTGTTATTTAGGTTGAGTCGCTACTTGTTTTGGCCCTTTGGAAAAGTTGTCCTTATGGTTAGCGATGAGCACTATTTACATGAAGATCAGGATGAAGGTATTTCTGCGCAGCAATTTTATGGATGGGTCACCAATAATCGTAACAGACTGTACTTCCATAGACCCTCTCAGGGGGCTAGTGATTCCTATGGAGCTACTGGAAGCGAAGGAAACATGACTGCCGTTGATAGGCAAAGAAGATTGTTTGGAAGAGGTCAATGGTCTTTGGGCCGCTTTACCTTTTACGTGATCCTATATCTGCTAGTACAACCCGTGGTACTCATTTTCTCATTTCTCACTTGGTTGGCAGTCTTTACTATACCTATGAGCGGAATTTTGTGGGACTTGATGTATCATTGTCGGAGGCATCCGTTGGCTCTAGAGTTCAAGACTTTGACACCTAGTGTCGATGGAATAAAAGACAAAAATGTTCTATTATGCACATTTAGAAGCGCGGGGTCTCATTATTATAAGTACACTGTGGATGGGACAAATGTGATGGTCATGAACCTAGGGGCTCTCGTTGCATTCACTATCATTCAGTTCTACGTGCTACAAGAGCATGTCTTTGCGATGAGTGAATCAATCATTTTCTGTCTTTGTTTGCTTTCCATCATTCCTTTAGCATTTTACATTGGGCAAGCAGTCGCATCTATCTCTGCACAAACTTCTATGGGAGTGGGTGCGGCTATCAACGCATTCTTTTCAACAATTGTCGAGGTCTTTCTCTATTGCGTGGCACTACGGCAAAAGAAAGGCCTTCTTGTCGAGGGATCGATGATCGGCTCCATTTTGGGTGCCGTTCTTCTTTTGCCCGGCATGAGTATGTGTGGGGGCGCTTTGAAGAGGAAAACTCAGAGGTACAACCCCGCGAGCGCAGGCGTTTCGTCGGCAATGTTAATATTTTCAATGATCGTGATGTTTGTCCCGACGATAATATATCAAATCTATGGGGGTTACCTTGTTGATTGCTCTCCTGAAACTAAAGCAGAGTCATCCAGATGCTATTTTCGTCAGCCACCACTGAAATTTGATTCATTGTATTCTCACGTCATAAAACCAATGTCTCTATTTTGTGCCTTGGTACTCTTTATGGCCTACGCTTTAGGACTATGGTTTACCTTACGGACCCACGCTGCTGCAATTTGGCAGATTCCAGAAAAAGCACAGTTGCCCAATGGTCAATTGGGCTTTATACCAGAGGAAGAGGAAGAAAGCGGTGGACATGACGGACCTAATTGGTCACGTCAAAAGTCGACTTGTATTCTCCTAGGCGCCACTCTACTCTACGCAATCATTGCCGAAATTTTGGTGGATTGCGTTGACAACGTTCTGCAACAATTTCCTTCCCTAGATCCTAAGTTTTTGGGCCTTACTGTGTTTGCTCTGGTTCCAAACTCCACAGAATTCTTGAATGCTATTTCATTTGCCATACATGGTAATGTTGCACTTTCTATGGAGATTGGAAGTGCCTACGCTTTGCAAGTTTGTCTCTTGCAGATCCCAGCTTTGGTGGTTTATTCAATAGTGTACACCATGCACATCCCTACAGATACCATTGTTATCAGGGATCGAATGTTTTCATTGATTTTCCCAAGGTGGGACTTGTTGGCATCTATGGTGAGCGTCTTTTTGTTCACTTACTTGTACGCCGAGGGTAAATCGAATTACTTTAAGGGCTCAATTTTGATCCTGCTGTACAGTGTTGTTGTCCTTGGCTTTTACTTCCAAGGAGCTATGGATCAAAACAAATGGGACAATTGAACTATTTGTTCTAGCAGGCTACGAGACACTTATAACTCTTCAAATCATTAACAGAGCCAGTTTATTCTATTCTACTACAAGGATATATTTATACGTAGAAAACCGTTTAATTTACAAAACTAGAGATGGTTGAGGATGTTTTTCAGAGGCTGTGGAGTGAGGCAAGAACTCGAGTTGAGTGTCGTCACCTAGTTTCAAGACAGTCTTGAATTTGGAGCCGATCTTGGTCAAAGCCTCCTTTTGGTCTGCCGACTTTGTCCAGATGGCGATTTTGTAGGCACTTTTTCTGATGTTGATAACAACCCCGTTGATTTGAGAGTCGTCCTCGTCGATGGTTTCACCGATGACTGCGAGCAGGGCACGCATCCATAGATCATCAATATCGGGGGTTTTGCCCCAGAATTGGTGAGTCCATTTACCACCTAGGGAATTGGCTGGGTCTTCCCATTCAGGTCTGATGTCGTTACGGAACAGATGGTAATCCGATTTGAATGGTAGATAGCGGGGTTTTGGAATAGCGTTGTGAATGGCCCAGAACTCCTCAACAGTTTCGAAGGAGGTCACAGGACGGAGAAGGTCTGACCACGATTCAGACTTGTCCACAGCGGGCTTAGTGTACCACAGAGTCCATTTGGAATTCAAAGGGTGCTTCAATTGAAATTCCTTTTCACTGGACAAAACCGTCGATGGCTTTTCGATGTTCAAATCCTGGGTTTGTTGCGTAACTTCTTCCACAGACATCTGCAAGCAAATAAGTCAAATTGGTGTCGTTAGTATTAATTCGATATCCCAATAGTTGTGTCTTTCAATGAAGGGCTCTCATTCTAGGGCATTGAGTAAAAAATCCGGCCTGAGGGAATCCACAGCCCACCCAAAGCAGACCCGCTGAATTCAACCAGAGTACTCCCAAGGCCCATAACGAGCTCTAACCACCACATACTTTCAATCTTGATCTCTGGTGCTTGGTAAGTTGTACAATTTGATACGTTCAATATTGAAAATTTTTATATATAGTAGGCCTTGAGACAATAGAAGACATTTCGTATATAGAGATATAGATAGTATGTTAAGTAATCGGCACATAGACTTGGAAATATGAGGAGGATGTGCAGTAGAGGTGTGTTAACTATTGTGTTAGTGGATAAGCAGCGTCCTGGAGTTTTCTGACCCTTTGGGAGATGGTGACATTGTGCAGAAACATATCACTATGCACGGAAACATGAGTTTCTTCACAATTATACTGTCATTGCTAGTATTCATCATTGAATGGGCCATTTGACTGTGGAAAAACGTTTATGTAGTTCAATAGATATCACAAGGTTATGCTTTCGGTTATGGATCCCGGAGGTTGTTGTGTTTGGTCTCTCTATTGTAAATGACACGAATTAGTTCCAGGTTGAGTGACAATCAAATACATAGTGATATTTTGTTTACGTAGTAAAACAAGAAGAGTTCTGATTGACAGTACAGAAAACTGCGAATTAGACTGTATGGTATCGTTTGCTTAGCTCGACGTCATCGTCATCTATCCTGGGAAGACGCGGAATTAACACATGCACGTGACCAGATAAGCAGTGACAGGGTCAATGAAAAGTGATCAGCTATATATTCGACATTTCGATAAGGCTTTTGTTGTATGCGGTTTGCACTTTCGCAGCGGTAAACACAGTGAGCTTCCCAAGCGTTTAGCGCTTGGTTCCAGCTTCTGCCAAGCTGTACATCAATGTATTTGTTCCCGTACTTTTTTTAAAGCCTTGTTTCCCCTTCAATGGCTTCCGAAAGCACGAGAACATAACTCACGACTAATATTTTCAAGAGAAACTGTTTCCAGAGTCCGCTGACAGCAGCGTCTCAACATCTTTTTAAGCTATTTTCCCCAAGTTTTTATGCTGTCATTAGATCACGTGGCGCGCGTCATTCTTATTGTATACCGTCCGACGCTAGACAGATAGAGGTGAAAGATCAACTGGGACCACCACGCACAAGCCATATATGTATGCATCACTACACGTAACTTCAAACGTGTTCATTATTTTGCCATTTGCTAATCAGGCTCAATGTGAGTGACGTTAAAACGGTTTTGATGAAAAATGATATTATCCTAAGAGTCATATGGCTCCCTGTCCTCCTGGGAGCCATATGGCACCCATAAGCAATTAAGAGAAATGATGAATTTTGAAAGTCCTAGTCTGTTCAAGTTTTCAAAATCTTCTGACTATTATCTTTCTCACGCAATCTCGCGGAATCAGAAAGATACCAACATCCACAATTTGAAGTCAAGCCCCACAAACAAGTAAAAGAAGATTTTGAACAAATCCTTTGTAATTGCGAAAGGATAAATGGACCAGATTACGCACCCTTTCCTCCCCCAAGTTAAAACGTAAAAAGTACGCACTTTCAGAATACTATGAGACCATTTCACCGTACTTGCCACATGATATATCATCAACACTGCTTTTCTATTCTACTTAACGGCCTTCACAGAACACATTCGACACTCTTTCAGCCAACGAAGAGCAACAAGACGGTGTCGCCTGCTTGTCCTATGCTTTAGATCACTTTTTCCTAAAATGTCATTTTAACTTAAAAAGCTTTTAAATGCCGCGTTTGAACCCCATAACAGCTTGGTTCAGCTAGATATCATCAAAAACAGCCAAAGCTAGCTACATCAAGGCATTCCCACTTTTTTGCTTCGGTTGTCAGCTTTCCTCAACATCTTTAAAGGTAATTATTACATCAAGGTAATAAGAAAATGATCTCAATACCAACAGAGCTCTCAACTTAAATATCCTCCAGCGCTCAATGAAGTAGCCTTCGAAGCTTCAGGTCTCTTCTATCGATTATGTTTATACGCTTGCTTAGATTCTTTGTAGGTGGAACAGTCGCTACTGGTGGAGCTGCATTGTTAGCCTTATACATTTATCAAAACAAACTGATATATCCTTCATGGGCTGAAGGTGCCAGAGATTTTGTGGATACTCCCGATAAATACGGACTTCCATACACTGAGCATCACATCAGGACTGCAGATGGTGTAGAGATAAGAGCGTACGATATAAGAAATGAAAAATCAAATGTGACATGGCTAATACTATGTCCCAATGCTGGCAACATCGGTTACTTTCTGTCAGCTGCAGAACTGATCTACCGCCGTTTCAACGCTAGCGTTTTTATCTACTCTTATCGTGGATATGGATTTTCTGAAGGAGTACCTTCGGAAAGTGGCCTCAAGCTTGATGCAGACGCTGTCATGAATTTCCTGCAGCAGGACTCATTTTACAAGACCCGAAAGCTAGTACTTTACGGGAGATCTCTGGGCGGTGCTAATGCCATTTACATTGCAAGGAAGTACTCTCATGTTTGCGATGCTGTAATATTGGAAAATACTTTCTTAAGCATACCAAAGGTTATCCCTCACGTCTTTCCATTGCTTTCATCATTTTCTTTCCTATGCCACCAAAATTGGAACTCTGAGCGAGACATCAAAGAAACGGATTCCACTCTACCATGGCTTTTCTTATCGGGCCAAAAAGACGAAATAGTCCCCCCAAGTCATATGCAACAACTGTACAAGGACTGTCCTAGTGAGCATAAACGCATTTTTCTCTTCCCTAGGGGACGTCACAATGACACTATCGTTCAAGAAGGCTATTGGGACCAAATACACAAATTTTTGGCAGACTATCTATAAGTCAGGCATCTATATGCTTCTTTATATAAGCTTGCCGAGACATCCGCAAGGACAACTATCCATTTGATCATGCATGAACCAATTTTGTAAGCATTCAAAGTGTCCCATATGGCCGCAATTCAACACGCACATCGCAAGTTTTTTCAATGGTCGTTCACAAATCACACAGAGCGTGTTGCGTCTGGAACATGCATCACAATACCAGTATCCAAATCTATTCATAACCTGCGCATCACCAGTTTGCTTCCGTTCCGTCATGAACTTTTCCTTGGAACGCTCATTGACCAGTAATTTTTTACACGTTTCGCAGTAGATCCTTACTGTGCACTGTCCGGTACCAGAGCCTAAAATATCATCCCAAGGACAATTTTTTACCAGGTCAGCGGCCGTTTCGAACAATTCGTACTTGTGTAACAAATCGAAAAACTCTGCAAGGGCGTTCTTGACCACTACAGTGCTGGCGACACGAAATGTTGTTTGAAATAGAAGAATGATTGCAATTGTAAGGAGAACGTTACCATTTTCGACCGACTCATCGAAGTATTTTTTGATCAGTTTTGAGGAATCCCACGGAGGGACCGTTTCATTCTTTTTGTTGTTTTTTAACATCTGACTTATCATTGACTGCTGAGTACCGGAATTAGATTGCAGCTTGATACCAAGCGACTCATTTGCGTCAATTGACCTTCGAAAAAGTTGCTCCGAAGGTTCTTCTAAACTAGCAAAACTGTTTGACTGGTACTTTTGATTCCTCCCTGAAAGCTTTGACGAGCCTGGACTCACGAGCGAGGAGCTGAAGCTATGTCGCATGGACCTCCTTGAAGTGAAAGGGTGTGTCGTTTTATGAACACTGGAGTCTCGGTCATCATGACTACTTTTGGGGGATCTCAAATTGTTGATGAAGTTATCTACAAAAGAAATTCTCCTGCCTGCATTCCGAAGGATAGGTATGCCCTGTGTCTGCTGCTGAAATTCCGTTTCCTGACTTTCGTCCTCCTCTTCAATCGCGACGTCATCATTATCTTCTGCAAGAGGTTGCAGCTTCCGCAATTCTCCAGGGCCTGACTTTGAGGAGCTTGCCTCAGGAGTTGTCCGCCGCGAATCCGAGTAGAATAACAAATGGTCACGATCACTCTCTAGACTCTGGGACGTCTGCGCTTTGATGTTCGAGCTCGAGCTTGCTCTCGATAGGTTATCTTGATTAAGCTCATCGCGATGTTTTGAAAGGCTACCAGACAATTGCGTCGAAGCTATTTCGCTAGCACTGAAACTGCTATACTCGGACGCTTCTGATGATCGGCGCATTTTGCGCGCCATTTCCACCAAGTTTCCACTCTCGTCTATGACATCTGAGACTGAATCTGATGTATCCAACTTGACCTTGTCTGCAACTTGCCTCAAATCCCAAAGGAGAGAATCTCTCAGCATCATCCAGATCTTGAAATTACTCAGGTCTTCAACAAAGAGATAAGTCTCAGCGTTATGATCACATATAGAAATAAGCTCAATGAAATGTTCAATTCTTTTCTTGGCCACTATACCGTTTCTTTCCACCGAAGAGTTTTTCCTCAACTGCACAGCGTCATCCATCTTGTTGACATCCGCTTTTGAGCTGAAATGGCTTCTCAAAGAAGAATTTGATGCATCTGTATCGTTTGATTGATGAGCATTTTCAACTTCATTCAACTCCTTATCATTATGCGGAGCATTTTTTATAAATTTTGTCCAAGTGTTATCCTCTGCAAGACCAAATTGATTGATTAGATGCTTCTTTATGTCCATGTCATCTTCGCTTTGAGAAGAGGCTTCACTGGGGGCGGAAGCGGCTACTTCACTAGCTGCGTTCAAATTTTCCACAACGTGTGAAAACCTGAGCTCTCTAGCTAAAAACTTGAAAACCTCCACGGGAGACTCCTTAAGAGCTTGGAAATCTGCCATGTTGGACCTGTTAGCAGCATTTGGTGACGAAGAGCTCATGATTCTGTTCATAAGATGGGGTAAGTCCAAACTTATTACGCGAGGGGAAATGTATTCACCACCGCTGTCTAAGACAGTTGAGGAAGTACTGATCGAAGTGATTGAATTGTGGTGTTGATTGCTCTGACTGTTGTATGATCCTAACGGTTGGCCATGAAGATTTTTGAAATTGTACGACGTACCGCTGCGTGGATAAGAAGGGCGGTCCATGAACGCCGCAGCAGTTCCTTGTTGAGAGGTCGAGGCAGAAAATGACGAAGTGCTCGAATTATGTCGCAGAACATTACCGGAAAACAAGTTATTCACAGAATTCACACTCTTCCGACTCTGTGATAAGTTGCGCTTTTCTGTTTGAGGATCAATCGACGACCTTTGCGTTTGTTCATATCCTCCTCGTTCTTGAGAAAGGAATAGCATCCCATCACCCTCTATGTCTCTCCATCCTATTACGTTTTTCGCGAGGTTATCTAAAGCAGTTGGCTCACGTTCAAGATCCCAGCCGGTGATCGTGTTCTGCTTATCAATGTTGAAGATAAAATTCTCGTCCCACCATACAAACCCACACGACGGTGTGGTTGTGGTGAGAACATTTTTTGGGACAAATGGCCTACTAAGTGAGTAAAGAGAGACATCAGAGTTTTCTCCCAAGGAAGATAGGGCAACAACTGAGTTGAAGACATTCTCCACATTTGAAGGTCGAAATTTCAGCTTGGTAAGGGGGTGGGCGGTGTTGACCATGACATCCGAAGCTGTTACAGTAGGATTGATCGAATAAGTTGGCGTTAGTAAAGTATTTGTGGACCCGAAAGAATTGCTTTGGTGTGCACTGGGATTACCCACCAAGTTTGGATTTCTTACACTAACATTCCACAAGCAGCATTTACCATCTCTTCCTCCTGTCATGATATACTCGTAAACGGGGTGCCAACTGAGGCAAAGTCCAGGCCCAGTATGTGCATTGATTCTGTTTTCAGCTTGCGAAGGCTGTCGGAGATCGTAAGTCAAGAGTAATCCTGAATCGTGGATTGATGCAAATTTATGGCCTCGATTGGCCACGCCTGACACTGAATCGTAACTAATGGTATCAAATGTTGGCTGCCACTTGACATCCCTTACAGAGTCAGAACCACTGTTGATAGTAATATCACTTTTATTTCGGTGACGGTCATTGGACCGAAGGTCCCACACTTTTACGCATCCGTCTTGACCACCACTTATTATTAGACTCGTTTGTGACATGTTAAAATCAACGCTATTGATGGACCTGGTATGTTTGGACAAAACGGTTGCTAAGGGTCCGGTGTTCGCATGTGCCTTATTGATGTCATAAATGGATACCGAATTGGACGTGCCACAGGTTGCAACATAATTTCTATAGTTGTAAAATCCGGTCTTCACATCAGATATGGTGCTTAGCTTTTTGAATGATCGCGCATTGCTTGGCCCATGGTCATTAGTACTTTGAAGATAGTCATGAACACATCGTATTTTCTCGGTCTCATTGTCGAACTCGTAGAGCCCAAGATGATTTTTTCCAGCAACCACGATTGATTTCAATCGTGGATCATTGATTTTATCTATACTGGACAATTCCTTGGACACCTGAAGTGAATATTTCAGGCCAGATGATCGTATCTGACCAGTGGACACATAGTTTCTCGCCCTATCAGTCTGAAATGACGTGCTCGAGTTTTCTTGCACACCTTCTATTGATGGAGCATACCCAGTTGTGGTATACCTTGAGCCATAGCTCGTCTTGGGAGAAATTCCATAAATTGAATCATTTACACTAGGTCTGTGATGTTGTTTTCCAGAATTTGAAAGCTTGGACAGCGAATTCGCCAGCCTGCTTCCACTTAAAGTTGTAGCATCTCTCAGGGATGGAGAAACGCTTCGATCCATCAGTTCATTACCTTTATCCAAGCTAATCCATCATGCTCAAACTAGAAAGATGGGTCAAGAATCATCAATTATCATTTCGAGATTCATCAGTGACATTATTCTAAAAAGTGATAGTTTTCCCGGTGGTGGCGTCAGAATGCGATCTAAGCAGAGCGTAGGATCATGATGTCAAGAGAGTTACCTGAGGGTCCTATTGATTACGAATTGATTATAGTTGGTATCGTGAATCACCGCGTTTTCGTGCTTTTTTTTTTTTTTTTTTGAGATAGTTCAATGCATCAAGTTCTTATTAAACAAGTACAGCCTCATTAGTGCTGCATGATGTGCAATGTAATTGTTGGGTTCATGCCCGATCTGTCAATTATTCGTATAATGGCGAGTCGAGCAGGTCACTTTTGCTTCAATTCCCACATCCTTGTCGTTAACGTCGCGAAAAAGGCGGGCATCTGTCCTTTTTCAAGCACCAACTCTTGCAATAAAGCATCCCAATCTTCAATGTCCTGTTGCAAATTTGATTTCATCGAATCGTTCGTCAAATCTGCCAGTAGAAATTTGTCAGGCATGTAACAGGGTGTCATTTTGATCTTTCCATCGGATTTGAACTCTAGCTTGAACCCCAACAACGAATTAACCGCATCAATGAATTCTAAAGATTTTTTATTGAATACCTCACGTAGCCTGGTTATCTTTTTGTTCAGCTTAAAGATTTCATCTTCTAACTGAGAAACATCAAATTTGAGTCGTTCATATAAAGACCTCGGTACGTGTTTCTCGATTGAGATGCTAGCTCCCGCTACTAAATCTTCATTTTCCTTTATGAGTAGGGCAAGCCTCTTCTGCTTGACCTGCTGATCTTTGGACATAGGGTTGTCTCGAAGCTGCAGAATGCGAACCTTTTTTTCGCCAAGCTGTTTAAGCTTCTTGATCTCTGCATCCAAAAGTTCAATCGTTTCAGAGGAACTTGACAGCTTGCGAGTTAGTTCTAAATTTTGAAGTTGCAACTCGTTTAGCCGCTGTGAGTAGTTGAAAGCTACGTCGTCGCTGATTTTTCGCTTTTTATTGGGTACACCTTCCCCGCTATTCATGAGATCTTGATTGAGTTTCTTAAGTTCACTTGTAAGATCTTCAGTTTTTTCCTTGTAGCTTTGCACTAGTCCATCCAGTGTTTGGCGATCACTACGGGGTCCTTCACTTCTGTCATCTTCCTTGCCTAAAGGCGCTATATCCTCGAGTTGCTTGCGCAACATCTTGCACTCCTCAAAAGACAGAAGTTTTTGCTGTTCGATTTCATGGTTGAGCCTCTTAAAATTCAGGATACTAGTCTCGTAATTTTTATTCAAGTCCAATAGCTGGTTGCGTTCCAGTGCCATTTCATCGTTCAGTATGCGAACGTTGGTCAAATCAAGCTGAACTTTGGATATTTCATTGACCAGTTTGAGATTTTCACTTTTGAAGATGGTCCATTCTCTAACCACATCATCGGGCGTTTTCTTAGACCCTTTACCAACCTCTTGCAGATCGTTCCAAAAATAGAGTTGGGACTGGAGCTCAACGTTTGCAAGCTCCAAATCCTGGTTTTTGTTTTCAAGAGCCTCCATTTTCTGTACTTTTCTTCGGAGGTCTTCGTTTTCAGATTGTAAAAACTTATAAGACTCTTGTGCAAATCGTAGTTTTTTCAACTCGGTTGCTTGCTCGAGGTTTGCTTGTTCCAGACTCTTCGAGAACGACATTTGCTCTTTCAGAAGATTATTTAGAGTAGTCAGTTCGGTGAAGTCTTCGGTTGAGTAATTGTGGTGAGCCATCACCACGCGGGACGCTTTAAGGCTGGCGATCTGGTCGTCTTTTTGAGCTGATCCCACTTGCAATTGCCGGATTTGCGTGTTTTGGGATTCTACTTCTTCTTCGTACCGTTTCAGCAAACTCTTGGACCCGTCTGCCTCTATGCGAACGTTAGAAACCTCGTTTTCTAAAGACGAGATTTTCGACCTTGCCGATGACTTTGTTTCCTGCAATTCGTAATCGCGGTGATCCAATTCTTGTTGGAGACGCTGCTTGTCTATGGAGCTTTGATTTTTCACCACCTCCAGCTCCTGTTCCACTGCTCGAAGCCGCTGTTCCATTTCTGCATTGGCAGAATATAAATACTTGGTATCATCGACGGCCTTCTCCAATTCGTTCAAAGTGGCCCGGTATTTCTTATCAAGCACTGAGACCTCTCTTTCCAGGGTCAATCGGTCGATTTCGAACTGGTTTTGCATTGAATTCATCTTGAATTTAAGTGCAATTGTGTGTGTTTTGGTGCTTTCAGGCGACATCGGACGCTCTACAAAAGGTGAAGAGCCCGTACTTTCACTCATCATTGACAATGTACGGCTCAATTCTCAATCCCGGTGGCAATTCGAGCTTTTAAACAAAAGTTCAGGACTCTTTGATCCACCTTTTTATGGATTGTTTAGTGATAATGATACTTTCTGTTTTCGATATATAGTGATTGATTGAGGTACTTACTGGTCTTTTTTATAAGTTATAGCTAAAGAAAGAGATAGCTCTCGATTTACCATCATCGTCACCTCAACATTCGCTCACAACCAGAGTTCAAACCTATCTCATGTCTAAAATGTATGTTATAAAGACGGGTTCCGGCCAGCCACCGACTAGATGCTAACTTTCACGTCATTTGATATAGTCCCAGAAGTTTTAGACTTCTCGAAGAACTTGAAAAGGGCGAGAAGGGCTTAGGCCCCGAATCCTGCAGCTACGGTCTAGCAAATGGAGATGATATCGCCATGGTCCATTGGAACGGAACGATTTTGGGCCCCCCTCACAGCAATCACGAAAACCGAATCTATTCTGTAGCCTTAGAGTGTTGCGAGGAGTACCCTGACGAACCCCCCAAAATCAAGTTTGTTTCCAAGATCAACCTACCCTGTGTCAACCAGACTACTGGAGAGGTCGAGCCAGAACGCTTTGGAACCTTGAAAAATTGGAAACGCTCGTACACCATGGAAACGGTGCTTCTGGATCTACGCAAAGAAATGGCGCTTCCTGTGAACAAAAAGCTACCACAGCCATCCGAGGGCTCAACATTCTAAGTAGTGCTACAAACAAATGCAAGATTGACCTTGCAGAGCGCAGTAGTATATTTTTTTGCAGAATCACGCCAATGATGCGTTTACTACATCAAATCTGGACAACTATCGATCTATAACACGAGCCAACTTAGAGGAAAGTTTAAACTTCAGTGATTGGGCTCGAAGTCGAAGTTCGCCAGCTTTTATATACCAATTCACTCTCCGTTTCGTCCCATACCTTTCAATTATCAGTCATTTCTCTCTTATATAGTCTAGTCTATAAGTTTGAATGAAAAGTTGAAAAATTGGCTGCTAGAGCATCTCTTGAACTCAAAATGGAAAAGAGTCATACACTAACGGCGAGGGATTGAAGCTTGAATAAGAGGCGTGTGTATTTTTGGATTACGCCGTGCGGTTTTTGGTAGTGTTACTATTGGAGCTGTTTTTATATATCCCAAATGTTAAGCGTTGTAAATGGTGTTAAAGCTTTGCGATTTCAGCAATCCATAGGAACTTGCAAACGAACTTTGTACTCGAGACTTCGAGATACATCTGAGTTTGTTACTCTAAAATCGGCTAGCAAACTCAGAACAGTGTCGGCCCCCGCTTACATATCGTCCCCAAACTCCAAGCTGCAGTCTGTGATCTGGCACCGGCCGCTGCAAAACGTTCTTATTACGAAAAAACCATGGGCCGATAACACTCGTAAAGCAATGGTTGATTTTATTACACATTTGCACGACTCATACCCGGAGATCAATGTCCTGGTGGTTCCAGACGTTGCCGAAGAGATAGCTCAGGATTTTGTCAAGAATCCACAATCGAACCCTGGCGAACCACACGTCTTGTACACTGGCGAAATTGAAGACATCGTCGATAAAGTTGATCTTCTGGTCACCTTGGGAGGCGATGGCACCATTCTCAGGGGAACGTCGCTGTTTGCCAACTCTCAAGTACCACCGGTGCTAGCATTCTCGCTTGGTACATTGGGATTTCTGTTACCGTTCAACTTTAAAAACCACAAGGCAGTTTTCGAACAGGTGATGAATTCTAGAGCAAAATGCTTACACAGAACACGCTTGGAGTGTCATATCATTCGTCGTGGTACCGATTCACTCGAAAAGCGACCCGCTCCACACCATGCCATGAATGATATCTTTATACATAGAGGCAATTCACCGCACTTGACGAACTTGGACATCTACATCGATGGGGAATACTTAACAAGAACTACTGCGGACGGCGTTACTTTGGCTACTCCCACGGGCTCGACCGCATACTCTTTATCTGCAGGCGGAAGTATTGTGTCTCCACTGGTGCCCTCTATCTTACTGACTCCAATATGTCCTCGCTCACTTTCGTTCCGGCCCCTAATTTTGCCTCACTCGTCCCACATAAAGATCAAGATTGGTTCGAAACCTTTACAAGGCCCTGACAACAAGGTGGTCAAACTATCTATCGATGGGGTGCCCTTAGAAGATTTGAATGTTGGTGACGAAATTCACGTAGTAAACGAAGTGGGCACCATCTACGTGGATGGTTCCGAACTACCCAGCACGAAAAACTCAGATAACGCCAAACAACGGGGCCAATCGACCAAAAATTCCGGCATTTACTGTATTGCCAAGACCGAGAATGACTGGACTCGCGGCCTTAACGAGCTTCTGGGATTCAATTCCAGTTTCCGCTTCACCTCCCGTAAAGACAACTAACATAAATACGGAATGCCGGTTACAAAACTACTAGTAAAGCTCATAATTTCAAAAAGATCAAGATTTGACTACAGATCAGCTCTACTGATCTTAAAAATACAGGCGAATGCAAATATGATGTTCCAGTGATCATTGCAACAATCCCCATACGGGCGCACGAAGGCAAAACCCTTAGATCTGCTATAAAAACAGACAACTGATGGACCGTCGCACCCAAGATCTCTGAGTTTGTTCTCCAGTCCAAGCTAAAAATTCTTCCAAAGAAAGAGCAGCACAATATCTACACTTGTCATGGGCCAAGAACGTCCCTGAGGAGTTCGACCTCGAGGAAATGCTGTTATGCGCTGCGAATGGCTGTGAATTTGCGTTAATCTTTTAAAAATGTAGAGGGCATGTAGTCAGAGAGAAACACTAGAATACTTTATCGCCTTATATAGTTGTATCCACTTTTGTTACCCGGGTTGGGCACCGGACGTATTTCTTGGTTGAAGCATGGCCAGGGCAAATGATGACAGTTAACAGCAGAAACGATAATGGTTTGAAGAGTTTAGGCTTGATACATCCGTTTCCACTTGGATTCTGTAATGTTGTCAGAAATTCCACATTATTCATGAATATTGTTGGAAGATTAATGCCTATCGGTATGCCTTGCAATTGCACCAACAAGGACCTTGACGTGAATTGAAAAAAAAAAATAAAAATATGCAAATATGCTGGTGACAGTTGAAATGTTGGAGGAACTCTTATCAGTTGCTGCTTGTATCAGTATCAGTGTCGCTAGAGTTTTCGTTTCTGTGGACCTCGTCTAGTTTTTTAATCAATGGGTAGAATACCAGCTCCTCTACATTGTTGGCCCATAGTGTGTCCATGTGCTCGTAACCTTGTAACTCGACAAGCGTGAGATCGTTCAAGTTACGCATAAGGTTTTGCTTAGTGGTGTCCATATCTATCAAAATATCTTGATCGCCGTAGATCAGCATCATAGGCATGTTCTCGATGACTTGCACTGGGAACGGCGCACATCGATGCAGCTTGCTGTGTAAAGAGGGTACGGATGAGTATAGCTGGGAGACGTTTTCCTGAAACATTTGGAACCGTTCACTATTGATGATTTGGAACCAATGCGCAACACTTTTCACGCTCGAGGGAGAGAACATATGAGGATAGCCCACCTGTTTTTGCGTGGTGCCAATATGATTACTTTTCCAGTTAAATAGATAGATCAGCGACCAATCCACAACTTTCATGTAATTTATGGGCCCCAACAACTGCTGCCAGAAGACTGTTGAGGGAAGAATAGCTCGGGTACCGAAAATGGCATATAGTAGCTCAGGTGGACATCTCACCAGAAACTTGGCAACCGGATGGCTCAGAGATCTAGGAATCATTGCTGGTGACAGGCCAATAAACAACTTGATTTTTTCACGCAATTGTGGATTTATGGAAAACGCTGCGAACGCTTGCGAAGAACCCTGGCTAAACCCGATATAAGTCAATTTGGGCTGTCTAGTGATATTCAAAATGTACGTCAGGGTATCTGGGATGTCAAAGATAGCGTATTCGTCGAGCGAAAAGTCCCAAAACTGAGACGATTTCGACGACAGATTGATGTGTTTTCTGCTATACTTATTACCACGATTGTTACCAAGCCATACATCGTAGCCACGTTCCACGAGCAAAAAGGGCAAACATTTTTGGGTGGATTCACCCAGCAGGAATAGCTCGCTATTTGTCAAAAGCCCGTGGTGAAAATACACAACTGGTTTTTTCTTAAGGGTAAGCTCCCGTATAGCGGTGCGTCGGCTAACTATGCGATGCACTGTCAACAAATACCCATCTTGAGTTTTTACAATGTGCTCGTGTGCTTCAAATCCATGCGCTCGGCAAATATCGATAATATCACTCGCATTCACCACTTCTTCGACAAGCTTGCTGGCATACACGAAATTATCGGTTTTATACGATTGAAAGACCGGTAAGACATACACAATCGGTAAAACATACTTGCCATAAAACCATAGTGGAATTCTCACAAAAAGGCTAAGTACAAATAGTATTAAGCTTTGAAATCTATCAAGCATTGATCACCTTGCTCAGTCCTTTGTGTATCTGTCAGTTTTTTGTTAAAATCATCCGTCAAGAGAAGTATTAATTGAAGAATCTGTCAATATCTGATGTGATTTATAGTGACATTGACGAAATGTCAAGAAATAGAGCACAGTGTTCAGGAACCTATGAATGGTCCTTTGATAGAGATAATTTCAAGATCGAGTGAAACTGTAGAGGGTTTGGAAAGCACAAGTGCTCCCGAAGAATTTAGAGTTGGTTTTTAGGGTTTCTGCTGGATATCTTTTTCAAGAATTGTTCTCTTCGCTGGCATTCGTTTGGTGCTAAAACTGAGAAGAATGAGCTCAAGACGGATCGGGAAATTTTTGGCAGTTGAGTGGCGCATTCGAACGTGCTGATGTTGATTCGATACTCATATTTCTGATTTGATATCGAATTTTTTTTTGGTCAAACTGTGTACGTTTTGAACTTTGAGAATCATTGAGCTTTTTCTGTTGAAGTCCTTGCATTGGAAATGATGGCGATTCTGACAGAAATGTGACTTGGTATACACATTCCAGTCTTTTCGATCTTTTCAGAATAATGATCTTGAATGATCTTGCTGAAAAGATACCATGAATCCAATAATTAGTCCTTCATCTGGCAAATAAAGACCACATTATATCACTTATTCTCAGGAAACAAATCCTCACCATTAAGTTGACTCCACGTTTTTCTGTTTGCTAAACATGAGAATCGACGCTAAACCTACCTTACACTCGGTAATCTAACCTTTCTCGCGCCCGAAAACCTGAACAGTTGGCACATAGACCTTAGGGTGCATGTTCCAAGTGTCAAACAATGTCAACTAGCTCAGTAATGGGGCTCCCACCGACTGGACTTATCGTTGATTTGATTCTCCACAAAAATCGAATGCAGTGTAATCCCACCCTCATGAATGTGGGAAAATGACCACTCCGACGCTTACCAGACATGTATGAAAACATCTAGAGCAGCTTTACAGCTCCATTGGTTCTCATTTGCATCTGAATATGGCAACTCTTGACAAAACGCATTTTTCGCAGGGTTTTCTAGGGCGACAGAATCTCAGTTTCCTGATTTGGACGTTAATGAATCTACAACAGTGTAAAGACCTCGACTTCACACAACTTAGCCTAAGAGCCCTGAAAGTGACCCCAGGGAAGCTCAGATAACCCCATCACCGTATTGTGGATAATCTAGCTTGTCGAATAATGTGGTTTTAACGATGTTTGAATGAGGTTGCGAATATGGAGAGATCATCTGGTGCTATGGCATACGAACTCTGTCATGTATGGTTTTGCGTTACCAGATATAAAAATGCTTTGATTTCTGAAGAATCTTGATGGAATTCAGTGTCATGGTTTGGCTTTGAACTCAGAACAACAGCAAACTACATTCACTTCATCAATGTTCAAAAGATTATCAATTTACTTGGCTTTGGCTTTAGCCAACGTCTCAATGGCCGCGCCAATTACAACCAATGATTCGCTTCCTGCTATTCCTCAAGAAAGTATAAGCGGATATTTGGATTTGACAGGTGCAGACGACCTTGCCCTCTTACCAGTCTCCAATGACACTCATACGGGAATTCTTGTCGTGAACACAACTATTTTGGCTTCTGCTCTTGCCTCTGTGAGCCAACACAGCAAACGAGAAGCTGAAGCCGAACCTTGGAGGTGGTTGAGTCTGGCCAGAGGTCAACCAATGTACAAGAGAGATGCAAACGCAGATGCTGAAGCTGAACCTTGGAGATGGTTGAGTCTGGCCAGAGGTCAACCAATGTACAAGAGAGATGCAAACGCAGATGCTGAAGCTGAACCATGGAGGTGGTTGAGTCTGGCCAGAGGTCAACCAATGTACAAGAGAGATGCAAACGCAGATGCTGAGGCTGAACCTTGGAGATGGTTGAGTCTGGCCAGAGGTCAACCAATGTACAAGAGAGATGCAAACGCAGATGCTGAAGCTGAACCTTGGAGGTGGTTGAGTCTGGCCAGAGGTCAACCAATGTACTAAATGACTTCATTATAAGCGCGGTTCTCACCGGACATCTAATTTACCAGGTGGTTTACGCAAATTTCATCAACTTATCGAACAATTCGCAACCTCTTAGCTTATACATAAAGCTTCATAACCTTTCGTTCTTCACAGCTGTCATTTAGCATTTCAGCAATTACAATTATAGGCCATATAGCTAAAAAGAATCATTAACATCAATTGACTGTTCAGTAGTAACTTGTCCAGCAAGTTTAAGCCAGCAAACATCTTTCCCGCACTTTTTAGATGCGACAAATATTATTCTTTTTGTCTGTTAACTTGTTTCTGCTACAAAAGTGCTCTAGCTTACAAGAGCCCTTCTGTCTCATTTTGGCGTGTTCATGTTGACGGCAATGTTCACCCCGATCTTTTGTCCACACTAAACCAACGGTAGAATAGACTGCGAAAAAAAAGGATGATACTGTTAAGGAAATTTTTATATTCTTTTGGGTTCTTATTGGCAGATGCATCTAGGCTTGAATCGGCCTGATTATTTCTGACCACAGATCTCGTTCCTTGATCCTCCGTTTCGTGGAATTGTTCTTCTAGATCGGACTCGTTGATTAGCACAGGCGACTCTTCATGCTGAGCAACCGGCATTGAAGTCCCAACATCGAAATTTCCAGGTAATGGAATTGCAGGCGTAGGATTGGGACTGATGGGAGTTTCGATTCTTTCTGTTTCTTCCTCATGTTCCCCATCGTTGAAGTTATCCACTCGTTCTGCATCTTGTTGCTGTTGTGGCTCTCGATTTGCCAAAACCGACGTTCCTGCTACAGGTGCGACGGGCAAATACAGAGCATTATTTTCGTTACCATGTTCATCGATTTCTTTTGCGAAATTGTCATCGGTAAACCACGTACCGTTGGCATCAACAAATTTGAAAAATGTGTGAGTTTTGCCATTGCGGTGCGGACAATCCTGGAGTGCTTTTTCGTCGATTTCGTATTCCCACTGTTTTTCCGTGTCATTAAAAACCATGGGCTCTATTTCCCATTTCGTGAAATTCCCCGCGACACTTATAGAGATCGGTCCCGTAGAATGATGTTTGAACACTATTATACTCATTGTTGATATCAAAGTTGAAGGTCAAATCACAAATCACTAGGACCACTACACACTTGCTAAAATATACGTATAAACGCTATCTAGTCAATAAAGGTGCGTGTTGAGAGCTTTTCGGCACGGAGCGACACACTTTAAGGAATGCTGAATAGCAAAAGCACACTAAATGACAGTTTCTGGTGCAATACCAAAACTCCAAATGAGAACTGTCTCTGAACCTTATTGGTGAAAGTTGTTTAAGTTGCTGCTCTTTTATAGTTCACGACAAAGGGATCAATCGGGATCGATATCGAAATCCTGTCATGGTTTACGAATCTAATTATCCGGGGACTCCGGTCATGAGATTTAGTCTTCTTAACGTGCTAGAGTGTGACAGGGCGTGAAATCGAAACAGACTCATTTTGGTAAGAATTGCGAGAGTTTTGTTGCTCTTATGTGGATGTTTGTTTCTATCAAATCTATATGGGAACGTCGTTTTTATTTCGAGGCCGGAAATTGTTTATCAACTCTTTGACAAAGCGTAATAGAAGTCTACGATTGTCAGTCTAAGGATAGATATATCGAAAAGCTGCTAAGACTGTTGCAATTCTAGCTTAAATATGTCGGAACCTCTGTCTGTCTAGCGCCAAATCCACGACAAGGTGTTTTTACGCACGTGACATAATGACAGCGACAGAATCAACAAGGCGTTCAAAGAGTCCAGAACAACTACTCATCCAACAAGGTGGTACCACTTGCAATTGATCTAATGGCTCCCAGATCAGTCCATTCCTGCTATTTGCCCCCCTGAGTGCTTGAAAACCTTTACATCTGTCAGCGACGGAACATTTCCAAGAATTTGTAGAAGAGACAATTTATCCACCCTACAAGCTCATTCCATTTACGCTAAGTACTTTACGGAGAGATAACTCTAAACTCAATAAAACAATTGTTTGCCTCTTACAACAATGGATATAATCACCCCAGATATGGGACGTTCAGCGTGCAACGACACTCCAGAGACGGAGTTTCAACACGAATATAAAATCACCTTGACAAATTGAAGAATTTTTTGGGAGCTCGAGAAGGAACTTAAAATTTAAATCGACTGCATGGCTATCAGCTCAAAAGCAAAAGCCATTAGGCTATCAAGAGTGGAATCAGATCTCAAATCTTAACACAGCACCATGATTTTCAGTACGAGGCTTTATATCGAGGTTCATGTCACTATATACTGTTGTGTCGTATCGCACTTTTTAGTCACGTGGCAAGAGTGTCAGTGCCAGAATTGATATAGAGTGACATCATTGGGAAACACCACAAGTTGTCGAATTGTAGCTAGTAGCATGGCGAAATTGTTATTTACCAAGACGTATATCCATAAGCACTTTCTTAGAGGTCCAAGATTGCTGAGATTGCCTTATTTTAAGTAGTTCATGTATCACCCGTTGCCACTATCTAAGCTGTTCCAAATGCACTGATTTATAAGTTCTATATGACGCACTTTGGTTGTCAAATCTGTACGTCAAATAGGACGATTTCAATTTTTAAACGAAGCGTACACCAAAAGCTCATTCATTCAACCTGCACAAATTGTGGCACGACAGTGTGTTTGGCTCGCCTTCGACCGTATAATATAGCCTTTCTATTGTGTTTTTCGTTAGGTTATGCTTCCACCGATGCGGTAAAGATCACTTTACAATCGCTCTACTGCGTCTAGTTTCGAGAATAGAGCCGCAGGAAAAACTGTTACTCGACGCACTCGAGGCATAGCCAAAGTTCTATAACGATTCACCATTTGATGCCTTAAAGTTTATACTTGTACATGAAAAGTCAATTAAAATGAAGATTGTCGAACTGAAAAAGGGCATTCAAATTTGCATTACCTCGGGGATCAAATATCTTTCCTTAGCATTGCTTCATTTAATGATACTGGCGTGGGACATTCCCACATCTGTCCTTACCGAAATTAATTTTCAAGCCTTCGAATTCAGGATGTGCTTTGATTTTATCAATGGCCAGAATCGCATTGCTGATGTTGGTGAAATTCACAAAGCAGCAGTTACGTTCCGGCAGAAAATTGATTTGTTCCACATCCCCAAAGTCCATGAAAATGTTGCGAAGCTTCTCCTCGGCAAAAGTGGGCTGTTCGCGTTGACTATCTTTCTCAAAATCAATGTTACCAATGTAAATGTTTCTGGAAGCGCCTTGACTGACAGCAAGGGCTAATGCGTTTGACAACGCACCTGAATGTTTGCCCCAACCAATCTTGCATCGCTTGTTGTGGATGGTTAGCCCATGGAGGGATGTCATAGCATACAGCTGCGCGGCCGCTGTTGGATCAATAAAAGTGACAAAGCAAACGTGCCGATCTGAGAGAAGCTTGATATTTTGCAAGAGTCCTCCCCTCACGGCATTGCAAATTTCCTCGATCCTGACATCTTTAGGTAAATTGCCAAGATAAACGGTCCGGTTCCCTAAATTATTGGCACCACCAGCCGCGGTAGCAATTGCTGCTGCTGCTGCCGACTGTTGCAGCAGCGTATTTGAAATGAATTCTCTATCAGTGTATTGAACTAAATGTTCCATGCCTGGTTGCAACCCCAAGAATTGAGCTGCATTATGCTGTTGAGTTTTAGTAATGAAGGCACATCTGTCCTTACCGTAAAATACCTTTTTATTAGCATATAATGGGTTCACTGACGCTAAGCTGGTAACAGCTTTCATCGCGCAGTAGATGGAGGTAAAATGAACAAATGCTATTCCTTTATCTGTGATTATCTTAACAGATTCAATTTCTCCAAAACATCCCAAGTCCTCCCTTAGTTTGTCCTCGGTGACAAGAGGTTCATTCGAAGATGCATCATAGTCGGATACCTGTTGTGGATCTGTTTTCAAGCGACCAATGTAGACATTCCGGGTGGCGCCGTCATTGGCCACAGCGCTTGTTACAAGTGGATCGATAGGTGTGGGTTTACCCCACCCAATTTTTATGTCTCTTCCATCTATTTTCAACCGTTTAAGAATAGCATCGGAATGGAATAGCAAAGCTGAACTTTCATCCAGAAATGAAACAAAGGCACACATTTTTTCTCGCAGTATCCTGACGTTTTCAACAACTCCACTGCGGACATGATCTAATAATTGTCTTGCTTCGATCGTAGGTGGAACATTACCCAAATAGACGGTCCTGCTAGGCGCAGTTGAAAAATCTCTAGCGTTGCTTGGCTGTAAAGAACTGTGCGAGAGAGGGGCATTAGCAGCTGCAGCAGCAGCTGCTACCGAGATATATTGGGGATTCCTTGGCCCACTGGAATAGCCTGACCCTTCTGTTGAAAGATGACTGGAACTGTTTTCCAATTCATTCGAAGCAACGCCAAACGAGGGTGGTTCAATCGATCCCGCTTGGCGTCCATTTCCTATCTGCCGCTGGTCCATGTATCCCACATTACTGTTGCTGTGATATGCTTGATTGGGCCACACAGAACGCTGTTCATTTTGATAGGCCATGTGCGAATTCGGGGGTAGCGACTGATACACCATCCCGTCGGGATTCAATCCACGAGCAGAACTAGAGTTGTATCCATAAATGGGGCTGTTAACGTATTGTTGATGGTAAAAGGATGACATCGTAAAAAATAGGTGGAAATTTGCAACAAAAGGTGGTGCAGGTAGCAAAAGAAACACAGAAACGCAGGGAAAGTATTGAAAGCTCAGGAATCAAACAAAGATGGTAGTGATTCTCCTTGAAAAGATAGAATTGAAGGTGCTCCCGGAACACAAAACAAAAAAAAACGACAGACAGAAGACAATCCAAAGGAGCAATTCTTAGATTTTTTTGAGTTTTGGCCTGAGATTCAATGGCAGATGTGTTGCGTAAATAGGCGCAAATTTGAAATGGATCACACACAATGGAAGGGCTCGGTTTAAAACTGTTATTATATTGTGATGAGCTTCATTGTCGAAAGTGAGCAGGCCTGGTCAAAATCTTAACAATGTGAAATTTCTTGAGAAAAAAATGATCAAAGGGTCACTCTCGACGTGCCATCAAACATGGACGCCCGTTCGATTCCTCAAGGTTCCCTCGTTACGGGATAGGATACTACTGCACCTCACATATAACAATGCTGGACATCAAGACCAGCTAAGCTGTGTTTTGACATTTAGATGGGAGGGGATTTGAGGTTTTCCATTCTTACTCCACCTCTGTTTCGATATCTGTTTCGACTTCTGTGTCTTCTGTGTCTTCTGCCGTATCAGACGTTGTGTCAGAAGCAGTAACGCTTTTCTGGAGACTGGGAATGGGTGTGGTTTCAGGGCACTTAGCAAGTTGTTTGGATGTGAAAGAGTTGTCCGCTGGAAGGTCGGAACTTTTTACCACTTGCTCCACCGATTTTGCATCCGAATTTTGTAATAATGAGTTAGAATGCTCAACACCCGTCACCACAACGTGCTCGTTATCATTGCCATCGCCCAGGATAGTCTGATGAACTTCACCTTTGACAATTGAACTGTCACTACTGGGCGACTTGGTAAGCGTTCTTTCACGATTGATGCCTCGAAACTCAAATCCCTTGTCGGAAAGATCGTCCCAGGAAGTTTCGTTTTTTATTATGGGGCGTTTGGCCTTTTTTCTTGGAGAAGGGGTGCCCGAACCACGTATTTGGGAATGTTTGCGCGGCGAAGTCATTCTTGAGACCGGCTGATTTACGAATTTGTTCATTAGAGACGAGTCTGGAACGTCTAGCGGTTTCATACCATGGTCCAGCCGCTCCTGAAGTGTACGAATCATTTCTTTCTTTTCGTTCAATAATGTTACAACGACACTACGGGTCTTTTCATCCCGGACGCGAAGTCTAGCTTCCCATTCTATGTGGTCACTTTGAGACTTGACTTTTTGGTCTTCCAAAAGCTGGCATTGGTTTTGCAATGAGTGGATTCGCGCGTTGGATTTCTTCTGGGCTTCGAAAAGTTCCAAACTTAGGTGGAAGAGATCAAGTTCTTGATCGGCTGGTGCTGGCGTGAAAGCCAGTTCACAATGGCGTTGAGTGAAATTTTGAAACTGCGTTTCAAATGCCAGGGTCCACGTTGACGGTGCAGCAAAATAAAATCTCCACCGCTTTCCTTGTGCCCATCGTTTGTCCAGATCGACAGCTTTGTAGTAGCCTGCAGAGAGAAAATTGACCAGTTCGCACCACGATTCGAGAGCGGAAGTGTCGGCAAAGCATTTTAAACTGTCCATTTGAACGTTTTCTGAAATAATAATGTCACTTCCTTCGCTAGCCAAAATCTTAGAAATTGACACTTTCTGAAAATCCTGTAAAGTGATGCATTCATTTGCGTCGACAAGTTCTGTTTGACACATCATAACGCTTAGGTCATCGACTTTTTCTGATATGCTAGCAAAAGTGCAGCTAACAAAAGTTGATTTTACATCTTGCGCTTGATGTTCATTTGATGCAATTCCTTCGGTATTCATGGTAATCGTGCATCTGTGCTACGGAAGAGGAATCCCTGCTCAAAACAGAGAGTGGCTGGACACTAATAAAATCAATATGTGGTTCTTCAAGAATCCAGTTCCTGTTCAATCCATGTTAAGGGTTTCACTGCAAAGAACTTGATGAGAATGCAGTGAGTTATGAACTCATATATATACTCCGGAAATTAGTCGGTGAATATCAAAATAAGTCACGTGCCTAAAGCTTTGTTGAAGAAGTCGAACAACTTTGGAAAGTAGGCAGACCAGACCATCTTTATGGGATTGATGTTGTCTGTAGTTTTTAAAGACTCTATTTTAAGGTACTAACAGATCTTTCTCTTTCTTTGAAACAAATTCCAGAATTTGTTTGCCCCTGTATTTGATAATTACTCGGTTCAAAAAGTTACTGTCAATCCGCAATAGTAATAATAACATCTGGCATATTGTTCCTCAGCCAAACTGAACTACTAAGCCTGTGTAACCAGATTTCAACCAAAACCATTTTCCAGAACGTCACGGTAATACATAGTGATCTATATCCAATGACTCTAGTCACGTGACATTATATGTCACGTTTTAACCACATGATCAGTTTATTATGTAATGATGATTGGTCCCGTGATTAACACATGACCGTTTGAAACGAAACGCTTAATAATAATTTCCTACTTATTTCACCTCTCTCGACAAAAATGTATCTATAAATCAAGTGTATCTCATCTCATCTCAATATCGTCTCTCAAAAAGCTCATACCACACACCGTTATACCCATCTTTTATGTCTGCAGAAGTATCACACATTCTACCACCAGACTACCATCTCAAAGAAGTCGAGCCGGAACACTGTCCCGGTCCCGAATCCGAGAACGCCGGACAAGGCGATGCCTGTAACGGATGTGCCAATAAAGATATCTGTGAAAGTTTACCAAAGGGCCCGGACCCTGACATTCCACTTATAACAGAGAATTTGGCTCAAATAGAACACAAAATTTTGGTTTTGTCAGGGAAAGGAGGCGTAGGGAAATCGACTTTCACGTCGATGCTGTGTTGGGCTTTGTCATCGGATGAAGACTTGCAAGTAGGTGCCATGGATCTGGATATCTGTGGGCCTTCACTGCCACGCATGCTAGGGTGCAGTGGTGAAAGCGTTCATGAATCGAACACCGGTTGGTCGCCAGTATACGTTGCTGAGAATTTGGCCACAATGTCAATTCAATTCATGCTGCCACAAGACGATTCGGCCATTATATGGCGTGGGTCTAAGAAAAATGCATTGATCAAAAAGTTTTTAAAAGACGTTGACTGGGACGCTCTAGATTACCTGATAGTCGACACCCCGCCAGGTACGTCTGATGAACACATTTCGATTAACAAGTACATGAAGGATTCGGGCATTGATGGAGCTCTAATTGTGACTACCCCGCAAGAAGTTGCCTTGCTTGACGTTCGCAAAGAAATCGATTTTTGTCGAAAAGCCGGTATTAAAGTTTTGGGATTGGTCGAAAATATGAGCGGTTTTGTTTGTCCAAATTGTAAGGGCCAGTCTCTAGTATTCAAACCCACCACCGGAGGTGGCGAACAATTATGCAAAGAATTAGGTGTTCCTTTTTTGGGATCAGTTCCGCTCGACCCAAGGGTAGGGAGATCTTGCGACGAAGGTAAAAGTTTTTTGGACGAGTATCCTGAAAGCCCAGCTTCAATAGCAATTCTCAATGTTGTGGAGCGGCTCCGCGACGCTGTCGGGGATGTGTAGACATTTGATCCGTTGTATAAAGCTGGGTAAATTGAAGAGTAACGAAAAAGCGATGATAGTAATAATACAGTTGTTATCTTTTATTTCAAGTTTGCCCTAGACTCGATTTTTCTTCTGATAAAAGTTAATTCAGGTTCACCCATAGGCAATGTCAGTAACTTGTCGGTAAGATCTGTAGCGCTAGTTGTATCAGCGTGCCATTCTAGAAAGGCCAATGCTATACTGCTGGATATCATGGAACAGCAAATGGATGCCTTCTCGAAGTGACCATATTCTGTGTAGTAAGCTGGGAGTGTTTGAATGATTTTTTCACCTTGCTCCTTTTCAAAGTTGTCTTCCAAAATAAAATTTGTGTAATTCAGAAATAGAACGAGGTATTTTTGCGGAACTGTGATACGCTGTTCGAGCACCCTTTGAATAAGGTCCTTCAGCCTTGCCAAGCTCTTGTGGTCGTGGCATCCTTTCAATACCAGCTCGGGCCCAACTTTCAATGAAATGCATTTTGCGGCCGCTTCAATAAGTCCTCCTTCCAAGAGATTTTCGGCTTCCCCTAAATAATCACCAGCATACTTTGCATGAAGGGCCCGGCCATTGAAAAAAGAGGAAGGCGGCACTTTCAAGACCTTCAAAAGTCTTTGCGAGGACCGCTGAGAGAAAAACTCAAGATGTTTTGATATCAATGCGTCAATTTGTTGTTTAGCGAGATCATCATTGAGGGTAAAAAGTGAACAGAAAAGAGCCTCGGAGAAAAGGCCTTTGGCCACGAGTTGTTGCACGAAGTTATTGGTAATTTTATCCGTTTTTTCATTAGAAAATTGGCAGACTTGCTTGAAGCGAAGAGCTTGCATGACGAACCAAATTTCTTGTGTATCTTGCGAAATGTGGGCACTTTCTAAAAGCTTTTCGTCTCTTTCTTCTGAACAAAAAAATCTTAGGATGCGGAATATGACCTCCTCGGATTCGGATCTACCGCCCTTGAAAGGCTTTTGAATGAATTTTGTAATAATCTCTTTCAGCGATAGAGTTTTGAGATCACCATACAAAAGGTGAATGGATAGGCACTCTAGCCAAGTGTGCTCTTTTGAAATTATCCCTGAACTCTCTGAATCTAGAAGATCGCCTGCTAGCAGATGGTATATTTTGATGATGAAAGGCTCGACTGTTCTATTGAGCGAGTTCCAGGTTCTTAATTGCTCACGGGCTAAGAAATTGACATTTCCATTCTGCACTTTTAGTAGACTTATCAATCCAGCAAGATGTGCATTTCTCGTTTTTATCGCCAGCTTTGTGGCGCCTATCACATCACCAACGACTAAGCTATGAAACAGACTTGCATTCGGACTCTCAGCTACGCTCATTCCATGGATCGCAATTATCTGCTGAGCCACCCAGTAACATAGCTTTTTGTATCTTGTCTGCTCGCGTAAATCGTTATCTTCACTGTCCGCGACGGGGTTTTGCGTGTCAAATAGAACAGAGATAAGACTCCAAAGTGTCGTTTCATTGCCGCCACTAATCAAATTTCCAATTTCTTCAACAGTAACAGACCATCGCGATACAAGAGGATATCCGTTAGTTGGACGCGACCCAATGTTTGCCCGAGGAATGCAGGCCTCAAGGGTTTCACTAGTTTTTTGATCACGATAGTGATCACGGCTTATTACAGGAACGATTTTGAAGCCATCGGTACTTTTGGAGGAGTTGACCAATAACTTCGAATCGGATGAAAATTTCACGAAAGGAATAGGTCCTTGAATGCGAAGCGTTGTTTTAATGTCTTTGCGCATCTTTAGGTCGGCCTCTAGAGATGGAAACAATGTATCACTATGCGGCTTTTCAGTGGAAGCAAAGACCGAGTTGGCAGTAGCACCAGCCAGCTTCAGCTGCACGTCCCAATCATCTGATACAGACAGTCTTGAATGGACTTCTAGATGGTAAAAATCCTCCTCGTTGACATCGGACGGTTCATACTGTTTTTCGTCAATTAGATTCAGCATAGATACGTCTTCCGAGTTAAAAGAGCGGAGGATCTTTTTTGATGTATTAGTGGTTCCTGTTACCAATGACCGAGCCCCAGTGCTCTCCAAATTTGGATAATTTGGCAATGCTTTATTCAAGACCTTGTTTTTTGGATATGCGACTTTGCGGTCGCTCAGACCAGCTTTGTGATTTTGATCTTCGTTTTGGTCTTCCTCATCAACTAACCCCCATATGCTAAAGTGTTGTACTCGAAAAGTCCAAAGACCTCCGTGTGGGTTATATGAGATAAATGCCATTCCTTTTTGCATTTTGAGCCTTTTGATGAGAAGCTGAACCTCCTTCGCATTATAGTCCGTTATGGGGACCATGGAACCCTGTTCCAACGCAAAAACTTTTTCCAGAGTGATAGTTGCTGGCACATTCAGCCCATAACCAAATGAAGGTTTCGATGTGTTGTCCGGGTATACTTCAACGGTTCTGTTTTTATGAAAACGCACAATGTCCCCGAACAAGTTGTGTTCCAAATCATCAATGAGAGAGCTTAGGTCAACATCATTCTCAAATGATATAGAACCAAAACCCTGTCGTCCAATGACAAAATCCGGAACACTACAGAGTTGCTTGATAGGGAGTTGTAACAACTGATCAATAGATGGCGAACACCAATAACCAGATCCTGAGGAGTTCTTCCCTATAATCTGGTCGTTCTCCACATTTCTTGTTACTGTTGCTTCTTCCGCCGGTGTGTGGTTCATCTCCGTTTGAAGAGTCTCTTTCCCCGAAATTGGATTTCTCTGCGCCAGAACCTTCATGGAAGTAGGTTTGCTCGATCCATTCAAGAGTTTGAGCTTCTTCGAAGCGCTTCTATTCGTGTCGATTTTTAGTTTGCGCAAATTTGAGCCCTTTGCAGCATTTTGAGACTCCGTGCCCGTTGAGTTGGTAAATGCTTTTCGTTCAGTAGGTTTTAAGTCATCCCCCGAGTGGTTACTGAGTTCCTGCCGCAGAATGGATTTACTCGCTGGTGAAAATAATCCCTGCGTGGGCTGTGCTCTTCGCGCACTCTTCAAAGTGGAACTTAGTTTACCTATCAACGTAGTACTGCTTTTTAAATTGGAAGAAGTGGGATAATTAGAAGAGAAGATGTTGGAGTCTTGAGACTTTTCACTGTTGTTCTTTTTTTCTGAAGATTGCTCCTTTTTGTAAACCTTGGAGGTAATGGAATCAGGCATAGGTGGCATGTTTCCCGAGATACTGTTTAATTGAAGCCCATAAGGATTGCTCCCCAAAGAGCTTGCATTTTGACTTTGCTGTGACGATGAAGCGGAAAAAAGCGAACCTGCACTTGCCGTTGTTCCTGCGGTGTTCGAACCAAACCCTCCAGCATTTGATAGCTTGTTTGAGAAGAGCCCCCCGGAAGTGCCACTTGCTGCGCCGCCAGAAGGTGCACCAGAATTAGTGGGCCCACCACTCCCGCCAAAAAGTCCATTTGCAGTTGAGCTTCCAAATAAGCCTCCTGTATTAGTGTTAGTCTTGGCAGACGAGCCAAAGAGAGAGTTCCCACCGCTGATTGTATTATTTTTATTGTCGTTTGTCTGGCCGAATAAGCCATTAGTAGCGCCTGCGGAACTTTTTGCAGCAGAGGTTGAGTCAAAAAGTCCGCCAGACTGTTGAATTGAATTGTTGCTCGTAGGATTGCTTCCGAATAGACTACCGGAACCAGAATTTGGATTGTTCATTCCTAATATGTTTGCTGAAGTTTGTGCATTGTTACCGCTGCTGTTGCCAAACAACCCACCAGAAGGGCTCGGTGTTGACACCCCATTAGCGATACCACTGCCAGAACCGAAAAGTCCTCCCGATGACGTCTTCTGTCTTGGCTGATACGTATTTTCAGAAGAGGCAACTTTGGAAGTCGGCGTGGAAGTACTTCCACTTACTCCGAAAAGTGAGGAGCCGCCATTTGCACCATTCGCGCCAAACATCTGAGGTTTATTTCTCGAGATGGACTGTTTGAACTGGTCCCGTCACTAGGCGTACTGGGCTAGTTCAAGTTTGTTCAAACGCTCAGGAGAATTCCAAAGTAAGCTCGAAGTATTTTGAGCAGTCTCTATGAGCCCCAGGGACTTAATTCTTGAGCAATTGAGTCCTTCAAAGTTGATACCAAACTATCTTATGGTCAGCAGTTATATTGTTATGCAAATTTTGGTTGAAGTTACTATTCGTACAACGAGATATAAACGCGAGAAAACCAATCATGCATCACATGACCGTTCAAAGCTAACAACCAGTGGTAGCCAGTATCCGAGGAAAGAAGATGCTCATAGGGCGAACTATTGCTTGGGACAATCTGTCTGCATTATACAGCATGGATTGCTTCAAAAGCTTTTTGCCAGGGCAAAAAAGAAGATGCTTTGGACTTGAAATGGAATATTAGACCTTTCCAATCCGAGCCATTTTGACTTGCGCTTTTCAATCGAAGTTTAAGAAACCTTTTAGACCTGTCGCTGTCCAATGCTAAGACGAATTGATCTAGTGATAGCAGAAAGGTGGCACAATCATTCAAGATTGGATCGTAAAACCTAATTTCGATGTCAACTTGTCCGGTCGACGCGGTGACAGCTTTACACGGAAATACTAGGTTGAGTGATTCGAACTCAATAAGCATACGGCGCACGTTTTCGGACTTCGCCAAAAGTGCAAAGATTAGTTGAGCACCATTTCCTGCTGACCGTTGCGCAGATTGAATGGTCGTCAAGCATAGCGCTTTACAAAGATCAGTTGCAGAATCTGCAATTGAAATAGCGATCTCGTCTATTTTGTCACTTTTAGTAACATCAAAGTTAAGTACGAAGGGCGAGCCTTGCAGCTCAATCTTCAAGACAGATCCCTCATATTGTCTCAAAAGCACCCCTGACAATCTCTGCATCATTTCGAATATGACTCGAAGCTTGGGCACTTCATATTTGGTGAATTTAGAACTCGTCTTGATTCTTGAGTTGAGCAACGCTATTTCTTTCTGGGCTTCGATGACCTTCTGCTTAGTTGTTTTTACCTGAATCCTCAGAGCTTCTGCTCTCTTAGACATTTCAGAGATTTTCTCAAGGTCTTTTAACCCATCCTTCAATTCCGCTTTTAACGACTCGATTTTAATGCGATCTGGAACAGTGGGGCTGCCACAGTTGTTTTTTTTGAACTTTGAACTTTCTTTGCAGACGCGGATTTCTCTGACTATGTTCTGTTTTATCTCGAAAATCCTATTTTTTATGTCAGAAACGTGAGTGATTCGAGTTGACAAAACGTCTAGTTCTTCTCTCAAAGTGAAAAGATTCTCCTGTAAAACATTCTTGATACCTTTCAAATGTCCCAGCCGCCATCCAAACCAGACTTTGACGGCTTGAAGTCTGGAATATTCTCGAAGTAGAGTTATGCGGCCATTCATTTTATCTCGAGTCGCTCCTTGAGAGTCGAGGTATTTTTTGAACAGACTGCTTGATGCGCTCGTACCAATCTGCTGTTCCAGCTCTTCAAAAAGTAATTTCGACCTCTGTACTCTTCGAAGTAGCTCTTTACAGCAAAAAGCGTAGATCTCCAAAATTGGCATATTTGCGTATAGCGCCCTATACACGTCGACCGCCACTCCATGTCCATTTTCAGATACTTTACCGAAGCCCAGTTTGTTAACGGTCGTGGATTTTTCAATGTCACGGTGAGCTTTGATTCCCACAGTGTCCAAGAACGCACCCAATGACAAAGACTCCACTTCTGAATTGTTGAGTTTAACCGGGTCATCAGCATGCGCGCGGCTTCCAGCAATGGCGGGTATTTGAATGGGCGATAATCTTTCCATCATTGTCAATTCCATGTCATCATCCATAGCCGTCCCTGCCATCGCAGAAAAGCTAGCCTCATCATTTTTTGTATTTAATTTTCTTCTTTTAGAAGAAACATTTTGATCTTGGTGCATTTCTTGCGAAAGGTTAGAATCATCAATTTCTTGGGTGGAGGTGACGATCAATTTTGAGCCCAGCTCATCTGAAATTGGTAATTGGTTTGCAATAGCCTCTTCTCCATCAGCAATTGTGACAGGTGCAGTTATAGGAGTTCTAAACGGTTCGGTTGTCTCCATATCAGATTGGTCGTCATCGACAGGCCTTGACGAATAAGAGACCGTCTCAGGGTGTTGAATTCCTCTTTGGGGCCCGGTGATATCCATATTTACATCCCCTTCTATGCTGATAGCTCTAGAAGTTTGCGGTTTGGTGAGATCCAGGTCTTCCCCAGAGTCGTCTTCCTCGGCGTCTCGTTCCGGTCGCGTAGATCCTGATCCTCTAAACTCCGTAACTTCCATATCTTCTGCTTCATCAAAGGTCTCTTCTGATTTTTCTGGTTTCTCACTATGCTTCGAGAACAACTGAGTAATCTCCATGGAAACTTCTTTATCGAAAACTGGAGTGTAAAGAGCGGATTCTGCACGTCCGTCAGAAACAGCATTTGAGATATCACCACCACTCTTCCACGGCTCTCCAGCTTTTAAAGAGTCCGCCAGTTCTTCAGCAGCCATATTGGAAGACCCTTTGAACGCATTTTTCCGCCGGGGTTCTCTTAAACTTTGTGATTGCTGAGGTACAAAATCGACCCTGTGAAGTGTTACATCTGGTGCAAAAGAGACTCTTCGCTCCACTTTCAGTTTAGACTGCAGTTTGGATGTGTTTATTCTAGATGTGGTATTGTTTTGAGTCAATGAGCTCGGGATCTCCTGAGTGCTCCCGAACACTGGAATATCCGAGATTGTTAAATTCTCTTCTCCACCTTCTTCACCCAATTTCTGCTTCAAAATGCTCCTTCCTGGAACCACAAACTTAGAAGGCAGATCACCATTATTGGCTTCATTTGAGCGTCCAGATCCCTCAGATGTTTGGCTCATTTAGCGGTTAGATTCGCCACTTCCCTCTAGTGTGAACTTATTTGTTGGTATTATTCAATTTGACATCCATTGTTTACCAGATGAGCCGTCGAGAGTGCTATCACCAAATTTAAGAAAATTTGAATATCACATACAATCGAACCTTGGTCAGATGAGCGAAAGGACAGGTGCGATACTGAGAAGACTTCTGCTGGCGAAAGGCTGATTATAGTGCCATACAATGTTTCTAGGACTTCTAAAAGCAAAACCCTTTGGGAATATATCGCAGCAGAGCCAAGGACTTCTAAAAACAGCACTTGGGCTTCCTAATCCGCTTCTCACACGAGGTTTCAAGGTCAGAACTGCTATCAAAAAATTCTGCAGTGATTGCTACGTAAGTCCTTTTGCTTATTGTAAAAACTTTTGTTTCGGTTTTATGATTGATACTAACTTACTCTAAAGATGGTGAGGCGTAAAGGACGGGTTTATGTTTACTGCAAGTCTAACAAAAAACATAAGCAACGCCAGGGTTAAAGCTCTCATTGACGAGCATTTCACGAAAAACTTAGCATGTAAATAAAAAGGGATCATTAATAACAGTGCAACAAGGACGAACTGTGTCGGTTCTTATCAAGCGTCGTATTAAGATGAAGGGGATGAATACTGTCGTTGATTTTGGCTAGGACTTTAGCCAGTTAATTACCATTATACTACTATGTACATAAATTTTCTATCATCGTTTATGCTGAGTTCAATCTCCAGACCGAGAAACCGACCCCCCCGACAAGAAGTAGTGTACCATCCGGCGTCGAAGTAGCATCGAGACAGCCTGTGTCAGCATTTGTCGTGTACATAACGTCCTTGAGTTCCAAACGGTTCTCACGGATATCGTAGTACTTTAACCTTTGATCCACGGAGGCAGTAAGCAGGGCATTTCCATTGTCAATCAGACTACCAGCAGTTACAGTTGAGGCTGCCGCGGTCTCGTCAATACTCAAAATTTTCCATGTTACGCTGTGCTCCTCTTTGCCCATTTTTAGTTCTGAGATGGCTACCGCATTATCATCACCACCAGTGTATAGAAGACATGATGCATCGTCTGTTTGCTTCACCTGTAGAAACTTCACACCAGCCCGATGTACCAGAAATCTGGTGAAGTATGGTGGGAGTGCAGAAATGGTAGAAACACCAGAGAAGCTATCCTGAAGTTTGCCATTTTTGACGTTAAGAGGTAAGCTTTCGGTTATATCCCAAATGGCCAGATGGCCGTCACTGGGTGAAACTATCAGCAGGAGAGAATCTTTCAGCGGAAGCAGTTCGGCATTCAAAAGACAGCAGGTTTCGTATGTCCCCGAAGCAAAAAGTGTAAACTTCTCACTCTTGTGATCGAAATACCAAAGCTTGATGGCAGAGTCGGAATAGATTGTCACCAGAACAAAGTCTTGTGAGTCCTCGATGAAGCGGACATCAAAATCCATAATTCGAAGATCCGGTAACTTTGCTGAAGTCGGTAAAGTGGCTATAGCTTTCATGTACGGGTTTGAAACAAAGTTTGTGGAGATTTTCCACAAGTAAAGTTCCTCACGGGCTGCAGATGATATGAAAAATTCATTACTCACAAATTTGCAGCGTTGTAGCCCCGAAGTATGTTTCCGGAATGTCCAAACTGACCTGGATTCCCCACTCTCCTCGATAGAGTTGAGTTTGATCGTTGTATCTTCTGCGCCGGAGCAGAAGAGTCTTTGATCTTTTCCGTACAGCCCTGGATGCAAGGAAACATCCCTCATTTCCCTGCCATGTATACCGTTTCGCAACATCTGTGGAAAAGTGGGTTTGTGCAGCTTTCTTATATTTAAGCGAGAAGCTTTAACGTAAGCGAAGACGTATTCGTTCGATCCATAGTTAGGTGAAAAAATCCACTGGCGGTGAGAGCCGCCGCAAAGTTCATTCATTATCTCGAATTGCTGCGTCTCATTATAACTCTCAAAGTAATTGGATTTGAATCCATACGTGATATAGTCGCCATTTACATCGTAGAATGCACCCTCCAAAAATCTTTTCGAGGTTCTATTCTGAAGAACACTCTCCGCCTCACCCGTTTCCATATTGATGGCAGTAAAGCAATAGAAGCCGTCGCGATCGGTGACGGAAAATAGGCATTTACCGTCATTTAATTGTTCCACAAACGTGAGAGACGTTATCGTGTCCCCCGGAAGCAACCTATTCAAAAGATGAGGGGGCTGATGATCATCAGTGAGGCTGAATACCGCCAACGAGCTGAATTTTGAGCCAATTAACAAATAGTTGTTATGATAAGCCATGCAGTTGGCACTGAAATTATGAGGCCGCGGGAATCTATACATTGCTGACACTTCCAAAGATCTGCTGTTAATCTTGAAACAGTGAAGATGATCTTTCGGGTTGGGAGACTGAAGAATCACGAACAGATCGTCTTTGAAACTATCGACAAGACAATTTGTAACTTTGGAAAGTTCAGGAACCGCTGCTTCTAGGGTTTCTAAAATCTGACTGCCATCTTCAGAAAACTTGACGATAAGAATATCGCCAACGCCATTTGCCAAGATCACTAGATTGAGTTTCTGGACGCCCGTCATTACGGAAAAGTTTCTGAACTTATGATTTGTGAAGACAGGGGACCAGGTGGCATTGAAATCATTGTATTTTATCATGCTGCCTTCTGATGTTATCACTACAAGTCCAAAACGAAGCCAAAAAAATCCTTTGATGATTTCTTTACTTGAAAAGCTCATACCATGAGCTGAGATGTCTTCTAAGGAGAATGACTGGATTTCATCGCCAACTCTACTGCGAGATTTCAAATCCGTCAACTTAATGCGACCGTCATTGCCTGAGGTGACTGCAATCATTCTATCTGAATCTACATCTAGGCCCCACACACTTTTGCTCATATGAACCTCGTAACTCTCACTCTGCGTTAAAACGCATGTCGATTGACACACATTCCACACGCGACATGTGCAGTCTTCTGAAGCACTCATAAGCTTTGAATCGTTATCAAAAAACTGCAGATTCCAAATACGCGCGCTATGGCCCCATCCGGTAGAAAGCAAATTGCCTGATTCCAGGTCCCACAGTTTGATGGAACGGTCATCGGAACAACTTGCCACATAACGCCCATTTTTGCTGGCTGTAACATAGAAGATTGAGCCTTCGTGCCCTGTAAGATGATGCATGTTCTGCTCGGAAAAAAGGTCCCAAACCAACACGCCGTCCATCACGGTACCTGCGTTGATTTGAACCTTTTCTGTGCCTCTAACGGTGATTGTTCCGGAGTATAAAATGGATCTTTCCCCGTATACAGCCCTGGTTTTTAGCACTACAAGTCCAAGATCGCAACACAGCACTTTATTGTAGCTAGTTAGCAGAAAAACGGTTTTTCCATCAAAACTGAATTCTGCACTAGTAATCCACTCAGGACACAGTTTTTCTAACCCTAACTGGTCCCGCGAGCTCAAAAGACTAGCCACGGACACAATACTCACAGAACGTGCCCCATAAACCATAACAGTATCGTTTTTAATCGACAAACCGTGCACTTTGTTCCGCTGAAACACCCGGCACTCGTTCAACAGTTTGCCGCTGAAAACCTCGTAAACTTGAACGTATACACCATATCCGGCGAACACATAGTTGCCGTGAAACTTTACAGAAATGGACGGGCCATAATGCGACAGTTGTTCGACTCTTAAAGCCATAGGAAGCTGTTTATTATATACAAATTCGATTTGAAATTATCGTTCATGTTCATTCGAACATTGAATATATTTTATGTATATATATTATTATATATATATCAAATATACAAATTGATGGAATTGAAGAATCATTCGACAAGTTGACTTTAAAAGAAGAGTAAATTGACCAAAGATTGAGTCCATTGAGAGCTGATTGAGAGCCAAATTGACTGTAGTTTGAGTGCGGTTTGAGTTGGGAACGATATTGATGGGATTAAACGGGTGAAATAAAGTTAAGAAGTGGAATTTCGACGTATTTTTAGTGTCAGAAACGGTAACTTAGTATATCAATTCTTGTTGACATCGGCAAACGTTACTGAATTTTATTGATTTATTATGAACAACTGGCGGCTCACTTACCGTACGCCAGCTGATCTTACCGAGCATTTGAGAAAGCCGTATTTGCTGTATGACGAGCGTAATAAAGATGTGACTAAACTCATATTCGATGAACACGCCAACCTTTTGTGGGCTGGAGACACGTATGGTAGAGTCTCTTCTTATGATCCGGCCTATTCGCTATACACACGACATGCAGGGCATATTGGTGGTAATGCCGTCGTAGATATGCTCAGTCATCCGAGCGGCGTCATATCTCTTAGCACAGACTCGTTGAATTTCGCTAGCAGACGGGGAGTAACGAGGCTTAATCTAACGAACGCGGATGTGGCACAGCTTAGTGACATGCGGGCAATGTGCTATGCCGGAAGCGGCGGCAACCACGTTTTTTGCGGCGGAATTAACCCCGGAAGCGGACTCATCGACATCGATCTTCAAAAGGGAGCTCTTTCACGCAACATCGATTATGCTTCCAAAGTCAAGCTTTTGCGTTCCGACAGTAAAACTTTGCTCATAGGCAAGCAAAGCGGATCTATTGATCTACTGGATCAAAACTCCAACCAGCTTATCAGATCCTTTGCAGGCCACTCGGCAACCATCTCAGATATGGATTACAGAGACCATACGCTAGTGACCGTAGGAATGTCTAAACGATTCAACCAATTGTGTTCAGATCCTTTCGTGAATGTTTACGACTTGCGAATGATGCGTCAGTTAACACCAGTCGCATTCTCATACAATCAACCCATAAACACACCCGGAAGCGCGGGCGCTGACTTTGTGCGACTTCATCCAATACTACCGACTGTTATGACAGTTGCATCCGTATCGGGTGCTTTTGATTTTATAGACCTCGCGAACCCCACGTTAAGGAGTCAGTACTGCCATCCCTGTCACTCTATCTCACAATTCCAGCTTTCCTCGAGCGGTGATTACATTGCTTTACTAGAGCACGATAACAACGTAACCACATGGACACGATCGAAAGAAATGACCGGCTTTACGAATGGCCCTACTGTGTTGGAATATGCAGACTTCCCGGATGATAAATATTCGCCATCTGAAACGGATGTTGACGATGTCAATTTTCCTCTCAGTTCTGTCGGAATGCCATACTACTCAGAGAAACTACTGTCGGCATGGCCTCATACCATTTTCAGAAGCAATGGAACGATTCCGAGACGAATAAACATTGAAATACCCAATACACAGCAAGTCACTTCGCAGTTGTTCCAAAGATCCAGTTCACAACAACGACCTTTTCAACCATTACCTTATAATGCGAGTAAGTTCGGACCTCGGAATATGGTGAAGCCTTACAAGTCTCTTAGAGAAAGAAAGAAAAAGCTTTTGATATCAGACGAAGACGGTACAGACAAGAAAGATTTGATGAGATATAAGGCTTCAAATGAGTTTGAAGTGCCTCCTGCATATGCAAAGCTGCAAATGGTCTACGGGAAGTACGGGGTAGAAGACTTCGATTTCAAAGCATTCAATGAAACACACCTCTCGGGGCTGGAGTCTGACATTGACAATTCTTACACTAATGCGGTGCTGCAGATGTACAGGTTTGTTCCAGAATTTTACAATTTTGTTGTTAGCTGCTTAAAAGATGACCCTTGGTCAGAAAATTCGCTATTGGCAGAATTAGGCTATCTTTATGATATGATGGATAAAGCTGGTGGCACCGTTTGTCGTGCATCAAACTTTCAGAAAACTCTAACGTCTTTCAAAGATGTTGGAAAACTCGGGCTGTTGTGTAATTCCCTTGTTACCAGCCTTGAGAAGTCGTTTACTGGGTTGGAAATTCAGGACCAAACACAACCGGTGGATCTGGAAGCATTTGGAGTATCCTTAGCCTGTGATGTACCACAGAGATTTAACGACTTCTTTATACAAAAGCTGATTTCTGAAGAAGTTGACAAAAAGAAGAATTCATCTTACAGTATCGTCATGAAGGAGCTCTTTGGTTTCAATCTGGAAATTGAGACGCGCAGCATATCCTCGTGTGGAAGTTACGAAAAGCAAACCTCCAATAAGTCAACGCTCATCATCAAGAGCCCAACTGGCAATAATCCCAAGTACTCCAATAAAAAGCTCTCGAATCAGACTATCTTGCCTTATATTGAGTCATCCATGAACAGGTTTAAACATGAAAAGGCCATTTGCGGAAAATGTAAAAAGCCAGAAAATGTTGAGTTCGAGTTTACCGTCAAAAACCTTCCTCCTCTTCTATCCTTAAACATCAATTTGTCTAACGATGAGTGGACAATCGCAAAGACTGTGAAGAATTGGCTAGCTAAAGAGTTTTATGCAACACTTTCAAAAGACAGACCAATTTTGAAGCTGCAACCTACTGACCTCAAAACTAATACCGCAATTTTCAAATATGAGCTTACAGCGTATGTGGCGAGAATTGCGGACGACCTGACGGAACCGCATTTGGTAACGTACGTTAGGGTTTGCGATTCAACGTTTAAGAAAGGAAAGTGGTTTATGATCAACGACTTTTTGGTCGTTGAGGTGGATGAGGAAGAGGCGCTCAACATTTCACCCTGGTGGAAAACTCCTGAAATTTTGGTGTATTCCGACGCCGAAGAATTACGCAAACCATTTGTTCCTGCTTCACATTTCCGCATTGATCATAGTATTCTATATCGAGACTATTTTGGTGAAAGCATCAGACTAGGGCTCGAAAAAGATTATAAGCTTTTGACGAACTCTGAAGCTCCTAAGCCAGGAAGTCTTGTTGCCATGGACGCAGAGTTTGTTGAACTTGCCGGTGAGCAGGTGGAAATTAGCTGCCGTGGCCAGCGGACCTTGATCAACCCCAAAAAAACTGCACTTGCAAGAATATCAGTCTTGCGCGGTAACGACGGCGATGACTTCGGTGTACCCTTTATCGATGACTATGTGGTAAACACAAATCATATCGAAAACTACCTCACTCGATACAGCGGAATTGAACCTGGGGACCTAGATCCGGCAACTAGCACAAAGATGTTAGTGCCACGGCAAATTGTTTACCGCAAAATTTGGCTGCTACTCCAAATGGGATGTATATTTGTTGGCCATGGTCTCCAGAACGACTTCAGAAATATCAATATTTGCGTCCCTCGGGATCAAATAAGAGACACGGCACTGTACTTTCTACAAGGAAAACGTTACCTTGCTCTGAGATACCTGGCATTTTCTCTATTGGATTCCGACGTCCAAAGTGGTAACCATGATTCTATTGAAGACGCTTATACGGCACTTGCATTGTACAGGAAATACCTACAGCTTGTTGAAAGCGGAACTTTCGAAATAACATTGGACCAGATTTATGAAGAGGGACGGTTATGCGGTTTCAAAGTGCCAGGAGACCGCAATATAGCATTAATGTGAGTATTGACAAGGACTTCCCTTGAAAGGTAGTTGTAACAATAGGTACTAATTAATGATGATCGGCTCTTTCATTTTCTGTAGTTCTTGAAACAAGTGCGCTCTGTATAAGGTCATGCCAGCATACACATCGTAAGAAAATTCAAAGCCGCTGCTGTTGATTGAAAGCGCTTTCCATACGCCGATGGACAGCCCTAGTCGTTGGTTGTAGCGAGCCAGATCCTAAACCTCGTTGATGGTTAATGCTGTTTGAGGATCCGTAGTTTGTTCTCAAATTGTTGCGGGTCTGTGAGCGAAGCGGCATTCCATAAGAAGTTGAAGATGAATGACTGAGGTCATTCTGTCCCGGGAGGTCTGACCTTTTATTAAAAGCCGCACTTTCTTTGTTCCATATGGTAGATAAGACTCGCTGAATATCAATGTCTAGATCAAGCTTCTCTTTGCAGAATTCTTGAAGTGACTGCTCATTCTGTGAGCCATTTTTCCTGAAAACTTTAACGAGCTCGTTGATCTGGGAGTGAGCTAAGCGATTCTTTTTTGAGTCTAATCGGTTTCGAGGAGCTGTCCTGTTCAGGGAAGTTGTCACAGGATTACTAAAGCGTCTCACGTTGGTATACTCTCTGGATATTCTTTCGAATTCTCTTTTGACCTCAATATTAGAAGCCAGGAAGATGGAGTCTAAGGTTGGGACCTGGGAGGAGAGATCTATAAAAGAGTTTTCGCGCTGCAGCCAAAGCTTTTGCTGTGTCCGAGATTCTGTTCCACTGCTTTCAGTTTGCAAAAATTGTGAGAAGTTATTGAAATTTGACAAAGGATCTGACCTTTTGCTGCTCGAATTCCTGGAATCCAATTGCGGGCGGTTATTAATATGAGGAGTTATGATAGCTTGTCCTGTTCTTTGATGCAAAGATTTGCTTGGCTTGTTTTCCGTCATTAGTTGTGTTGGTCGAGAAAGATGGCTGGATAGACTGGAAATAGAAGTAGAAAAATCGGGTTTAACCGAACTTTCACTTATGTGTTGCGTACCATGATTTGAGTTAAAAGAGGCAGCAAAATCACTGTTGATATACTTGAAGTTGTTGTTATTGGAAGGGATTGCTCCATTTGCAGAATTTTGAATGTTGTCATTTCTTAATATGCGAGAGTTAGTTTCTTCTGACAGAGATGGGGAGCGATCGAAACGCTTTTCCATGCCTGTTGATTGCGATAAAATTACTGTCGGGCTATACTTCAAGTCAGTTCTTTTTTCTTTGTTATAATCATAACCGTCACTGATGTCATTTCCGTCGTCATCAGCATACGCCAGATTTCTCGTCCTATTGGACGTAGGCCCATGCCTTTTCAAACTGTTTGCCATGGATTCAATGTTGTTCGGTGCGTCGATAATGTCTTCTTCAGTGCCATCTTGATCTATTCTATCCGCAGAGTCTATTCTGTCATCATGAGCAACATGATTGACCAAAGTTTCCTTGCTCTGGTGATAACTTTGTCTTGGTATTTGATCCTGATCGGGGAGATTCCCTGTACTACTGATGTGGTCATCACTTGAAGGCCGAAGGTTAGACGGTACTCCATAGGAAGGTTGATTTTTCAATGTGTTACTGCTACCGGCTCGCGAAACGGAGTTTTCAAGATCTTCAACAGACACAGCATGTGATTGAGATGGCACATCGGTTCCTAATAATGTGTGATCTTCCTCCGAACCACTTGTCTCTGAGGCCCTGTCGTCGGTATTCTGTTCCTGTGCCTGCGATTCGTAAACTAAATTAGGCTCAGTTGCTCCATTCTTGGCTCCCGATTGACGTTTTGATAGTCGGTTTCTGTCGTTTGGTCTAGTGCCTTCCCTTTTGACCTCTTCATCTGTAAAATATTCTACCTCTTCGTCTGTCGTTGAGTGATCCTCATACATCTCATCGCCATCTCGTAGCTCTAAAACAGATTTTGTGCTATTTCCACGTTGCGGCTTGAGTCCAGATACTGGAACAGACGATCCACTCGAGTTATCATGGTGTGAGCTCGTCGAATTCGACGAAACCCGTCCCAATGCTGTCATACTGAGACTGCTTATGGCCTTTCTCCGGTGCAACGAATCACTACTTTTAGATTTTTTCATCCAACCTGGCCTCTCTTTCGTTTGGTCTTCGACTGCATAGCTTCCATCATGACTCAAAACTTTTCTCAGTTGGTTCAGCCCCTTGAAGTTTGCAGCGCTCTTGCTTCTTGATTTCGTGCTAAACTGTTTTAGCTTTTTGCTTGTATTTGCAGCATGCTTGTTATTCATAATGAGGATATTTTTATACCTACTTGAAGCTCTCGGCTAGTAGAATTCGCGTCAATCTGATGCTCAGTGTCAAATGTCGTCCTCTGATGCCTTTCAGGCCTACCATCTAGCTATCAGAAGGTGAGCTACCTGCTGTCCCCGCATGCATATTTCACTATATAAACATCTGGCATTAAGTACGAACATACTTAACTCTAAATTAACACCACATGATCATCCAAGCTAAGAAGTGTCATCGCAGCGGCATCAAGAGTGACATTGAATTCAATTGTGAGCTTCATGTCAGCTTGACAAACTCCCAACAGACACTTTTAAAAATCGTCGGACAATCGGCTTTGACCTTTGATGTTTTCATTCTACAATCACCAAGATTTGCATTAGATGCCGATCTACTCAATTGTACTGAGGAGAAGTTTCAAGTGGCCTACGCGCGATCCTTTGACTATTCCAACTTGCGTTTCCAAGACGAAAAAAATGATCCGAAACGTCAAAATCGCTCTTTCGAGTAATTATCTTTGAGCGCAATGGAGTTTGTGCCTACGAAACAACAGTGAACCTCTATAAAAGACGACGTTTGCATCAGATAACTTTCCCGATCTCATCGCCTGCAGTTACACGTTGAAAGGCTCATTCAATTGTCAAGAAAGGCAACAACAAGCACTGGCAGTTTGGGAATCAGAATTGTTGACGACGTAGCGACTATTTTGTGGTGTTTAGAGATTTATGAATTCACTTTTGTTGGCACTTCAAACCTCATTCGGTAATATCATCCTTGAGTTTACTGCGAAAAGCTTCGCTCACCTTTTGGTCGTCAGCGGATTCCCCCTTTTGATTGTTCGAACATACAAGACACTCACTCTGAATTCTTTCATATTTATAAGAACTCCATCCACTTGCTTCCAAAAACTCCAGGCGTGAGAAACTTAACGACCAAATGTTTTTACACTTGAGATATCAATATCGGTGTGCTGTTCAGCTTTAAAGTTCTCTGTTTACGTTCTAGTTCGGAGTTTCAAAGAGTACTAGGGCAATCTGGCGGCGTATAAATTATTCAATATATCATGAAATCATGGGCGAACAGACCGCTCGTGAAAAAGACTTTTGTTGATCTCCAGAAATCAACGCAAGCGCGCCAGTCAACAGTTTATGCTTTAAGGGTAAGGTTTCGTGTTCAGAAAAATAAGCTGTGCCTCTTTTAATTCGTGGCAAACACTGCTGAGGTACAACCACCAAGCTTTTACACGTCACAAATAGTGCCATTCATTTCCAATACTTTGTCAAAGGATAGTATGACACTAATGGCTAATCTTTGGGTTTACGATCGATTGAAAAGCAATTGCCATCTTTGCCAGTTTCTCATCACACGAAAATCATCACGCCAACACTTGTTGAGCGTTTTGTGAAGGATCCCGAGAGCTGAGAAGTTGTAAATCCTGGTTCATTTGATAGATTTTGAATCTTGACAGTTCTTTTGGAACTCAGAAAACTGGTTTATTCGATATAATGCTATATCTGACCTCATGTTGAAGGCTACCTTATACGGGGGCCGACGTTTTACACATATCACTTGCGATATACAAAATCATTGTCAATTTCGAGGGTCTCAATTTGAAATAAGTCTTCGATGAATCGATTGCCATATTAATTGTGCTGGCGTCTTCCATAGACTCTTTGAGTTCACCCTGAGGCATAAGTTTTTGTCACTTTTGTTCAACCCGTCGCCGACCTGTGTTGGCCCACTGAACGAACTTGCATGCAGCTAGCTTCGAGAGTAACATATGTTCGAAGACACTGTGCATCAAAATCAGTTACTTTACACCATCCAAAAAGAACACATTATCATGGCTAGTCACCACTTCCAGTCTTTTGTTTCACGCTAGCGTCGATCGAAAGAGAGATGAGCAGTTTGGGAAGTGATATCCTCAAAGCTAGCGGCAAAAAACAATGATTCCTTCTCCTAACTCCGGTAAGAATCACTCATCTCAGTGCCCAAGCATCCTGTCACAAACATGCTAATTTGTCACCACAGACCGACAAAAATCAAGATAGTTCCACCGAGAAGAGAACGGAACACAGAGTAGAACCAAAGGATAGTGCGAAAATCCAACACGTTCCACCTTCAAATTGATCACCAGAAATGGATTTATCAGCGAGATATTCTGACTGTTTAAAAAGGTGGACTGTTAAACCTGTCAACCTGGATCACGTGCCCGGTAAGACGTCAAATCCCTTTTAGTAGAATGGCACAATCATCTTAAAAGAATAAGAGTTGAGCCTCCAGGAGATCACCTCAACCGGCCATGAACCTCTTCACTGCAGCTGACTTCTACATTAATCTAATAACCAATTCTCCATCCAAAGGATCACGAAATGCGGTTGCAGAAACTCGAATCCGGGCTCTACTACTCGATAAACACACAACTGGGACTATATCGATGTGCACCACACAGACGGCATTACTAGAGCGCGAAATATACCTTATAGACACATTGGAAAATGAGAACAGGGATACCATGCGCCATATGAAGTGTGTGGTTTATGCCAAACCTACAGATGAAAGTATTGAACTGTTGAGGAAAGAACTTGCCAACCCAAAATATGGCGAGTATCAGATTTTTTTTAATAACACTTTGACCAAGGCACAGCTAGAGCGTCTTGCTGAGTCTGATGAGCTTGAGGTGGTCAATAAAGTGGAGGAAATTTTCCAAGATTATCAAATTTTGAACGAAGACCTCTTCTCGCTAGATCTTCCTTCTACCGAGCTTTTTACAAACCAATTGATCTGGGATACGTCAGGTTTGCATAAGGCCACTCAAGGTCTCACATCACTCCTGTTGTCTTTGAAGCTGAAACCCCAGATTCGATTCCAAGCAGGTAGTAGACTGGCGTCGAAACTAGCTCAAGAGGTTCAACACGCGGTCCAGCAGAACGAAAGAACGCTGTTTGATTTCCCTCAGATAGACGCTCCGCCATTACTACTCATTCTTGACCGCTACCGCGATCCTTTGACCGCATTGCTACAGCCCTGGACGTACCAGTCTATGATAAACGAATATTTGGGTATAAAACGCAACGTTGTTGATTTATCTAGCGTACCTGAAGTTGAGCCAAGCATGCAACAAGTCGTCCTTTCCTCTAAGCAAGATCCCTTCTTTTCTGATACAATGTATCTGAATTTTGGCGAACTGGGAGACAAAGTGAAACACTATGTTTCTAGCTATAAAGAGAAGACGAATACGAACAGTCAGATTAACACTATTGAAGACATCAAGCAATTCATCGGAAAGTATCCAGAGTTCCGAAAGCTATCGGGCAACGTCTCGAAGCATATGGCAATTGTGGGAGAACTGGATCGTCAGTTGCAGCAAAAGCATATTTGGGAGGTGAGTGAACTTGAGCAAAACATATCGTCGGATCCCGGAAACAGCCAGAATTACGAGGAGCTGATAAAGGTACTATCCAACCCCGAAATTAGCAATTATTTCAAAGTGAAACTCGCGTGTATCTATTCTTTGAAAAATCCTGGTGCTGCACGTACATCTGAAATCTCAAAGTTATTGGAGCAACAAATGAGCGCAGAAGAGGTTAATTTCCTTCATCATTTCAATAGTCTTTTTCAGACCCGTACAAGTTCATCTCCATCTGGTCGAGAAAGAGAAGACCTCATCAGTGAGCTGGCCAAAAAATTCAATCAAAAGAATCACCCAAAGGCTGATAACGTTTTCATGCAACATGTTCCGGACTTGTTTACTTTCTTGAACGATTTGTCGAGAAACAAAATTCCTGACGAAAAGTTCCCATTTTTAGAGACGCCAGCGAGTAGGTCGCCCGCTCAAGACGTTATAATATTCTTTGTTGGAGGTGCTACGTTCGAGGAAGCTAGAATCATTCATCAGTTCAACAAGACAATCAGTGAAGAAAATGATGGGAAAATAAGGGTGATACTCGGTGGTACGAGTATCGTTAACACAAATGAATTCATGGACTATTGCAGAAATTCTGGTAGAAAAAGTACTGATATATCTGATCTCCTATAATCTGTATATACTAGAGCACGCGTCACGGGTCTAGAGCGTATTTTTTTTCCCATACGAGTAACTTCCTGGTTAATTCATCCATGGTCTTTAAGCTGTCATCAAAATTGACGTAGATCAAATCTACTTTTTTGATAAACTCCTGATTATCAACAAATTCCGTGAACTTGTGCTTCTCGACCTGGTCATCTGATAGCTCCAACTGTGTTCTTGAAATAAACTCTAAAATAGCACCAACGCGGCGTCGCATTTCGTTTAAACTCGTTCGCTGTGTCGGCAGTCTGGGCTTTATGGGTTTGCTTATTCCGATATCAGAAGTGTTTGAGCTGTTTTCATTGGATGGAGTTCGAGAAGAATTTCGGCCCCTAACTTTGCGAGCACCTCCACGTTTAGATTTCCTCCTGCTATCATCCTCTGAAGACGTTACAGAAGTCGTTGGTGGAGAGTTATTATTATTATTATTATTGACGCTGGGCTTTGCCCGCTTTTTGGGAGGTTCTTCTGCAAGTGGGACATCGATGGTTGGAAGCTGAGCACTGGATTGTTCGGTATCGTTTGAGTCTTGGATTAGGTTGGTTTCGAGTTCTTCGCCGGCTTGTGACGTGCGCCTGCTTTCTTTCAATGCCTTCTCCAGCATCAGCTGATACTGTTTCTCTTCACGAGCAGACGATGTGGCCCGACGTCTATCAAGAGAACGACGATCTTCGTCAGAATCTCTACGGCCATAAATAACCCTTTCTGGAGGGACGTTTTCTTTGCGTCGCTGTTGCCGCTTACGGGATTTCTGCTCTTCTAGTGGTAAAGCTTTTTGAGTTTCACTCTTGATATCCGTATCCTGCTTTTCAGTTGCGGCACTCGTGCGTCTACCGTTGCCCGTGTTTGTAGATCCATTGTTGCGAGAGGATGAGGATTCGTCGTCTTTTTTGACACGTCTATTTTGTCGTCTGGACTGTTGCACGGGCTTGTAAATCGACCTTCTTTGTCCTGCGTCATTGGTGTACAGCGTGTGCAGCTCAGAACGACATTTTTCGCACCAGTACTTCTCAGGAGCACTTCCTTCGCCATCTGTTATTCCTACACAGAAACCATGCTGCCACACGCTACACTGTTCGCATTGGATGTAAAGACCTGATTCATCCGGTGGGTCGATCTCTCCACAGATACACCGAGTCTCGCCCTCTTCTTCTTCTTCTTCTTCTGCTTCTGCCTCTCCTTCTTCTTCCACGGCCTGTCCATCCACATCGGCTGGAGCCTGCACAACTCTTAGAACAGAGCTTTTTTCAGTTTCCAAGGGTCCTTGAGGGTCATTGTCTTGACCATTAGAACGGTCTATTGGCGATTCTCCATCTGAAAGGGCCTTTTCCTGACTTTTTTGAACCGAACCACCGCGTACTTCCTCTTGTTCTATCTTACTCCCCTCATCTGTAGTACCGATCGTTTCGCTTGGCTGCTGGTTGTCCTGCTGTTCTGGATATTGCTGGAGAGGCGATGGAATAGCGCCTTGTTCTACCGAACTTACCGGTGAATCCACCATATCTGATGTTCTATAGCGGAGGGAACTGGATAACGACGTTCAAGAAGCAGCTTGCGTGTGTCAGGATCCATCCATGATGTGAGTTACTTATCCGTATTTCAGGTGTGTGTACCATTTAACGATCTTGAAATATGATTATCGCTTTGAACGCAGATGCCTTCCTACGACAGGGAGACAGAAATAAAAAAAGTTAGCTGAGCGGCTAGCCATTTTGTTCAAATACCGACCACTTTCAACACCACAAGCGCTGGATAAAGAATGCCATAAAACTAGGTCAACATGATCGTTTGGTCGATCAAACTACGCCGTGCTGGAAAGCACGGCGGGATATTGAAATAAAAAGATTTCCGGGTCGGTAAGGTAGGAGGACCCGTGTAGTCGGAAATAAGAGCCAAAGGAGATAGGGCAGGATAATAGAGCAAGAGGGGGTAGGTACACGATGAATCTGCGGGTATGAGCGCATAGCATCGTTTCAGTATCTGTTGTCTGCTCCCCTAAGCTGCCCGAAAGAGGTAAAGTACTCGTGACACAAAAGACGCGTACTCATGCTATTTTCCTGTCACGTGATGTACGCGTGGACCCTGAGAAAAACATAGTCTTTTTCTACGACAAGATTTTTTTCCCTCTGGCCCAAGATGTAAAAGCTTCAGAGGTGAAGAGGTAAAACAACACAAGCAGGGTGGAGGGGAGCGGCTCGCAAAGCTCACAAACAGAGTGATGTGGGTATTTAATTTCTTAACCCGCTCGCCAAACAATCATCTTTGCGGATATCTACAATCTCCCTCTCCTTCTACGCCTTAAATCTTATCGCGTTCCCATGATCTCCCTACTACTCGACACCCATCCCGACGGTTTGCATCCCAGGTTTCGTCTCCTTTCTATTCTTACGCCACACCTAAAACTGAATGGGTCTAGACCCATCTTTTTTAATCGTGCATGCGTTGTGCATGATGCGCTACCACACTATGGATCTTCCCCACATGGGCTGCCTCGACAGAATATCTCCGAACCTTTTTTGGGCACGAGACCAACATCTTTTAAAAGAGATAATCCAACGAAAATCCACCTAAACGAGGTCGGAAAAATCCCCGAATAACTCCTCAAAACGTACACGGCCATAGAAACTACACTCAAGACACCTAGAACGTTTGTAAACGTCCAGGTTTTGATATTTCCAGTTGCATCTTCAAGACTTTTTCAAGGTCTTTTCTTCTATTCCTCCCGCTAAATTGACTTTTTTTCTTGGGTCCACCCACGTTACCCGGCCAGATGATATCCTGGCTTATTTGACTAATGAAGAAAACCCATGGAAATCCCACAGAGAGAAAAGAAGAATATCCAGCGTAGCAGGTATAATCACTTCCATTACACCTTTTCTTCAGCATATACAAACAGCACACCCTCCAGATTCACATTCAACCCATTACACAAGTGGCGTACAACAGCGTACACTACAAAAACTGCAAAAACCCACAATTTACTATTTGATTATCGACGCATAACGGAACCTAGTCCTTCTTCTTTTTTTCAGTTTTCTTCGTCTATTTTGCCTTGCCACGAGCTATGGGAAACAGCCCGTCTAAATCCAGTTATGCCCTGCCGAGTACGAAGACAGCCAACAGCACGACCAACGGAGTCCTCACTCCTAGTGATGACCTGAACAGCAACGAACCTAATGACCCCGATGATAGTAGGCCTCTACCTACTATCATCACCCAAACACAACATACGAATCTCGTTCCGAGATCGGCTCCTGGAGAGCCAACCCCCAAACCCAAATCCAAACCTCATTCCCCTCCACCGAGCCTGGCATCGCTCAAAACAACACATTACACACATTCACCTGCCCCCAATGGATTTTCTTCGTCCCACGTGACCAAGCATCGTCGTAGACGGTCGACCACTGCACCTTACGATCTTGACATTGACATGTCTTTTGCAAAAGCGTTAGGAACCCAGTCTTTGGCTGGCTCAGGGTCTAGCACTAGCTCTGGCTCTAGCAATAATGGTACGATGACCCCGCCATCGTTCTCGACGGACTCGTCGTTCATGAACTTCAGTTTCACAGACAACGAGCCGCAAACCCCTGTCGGCAGCTCAGCGCTGGGAACGTCTACCACTCATCCGTTACCACCAATTAAGGAAGAGATTCAAGCCTCTGCTTCTTTGGCACGCAAGAACCGTGCTTCCAAAGCCATCGCTTCCCAAATACCACACGATAGGAGTGCGGCACCACCTGTTATCCTCAAACGGTATGCGCATGACGTTCAAGCCACCGAGTACGTTGACGTGGACGACGTGATTGAGAAACTCTTGGAAATTGGCAGTACTAGATACTATCAAGCCAAAGAATTCCCGTTCAGCTCCTGGAAAGTCCAAGTGATTTGCAGCAGAGCGCGCGAATTATTCTTGGATCAGCCATCGCTGTTGCGCTTGCAAGCTCCCATCAAGATTGTTGGGGATGTGCATGGTCAGTTCACAGATTTGATGCGTATTTTACGTCTTTCTGGTGTCCCGCCAAATTCGAGTTACCTGTTTCTGGGCGACTACGTGGATCGTGGTAAGCAATCGCTTGAGACCATGTTACTTTTACTCTGTTACAAGATCAAGTTCCCAGATAGATTTTTCATGCTAAGAGGGAACCACGAGTCTGCAAATGTTACCAAGATGTATGGATTTTATGACGAGTGCAAGCGCCGTTTGTCGTCAAAGACTTGGAAAGTTTTTGTTGATGTTTTCAACTCTTTGCCGCTTGCTGCTGTGGTTCAAGACAAGATTTTCTGTGTTCATGGTGGTATTTCTCCACACCTGCGAGAATTGCGTCAAATCGAACGCGTGGCTAGGCCCACTGACATACCCGAAGAAGGTTTGATAACAGATCTCTTGTGGAGCGATCCTGATCCTCAAAAATCCGATTGGTCTACAAATGATCGTGGAGTGTCAGTTACTTTTGGGAAGCGTAACGTCTTGGACTTTTGTTCCCGCTTCAATTTTGACTTGGTCATTCGTGGCCACATGGTGGTTGAAGACGGTTATGAGTTTTTCGCACGCAAGAAGTTTGTTACGGTATTTTCTGCTCCAAACTACTGTGGTGAATTTCAGAACTGGGGAGCTGTTATGAGCGTGACTACAGGTCTCATGTGCAGCTTCGAGCTATTGAAACCTCATGGCGGCAAGAACAAGTCCAAAAGCTAGTACGCCTGTCAATGCATACAAAGTAGCTGGAGAGTCCAGCTGCTTGTTTTAGTGTGTGTTTTTTTGTTTTCATCTTTATATAAACCTGAATATGTTTAAATTTCCCGTTTTGAATACGTTCAAGTCGAGTGAGAAGCGTTGCGTAAGAAGGATGTGTGAGGTATAGGTCTTGTTGTTGATCAGGCAGGCAAAAAAAGCGAAAAAATATCTCCGATACGGGGAGTCGAACCCCGGTCTCCACGGTGAAAGCGTGATGTGATAGCCGTTACACTATATCGGACTCGAAGATGAAAGTGAAAAACTTCATAACAGTATACGGTATATACAATAACACATGATTACAGAGATTAGCTCAAATGAAACATGACAAGCTTGATGGGAAGTACATTGTTAGCTGTATGGCAAATTTATCGAAAACAAACTAACACCAATCTCATCTGTCGTCATTGCTATGTCTTATTTGTTACTGGTTTCTGTGGATCACGCCAGCGTCAGTCACTCTTTGTATAATAAAAATATATTATTGTCGACATTAATTAATGTTAGGCTTTACCATTCAAAAAACTGTAACCATTGAGAACTCACACGACGAGCAAACCCAGTGGTACAACGCTCCAAGTTAATCACTCACATCTTTGAACCATGTCTTTGGCGGAATTTGACGACATACACTATGAACACTCGACTTCGCGGCTGGATGTGCCTTCGAATTATCTGATGAAGAAAGCACGCCGAAATCCCAATGGGCTGGATGAACTTCGCAAATCCATGAGATCTGCGACAATATATGTGGGGAATCTTTCTTTTTACACTTCTGAGGAGCAGATATACGAACTTTTCAGCAAATCCGGCACTATCAAACGCATCATCATGGGACTGGACCGTTTCAAGTTCACGCCGTGTGGGTTTTGTTTTGTGATTTACACCACACCTGAGGAGGCCCTAAATGCAGTGAAATATCTATCAGAGATGAAACTGGACGACCGTAACATATCATTGGACCTGGATCCCGGTTTTGAAGATGGGCGTCAGTTTGGACGCGGCAAGTCCGGTGGCCAGGTGAGCGACGAGCTGCGGTTCGAATTTGACGCTTCAAGAGGCGGCTTCACAGTGCCGTTGGTGGATCGTATTGGCACCAACCACACGCACAATTTCGGGGCACGTCGTGTGCGAGACACGTATATTCCCGGTCAGGATCAAGAGGAAGTACCCGAGGATGAGGACGAGGAACCAGACAACTACGTGCCGGGCGAGTGAGACGAGTGAGACGAGGGAGCGGGAGAGACGAGGGAGCGGGAGAGAGAGAGTCATTGCTGTGTTGCGCACTATGTACGGCGCTGTATACAGGGTTCGATTAAGAATTCAATTCAATTTCCATTTCATTTTTTTTTGGTGCGAGGGACGCCAGATCCCTTGTGAATGAAGGGGGTAAACCATTATAAACGTCAAATTAGTACAAGTTTTTAAAGTCCAGAGTGCAAGAACGTTGTTCTTGACCGCGCTTCACGACTGTGACGCCGAAGACGAGGACGAAGCCCGTTTCAACTCTTCGAGCCGATCAATCAACTTCTTGCGTCGTGTTAAGGGCGCAGACGTGTTGGCACGTCTTTCGGTCACTTCCGACGACACCGGCAACAAAGAGGAACCAGCTTCTTTGCGTAGTGGCGGCGCTAGAGTACCGGCGACGACTGTTGTGGTAGTGGTAGTAGAGGAGGCTCTGGGATGCAGCGATGCGTCCGTGTCTGTTGACGAGGACCGCGACATCAGGTAGTAATCGCTGAAAACCTTGCGACGCCGTACATTGATGAACCAGTTACTGAGCTGTACTTTGCTGAGACCTGTCTTGAGCAGCAGCTCGCGTTTCTCCTGTGGCGACGGGTACGGATAGTTGAGATGTGACAGAAGCCAATGGTTGAGTATTTCGACAGTCTTTTTGGGCAGGTTGGAGCGACGCGGCGCCGTCAAAGACGAGGAGGACGATGACGACGACGACGACGCAGAAGAGGGCGAAGACGCCGGCGACGGCACAGACTCCAGCGATGAAAACGGCGACGAAGAAGAGCCTGTGGAGTACGACGACGACGCAGAAGACGGCGCACTCGATGGCGCTGCAGAAGGCAGCGCAGACGGTGCTGCTGCAGGCACGTGCAGCCGCAGCGGCGGCGGCGGTGTCTGGGTGGAGACCGTGGTGTCTGGGTCCAGAGACGCGATCAGCGTCTGGATGGAGGGTAACTTGACGCCCCGCGACATGTCTGGGTGTTTGGTTCTTTTAGCTAATATTGTTCTTTCGCGTGTGTGTGTGTTCGTTGCTGCTGCACCGCCCTACTCACGCTGGGTAGTGGCTTATGCTTATGTACGCCTCCTGCACTGAAAAAACAACCTAAAAAAATGGACGGGTGTTCCCGATGTGTGGGTGTTTGTCGAACGTGTTTTTGTGTCGGTCTCTTTTTCACCCAGTTGTCTTCCGCCTGTTGCCTCTTACTCCAACCCCCCTTCGCCCCCCCCCCCCCCCCCCCACC